CTGTTTGCCTAAGGCTTCCTTGCGCGATGTGCCTAAGGCTCGCAGTCGCGACTGAACCGTAACGGCCCCGAGTCTCGAGGGCGTCACGTGATGACCGTAACTGACCCGAGTAAGAAGGCATCCTTACAAATTGATTTGTTAGCTCGTGTGGCTTGCTACTCGCGGCAATGGACCCCAACTGTTGGGGGCGCAGTGGTTATAATTTTGCAACCTGGTACCATCATGTATACCGATAGATTTGTACGCTAGAAGAACACACGATGTGAAGTTGTTTTTCCGGGCAACATTGTGGTGGCATCGATCGAAGCCATGTGACAGTTAGGGCGTCCACATGTCAGAAGCATCACATTTCAAAGCTATCCATCTCGCATCCATCACAAACTGAACAGACATTTATAGCACGTGAAGCGGAAACGAGCCATATCATTTGTCGTTCCAATAATTTAGGCTGTGGTACATCTAATAGTGTCAATACAACTGCGCACAGCAAATTCGCGCCTGGGTCAAAGCCGGGTATATGTCAATCCACGCCACGCTCTAATTGCTCTCATTAGGACTACGCCTTGGAACTGTTCCTCCAGGACTCCTCCCTTACGCCTAGAATCCCTGCCAAAGTTTTCTCCACAGCGACCTCCCCTTCCCCGTATCCACCGTATTCTCGTCCTCGACACTCGCGATGTCCACATCGGCACGGCGGCCATGATCCAGGTCCACATCCTCGATCTTCTGCCACTCCGTCTTGTTCACCCACTTAAAGACCCCGAAAATGACCGGGAACAGCACGAGCAGGATATACGCATCCACGAATGTGCCAGCCGTGAATGGCGCCAGCGTAGTCCAACCTTGAATCAGTGCGAGGAAGATGTTCGCGCCGAGCCCAAACCAGGCGTTGTACGGGTACAGCCACGACCGGTAGGGGAGGTCTTCGACGCGGCGTCCCTGGACGGCCCAAGCGCTACGGAAGCGGATGTGGATAAAGGAGATTGCGCCCCAGACCAGAAAGGTCGACACGCCCGACAGATTGACGATGTAGCTGTAGGCCGTGGCGGCGCCGGTGGAGACATTCATCATGGACAGCGCACCGAAGAGGTTGGTGAAGACAATGGCGGCGGTGGGGACGCCGCGCTTGTTAGTCTTGCCCAGGATAGCGGGGGCTTTGCCGTCCTGCGCCATAAAGAGCACGGTACGGCTGCCTATGTAGATCGAGGAGTTGATGGCGGACAGACACGTGACAAAGATGAAGGCATTGATGAGATGGACGCCACCGTACCAGCCGGCGTTCTGGATGGCGATACTCATGGGCGACTTGAGGGCGCGCGCCGCCTCGGAGAACTGCGGCGAGTTGGCGGGACACGTGAGCCCGAAGAAGAAGGCGCTGCCCATGTAGATGAAGAGAATGCGCCAGAAGACCTGGCGGATCGCGAGCGGCACGGCGACGGACGGGTTCTTGGTCTCTGTCGCGGCCACGGCGATGGACTCGCAGCCGGCATAGAAAGTTGCGCAGAAGACGAAGACGGATGCGACGCCGCGGAAGCCGTCCGTGAATGCGCCCGGGTCGTGCCAGTACCTGAAGCCGAGGGGCTCCGTCTGCCCCTTCAGCCCTCCCGCCGCATAGATGATGGAGAAGATGAAGTACGCGACCAGGCCCGCCAGCTTGACCAGCGCGAGCCAGAACTCCGCCTCTCCAAAGGCCTCCACGCCGAGCAACTGGAATCCGAGGAAGAAGAACCAGAAGAGCAGGAAGTAGCCCCACAGCGGGACCTTGTCGCTCCAGAAGTTGAAGATGGAGCAGATGGCATTGTACTCGTTCGCCAACACCGCGGCCCAAATGATAAAATAGTTCCAGCCGACCGCGGCGCCGAAGGCCCGGTCGACAAAGCGGTCCGCGAGTTTGGTGAATGCGCCCCCGCTGGGATACAGCGTTGTCATCTCGCCGAGGGACTGCATGATGCTGAACGCGATGATGCCGATGACGCCAAAGCCGATCAGCAGCGGCGCAGGGCCTCCCTGGTGTAACGCGCCGCCCGCGCCCACGAGCAAGCCGGGCCCAATAATCCCCGCCAATGCGAGCATGCTGAGATGCCGGGTCTTGAGGCCGCGCCTCACGCCGCTGTCCGGATCCACCCGCTCGCTCGTGCTGCTCACGTCATGGTCAGTCTGGTCCTCCAGCGAGGACGCGTCCTTGGTTGTTGGCCCTCGATATTCGGCCATGCTGCTGGGGTGATGGGATATCAAGGTGAGGCCGTGTGGCTAGCGAGGGACACGGCGATACTATATATCTGCTCTGACCCGCCTTCCTACGAGCACATAGCGCCATAGCGCCGTGACTGGGATAGCACCATCGCATCCCCGTTCGGCGAAGCCAGCGAAGCCAACTACAGCCCTGCCTGCGTCTGCCGACTAAGGTAGTGTGTCGTAGCGTGTATCCGCCTCGATAACCCCCCCACGGCGAAAATCAGCGTGGAAAGGAATAAGATTGGCCCGAGGCGCTGCGTCGGCACTGCGTTTGTGGCGGCATCACGTCATTCATGGAGGTTTGTGCACCATTCGCCAAGAACGGGACGTGAAGTGGGACATGGGGTGGGCCAGGGGGTGGAGGGTGGAGTGAAGGGTGGGGGGCGCCAGAGAGGAGAGAGGGTCGAGGAAGGGGCAAAGAGGGTTAAGTGGACCGCCGTAGAGCACTAATGGAGAGGCTAAAGACCTACTTTGCACGAAAGTTTCTCGGCCAGGGACGCTATCAGGAGATAAGGCGTGACTTGGCCGCCCTCGGCCCGCTTAACGCCGACCCCACACGTGACGTTGGCGTCGATGGCATGTGGGACGGCGGCCGAAAGTCAATGTCAACATCGTCGTTTCATCCTCAGCCTTCAGTTTTCGTCAACCTTCAACCTTTTCTCTGGTCTGTTGTGTGTGGTCTGATGTGCTGAGGGTGGAGGATGAAGGTAAATAACCGCCTTCAATGGTGCGAACAGTTCAAACCATACCTGTCGGCCGTTCACAATGAAACTGTTGAGCATCTCCAGGAACCGAGGAAGGTGCGAATGGCCCGTTCAAGAGCTTCCTGTCTCGGGAAGGAGCGAAAGAATAAAGCGGTGAGTCCCGGCCTTTCTCTCCTCAAACACGTCGTGCCATTGTGTCTTTTGCAATCCCCTTTGTCGTCCGTTTCGTCACTCAACGACAAAGACGGATTGTTTCGCATCGTGCTTTCACGGAGCCTCTTCCTGTGTGAGACGGCAATGATACTCTCTGTTCGCCTGCCACGAGTAAGGGACCATTCTTCCCTTTGTTGTGAAAAGTTGCATAAAAGCTTGCTTCGGCGCATCTCAAATCCTCCGAAAGCCAAGCAAATCCATCTGCCCACCGGATCAAGGTAAGTCAGGTGCAACCACAGGTAAGCATTTTCTTTTTATATCCACATCGCCCGGCCAGGCAAGATGTGTTGGTTTTCCCAGGACTTCTACTGTTGGTGCGGCCACTACTACATCCACAGAGCACCCTGCGCCATCCCTATTTGCGTGTTTGCAGGCGGTGCTCCAATCCGCTTCTCTATCGAATATGAGTGCCCAGCCTGCATGGGTCACCCCGTTCAACCCACTCCTCCCCCGTCCCCGGCCGCCACAGCCAGTAGCCGCTTTTTCGCCCCTCACGATGCCCTCGGCGAGCAAACCGGCACCCGCGCACGCCGCCGAACCCTGTTAGTCAACACGTCGGACCATTACAGCCACCCACAACAACCAACGTATTCACTATATAGCCCGATAACATTCAGACCCGAGCTCGTCCACGTTGTCCGCGTTGCTGAGCTGCCCGAGAATAGCGCCGAGTGTGCAATATGTGGCGGCCCGCTCTCCGACTGTGCCTTCGACCCCGACGCCTGGGACAAAGCGAGTTTCCCGTCCACCTTCCTTGCGACCATCGACACATCTTCGGAGTCTCCTGTATCCTACGCCGGTTGAATGATAACAGCACATGTCCGGTGTGCCGGTGTGAGTTCAATATAGACCGGGAGACGGGTGGCCCTTGGGAGACTAGCGAGGAGCGCGCTCGCCGTATCGCTGATCGGCCGAGGTCTGAGGTGAGGATCGTTGATGAGGAGTTGCAGTTTGCGGATTGGAGTGACAGCTCCATACCCGGGGGTCTCGATGGTGAGGCACAAGACGGTGGGGTTGCTGGGGTGAGAGATAACATCGCAACAGAACGAAGGAGAGCAATTGAACTTGAAGTCGACGAATTGATTCGAGAGGAATCAAGAAATAGTAACTTAACTTGGTGAATCAGGTAGGCAAAGCCCTGTTCGATAACTTTATCCCCTTTCGTCCCAAGATTTGTCTCAGGTAGGCAACCTTTATTTGATATCTTTATCCTTTACCCTTGAAGTTTCGTCTCGGTTCGGTAGATTAACAAACGGACATAACTACGAAACGCCAAGGAAGCTACGAGATACAGTTTATAGACATAACTCTTCCATATATAAAATAGACATCTCTCTCTGTGAAAACCTTCTCGTCTTCGTTTGTTGTATTGCTTCCACTCTGATATTTGCACACTCCGAAAGATGACACGATGGCCACGGACCGATTAAACAACTTAACTCAGCAACAGCTCACAGAAGCGGTGCAGCAGATTGTTGACAGTCCTAAGTTCTGGGTTAATAATGGGCATATCCCGGTCGAGATAAGACGCCAAACAAAGGAAGACATTCTCAAGGGAAAATGGGGACCTGCTCCAATCTTCTCTCCATATGCCGCAACTCATGATGGCTACAGCCAAGGTGGGTACAGCAGCCTCTCATTAATTCGCCCATCTCACTATTTATAGTTCGATATCAAAATGTCAAAATGCTAGTACATCGGGTTACTTTTCGCCATATGTATGGCACACAACTAAATCCAGCGCTCGAGATTTCACACATTGTGAACTGTGGCTCGCGCAGTACTTCGTAGGTTTGCGTTAAGCTTGATAACCGGGATTGGATATTACCTGTCCGTAGAAATATCAATCCTTTGCACATGGTGGAAGAGCCGGGCATTCTCAACCGCTCCCGGATATGCTGCTTTCTCTTCATGGACGACAATTGTCGCGAGAGCCTACCGACGCCAGTGGAACAAACCGAGAGCTATATCAAGTCGACAGTTAGCACAATATACGCCCTAAATGCACCATGTCGCCGGCTATATGCACCGCAATGCCAGTTAGATTGGAATTGTTGGTTTCAGTCTCCCCTAAAAATTGATAGAACATTGTAATAAGGAGGCGAGAAAAGTTCGACGCGTGACAGTGTATTTCGGTGCGGTAGAATATTCACTATGGCCCGAAATGCAAAAGGCATCTTGAGGAAAATAATTTCCATACTCTCAATTTAATAGAAATTGTCCCAAGATTCTACAATATCCTATAAATCATCTTTCACCCGCTAAATCTTAACGCCAAGTTGGCCAGCACCAGAAACATCCAACGCCCCTAAATCCCCAACCAGACCCCCGAACATCCCCTGTAATTCTCCTACGTGAATCCTGAGAGCAAAAACTCACATACTCCCCCTCCTTTCCATCTGATCCACAATCTCCTGGACCCTCTTCCCTCTCAAGCTCTTTGCTGGCGATGTAGACCGACTCGACAGATGAGTGTCAGGAGCTGCCTTATTGGACGGCGTCTGTGGCGAGGCAATCCTCTTGATGGGAGTCAGCGGCGAGGCCCTCCCGTCCTCCTGCTCTGGTGTCGCCATCCTACCCTCTTCATCGCGCCCCTCTCTAGTGGGACTTCCTTCCCTCTGCATCCCAATATCGCTTTCATCATCCTCTACGCCCTCATCCTGATTCACCACGCGCAACCTCTCCTTCGGCACTGTAAACATAACCTGTACCACCCTGCCCCTCACTGCTTTCTCGACATCCCACTCCTCTTCCTCCCCTGGTGGCGCCGTCTCCAGTCCCGCAACCGAGTACGGCCGAGGCCCCACTGTACCCTCGTCAGCGCTATCCTCCCAGTCCCCTCTTCCCTGCTTCCGCCGCCACAGCATCGACCCCGCGCTCGCCGCGCGCCTCGGCACTGTATCGTCGTCGCGATAGGGTTCACTCCCAAAGGCCGCACGGGTAGGTGATGGGGAATCAACATATCTCTCCGCCTCGTCCACACCAGGCCCGCTCACCCACTCCTCCTGTCCAAACACCTTTTTTAAACTCCCCAACCATCCGGGCGGCTTCTTGAGTCCCTTGCTTTTACTTGGGCTTCCAGACTCCCACTCACCCGGCCGTGGGAGCAGTGACTCTGCCTCGACGCGTAAGGCCGGAAAGCTCCCCCCCGACTGCGCGGTGACGAAGCTGGCTGAGCCTCCGCTGATGCTACCGCTACCTGCGCTACGCGGTGGCGGGGCCGTCAGCGTGCCGCCCGAGCGGTCAGATGTTGGGCTGATGGACCCGTTGGTGTAGTATCCTTCGGCGGTCACGCGGCCGCTGCTTGGCCCGTATCCGCCGTGGACATACTCCACGCGGCGCGCAACGGTGCCTGATGTTGGCCCGGCAGCGCCAGATGATGCGAAGGGGTTCCATCCGGCGGCGCCGCCTGTGAAGAAGGCGGTGAGGGAGTTGCTCCGGGTGGCTTGACTGCCGCTGCGGCTGAGGGTCACGGCGCTCTGCTCGCTGAGGTTGCTCGCTGTGCGTCCAGAGGTGGATTCTTTGCTTGGGCTAAGGCGCCCGCTTTGTGTGAGGGATTGGGAGCGAGAATGGCTTCTCATAAGGGCGTCGGCGGCGGCCCAGTCAGCGACCCATTCGTCGACTTCGCGCTCGCGTTCTTTGGCGGGCGAGTCTGGCGAGGGAGTGTTGCGGTCTAATGAGTTAGGATTGGCGGGGGGGTGGAGCTGATAAGGGTGTATATCCCCCGTTGAAACTTGATGCGGCTCGGTGAACGGATCGGAGTGATCATTCGAGGACGATGGAGGGTATTCAACAGCCTGGCCGACATTTAACAACCCAGCGTCAGCAATATCATTATCCTCGTCCGCTTCGTAAATAGGGTGGATCGTGCCCGCAGTCCCCAGACTATTCGCCCTCGTGTGGTTCGTCCCGAAGTCAAAGCTAGAATACTGATTCGTCGACACTAGCGGCGGCTGACTGTATCCACGTGCATTCCTCGAGCTTGTTGGCTTCCGCGGTATAGTGAAGCTGCTCCTCTGTGCCGGAACAACATAGCTTAGATTCCCGTCATCCTCGTAATCATAACCGCCATATGAGAGAGCCTCATACGCTGCACCGCCGGCATTCCCCCCCCCAACACTCATGCTCCGGTTCCCAAGATTCTGACTATTTTGCCTCTGAACCATCTCACCGTTGTATGGCCCATAAAACGAGTCTCGTCCCTCGCAATGCGCTGCCTGGCTGAGGGCATGGAGCTTCTGGTGTCTCTCCCCAACTCTTTTGGCATGAGCCCTCCGCGCGTACCAGATACAGAGGACGGCAATTGCTATCGCCACCACTCCACCAATACCCGCACCTACTCCGATTTTCACTTTCCTCGAGTTGTCGTCTCCGCTCGGCGCCGCTGGATCGGTTGTACCGGCCGTAGCAGTAGGATTCGGGCTGGAAAACGAAGGATTCGTATAGTTGTTAACCCAAGCCATAGTTGTAGTATCGAGAAGCAACGTCTGAAACTTGCTATCCGCCCGCTTCTCCTTCGACGGCGCAGACGAAATCGTGTGTCCACCGACAACCATCATGACGCCACCAGGAAGCATAACAGCACCATGCCCATAAATCCCCTCCCCTCCACCAAGGCCACTTCCCGCGGCTTTCGGAACCTCCCAAGACCACTCCCCATCCCCGCCAAGCTGCAGCACCAGCAGCTGCGGTTCCGCAGGCGTATTCACATCTCCCACCCACCCCCCAAACACTACAATTCTCCCCCCATCCCCACTCAACAGCGCCGTATGCCCCGACCTGGAATCTGGCATCCCACCCCCGGACGCCCTAATTACTGCCAGCTCTCCTCCTCCCAGAAAAGCACGCGCGCTGACGGACTGGAACGTCCACGTCCCTTCCGGCAGGGCTAGGACCCCCACGCGGTCCATCCCAATGAATGCACCAGCCGTGTGTCCGCCGATGAGGACGTAATCTGCGCCCGCCGAGGAGCTCGCGTTCGCGAGTGTTGGTGCCAGGGAGGTGATCGTGTGGCCAGCCTCCGGTACCAGCTTTTGGCCGTCCGCGGCGCCAAGAGATACGGTGTATGGCGCGGCAGAGCCTGTGGATTTGGGGGGCGTGAGCTTGAGCAGAGAGTTCGTGTAGTTTGCCGAGGCCTGCCAGGTGCTTGCGTTGGTGTTCGCAACCGTGGGACACATCCCGCCTAGCACGAACATCGGCGTGTTCGCGGCATCTGCCTCTGGCTTTGTCGAGAAGTAGAGGCCTGCCGCGAGGAAGTTTGTATTGTGCAGCTCTGACGATGTGGTGGCAGCGGAGTCGGATACCGCTGTCTCGGACCACTTTCCTGGCTTCGCGCTCCCCGAGCTGTATGTCCACACGGACGAGTTCGACGCGCATGAACCTGCGTACACACCGATGTCACCGGACGGCTTCATCGCCGGTACGTACGCGATACCATCGTTGCTCCCCTCTAAGAATGGCAAACTCTTCGAGAGGACGGTCGGCGAGAGCTTCGCTACATCGATGCGCGAGGAGATGTTAAGGGCGAGCAGCTCGCCGGCAGGGGCGCTGGAGGAAGGAGGTAGCAGGATGTAGGCCTGCTCATTGTTGGGCGCCAGGAAGATAGATGTTGGGTTATAGGGGAGTTGTTGTGCGTTGGCATGAAGTAAGACGTGGGCCAGGGCGAGCCAGAGAGGTGGGGTTCTCATCGTGGGGAGAAGCTGGCGGTTCGCCAGGCGGAGGAGATATGGGTGACAGATGGGAAGTTATTAGGTGGGGTTGACCATGGCCGCTTTGCTATAATGTTCAGTGCTGGTCTGTATCCAGACGAGTATGGCTGTGAGGTTTCTCAGAACTTGTGTCTTTCGATGTGACGGGGATAGATGATAGATGGGTGATGAGGCCGAGCGATCGGCGGCCTTGTAGATCGAGATCTGTTGGTTGACGAGGATGTAAACTGTACCACAGTAAACACAACGTAATCTCCAATCCTGCAGGGTAGCGGGCCTAGAACAGTGAGATTTTGTGATCCACTTTCAAGGACGCCATCCAATTGATGGCTATCGATAAGGCGACTGAGGCTGGTATATTGGCACCAAAATGGAGTTTGGTGTTGACATTGTTTATCGACGTTGCCATGGTGATGACAGTATTATGACGCTTGCGAACCTCCATCGCATGTGATCCACAGCCGTACATCACCCAAGACATTGATTGACTGCGACTTTATAGGCGAAGGGTTTATACGATATTGGGGTCTTTTGTGGTCTCGGTGCTCTAGTGGCTACTCTACAGTCGGTAAAGACATGTTTAAGAATTCATTCCCCTACTCTTTCACTTTCCCAAAAATCCATATCCTCACGTGCGTGGGGGAGGGCTTCACACCTCGAATGTTGAAGAGTTATTTTCCTGAGCTGGTACCGTGTCAAAATCCCTAAGACTCCCTATGTACAAAAAATAAGCGCCGTAGCAAATCGTGCGCAAAACCGCATACAACTCACAGCTCAGTCTTCCTGCCTGCCTCTTCCGCCGCTCTTCCAACCTGCTTCTTTGCCGCAGGAAAATAGCCCTCGAGATCCATCCATTCCGCCACAAATGCCGTGGTGATCATAGCCCAGTCTTCTACGCTAGCTGGGTCAAGGTGCTCGCCATCATCCGTGATTTTGTGCCACGCGTCCGGGAACGGGTGGGGGATAAGATGCAGGATTTCGACGCCGCGCTTGAGGAACGGCACATGGTCATCCTGCATCATAGGCCCAAGCCACGGGCCGTTCTTCTTTTCGGCGTCGACGAGAAAGGGAGTGGCGGGTGTGGACTTTGCGGTGGCGATCGCAGGAGAGCGGAGGCGGGATTCTAGCGTCGCCATGTGCTTGTAGGCCCAGTGGGTGGTTTTCCAGTAGGAGGGGACCGCAGGGCCAGGGGCGCCAAGCAGGTCGAGTAGCATGAAGAGGCTGATGGAATGGAGAGGGGTGCGGTAGATAGAGAGAGCGGGGTGGGGCTCGGCGTGCATCGCTTCCGCAAGGGATCTGGTTGTGATGTGTCAGTGACTGCTTGTGAAGTGACGGGAACGGAGCTGAAGTATTGCAAAGATGAAGGGCTAAAATCTCACCTCGCGCCATAGAGCGAATCCGTGTCCGTCCAGTCGACAAACGCCTCCTCCCCATCCAGCAAAAGTATTTGCAGACCCTGCTCTTGTCCCCTGTTCTCATCCACGCCGTCCTTCACCATCTTCTCCCACTTCCTCGTCAGCGCTTCATCCACACTGCGCGCCGCATGCATTATCATCGCGCATGGAGCCGCACTATCCGTTGCGCCGATGAAGCCCTTTGGCTCGACCTTGCTGTCATAGTGGGCGACGAGAGCGAGACGGCCGACGTTGCCCGGCTGTGCCCATGGCGGGTCGCGCGTCAGGATCAGGTTGACGAACGGAACATCGCGAGAGCCGGTGGCGGGGGTCTTGGAGGTAGAGTTCTGGAAGGCGACGGTCCATTTGGGAAGGTGGGTCTGGAAGAAGTCGACGAAGTGGTTGAGGACCTTTGTGGAGCCTTCGGTACCAGGGACGCGGGGTATGAGGATGGGCGCAAGGAGGGCGCCGGTGTGAATATCGAAGTCGGTACCGGGGGAGGGAAGATTCTTCAGAGTCGTATCAGAGAGAGGGGTGTATGCTGAGACGTGGTGGAGGAGGAAGGCGGCGAAGAGGAGGAAGATGGTCGAGAACCGTGGCATCAATTGGGGAGCCATGGCGGCAGTTTAGCGGTGGTCAGCGAGCCTCGGTAATCTCTGCCAGCTGCATCACCGCTCAGCTGTGGAGATCATGAGGTTGTGAGAGGGATTGTGGGATATGCTCAGATGGGTTTCGTTTGAAGCCACGTTCGCGAGTTTCATGTTCACGACTGGACTGAGGATGCGGCTAGATCTTATCTTATCGTATCCCGATCTGATCGTTCCCGCCGCTAAACGCGCTTATTTATCCTCCTTGCCAGGGTCCGCATCAAATCCCCAGCCAGGGGGCCAAACTACACCTGGAAATGATAAGAAATAAAGACAGTATAAACAGCACGTTCATGCCAAGATCAAAAGATAAAAAAAATTCTCCATAGAAAAAAATGGCGGCAGACTTGAACCTTCCCACTCACCGCATCTTTCGCCGATTTCTTCCTGGGTGAGAGGAAGTGTCGAGGCTACTTTTTACGATAAGTGGGAGGAGCATTACTGAACAAGCGAAGATCTCGCTTGTCAGGACAACCCTGCTCTCTTTGGTGTTTATTAGACGACCGCAGAGCCCTCAATACTGCGAAAGAATTTCTCAGTGAACCCTTCAGCCTTGGCCGGGGTTCGAACTGATCATGTCCCTCGCAGGTCAGCCACTTACAATCCAATTACGCCAGAACGGCGCCCCACAGTTAAGCGCCAGCTAGTAGCGTCTTATGTACCCCAGTCTATCGCGCTTACCATATATACCACCAGTATTATACAGTAGTACCTTCCTTCACCTTCAGCCTTGCAAGAATTATTCAACATTGAACCTCCATCCTACATTTCAACTTCTATATCTACACAATTGCGCTCGATCCCACCTGCAATCACCATTATTATCAAGCCCTTCGACACATCTACAGCCGAATATCCATCCGACCCATCTTCAATACAGTCCTTGCACATGAGGTAGCCAAACGCGTCGGTTCTTTGCGGGGTACGCCTCGATCCAATCCAACACACCCCATTTCCCACCGCGCGATCTCCCTCCGCAGTCCACATAAACTGTCATAAGACAACTACGCCATGCTTATCCTCCGATGCGCCCAGCAGGCGCGCCTCTTGCCCCGGCGACTCCACGCATCCTCACACTTCCGAATCCGAGACCAATGGGAAGCCCTTGCCTGCGCAGCGAACTCTTCAAGAACCCGCCCCTTGACGACAAAACCTACAGCCAAGGGCCCCTCCCCTCCCCTCCCCTCCAAGCCGCCCAGCGGCAAGCCGAGTCCGTTCTCCCTACCACCTGTCCCAAAAACACCTAGAGTTAACGCCTTAATGTAGTCTATCCTGTCCGTCTCCCTATTTACCACGCCGGCACGGCACCGACAGTGGTCGTAGGATTTATGAGGATCAGTAGCATCATTTCAGTTTCCGCGCCCGTGCCATTCCTGCTGTTTGGCCACACAGAAGTAGCCTCGACATTCCTAACCGGTAAGCTCCCCACCCCACACGCCAATGCTCCTCCGCTTGAGATCATGACGGCGCTAAGTGGCTCATACTTGCCCTACTCCCATCCCCTACCCATCTCTAAGCTAAACCCCTCGCAGCTGCCGTTGCCTTTATAATCTCGTCCTACGTATGCGCCCCTCGCGTCGTCGCCATGTACCTCCACCTCCCTTCCTACACACGCTACTCCCCCGAGCTGCTCAACCGATACGTCGCATCCCTCCCCAAGACCGCCGAGGCCGACATCAAGACCATAAACGCGGGCGGGATACCACAGACCACAACGCTCGCAGTAGGGGATCTCGCAGTGGTGGACGGCTTTCGGCTGAATGCCGTAAACTTCTGCAGGGTGGGATCGGCGGAGAAGCGGCCGTGGTGGGTGGGCAAGGGGTTTTGGGCCGGGAGGGGGGCCTGGGAGTTTGCGGTTAGTGAGATGGGGCCTGGGAAGGGGTTGAAGATGGCGTGGGTGTGGGATGCGATTGCAGAGAAGGTTAGGCAGGGGAAGTTTGGAGGTGGGATGACACCTAGGGTGGGCGAGGTGGTTCAGACGACGGCGGTTGGGCCAAAGAAGAAGCTGTGATATACCCGGAGACAAATAAATAGAGCATGCCACGCAAGGTAAGATAGATGGGAAGGAGGCGCCATGTATTGCAATGTAGAATTAGCTTCATATCCGCATCTGCCAATCCAACAAGGTCCAACCATCTACAGTGCACACATAGCTATAGCCCAAGTACCCCAAACAAGATAACGAAATAGCTACCTGAAGCCCGGCCAACTCCGTCCCAAATACACGCCACGCACTCCATCACATCAACACATCCTCCCCACGCTCAAATTCCCGCAATAGCCTTCATCAGCACCTCAACCCCCCTATCCGCCCCCTCTCCCAACTTCCCCTCCTTCAGCATCCACGCAATATCACTCTGCCACCCAAGCGGGACATACGTCCCCCTCTTCGCCACCTCTAGCCCCACCGTCAACCGACTCGTGTGCTCCCACTCCTTCGCCGCAACCTCCGCGCGCTCCACCACCTTGCGCGGAATCCCACACATGCTCGCGCAGTGCATACCGAAGCTGCCCTGCGCCACGCCTTCCTCGAGGCGGTACAGGAAGGTGACTCTCCGCTCCGCCTCGTCGACGTCGATGGCCATGCGGCGCGGCGCGATCTCGGGATGGCCTGCGAACTCGGCGGCGAGGGAGTGGTAGTGCGTGGCGAAGAAGCCGATGGCGCCTACGTGTGTGGCGACGTGGTGGAGAACTGCCTGCGCGACGGCGACGCCGTCGTAGGAGCTTGTACCGCGGCCTAGCTCGTCGAGGATGACGAGGGAGCGCGGGGTTGCTTCGGCGAGGATCTTCTTCGTCTCAGAAAGCTCGACGAAAAAGGTCGATTGCGCCGCGAAGATGTTGTCGTTTGCGCCCAGCCTGGACATAATGCGGTCGATTGGGGTGAGAGTTGCAGATTCCGCAGGGACGTAGCACCCAATCTGCGCCATTATTGCGGCGATGCATGTCATGCGGAGAATGGTAGATTTGCCGGCTGCGTTGGCGCCGGTGAGGAGGTTGATGTTTGGCTCGGAGCCGCCGAGGCGGATGGAGTTGGGGATGAAGTCCGTTACGTTGGGGAGGACGCAGGGATGGCGCAGCTCCGTGAAGTCGACGACGGTGCGTTCGGTGTCCACGAAGGAGGGACGGCAGCTGGGGGAGCTGAGGCCAGCGGAGGCACGCGCGAGGGAAATGAGGCAGTCGAGCTGCGCGATGATGTTCACGGCAGTGAGCCAGGTAGTGTAGTCCTTGTCGAAGCGCTGGAAGAAGCGGCCGGCGGTCGCCTTGACAATCTGACCGTGCGTCTCTTGTGCCTCTTGGAGTGCGCGTACGAGAGTTTTGAGTTCGGGGAAGTAGTAGCGCTTCTCCGACTTGGTGGAGGAGACCATGGTCCAGTCCTTGGGAACGGCCTTGGAGTTCTTGACAGGGACTTCGAGCTGGTAGATTTCCTTGCCGATGTCTTTGAATTGGACACCCTTGGTGCCGAGCTTGGCTGCCCACTCCTTCTTGAGTCCGAATAATTCTTGTTTGATGCCCAGAATGCGGTCCTCGCTATCATCAAAGTCCTCCTCTATCCCACGCTCGGGGACCAGAAGTCTTTCATCGCGAGCCTTGGTGCGGTCAAACGCCGTCTTCCAGTACTCGAGCGGCCCAATGAGATCAGGCATCCCAGATATGAGACGGTCGATGATGCCATCCCCCCCGCCAAATGCACCCAGCATGCTCATCGTATACTCAATCTGCTCGAAGCCCTCGAGGACGCGGACGAAGTCGTCCGGCCTGCACACTCCAGCGTGGATGCGCGATATCAACCGCTCGAGATCAGGCATCCTAGTCATCTGCCCCGTGAACTGCTCCCGAAGCGTACTATCCGCATTGAGCATGTCCACAGCGTCGAGACGCTCATTGATCTTCTTCGCATCTGCCAGGGGATGGCAGACCCACTGGCGGAACATGCGCTTCCCGAACGGCGTGATGCAGCGGTTGAGCATCTTGAAGAGCGTCCCCGCCTGCCCTCCATCATAGGTATTGGCGAAGATCTCGAGGTTGATGAGGGTCTGTCCGTCGAGGACCAGGGTGGTCGATTTCTGGATCGGGCTGTACCAGGCGAAGTTGCGCTGGGAGAGGAGGTCTCGGTCCAGTTTCAAGGATCGGAGGTACTGCACCAGCGCACCGAAGGCGGACATGATGATCTCCTTATCCTTCGCCTCGGTGAGCGTAGCCGGCCATTCCTCATCTGCTCCCGGCTCCTCAGTCAGAAAGTATCCACTGCAGTCAAGTTCCCTCTTCGTGACATCAGCGCCCCAAAACTCCTTCCCCGTCTTCAGATAGTTCCAGATAGTGGTCGGGCTGGTATTATTCTTCAGAATCCGCAGCGCCTTGACGGAAATACACGACTTCTCCAGCAGCAACTCCTGCGGTCGCGTCTGCGCCACAAAGGTCTCGAATTTGGTCAGGTCGACATCGTCGACGAACTCGGACAGGAAGAACTGCCCCGTCGCCGTGTCCACGAATGCAATGCCAAACGTCGGCAGATCATCCGCAGTCGTCGTCGTCTCCTTGATCGCCACACAGTACGTCGCCATGTCGTCCTCGAGCATGCTCCCCTCCACCAGCGTCCCCTTGGTCAGTACGCACGCTAGCTCGCGATGGATGATCTTATCGACCTTTTTCGCCTTCGCGCCACCGACGCTGTCCTCGCGCTCGCGCATCTCCTTCCCGAGCGCCGACTCCATCTGATCGACCCTGGCGATCTTGTAGCCCTTCGCCACGAACTGGTTGGCCCAGTGGTCGAGCGAGGACTCGGGCACGCCGACCATGCGCATGTTGACGCGGTCAGTGAGCTTGAGGTCGAACAGCTGGTGGCCGATGGTGGCGTCGTTCTCGTAGAGCTCGTAGAACTTGCCCTTCTTGAAGAAGACGATGGTGTTCCAGAACTTCTGCTTGATCTGCCAGTACTGCTTCTCAAAGGCGCTGAAGCCTGTCCAGGCGTTTGGCGGAATATACACCGTGCGAGGATCGTAGTCGGGGTGGCCGGGTGGGTTGCGGTCCATGTCGAGGAGGTTCGCGAGCCAAGTGTAACGATGTTCCGGCTCCGACTTGCTAGGCTTTTGTTTCTTGGCTAGATCGCTTGAGGTTGGCTTTGGCTTGCGAATGATATTCGACGAGCGCGGCTGCAGCGGTTTGGTGTCATCAGGGTCGTACTTCCATCTCTGCGCGCTTGATCCCTGGCTATCCCCCATCTCCACATCATCATCAACAACAGGAGGAAGCGGAGACGGAGCATATGATCGTTTCCTCGAAGGCGTCTTGGATGGCGATGGCCTCTTCCTTTTCTTCGATTTCGAGGGCGCAGCATCAGAGTCCTCTGAAGCTATAAAGTCGTCCATATCTATTGATCAACGTCAGCATCTATCTCCGATCTGAAGGCCCGTCGCGAGAACTCACCATCATCATCACTCTCCTCATCAACCTCGCCAACAAACACATCCTCATCGTCATCATCATCACTGTCAATAACTTTCTTCCTCGACTTGCTCCTCCTCGCCGCCACAGGCGCTTCATCATCCTCATCGTCCTCATCCGGCTCCTCGTAGCTCACAGGCCTCTTCGCCCTCCTCGATGGACTACTCTGCACAACCGCATTCTTATCTCCCCCACCCTGCGAGCTCGGCGGTTCAATAACATCACTACTCGCCACCGGCGTCCTATCCATCTTCTTCACCGCTTTTCCCACCTTCCCCACCGCCTTCCCCGCCGGTGTCCTCGCTGCAGCAGGGCCATCGGTCTGAGCACCCTCCAGCGTCGCGGGGGGGCTAGCTTGTTTCTTCAGCAGCGGCAGTCCCGCGGTCGGGGCCTTGGAAAAGAAGCCTAAGATCGATCTCTGGTTCTTGCTTGTCGAGGGCGCGGCGGAACTGGCCTGTTTCCTGGCCGGGGCAGGGCGCGAGGGGGTGGTGGTTGATTTTTCGGATTTCGCCATGGTGGGTGGTATTCTGCTTTGGCTCTATTGAACAAATTAAACAAAGAAAGACGATCCCATCAACCTCCCGATTTAGGATTGGTAGGGTAAAAAAAGGGTAAGGTTGAGGGTATTACAAAGGGGGTCCAAGGGGTTGAAGGTCGAGGTTGAAGTTGATATATCAGGGTGACCAGTGGACGATTGGACAAACGCGCACTGGACGCGCCAGCAAGGGGTGAAATCCGCGTTGTGGTCTGTGCGCAGGCGCTTTTTCAATTTAACGTGGAGTCCCGGCCTTGAAGTGCCGGTTCCGCGGGCGTGGGTGGGATTGTAGTAGCGACATACCGAAGTACCAATATTGAACCCCCTTTGGGAAATCCGTATCAACGATAAATGTCATGTAAACCCTCAATTTCATCTTTGAACTCCGGTTTATGAGAACTCTATTGCCTAAAATATCTCAAACCCCTTGCCTTCAGGCTTTCAGGCTACCTTGCTTTCCTGCAAACCATACCACCCTTCCGTCGCCACAAAGAGCAGCGACAATAATACACCCATAAATGATGCCGTATCCCCCCATTCCCCCTATTCCCCCCATCCACTACCCCATGACACCACACTACCCAGCCAGGCCCAGCCCAAACACACTCTTCCATTCGCAAAAATATAACTCCCGCTTACCGCTACATACAGATGCCAAAAAATACCCACAAGACCAGAGATAATCCCCCCCTTTCCTTCCCAGAACTTCCATTTTCGCAGACAGTAACCTCCCCTCCCAACCTTCCAGGAGTAGAGCGGAGTAAAAGAAAGCCCTACCCATAAAGAAGAACAAACAACCACCAATCACCTCTTCAACTCCCCAATCAGCGTCGGCGCGATCTTCCTCTTCTTCGGCGCCGGTCCCTCCTTCTTACCCTCCCCATCCCTTACTAGAGCAGCTTCCTTACCACTCTCATCCTCACTTACACCCCCCGCATCCCTCTTCACCCCTCCCGCCACCGCACCACTAACACTACTCGCGGCACTCCTCGGCGTCTGCGGCGGCGTCGTCATATTAACAGCTGGCACGACGAACGAGCCCGCCGTAATGCCCGGCACGCTCCCCGACACCAGCGGGGGGTTGCTAACAACCGTTCCGGTGGGATAACTCACATTGGGCGCGCCAAAGGCGGAGGGCGCGAAGGGGGACTGCGTGGAGATGATGGAGCTTGTGGAGTTTGTGCGCGTGGGCGAGGCGGGACGGCCGGAGACAGCGGCGGAGGCGGATTGGGTGGCGGTGGCTTCGGCTGGAGGGGGGTTGGAGGGCGTGCGGTGGCGGGATGGGCCGGGGAATGGGGATGGGGGGCAGACGGCGGAGGTGGGTGTTGGGATGGGTGTGTTTTGGGAGGAGAGGGAGATGGGTTGTTGAGTTGGGACATCGGGCTTTGTGGTGGATGAGTCGGGGGTGTATGGTTCGCCGAGCTCGGAGGGAGAGAAGGTGAGGGTGGAGCAGAAGCCGTCGGAGGAGGTCATGAGGAGGGTTAGGCCGTCGTTGGACCTGTAATAACTGTTAGGATAGGGGTGGGAGGTCCAGGTTTGGCAGGGACATACCATGTCAAATCTGTAAAGGTTGCGCAGTGCAGGTTGCTCACGATGCACAGAGGCGTTTGCTGTTGCGTATCATACAGCAAAACCGAGTCTTGCGTGGCAACAGCGTAGACCATGCGATACGGCAGCGAAAATGCCATTGGCGGGCCAGGTGAAACCGCACCAGTTGCCACCTCCAGCTTCTTCGGCGTTGACGTCGGGCCTGGATCGCTAGGGTGTAGGAACGGCGACTTCTGAACCTTAGGTGGCGTATCAGGAGTAGGAGAAGAGATGACCGGCTCCGGCAAGGCAGGTATGGATTCTTCAGATGACGAGGTGTCAATGGTGATGTTTTTAGTCGTGACAGGTCCCTCTCTTATAGTATAAAATATAGGCGAACACTTGACAGCTACCGACGGCTTCTTGTGTCCAGGGAGATGTGCAATTGGGGGTTTGTTGATCCCGCCTCTTGTGTAGATATAGACAGTGTTGATTATTTCATACGCCGCCCTATGTCCCTCGTTCTCTCCAGGATGGGGGATAGAGTATTGTCCAGCCGGAGTAAGCAGGAGACTTCCATCTTGAGTGAACGTCAGCCGCCGGAAGAACGAGGTGAGAGTTTCATTGGCGTATATATTCGCATTCTTGACTCCCAACCCGTGTCCTGGCTTCGGGGACGCTTCCATGGGCATAACAGCCGGGAGAGGCATTGACGGCGCTGGCGACGCCGATCTCCGCATTGAAGTGGACGAGCCGAATGATGATCTCCTACTATGGCTGATCGTGCTCGGCGGGTTCATGGGCAGACCGTGGGCAGTTGGCGTGCTCGGCTCTGATGGCTTTGGCGACTCAGCACCGAGATATGAAGATTCGTTGGATATTTGAGAGCGTATGCCGATATCTGGGGGAGCAGGCGAGCCTCTTCGCCCAGGGAGGTCGATCTTTGCATGGCTGGCAATCCTATGGGGCCCTTGTTCCAAGGTGAAATGCCCATCCTTTGTCCGCAGACTGTATATATGCACCGATCTGTCCGAGGACTGTGTCGCGACGTATTCGTTGAGAGGGTCCCATGCGACGCCTTGAACGTAGTGGCTATGCTCAGCGATCTGTCGAACTAATTGACCTGGCACTTGTCAGCTTTGCACGGCCGACGATGTTACTGGGCTACCTACCTGTTTGGGCATTGTATATCCTCGCAATGTTGTCCATACTGCCGATGATGAAGTAGACGCCATCCGGCGACCACGCAAGATCGTATATTTCCGACCCGGACGACCGGCACATATGCTTCACGCGCCATGTCTCCTTGTCCTCCAAGGCGTCGTCGCCGAACGCGGCTTGGGGGTGGTGTGATTCAGCGGGGATCCAGAGCAGGACATTTCCATCGTCGCCCGCCGAAGCCAGGAGGTCTCCTGTGTCTCATTAGAATTCTGTCGGGGTGGTAGGAAGCTTGTATTCGTACCTTTGGGGGCAAAACGGACGACATTGACTGCTTGGGAGTGCTTGCTAAGCGTCGACAGGTACTCCACGCTCCGTTCCTCGCCGTCCGAATCAACCCTCCAGAGCTAGCGGACAGTCAGCACGGCACGTCGCCGGGGAGGGGGGGTTCTACATACCCTCACATTGTTATCTCCACCAGCCGTCGCGAGCCTCTTGCCATTGGGCTCGAAATGGGCAGAGTAGATCGGGGCGCTGGAGTCGTGCCAGTTGACGATGAGAGGTGCGCTCTTCATGGTGTAGACAAGGCCTCAGCGGCGGTGCATTGGGTATCCCCGGTGGACCAGCTGCAGCGACCGTGTGGAGAGAGTGCTGCTCTCCTGCTCTCAGGGTTGGTATGTCCTTGTCCTTGAGCGTGAGGTGGTGAAGAGGTCTGGTCGGCGAGGCTGACGTCGTGTCTATGGCTGGCCGGCTGGTCTTCCGTGAGGAATGTGAAGTTATGGATGCCTTTCGTGAGAAGCGAGAGCTGGTATGCGGTATGATTGTCGACGGGGAATAGGGGCCAAGTCCTCAGTTTGTGTGGGATTGGAAGAAGCAGCTGTTGTATGCGGAAGTGTTCCTCCTGTGGATGATCGCGGCTGATCGTTGAACGCGGTTCCATACAGTGCTTTACTACGGTGGGCTGTATCTCCCTCCCGTCTCACAGGCTATCACTCCAATACGCGGATAGCGGACCATCGGAATATGCGGCCGCTTCATGCCGACTCGAGCTGGGAGCTGTGAAGCTGTTTCCCCGCACCCAATCAGAAGCGACGCATAGCGCTCGTTTACGCGACGTGCTTGATATCAGCTTGACAGCCATCAACCCCGAAACAATTGCCAACAAAACTCTCCACCAACGTGAATCAGCGCCCAATCAGCGCCCAATTAATACAAATATGGGAATTCCAGTCTCACTACGAGTAGTTCGTCTAATCATCGCCACATAAACCGATTGTCCCCTGTCGCCGACAAGGCTTTGGCACCGAAGGTAATAAAGTAGGTGAGTAAGTAAACAAGACATTCACGGGTCATCATGAGGAGCGTAATAATTGAGTGTTGTAACGAATTGCATTGCTGGTTGGCTACTTGACGAACCTGCCCTGTCTCCGTGTCTTCCCATCATTGCCGCCCTTCGAATCCCAAGGGCGACGCATCCCGAAATCTCTCTGCGATACCTGTAGCCCCTTGCCAGCAGCCACCCACCGACAATACGCCCTGGTCTAATCGAACCTGCCATCGAGGATGCTGGCGTTGCGAACCGATATCTGCAACTTCACATGTAACCAGGCCAAAGTACCATTGTCCAGTCCTAACCGTCTCAATGTCCGCGGCCCTGAGAGAGGTCAATGTAAGCACCTGTGCGGGCGACAAGCGATGCTTTGGATGCAATTCAACTCGAGATTTAAACAATTCCCAGAGTGCAATAGCATCTGACAATTTCAAAGATGCTAGCCACTTCGCATTTGTATTAATCCCTGTGCCTGCCTCTCCTGGAGGGGGGTTTCCTCTGGTGGCTCCTGTTGTTTCCTGGATACCACCGCCGACTTGCTTTATCCCTTGCAGTTTTGCCGCACTAATCGTACTTGTATCTTCTCTTGCCGATTTTGAAAAGTTGTCCATTGGGCCAGCCTCCGTCTTGTGAAATCCAATATTGAATTGACTAAATCTAGAGAAACCTTATGGTTAGTACAACAGACTATTTAAATACACTGCCTCGAGATACCACAAAGGGTTCCTTGAGAGGTATAATGAACTTTCTAGCAGTTCTTGGAATATAAATTACTTGGTTTCTTTATTTGCTCCCTTGTGAGGCTGGCAGTTCTATTCGTAGGAGCAAGTCTTAGCTACAAACGCCGCACCACTGTTTCCTAGACGCATAGACAGTCTTGCGATCAATTTTAGTGACACATACTATACATTTCGGTCCACTTCCGTACCAATAATTGAGCATGCTGCATTCCGTCTTGGGAGCCGTGGCTGCCGCCTTGCCGCCGCCAGTGCTGGTTCCCATCAGCTAATTGCCGCCTCATGCAACAGCCCTATCATAAATAGTCTTGGGTCCAGTAGGCTAGCTATAATAATATGCATAGAGCAAACATATGCACTGGCATATGAGCTTTATGGTGGATTCCCTCGCCAATAAATCTGTAAGCACCCGTTCTATGAACAAACTTTGTTCCGCAGGGCCAATACAACGTATGCCCCCTTACCTTTGCAATTCTCACCGCCCATTCTCTAACCTTAAACTTTGCCAACTAATACTATAATTCCTAAATGCCGTGAAACTTCTGCATGTTTGTGTAACAGACGCCACCGGGCTGTATGGCACCACCCTCAATCAAACGTAGTCCACAAATCGAGGGCCTTCCTCATAAGTAGCGCTTTGATATCCCCTCGCTGTACATAATATAGACGACCTTCATTGCTACTCCCACGTCAAAAATCATCATACCCATAGGACTTACGCACGCCCGTTTATCAAATGTCGGCCGAGGCAAAAAGTACAGGGCTACATCTCCAGTCAATCGAAAAGATATTTAACCGGAGGGGCACCCGTTCTATAAATGAAACTTTGGCTAGAAGCGTTTCTTCGAGGCCACAGCACGACAAACTGCGTGTGCTTTCACTCTAGGTGAATACCTATCTTCTAAGGTGGGGATACTTGCTATTGATTGCCCCTTTGAGAACCCGTGATCATCCTATGGATTTATTCACGTGATATTATGTTTAGAATCCCGTGATATTATTATGTGATTTTGTGCGTTTGTCGCCGCGACATGGATTGGCTCTGTCTGGCTGTACAAGGCTTTGGTGGGTATAAATACGGCATAAGGCAGTATAACATCGAAGCCATCATGGCAGCCATTCCCTACTCTGTGTTCATACTTCTCTGTAACGCTGCTCTGCATCTTCCATGCAACAGCATAGAACAACACAGCCTACCGATCCTGCAGCTCCATCTCCTCTCTCTTCCTCATAACTCGCATCATCGCCCCTTTCATAGAGTACCATAACTTGCGGTCCCTCCCTCCTCAAATCCCGTGATCTAATCTGATCTATCCCCCCTACGGTCCCACAACTCCCACCAACCCCCCACCACCCCACCGCGCATCTGCACCTCTCCATCCCCATCCCCATGCACCCCCACGCCCACCCAATCGGAAGCGCGCGCGCCAGCCTCTCTCGCGGACCGGGCGAGACATGAGGCGGCGGCTACCCTGAGAGGGACGACGAGTTACCCTGAATGGGATGGGACCCTATGGGTGGGGGGATGCTCGGGTCACCTACGTTCAGGTGAGGAGGGTGGGTTGGTGGGGTGGATGGGATGGATTGGGGTGCGGCGTACGGTGGATGGTGCGGTGTAGTGGAGATGGAGGTGCGTGCGATGGATGGGGTGCTGGGTGGTGCTGGGTGGTGCAGTAGTGAGGTTACGTGAGGTTACATGCTAGGATGGGAGGGAGTGGGAGCGGGAGTGGGTGAGATGGGGTTGGGGGCTGGGGTTTGTTGGTGTGGTGGTACGGCTTATGAGGGTGTAACAGGCGGCCGTGGGAATTGGGGATTGGAGTTTGGGAATTGAGCAGGTGATGTGATGGGCGGTGTGGCCTGGAGCGTGATTATGAGTGTGAGTGTGACTGTGAGTATGAGCGTCATTATGAGTGCGAGTATGAGTGTGAGTGTGAGTATGAGTGTGAGTGTGAGTATGAGTGTTGGTCAGGGGAGAGGGAAGGAGCGTAGGATGGGAGGGCGGAGAAGTTGGCAAGAGCGTGAGATAGAGATGCAGGAGAAGAGGAAGGGAGGGAAAGAAGGAAGGAAGGACATATACTCGAGTATACTATTATACTCTCAGTTATCGTAGTTGTCGTAGTTGTCGTAGTTGTCGTAGTTATCGTAATTGTCGTAGTTGTAGTTGCGGTGAGAAGGGAAGGAGCAAGACACAATGGGACTCGGACATCTATGAGTGAGTCACGAGTACTGCAAAAAAGCGAGCATGTAGAAGTGTGCAGAGTGTGCAGTACAGAGTGCAGTTCGGAGTCAGAGATGAGTGAGCGCGTATTCTCTAATATACAAGAGAATATGTAAGCAAATGCGTGGTCTGTACAAAGCGTGTGTATACTCATAAATGCACAGTAAGCCGGTGAGATAACCCGTGAAAACTCGATGACCCTAATCTTTCCTCCTTCCTCTTCTGCTCACCACCAACCCGCCTCCCCCCTTCTCGTTCTCTCGCCGGCGACAAGCCTCGACCGAGCTCGCTAGGATAAAGGTGGCAGGATAAAGGTGGTAGGATAAAGGTGCTAGGAAAAACATGCTAGGGCGGGTGTGCTAGGGTGGTGGTTAGGGGATGGGGTGATGGGGTTGTGGGTGATGGGATGGGAAGGGATGCTGTGGGATGCTGCCTCTCCCTCAGTACCCAGTACAAGCTGGAACCCTAAGATAACGGACGAACAGGGCTCACAGCTACCACTGTCCCACCCCAGACCCTGTACGTCCCTCGTGTCCAGAACGTAGGTAACACCCCGCACCCATCTTTCCCAGACTTTCCCAGACATGTTATTCGACATTTCACTATCCCTAGACATCACTCCTCCGCCGTCTCCCCCGTAGAGCAACTAGCAGCAGCCTTCGAGTCTGTCCATGATGTATGTGATGGAGCCGTGATGGAGATGTGATATGCATACTATGCATTATACTGTGCATACTTGGAATTATGCTGCACAGCTGACAGGGTCCATAGCGTCCGTCAGCACCGCCCAAAATCGTCACCAATCCCCGTTGTCCGTCAGCGAACGCCATGCCCGCTCTTAACGCCCTTAGGGATGATGGATGTGGGAAGTGGCGTAGGTACTAGACAGTACAGTACAATACGAGCATTTTTTTATGGGGATTTTGATATTTTTACTCGAGGTCGTCGTACAGCAGAGGTTGATGGTTGAGAGATATTCACATCTACAGCACAAATATACTGCCTAGCTGGGCGCTACAGAGAGTTGTCTTGTCTAGCATCGATATATGCACAGTATCTAGTACAGACACATTACAGACACAGTATACGCACATGTACTCATCTCCACGAGTACAACTACAACTACAAACCTCACAACGCCATCTCTACCACCTGCTCCGTATCCTCTAGCCTTTCTCGCCGAGTGACTCAGGCCCGTTGCCTTGCACAACCCACCACCACCCTACCGAGCGAACTAGCACCAATCTGCAAAATTTCCTGCCGCCTCCTCCCGCAGATCGCCATAGCTTGGCTCCACCGCGGTGCTGACTCGACAAAAAGCTAAAAGGCTCCCTTCTCGACTTTCCCTAGAGACAGATATATAGTATATTTCGTGCGCGCCGAGCAAAGGGGGACTTGACCGAGTAGACTGAAATTAACGGACGGACTCGGCGTGATGCGGTAACAGCGTCCTTCGTGTAGAACCGCCGACAGCCTGTGATAATTCACTCATTTGGAGCTCGGATTCCCCCCACCACAGGACCCTGTGAACCAAAAGAACAGGACGTCCTTCAATCCCACCACACAGCTCGCCATGTCGAACAACACAATCTCCGTCTCTCTCGCCGCGGGCGCCATTGCACTCGCCCTAGTGACCATCTCGTCTGCGGCGTCGCTACGGCTCATTGCACCCCGGTGGCACAGCAGGAAGGATGGCCAGCTGCAGCGCATCTACGAGGATGCCGACGGCGTGGCCACGGCGGAAACCACAGCCGCCTACTCGACGACGGGGCCCAAAATCGCCATTTGCCTACTGGCTCTTCTCGGCCTAGGCGTATCCGTGGCTATCGCTGTGCTCAGCACTCTAGACAGCAACGAGGGCTTCTTCCTTGAGAACTGGTTCAATGCCACTGGATGGGTAACTTGGGATTGTCAATTAATCTATGAATAACTAGCTAACAGCAATGACAGGTGCTTATTTCCCTCCAGGCTCTCGCCGTAGTCTATGCGAGAGCCCCAGTTATGACCTATGACCTGGGCATCTACGGCTCCATCTCTGCCTGGTTCCTCCTCGGCGGCCAGTGTGCCCAATCCATCATCCTCGCCCAGGTGCGCAGCGACATTGGCCCCCTCCCCACCTTCATCCTGCGCGTAGCCCAGCTCATCCTCACCACCGCCGTCGCCTTCGCCAACCTCACCATCCCGCGCCGCCCCGGCGTCTTCATCGACGGTAGTCGCCCCATCGACGCCATGAACACCAACTCAGCGCTGAGCAAGTACTCCTTCGAGTGGTGCAACGCTGTGCTCCGTTTCGCCGCCAAGAAGGGCACGCTGAACATGTCCGACCTCCCGCGCCCCAACGCCGACACCCGCTCCGCCGACCTGGCAGCGTCGTGGACCCGCGCCAACTTACCGGGCAGCCTCATGCTGCGCATCTTCCTGACGCACAAGTGGGCCTTCGCGGGCCAGTGGGCACTGGCGTTTGTCCAGGCTTTTGGCAACTTCGCGCCGCAGTTCGTGCTGCTACAGATCCTGCGCGTGCTCGAGCGCCGCGGTAGCGGCGAGCCCATCACCTCCGAGGCGTTCGTGTGGGTCGCGGCGCTGGGGGTGATGACGGTTGCGTCGTCGTGGGTGGAGGGGTGGCTGCTCTGGCTATCGCAGGCAGATTTGTCGATCCCGATCCGAGCCGAGCTGTCGGCGCTTGTGTTTGAGAAGTCGATGCGGAGGAAGGATGTGAAGAGCGTGGCGAAGACGGCGGAGGGGGAGGTGGATGAGGAGAATGTCGAGGCCGGGGCGATGAAGGCGGAGATTGATGATGAGGATATGGGGCAGAAGTCGAGGCAGGCGATTGTGAATCTCATCGGTGTCGATGCGAAGCGCGTTGCGGACTTTGCAGCGTTTAATTTCTTCTTTCCTGGCAGCTTCTTCAAGCTGGTGATCTCGTTTGCATTCCTGATTCAGTTGATTGGGTGGCGCAGTCTGCTCGCGGGGCTGATGACTATGGTTATCATCCTTCCCGCCAACATTATATTCAGCAAGCGCTACAGTGCTGCGCAGGACCGTCTGATGAAGGCGCGCGACGCCAAGCTGGCCGTTGTCAACGAGGCCCTACAGGGCATGAAACAGATCAAATGGACAGCCACAGAAAACCAGTGGGGAGCTAAGATCAGGAAGGTTCGTGACCGGGAGTTGCGCGATCTCTGGTCCTCGCTACTCAACGACACTGGCCTGATCCTCTGCTGGATTGCCTCGCCCATCATGCTTTCCGCGGCCTCGCTCGCGACCTACGCAGTCCTAGAGGGAGGTCTAAGCCCATCCGTCGCCTTCACCAGCATCGGCGTCTTCAAGCAGCTCGAGCTGACACTATCTATCATCCCTGAGTTAACCACCGACCTGATCGACGCCTTCGTCTCCGTTACTCGCATCGAGGAGTACCTATCCGCGCCCGAAATCGCCTCTGACCGCAAGGTTTCAGACACAATCTCCTTCGAACACGCCTCCGTCGCCTGGCCCTGCGACGACGACACCGACGAGGCGGACAAGTACGTCCTCCGCGATATTGATATCGCCTTCCCCAAAGGTGAACTGAGCATCATCTCTGGAAAAACCGGGTCGGGCAAGACGCTCCTCCTCAGCGCCATTCTCGGAGAAACCGACCTCCTCGCCGGAAGTGTGCATGTTCCTCTATCTCCTCCGCTTTCCTCCCGTAATGACGCCGCCGCTACGCGCGATAACTGGATTATTCCATCGTCTATCGCCTATGTGGCACAAATCCCATGGATCGAGAATGCAACTGTCAAGGAGAACATCCTCTTTGGTCTCCCGCTTGATGAGGAGCGATACGCCAAGACTATCGATGTGTGCGCCCTCCGCGCTGACCTGGCTATCATGCCTGATGGCGAGGATACGGAAATTGGGGCCCAGGGTATCAATCTGAGCGGCGGACAGCGCTGGAGGTTGACATTTGCACGAGCGTTATATTCGCGTGCCGGTATACTGTTATTGGATGACCTATTCAGTGCGCTGGATGCGCATGTGGGCAGGCATATTTTTGAAGAAGCCCTGACGGGAGAGCTGGGCGCGGGGCGCACGCGCATCCTGGTTACCCATCATGTGGCGCTCTGTAGACCCAGGGCGAAGTACCTGGTTGAGCTTGGGGAGGGGACGGTGGAGCACGCGGGGTTGGTGGCGGAGTTGGAGAGGGAGGGTGTGATGGGGGAGATTGTCAGCCACAATGAGACGAGGGAGGAGGTTGAGGCTGATGAGGCGTCGACGGCCGTGGCATCCGACTCATCGGATGTGGATACGAGTGGGGAGCTCCTGACGAGAGTCGATACCAAGGCGTCGGCGAAGAAGTTTGTGGAGGAAGAGGGCCGCGAGACGGGTGCGATCAAGAAGGTCATCTACCTCGGATACCTGAAGTCAAGCGGCGGTGTGCCATTCTGGAGCGTGGCAGCCGTCATCTTCTCTATCCTCGAGATCACGACGCTTGGCCGCTCGTGGATCCTCAAACTCTGGACTGGTAGCGACGAGGAGCACACCGCGCACGCGATGTTCACCTATGCTTTCCAGGCTCCGGTGGTCAAGGGCGGCAACGAGGAGTTCCACGATAATCTTGTTTATTACCTCGCGCTTTACGTGTCGGTGTCGCTGTTATCGTGCTTCCTGGGTGTCTTCAAGCACTATTACATCTTCTTGGGCAGCATTCGCGCGTCTAAGCAGCTGTTTGAGGATATCACATACACGGTTCTGAGAACGCCGCTACGGTGGATCGATACCGTGCCCATTGGACGTGTGTTGAATCGCTTCACGGCTGATTTCGTCATCGTCGATGCGCGTCTAGCGTATGATTTGAGTTTCGGAATTATGGATGTCTTCTCTGTGATTGGTATTGTCATTGCTGGGTATGCCTCTCACCTCTCCCCCCTTTTTCTAACGACTGTCTAACAAAACTAGTCTCTTCGTATCCTCCTACATCTTCGTCCTCGCCTTCGTCCTTGCAGCCATCTGCCTCCACTTCGCCATGCGCTACCTAGCCGGCGCGCGCGAAGTGAAGCGTCTCGAGAGCAATGCCAAATCCCCAATCTTCGAGACCTTCAACGCCGCCCTCGCGGGCGTCGCTACGATCCGCGGCTTCGACAAGGCAGACGTATACGTCAAGCGCATGTACGACCTGATTGACAGCCACTCGACGACAACTTGGCACCTGTGGCTCTTCAACCGCTGGATGGGACTCCGTATGGCATCCGTCGGCGCGCTCTTCTGCGTCGCGGTCTCCACCACCATCCTGCTCATCCCATCCATTTCCGCCTCCCTCGGCGGCTTCGCGCTAGCGTTCAGCCTCGAGTACTCCGCTGCCATCATGTGGGCACTTCGCCACTACGCATCCCTCGAGCTGGACTTCAACTCCGCCGAGCGCGTAATCGAGTACGCCAACCTCCCCACCGAGACGGAGAAGGGCATCGACCCACCCGCCGCATGGCCTTCCTCGGGCCGCCTCGAGGTCTCCGATCTCGTCGTCGGCTACGCACCCGACCTGCCTGCTATCCTAAACGGCCTCTCCTTCTCCATCGCGCCCAACCAGCGCGTCGGCGTCGTGGGCCGCACCGGAGCGGGTAAGTCCTCTCTCACTCTCGCGCTGTTCCGCTTTCTCGACCCGCGCTCGGGGAAAATCGTCATCGACGGCCTCGACATCTCGACAGTGAAGCTACAAGCCCTCCGCAGCCGCCTCGCCATCATCCCGCAGGACCCTGTTCTGTTTTCCGGGACCGTGAGGAGTAATCTCGATCCCTTCGACGAGTACGAGGATGCCGAGCTTCGCGACGCACTTCAGCGCGTCCATCTCGTCTCCGCGCCTACCTCGCGCGCTGACTCACCGTCCCCGCCGGGCTCTAGCAGCGCCAGCGCCTCACAGGGCCAAACCAACACGAACCCCTTCGCCTCGCTCTCCTCCCCCATCTCCGAATCCGGCCTCAACCTCTCCCAGGGGCAACGGCAGCTCCTCTGTCTCGCGCGCGCGATCGTGGCGAGGCCCAAGATCCTGGTCCTGGATGAGGCGACGAGCGCGGTGGATATGGGCACGGATGCGCTGATCCAGCGCAGTATTAGGGAGGAGTTTCGCGATACGACGTTGGTGGTTATTGCGCATCGGTTGAGTACGATTGCGGATTTTGATAGGATTCTGGTGATGGATAAGGGGGTGGGGGTGGAGTTTGGGGGCCCGAGGGAGTTGATGGAGCAAGGGGGGGTGTTTGCGGGGTTGGTGAGGGGGAGTGGGGAGGGGGAGGCGCTGGAGGGGGTTATTATGGGGGAGGGGGGGAAGAAGGAGTAAGTAAGTAACGAGAGAAGAAAACCTGTTTATACATGTTTATACATGGGGTTCGGAGGAGACATGGTCACTTAGTTTCCGCGTGGAAAATTGGGAAGGCGAGTCTCAAACCCGGATAAAGAGAAAGGAAGGAAGGAAAAGCAGGAAGAAGCGTGTTTAAATCATGTCAGCTATTATTTTTTGCATTTTGTTTTGTTTTTTGTTTTTTCACCCCCTTTCTTGCGTTTGGTTTTATAAAGAACTGGCTGCGGGACGGACGGGTTGGGAAAACGGCGCATAGCTAGGTTTTTGAGGGTTCATAATTATTATGGGTAGTTTTTGAAGAGAGGAATGAATACATATTGTGTGCTATGAATATTCCTATTCTAGATTTGGGGGTGGTTCGCTAATCAAGACATCCGCGCGGAGCACTAAGTAAATGGCGAGCTAGACCACTCAGTTACTGAACAACCATGACAAACACTCACCAGCCCATCCTCATAGAGCCCCAATTAGCACATCGAGCGATATTAAAGTCCAGGAGTCACAGTAGGTGTTGCCTCTCCCGTTACGTAACGGGTCCCCTGACAAGCCGTTGGGGACGACAACGCTAGCGATCATATATTTCCCATCTAGCCCACAGTCCGGGGTTCCTAACCGCCAGACCAGCGTAACACAAACCGGTATGCGCCCGCGACACTCACTACATCCATGGACGAGCAGGAAGAATTGCTCTCCCTCGATCTCGAAGACGACGACTACCTCTACCGCATCCGGCGCGGCCACCGCATCGTCTATGTCTCAGTGCTCCACGCTGACATTGTCCCTCCAGAGCACCGCACAGAGGGGTCTAGGATCCTGTCTCACCTGAGGCTACTCCCTGGATGGGACGGGGAATGGCGCACGCTTACGGCTCGAAAGAGAGGTGGAGGTGTGGAGTGCACCGTTAATGAGTCTGAGGCGCATAAGCTGGATGGTGGCGCCGTCTCCGCCTGCGCTGGCCCCGCATACAATATCCTGGAGCATGAGCGATGTGGGCGGATCATCGTGAGCATGGCGAGGGTGCTTGTGGGCGGGACGGTGTGCGTGGTTAAGATTGCAAGATTCAGGCATGAGCTTGAGGCTCTGCAGAGGGAAGTTCGAGTATACGGTGCTTTGAGGGATCGTAAGTTTGGTCTTTGCCTTGGATTCATTGGGTATGTTTATGAAGAAGAGAAGAGCCGGGTTGTGGGCTTTCTGATGGAAGAGCTGTATGGACGGCATCCTGATATTGGGGACCTGGGCGCTTGTGAGGATACGGTCGAGCAACTGCATGGGGTAGGCGTTGTTCATGGCGATCTGAATAAATACAATATCATCATCTCGGGGAATGAAGCAAAGTTGATTGATTTTGAAGTATCAACGTTTCTGGAAGGCGGACATCACGAAAAGGCAAAAGACGAATTGCGGCAACTGGCCCACCAGTTATTGGACACGTCAGAAGTAGGATTGAGATAGATACAGTAATTTAGCCCCTCTCTCTTACAAAATCATCGCTCTACACCAAACACTCACGGCAGGATCGAAAGCCCAATCTGCTCCTCATTGCTGTAACCTGCCTTGAAACCATGCTCGGTTCAAGCGCGCCGGATATCTATCTCGAAAACATACGCGCTGCGTTAATGGTAAAGCAGCGAACAGAACCCTGACTCAAAGAGAAGTTACAAGGCTTCTATCCACCACAAGCTATGCAAGTTGATGAACATATCATGGGATGGCAGATGTTGCCGCTGCTCTAGGTGCGGAGGGCTTGTGCTGTGAACTTGTAGTGCACAACATGACACGATATCTTGTACTTGGGAAGTTTCTTCCACCATAAAATATGTTCAATCTCCTACTAACTATAAAATGAGTAAACGACAGGATCAGCAATATTGCTATATAATATCTTCCAGAATAAATCGGTTCCCTTCAAGCTGCGTGCACGCAAGACTTGATGACTGCCTTCTTGCATCTATAGAGAGCAGATAATTGTCTATTCCACTTCACATCATCCAGCGGAAACTCAATCTCTCCCTTTAAAGCAAAAGCAATTTATGGTGCCTTGAAGGTGGAGCCGATTGGGCCGACCTTGATGTTGGAGTAGGTGACAGACGCGCCTGGTGAAGCGGACTCAACATCTTTAGGGACACCTGAAGAAGTTGCACAAGAACCACGGACAGAGCCCAGCTTGGTCGAGTCGGTAGGATAGGTGGAGTCAAGCCAGAGCATATTGGCATAGTGGTCGTCCCAGAGTGACATAACGAGCACCATTCCTCCGCTAAGAGCCTTGCTCATAGAAGCCATTCCGCCGTGAGTCTTGAAGCTGTAGTTATCACCGAAGGCTGCCTTTTGCGCGTCGCAGAACGCAGTAGTGATAGAGTTGCCGGTAACACCCGCAATTTTAGATTGGGAGTTCGGAATGACCTTTCCACCTTGGACGTAGAACCGCTTGATCTCTGTGAGCGGGTTCCCAATAAATTGAGTCACCACTGTGAACACCTTGCTGGTGTCAACAGTCTTGCCCTTGCCGTAGAATGATGTATCGCCTTGGCGGTATGAATTGAAGTCGCATCCGTCAGGATCGCAAGTCCCAGCATAACGGTTGGATGAGTAGGTACCACCACAGGCGTCACCTTGACACATTGTTTGGGTGATAGTATCGCAAGAATGCGGCGTGTACGCCGTAGCCATGGAGTTGGCCTCCCAGATATCCATCTCTGCGCAGCAAGAGCCGTGCCCTCCAACACCAGCGTTTGCGTCATTAGAGGATGGCTTCCACCCTTCGACGTTGCCCTAAAACATAGATAAGTTGGTGTTTGATCACAGGTTGTGAATCGGTACTTACCTGTCCATTGATGAACTTGAGATCGCGTGGGCATTGAGCATCGCAGTACCCAGTTCCGTACTTAGCACCGGCCTTGTTGTTGGGATACTTGCTCATTCCTCCGTCCTTATCCATAGAAACAAAGTAGAGGGCACCGTTTAGGCCACAAGGGAGCTGGGAAAGATCCACATCAAAGGTAAACTCCTGATTAAGGAGGTTGAACATTTGATAGTTGGAGTCATCCGCCATCAGGTACGTTCGCGAGCCAATGTTGGTAGCATATGGGCCTGGCGTAACGAATGTCAACTTGTTTGAGTTGCCGCTCACGTTGATGCCATAAGTGCCTGGGTAGTCGCCGCCCTCAAGGGCACAGTTCTTCGCGCAAGTTGCATCGTCTGGGCAAAGAGTAGCATCCCACGTGTTGCCAGTGTAGCAGTTGGTGTAGTCACCGACTTTGTGAACCCATCTCCAATTAGAATCGAGTACAACCTTTCCTGACTGGGATGCACAGCTAGTTCCTCCGGTGCCAGTGCATTTCGACCATGTCATAGAAGGGTGTGTTTCAGTCTGCTGGGTGCCAACTTGCTGCGCACTTGCAGTGGCAATAAGAGAGAGGAGAATAGCTTTGGAATGCATCATGAATGATAAGTTTGAGACGTTTAAGTTTCTTATCTTAGACGAAAGGTTTGCCTACGGGAGGAGGGGCATTTTATACATGATGCTATTGCTTTAGGAACAAGAGGATCTACGAAAGAGCGTTCCAAAAAGTGTCATTTGGAAACGGCTCTTGGTTTCCGCCCCGGATAAGTTTAATAAAGCTATCGGCTCGACGGAGGCGACGGATCGATAAAATGCTATATTCGAGGCCCGTTATGGCTTTGGACGCTGGAATTAAAGTAGGGCGCATAATAATGAGAAATACGCTTTGTAGTATCAAAGACGGCTTATTAGCACAGCTGGTTGTATGTCTTGTAAGTAATAGTGACAAGACCATCAACTCTTATCCACGGCTATTTGTGTATGCCATATTAGAGAGGAGCAGGTGACTGACAGTCTCCATCTGACTATTCTCTACCAGGCAGGGGAGATCTCTAAATTGTGGAAGAACCCCTCTGCCATTTCTAAATGGCCCGATCTGCACGGAACACAGGCTCTGATTACCGGATAACAGGATGTTTAGGTAACTTCACTGTGACTGAGACAATGGAGGAATTATGGGCTGACCGTGCTTCTTAGGATTCAAAGAGCTAGAACAGCATGATAAACTTTGTAACGAGGCTTGTAGGGAAGTCTCAAGAGTCTTGCTGTGTTGAAACAGTCTATTAGGCCCCTTTATGCTCCTACTTATGGGCAAGGCTCCATGATTCGCGGATGCATCCTGTCAGGCAAGCATAATTTCAGCCCATATGTAACTTAGACAGCCCAATCCCACTCAAACAGACCCTGAAATTGAACGAACGTAGAGACGGGAGGAAATCCCGAGGACTGCATGTCACGGAGAGGTTCTTCCGCATGTCTTGCTTCGAATTTGCTAAATTTCCTGTCTAATCCGTCATAGAGATACATGACGACGGTAAATTTCTCACGTGTCTTGGTTCTAGGTCTACAGAGTTTCTAAGTATGTATTTTGTCGCTCGACGTTAGACACAACGCCCTGCTATTTGCTGATGATTAAGGCTTGACATTCACACTATCAATTTGCCAAACTTGGGGTAAATGGGTCAAGCCACCCTCGCCATGGGGTGAGGTATTGACGACTCTGGCGTTGTGGTGGTACTGTTTCACAAGAGTACATCGCAAGAGCTACACTAGCGGACCATGAATCTCGGCACTTCGTACTGCATGTTGTATGTGTCTGCACAATATCACATACTCGGAAATAAGGTAATGGAAGTAGACGCTCGACAAATACGACTAAGTTGCTACCACATGTGTAAACATCAATGGCAGGCATGACACCAGCCGGTCTAGACCTTTATATGCGGAGAAAGGAGTTCGGGAGTTGAGAAGACGAGTTCGTGTCTCGTCAGCTGCCTCGATGGTCGTTGCTAATATATAGTAGCAATATATTCCCACTATATAAATGAAGCGCTTTGAGAAGGCCGGCGGGGGCGACCGGGAGAGGGGGGTTAGTGTCGGTAGCTCTTCCGTATCTAATGCTTCGATATACATTTACCTGGTCGCCTGAGAGGGTAGCCTTCACTCTAGAGCAACCCCCGCTTCCTGGTAATATGTTTAGTGGGGATAACGTGGCACGAGACGGACGCTAGTAATAGCTTGAATCTGCGGGGACCCCGCAAACGCTTATTATGTGGGGTGGCCTAGTTAGATTGTACAAAGCTGGGCGCCCGGAGCTTGCCATCTATCTACTAACTATCCGGTACTTCTGGGCCTAATTAACTCGGGAATATTGAACGATGCAGATGTATGTATTTAGTCTGATTTGGGCCTTTTCAGCCGGGTCGCCATTGGTACTCAAGGATAATCTCATTTTTCCGTATGGTAGCACGACTCAAATCTCGCACCTATCAGATTCCTGTCGCGCAAATTAACTACCATTGAGCGGGCGGGCCAATCACACGTCGGATTGTGTTGAGCGCTGGGGCCACTACACCGCGAGTCTCGTCAACCGTCTGTCTGGGAGAGGATTATACTCTCGGCAGATAGCTATTCTAGGGTGTGGTACAGCGACTATGTGTATTAGGCCGACAACGATGTTTGTTATGGTCAGTAGTAGATATAGAACGGGAAAACAACTCCCTACCATATGATGATAGCTACCGGAAGTTTGATAATTAGAGTTCATCAGTTTGAATCTGGTCTTATAAAAATTAGTCACTCCTTTATACTAACAGATTCTATGGGGCAGGTGACGACGGCTTTACGAGTGGGCTCTTTATATAAAAAAGGCCACCATAAAAGATGTATGCTTAGGCAGCTGCGTTTGTTTTAATGCTGATGGCGACTGGCATACACTTGGCGACCGAACTACTCAGCCGGGGGTCTTAGCCGTCAAGTATGGTCCACCCCTGATGACCAGATGAGCAGTGGTTAAACTCCCGAGTTCCTGCTATGGAGTCCCAAGAATTCTGCTTCTATTTCCTCGCGCCACGAAGGTGGCACTCTCTTACACCACTTGATGAGGTGTTCTGCAGTCTTAAAAACAGAGACATTCCCTGAGTACCACAAGCATCGAACTCGGGTTATATGCTAGGCCACAGCCAAGGTAAGTTCGTAGCTCGCAGTGACTTTAACACCGAACAGGGTTAGGGTGTAGAGTCTCCCTCCCATCAACCTTCAAACTCGTCGTCAGGAGCATGACTCCCCCCCACTCGTCGCCAAAGCATACTCCCTGGTCTGACTAACCCCGTCGCCTACACCACAACCTCAGTATCATAGCACCCATACCTCCTCTCTCCCTCAGCGCCATCTCTCCCCGTAAACATAACTTCTCTACCTCTACCCCTGCCCTGTCCCCAGCCCACCCTGGCATCTCATCAAGCGCCTCAACTGAGTTTTCCTCTCACGTCGCCGTCAAGTTAACGCGCGGAGCAAACTGTTCCAGTAAACCACGTGTTGATACCGGAGGGGAGCTCGGCCCAAAATGGGTCGGTTATGCTGCTCATATCAATGAGGGTGTTTTCGGATTTCGTCTCGACTGATGGATATACACCTGTGGCGCCAGCAATATCGTCAATGGATACCAAGTCAACGCTCAAGGACTAGAGTCGCGGCTGAACCGCCGCATCAACCGTTGATGTCAGGATGGCTCGCAGTATCACAGGATCGAAGCCGTCTTCGCCGTCGGTTTCTCCACTGGAGGGGAAGGCCACTGGAGTCCGTGATGTGAGTGAAAGGGACAGGGAACGTGGGCCGCTTAATCATCTGGGACGAAAGAATTAGTTGCTGTACCGGGGACACAGCAGCACCCAGGAAATGCAGAGCCAGCGCAAACAGAAGCAGCAACGACCTATATCTATTCCAACCCTCCCTTAACAGCGAATCCCCTAGAATCCCCAGATCTGTCCACCCTCGGTCCGCCAACGCCATGTTTTGCCTGAGCGTCAGTCTGCTGCCACGTCGCCGCCGCTAGATATACACCACGACAGCCTGCGATCACACCGCCGAAGTCAAGGGGATTGTAAGCACTGACATCAGCGACTAGAAAATCCTTGCCACTCTGAGATAGCGCTGGCTCCGGGCGATGAAGGCGTCAAGATACTCAGGGACAGTATAGTGATGCCCGGCTGGTGCAGGATGTAGTCCAGCTCATCGAAGTCATCGGCGGCTGATACCGCCGATGGGGCGGAGAGTCAAGATGCAGATGATTACCCAGGTGTAGAGGGCTGCGGCGACCGTAGAGCAGGGTTGGGATGACGATATAGATGGAGTGGTGGAGGGGGATGGAAGGGGGGCCGGGGTGGGTTTTCCGATGCTAGCGGCGCTTTGGTGGGAGGAGCCGTCGTCTACTGAATGCCGCTTGGGGCCAGGCGTATCGGCGTCTGAGCTGGCATCCATCGTCCCACAACTCTTTCCTCGCTGCCCATCTTGCAGTCGAGTTATCAAAGAAAAGCGATCACCCTGCATCTTGCCTGTCAATTCTCACGCCTTTGCTCCTGAAGCAATATGAACTTCAAAGCGCATCAGTGAGACTAGTCCATATATATTTCTTTCAAGAAGGGGGAGTTACTCGCAGATTATATACTGTGGATGTAGCTAAATATAAAACATAGCCTTACAGCCTTGCTGCTGTGCTCTCTCTATTTCGGCACAGCGGCGATGATCGCAGTCAGCCTCATATCCTATGTGTAAATCAAGACTTCTTTTGGCAGCTGTGAGGTAGAGGGGTAACATGAGTTAGCGCCGGGAATGAGGTTATGCTACTTGAGAAGTCAGGGATCACTCGGGCACAGAAATTTGCTTCTTGCAACCATATCTGTGCTGAGGAATGCTAAGTTTACGGGCCATTTCTCATTTCTCTACTTAAATCTAACATACATTTTTCTAGAGACTATAAGGATGGTAAGTGAGGTAGGTCACTCATATAACATCATCACTGGGCTAGCTAGTTTAGTCGGGGCGGGGGGATTAATGTATGTCGCATAAAAGACGTCGAATGACACAATGCCCCCTGGTCACACAACAAGGCTGAAATTTTAATTTTCGGCACTGTTGTGAGGTTTAGAAACCAAGATCAAGGTGTTATAGGGCTTGAAAGGCACAAACATCTCTGGTGGTACTGTAGGTCGAGGGGTTCTATTACACTTTGGATTGACACCCTGCGCAATCAAGCACGACAGCGACGACGTGATCGTAAAATTCAGAGTAGCCGGGGTTTGGACTGTTGAGTGGTCACAGAGCATGCCCGAAACAAAAAATACTGGAATTTTCAATGCATTTACAAATTTAGATTCAATTGAATTCAAAGTACCAATGATTTGTCTCGTAAGGTGGAAAGCAGATTCTGTACAGATTCGATGAACGGGAACTCCTGACTGTGTGTTGTCGCTGAGGGACCAAAAGGCTTGTTACGGACAAGCTTCGAGGCGCATGCTAGGCACCAACCACCCTGCGCCGCACAATATACCCGGATCCATCCTTGTAAACTGAAGCGCTCGGCCCTATAACCACCTTAAACCCCTCTTCCATTCGGAGTATATAATGGGGTTTTCGTCATACCCCCAAATCTTCAATTATCCAAACCCCGCCCCCCCCCCCCAAGTGCGAACAAATATCAATCCTCCCCAGAGCTGTCCAAGATGTCCTCCTCACAGACACCATCTCCGCCATCCCATAACGCAACCCCTTTAGAGGTCCGCGACTATTTTGCCGGGGTTCTCTTTAATTTCCACGACGTCTCACTGGAACAGGCATACGAGATAGCGGCGAAATGGGAGTATGGTCGCGGCTCGGAACTCACATACTATGATGTTGCTACTTTTCGCTCGATATTCGGTGCTGAAGCTGGGACCTTGCTCTATGGTTATGCAAGGAAGGAGCTGAGAACGTCACGGACTGGCCCTAGCGGTAACTTGGGCAACAGAGGGATTCTAGAGAAACCTCAGAAGGATATCTTCGGGGCAACGCCTGGCTGTAAGTTCAGAGCCATGCGCTGTTTTTGTTTTATTATTTGTTTACTCCTCTACACGTCGTTTGCGCTCTAATATACTTGAGAACTTTTTGGAAGTAACTAATATATGTGTGGTAAAGTGTCAATTGTGTATGGATTGTTCGTTTTGAGCATTCTTTCTCTCTTTCAGACATTGATAGAGTATAGGAGGGAGAAAATGGATGGGGTGTTAGCTTTTGGTTCAATATGTTTTTTTCTATTTGCAGGGTTTATAGTTTCTTACGTTACGTATTATTTTGGTCCCGAACCTCAGAGGCGTGGGCCATAGAGGTTTAGGTCGAGTATAACGCTTTAAACCGGAGCATCAGTAGCAAACAAGAACAGAAATAGGGCAGTTGTGGGAGGAGTATCTATGTTTAATATTCTTTGCCGCATCCCCACCAAATGTGTATTGAGCCGCCATCTTCCTTCTGGTTGTCCGACTCGGAATCGCAGATTACTGTCCATTCCGGCCGCAAAATACCTAGAGAGGAAAATTAAACGCAAGGAAATCGAAAGATCAGCGGAGGCAGGTCAACTGGTCACCTAGCTAATGCTAAAGTGCTCAGCCAGTATTATCCATCATAAGACCTATATCTGCGAAATATGAATTTATGGATATTGATACGCATCTTACTAATTATGCAGAATCGGAATGTCTATATGCTAGTTGCCACGTATCTCTCAAGCGCCGTTCATATTCCAGGGCTATTTTTAAGAATGTCCATTGCATTGAGGAACCACATTCAAACTGTGTGACCAAGGAACGAAAGAGTAGAGATGATATGAAATGATGCAAGATGCGAAGGGCGACATTTTAAATTGTGCGAGCAAGAGGTGTTAAACAAGTAGATAAGTAGTTATGAATATCGTTGTCAATTGCGATTTAAACTGCAGTTTTAGTTGCCGTGCGGATGAACTACAAGGTTGATGATGTTGTGAGGCGTATAGTTGCCGATAACGATATGATAATTGGAGGCCATTAGGTTTGTGATAGACGGTGCCATAAATTCTGTCATCTAGTCTGACTTTCTATTTAATCTCCATCGACCTATAACCTACCACTTTTACTACTCTACAACCCCTATTCAATTGCGGCTCCTATACCCGACACCCTCACGGTAAGATCGAGAGCTTAGCCTGCACCTCATTGCTGTATCCTGCCTTAAGGCCGAGCTCGGTCCAGGCGCGCTGGATATCGATCTCGAGGACGTTCGGGCTGTGCGCGCTAATGCTGACGGCGGCGAATGGGATTACCTGGCCGAGGATGGTGACGAGGATGGTTGATTCGAGAGAGGGTTGGAGAGAGGGGAGGTTGGAAAGGTATACTCCTAGTAGGTATTAGTTTGGGAACTGCTTGCTTCATGGGGTGGTGGGCTGGTAAGAAGGGGTAATGCAGAATGGTGCAGATTTTCTAAAAGTGCAGCATGCATCTAAGGAGGTAAAATAAGAAATATACGTACCCCACACCCCCAGCGCCTTCAGCGACGAGACAATCTCAATTCTCCCAGTTTCTAGGAGCGTCATCTCAGACGACACCACCGCAGCAGCTCCGCTCATCTTCCCTAACAGCCCCAGACTCGCCACCCAAAGCGTGTCGTTCTCCTTGCTCGACGGTCGCACAAACCCGCGCAACGGGAAGGCCGAGAGGATATCGTAGCCACGGACATCAAGGGATGCGTATATGAGGCTCTCGGGGCGGTAGTCGACGACTTGCAACGGCGGCGTGACGAGTCCCGATACGTGCGAGCGGACGACGTAGAGCTGGGCCTCAACGACACCAGGGAAGAGGGAGATATGGAGGAGCTCGCTGACCGGGCGTGAGGTGGTGTTGAAGAGGCCAAGCATGCCGGTTCCCGTGACAGCGGCGCCGTGGTAGGTGGAGATCTTGAGTAAGACCGGGTCTTGGTAGCCTTGATAGGGGTCTCGGGTCTTGCCGAAGGTTGAGGGGCGGAAGATGACGGATTTTCCGGCGGGCGTGGGGCCGGTCATCTGGTTGATGAGGGGCATATTGTGCTCTCCTGGGACGTCGGTGATGTACACGGGTCCGCCAGAGACGCAGCGTGCAGCTGCGTGGAAGGCAGAGTACTCGTGGACGGTCATGAACATGTCGAAGTCGGGAACGACGTTGAGGTGTTGAGTGAGGAGAGCGTTGGAGGCGTTGGTGAAAACGTGCCAGGCGTGGCTGCTCTCGATCTCGGGGAAGAAGTCATCGCTATTGCGCACGAGGATGGGAGGCCGGTTGGATGGGAGCTGCGAGTGGAAGATTATGTTGGGCGTTTGCGACATGCACGAGATGGCTTTCACACTGAAGTGTCGCAGGCCAGCTATCGACCAGGCATCGAGGTAAGCGTGAGTTAGGCTTGCGCGGGCGGAAGCTGAAGTGATAGTGTCAAGCAGATACTGGGAGTCTGTCTTGACGGCATCGATGCCGCAGCCGGTCAGAAAGGTGTAGAAGTCATTGTAGAATTTCCCGACATCGGACGGAGCGACGAGAGTCATTTTCCCGTCCATAGGGAGGTTCGCGGGAAGAGAATCTTCACGCTCAACTTCAACTGTTTTGTAGTTTTGTGCAATCTTCCCGTTAGGAGAGATTCCACCCCAGTAGCCGACCAGGGAATGCCAAACCGCGATGTGCTGTATGTTAGGATGCTTCGAGCGGATATTCGTGATGGTGTGTTTGAGCCCCTTTGGGAAACCGGTGGTGTTCGCCTCGAATTCCAGCCAGGTCTGTTGGAACTGGTTTTCTGATCCGGCCGGGGTCTCGACAGACTGCCAGTTATCATCTATGATAAGGTTGGAAATATTTATATTGTTGGCTGCCAGGGTATCAACGGCGTTATATATCTTCTCTTCGGTGAGGTTCTGGCCAAGGCCGTTCCATGTGCAGTATGTCAACCCATCAAACCAGTTCTCCATCCACTGCGGCTTGACGTCGTCTTTTAGAGCCATTAACTCCTGTTTTTCCTCACTTGTAGCCAGGGACAGATCTTGGACGAGGTCTCGAGCATGGTACATTGCTGCAGCATTGGCGGATTCAAAGTCGTTCCCGAGAGCCACGATAATCCGAGCAATGCCTGCTTTGGGGCCATCGTTTCGTGCCTCCAGTGTTATATTTCCTGCGGCGTCGCTCCTGAAAAGAGCGGATACATCATCTATCCCGCTGACAGCCAAAAATACCAAATGTCTTCCACCTCTCCGCTCTAGGAAGGAACAGACTATGGCCTCCTTGTCAAGCTCAAAACTGGAACCTTGTCGTGGAGCCAACCATGCAGTCCAAGTTCTTATAAGGGCAAACCACCGCACAAAGTCCCCTGACCATGGTTTCCCTATCTTAGTGCTCGTGAAAGTCGATTTCTCTCCTTCGGCTGAAGCGACTGGGGCCTCCACGCTCCACAACTCGGTGCCTGGAGATTGGCTTCTTACCTTCTGGACCTTGAACTCGGAGTTCAAGTCCTCAATGAGCTCTGCAAAATCTTCCACGGCTGCAGTTGGTGAAGCTTGGCCTTTCCACACCACAACGCCGTCACCGATGCCCTGATGCTCCTTAACCCACCTCCATGTCTCTTCTCCAGCCTTTTTAAACTTAATTGTGAAGGTAACGGTGGATGTAGTGTCTAGTGATCCGGTGAAGTATGAATGAAAGCGGCCCTCTACTGATTTTAGTTTGTCCAGAGCGCCTTTCCTTGTCAGAGGGGTCTCCTTCCACGAGTCGCCTGATGAGTACCAAACCGCAACCTCCCAAGCTGCAGAAACACCTCCTTCATCAGTTTCCAGAAGAACAGTGAAGGAGATTTTCCCATTCGAAGTCTCCGTCACCTGACCCACAGGCGGCCAAGACGAAATCAACGCCTTGGTGGCCATACCAGCGAACAGATGTTCCGGCTTCGGATCCTCCTGATCGGGGATGTACTGTGCCTGGAATACCTCCATGATTCCGCTCAGTAAATATAATTATATTGGATTAGAAATGAATGATTTGGGAGGGAGAGGACATAGAAAAGACAAAGGAGCAAATATGTACCTGTTAAGACAGCTTCATGCCGCCGATATGGATTTGCGGCGTGAGATGTTCCGTCTTCTGAGCCTGGTAAGTAGATGCACCATACGGAGCCATATATTCCCGTTTGAGGCTAGGGTCCAAGAATTACGGAGGGCATGTGGGGGTTGACAGTGAATTATCGAATTGTGGAAACCTCGAATTATAACTATACCCCTATTTTCGAGTATGATAATAGTTACTTTACACTTGCCCAGCTGTAGACATAAAAAATGATATTTAAGCCAGTCAATGATATCAATGAGCGTCGAGAAGTAAGGAAGTACCAGCGTTCTGAGGGGTACTTGATATCCACCTACGAAGGGTGCGGGGCACTAATGTACCCCTGTTATCGCGAGTACTTGTTCTCCACTGTTCTCCAAAACCCATCCACCATCACGTGATCTCAAGTTTAATACGCACTTGGTTCCTGTCCTGTCCCGTACTAATATAGCTAATTTTCAACAGCCTCGTCCCTCAGCCTTACAGACCTCCGTCGTTGTCTTGTGAAAGCCTCAATACAGTTAATATGCCAGTTGCGTCGTAGGACTGGCCTCTACACGCTCATTACCAGCCATCATGGCCTCCTCTTCCCTTCTTCGAAGTGCGTCCCAGCACAGACTCTGCCAATGCGCCAGGACGGCTGCTCGGTCGACGAGACCGCATGGCGCGACGGGTCGGCGATATATTGGTATGAAGTACCTTGCGAAGGTTGCCGATGCGGAAAAGGCCTGGGCGGAAAAGGCAAAGGAGATTCGAGCGGGGAATCAAAAGTCTATGCTGAGCATATTAGAAGAGCGAGGGCTGGTCCATCAAACCACGGGGTAAATTCCCCCCCTTAAATCTTTCCATCCGCCACGAAGCTGACTAGAGTCATAGAAACCGGGACACCATCGACAACCTGATGATAGATAAACGCGTTGGGGCATACGTAGGAATTGACCCGACTGCATCCTCCCTCCATGTCGGCCATCTCCTCCCGCTCATGTCCCTCTTCTGGATGTACCTCCACGGATACCACAGCGTGTCCCTTCTCGGCGGCGCCACGGCGAAGATTGGGGACCCAACAGGTCGCCTCACAACTCGCACGAAAGAGCACAGCGCCGTCCGCACGGCAAACATGGTCAATATGCACTACCAGCTGAAGAAGCTCTGGGTCAACGTGGAGGAGTACGGCCGCAAGTTCGGTTACAACTGGGAGTGGGCATGGCATCGGGAACTGGTCAACAACAACACCTGGACAAATAAGCTCACGGTCATTGAGCTTCTACAGATCATTGGCCCTGGCATGCGGTTAGGCACCATGCTTGCGAGAGACACTGTTAAGAACAAGCTCAGCAAGGGTGACGGCATGTCCTATGCCGAGTTCTCATACCCAGTGCTTCAGGCCTGGGATTGGTGGCACATGTACAACACCAAAGACATCCAAATGCAAATCGGCGGTGCGGATCAGTACGGCAACATCGTTGCAGGCCTCAACGCCGTAAAATACATCTCATCAAACCACCCTGACCCCGATGTGCGCCAAGGAAAAGATGCCGACATCGCTCAACCATTTGGCTTCACTGTTCCCCTCCTGACCACGGCCGCGGGCGACAAATTCGGCAAGTCTGCCGGAAACGCCGTCTGGCTCGACAAGGAGCTCACCAGCACCTTCGAGCTGTACGGCTTCTGGATGCGCCAGTCTGACGCCGACATGCCGCGCTACCTCCGCTACTTCACCTTCCTTCCCTCACCCGAGATCGACGCGCTGGTTGAGGAGCACAAGCAGGCGCCACACGAACGCAAGGCGCAGCATGTGCTCGCGCGGAACTTTGTCGAGCTTATCCACGGGCCTGCAGAGGCCAAGGCTGCGGAGGCGAATCACCGCCTGTTATTCGGGAAGCCCTCGTTATCAAGTCTGATGGAGACACCCAAGGATAACACCACAGCGGAATCGGAGAAGAAGGGTCCCACCCCTATAACCCTTAACAATGCGCCCAGCATCAACATCACGCTCCCGCGCTCCGTGCTTACCAAGTCAATCGGCAAGATCGTGTACGCGGCGGGGTTGGCGGAGTCGGCGTCCGAGGGGCACAGACTTGTTTCTAACGGGAGCTTGTATATCAGCGGCCCGTCGAGTCAGAAGAAGCAAGCGATGGATGAGGCGGAGCTGAAGTTCACGCAGATCAAGAACTGGCTCATTGCGGATACGAAGAAGTTCCTTGTTGGCGACGAGATGCTCGTGTTGAGGAGGGGGAAGCATAATATTCGCATTGTTAAGATTGTGGAGGATAATGAGTGGGCAGAGGGGGGGAAGAAATACCCTGGAGAGGGGGGCCAGGGTGGACAGAAGGGGGAAGCTGGAGAGGAGACCGCAGAGCTGGGTGCGAAGGACGCTGGGAAGGAGCGCAAGAAGAAGAGCTTCTGGAGCGAGTTTGCGCCAGAGGTGGATCCGAATGAGAGGAAGAGCGTTCTGTACAAGCCTGCCCCTTCAGGGCAGAGGAAGACTATAATCCGGAGGAGCCCCACTAAGCCGTACGATGAGAAGGAGGAGGGGAGCAGTTTAGTACGCAGGAAGGAGAGTTGACGAGGAGGAGATAAATATGTGTACGAATTACGTGTAGGAATTTTGTAGGATAGATTTAGTTGTATATATCCCCTCAAATAAGTGTATTTTCTAATGTGGATTATAGTTGGTGGGTATATTTTAGTTAGTCTCCGCCATGTCATCGTCGCCACTGGCCGGAACGTCTACCATCAAATTTCGGTCGAGATCACGGGTGAAGCAGGCCACGACCACGATTTATCTTTGGGAAAAGTGTGTTCATCGATGATGTCCAGTCCAGGGAGTTAAACATGCCATGCATCACAAACCTGAGAAACCTCTAGTTCCATGGGTGACCAACGAGCCGCCATGCCGTCCAGGCACCAGGCACCAAAACGGCATCAACCGGCCGCAGAGTGGGAAGAACCAGGCTTTTCATCCGTACTTTGTTGTTAATATATCATCCAGATTACCCTCAAATTTCTTATCAGAAGCTACATCTCTTCTAACAGACTCTCAGCAAAACCTAAATATCGGCCGTCCAAACTCTCTGTTGACTCGTATATCGCCACCGAGATCCAGTCGAAGAGAACCCAGCCAGCAAAATAGGACAAGCCACAGGCAACATCCACGCAGCTTTCAAGAAGACTCCTCTCCCGCCACCACGAAACGCACCAAATATGGCCACCTCTCTGACTTCCAAAACGCCCCCTATCTCACGCAACTCCCTCCTCCCCCGCTACCCCTCGCCGCCTTCCACAGCCTCCACAGGCGCAATCTCACATCCCGCGGTCACCTCTTCGTAATCCACCAACACGACCACCCCATCGCAGGCCTCCACTACGACCTCCGTCTCCAGTTCTCCGCCACCAGCAGCCTCAGCTGGGCCATCCCATTTGGGGTGCCAGGAGACCCTAATAGCAAGCGCCGGTTACGTCTCGCGACAGAGACGAGAGTGCATACCGTGGGTAGTCATCTAGTGGAGGGAGGGTCGAAAGGAGGTGGTTCAATGATAGTATGGGATGGAGGAGTTTATGAGGTGTTGCCGCGGCGTAAGGTAGACGGGCCGGAGAGGGATCCAGGGTCGGCAGAGGGGTCACAGTCATCCGGTTTGGGGGTCGTCGAAAATGGAGAAATGGCAGGAGAAAATCGGGATACGGGGGATGGGTTGTCTGAGAATTCGAAACTCGTGGAATCGTTTGGCCGGAGGAAGATCAGGATTAGATTGCATGGCGCGAGGTTGCCGGAGGGGTACACGCTGGATATGTTCGTTGCGCCTGGTTCGCAGCATCTACGTGAGCCACGGGTGGCAGTGAGGAGAAAGAAGGAGAGGCGAGTTGTGAACGTAATTGAGACATCGTCGGAAGGGGAGGAGAACGATCCAGCTATACCTGTCGCAGATGCGGTAGCTGCGGAGTGGGCACTGGAATGGGAGAGGAAGGAGGTTGAGAAGAGGGAAGTGCGACGCGTGAATGCGTATCTGGGAGCAGAGAACACGATTGGGTCACTGTATCAGCGGAAATGGTTTCTGTGCCTTGATAGAGAGGGATCGGGGTTCTGCAAAGCAGATAGGGATGGGGTTTGGGAGAGGAGGAAGGGCGAGGGGGGTGTGCTCGAAGGGTTCGAGCCATTCTATGTTAGGGGCGTGGAGGAAGAGAGGAGCGTGGTGACGGGAATGAAAGCAGAGCATGTGATGAGAGATGCTGGCATCGTTGGGTTTGTGAGGAGGAAGGGGTGGAAGGCTATTCTTGACTAATAGGGCCTTTCTGCATCTCAAGAAGGAAGGAGCGTTGGAAATGAGATTTTTGGAGACCTTTGAAGGGTGCAACATAATTCCACATCGAACACTTCCTTCTCTCCAATACTTTGCTACAATTTTGCTTGAAGGATGCCAGTAATCGTTCTCTTTGTTCTCATTTGTCCCCTTATCCCCTTATCCCCAGCAAATCCACAGTTTGAATGTAATCCCCAGCACCCGCCAACCATGCCGAAAGGTTATAAACCAAGATTAGTCTTCACTTCCAAAATGATTATTTGGGGTGGTTTGGCGCAACGGTAGCGCTCCTGGTTCTTCCATCCTATCAGTAACTCGAAGGTGTGGAGAGTCTGGGTTCGTCTGGGTATGTGGGTTACATACCCGCTACTCTAGTTAGAGCCTTGTAAGTCTTGCGAGGCTGGCTACGGAGTCTAGTTCAGTCAATTCTCTCGGTCTCGCAAGCTATCCAGTTGCAAAGGAATCAGGAGAGATCAAACGAGTTGAGGACATCGCAAGATGACACCAGACAACAAGCTAGTCCACAAGCGCTCCCATGTGGTTATTCAAGCCAACGTGAGACCTCCCATAAGATCACCGGTTCGAATCCGGTCCACCTCCATACATACTTTTTTTTATCTTTGTCGACTTATTTACTAGTTGTTTGCTACGGCTGCAAAAAAGGAGGTAATTGTTACCCATAGTTGTAGTTGGATGGCAGGCGCACAGTGTTACGCATTGAGTTACTTCTATCCCCTTTTTTGCACTCCAGGCTAACATGGCAAGTTACAAGCAGGCTTCAGTCTACCAACAAGAGAACCAAGCATACTCTCCTTAACCTCCTCAGAATCGGCAGTTATTATATGTTTGATCGTCTTCCGGCCTTCCCCAGGCCACACTCGAGGAAATTAGGTCGCACACCTCGTCGCCGAGAGATTTGGGAAAATTATGTCGAACACCCATCGCCCAGCAATTCGAGGAAATTATGTCGCACGCCCCGTTGTCGCGCAATACCATATTGAGATTTAATAATTTATCTCGTTATGTAAACCGGTACTTTAACAACCCCAATAGGTTACGCTGTTGCCGTGTTACATCGGGTCTTGCGGTCTCGCCGTCGCCAGTGAAACTGTCATATCTCCTCTCTCGGGAAAGTGAGACTTTTCAAGTCTTCTGCAGGAACGTGTTTCTCCCCGCCCGGAGGCCAGATTTCCAGCTCAGAAATAAGTAAAGAGCTCCCCTCCCCTCATTCAAGATATTCGTCATCACACAGATTGATCCAGTCCTGCAACCAAAGATCCACGCATTCACTCCTCTGCCTATCCATTCACATCGCCGCATCCAGCCATGCATCTCCAAACTCTTCTATTCAGCATTGCTGCCCTGATTGCCACCGCCTCCGCGGCGCGCAGTTGCTATGCTCACAATAACTTTGGGGTGAAAGACCACGGCTGTGTTCGCTGCAAAAACAACTACCAATTTGAGTTCGTAGAGACGGGCACAGAGAAGGGGGTGTCATGTGATATCGGGCGTTCGTGCTGCCGTGGAATTTGCTGCCTGGAGGATACACAGTAGGGAGGTAATAGGTGGTCCAGTGTAAGTTTGTGGGAGTTGACGGAGTGTCTTATAAATTCTGACAATATGTAGGGCATTGGTAGCTGTGTCGACAAAAAGTGCTTTCAGAACGTTTCATCACTTTCTTTCTCGATGCAGCGAGATGCGTCAGATATGGTCCCGCATTCATACTCGGACCATATTATATTTCGTTCAAAGGGCATGACGGCTCGCATGTATCAGGTGGAGTTATGGGGTCATGTGGATATCATGTTACTAGGAGTCCCTTGCCTGGAATAAAATGATTTATGAGTCGTATGTAAGGGTTGAGATTGTATGACATATAACGGCCCTGCTGTATGGTATATAATTCGGCCGTTGACTCTGTGACACTGGATCAACATTCGCGCTTGGGATTCTAATGCATTTTACTTCCTAGGCATCCCCACGTCTCAGACAACGAAGCAAGGAAGGGCTCATATGTATGCCGCATAGCTTCCATATCCCTTGCATTTGAGATACGGAGAGATTGAAGCTAGGACGTATAATATTGGACTTTAAAACTAAAATTTATGAAGCCGAAAGTATATATATCCGCTATCTTCCTTCTAAGTTCTCATATAGCAATTTCCCATCAGCGATCCAGGTCCAGTCATAAACCTACTCTGTCATAATAAGCAGCATAATAAGCACACTCGACCACCTCAACACCAATTTAGCTCATAATGCGTCTATTCGCCCCTCTCCTCACTCTTACAGCCCTGTTAATCCCATCCTCTGCAGCCGAAGAGTGGTGCTATCCTATCGGCAGTTTCGGATCGCTACTCCATGGCTGCCACCAGTGCCGTGACGGCTTCAACGAGTTCAGGCTCTCCCAGAGTACCTGCGATTTGGGGACTCAGTGTTGCACCGGATACTGCTGCAGAAAGTAGAAGTACTCTGCTACAATGTGAGTTAGGGTTTATATTATCCCGCCCCCAGTTCAGAACTAATGTGGTGGTGTAGGGCGTCGACAGACACGGTTATTACAGTGTTGAAGTTTCAAGATGTCGAGGTTTAGCTCTAAGAGGAATGTGATAGTATGAAATTGATATAGTCTCGGCGCTACCTCCCTATCTAGACCCTCAAGAAGTAGTTAGTTTATCGAACCACCTACCAATGGAAGTTTCTCAATCCAGCTCTTTCTCGGACCATTTTTCAAAATTTGTGAATAATACCAATACCTAGGTTTCCCTTGCGTATTATTTCCTGGGGATCTAGCTATATCTGACAATATAGAAAAACTTTCATACACCCTTATGCTTTCTTATTCTCGAAGCACACTCTTCTAGGATCCTATCCAAGTGTTGTCTATCATAAACCAAGTCCAGCCTCCTCCGCCGCCCCCCAAATCGCTGTCCCACAGCTCGCCACCATGTACTTCAGCACGGTTCTTCTCGGTGACATAGCTCCCTTCGTCTCTGTGATCACATAATGACAACTCTAGGTCGGGGTCTACAACTGCACGCAGTACCATGATGGGTATTGATTTAACTTGGATACTAACAAGGGTACCAATATTGTCAGGGCTTCTGCTGCAGAACGTAGCGGGGCATTCAGACAGTTTTCTGTGTCGTTTCTGTCGGTGGAAAGTGAGCTGTATCCATATCGTCTCGCCTTGGGCTCTCTACATCCCCAGTTTTCACGGTTGTTCTGTCCAGGGGCTCTGGGTCTCAGGTCTCGGAGGTTGAGTTTGTGGCAAAGATATTGGTATGGGATTGGTGTATTATTTTCGTAATCCCGATATTATTTGTCCGTTTGGAATGCACAGATGCCGTTGATTGAGTAGAAATCCTAAGCGTGAAACTGTTTTATATTCAGCTATCAGGATGTGAGACTTTTCAACGGCACTATGACCCTGTATCGGTAGTTAATTTCCGGCTGTTTCTCTTTATCTTCCCGGGGGCTATATATCACTTCCATTTGGGAAGAACTTAATAGAACGTCTATGCCTCTATTTTCCACATCTTGAGTTCCAGTAACCATCCAATCACAATCAACCCGCAATATCCAAGCCGCTTCTTCGTATACTATGCATCTCACTATAAGCCTCTTTGGCCTAACCGCCCTCTTATTCTCTGTTTCCATAGCTCAGAACCCAGATCCGAGAGGATGCTACGAGGTCGGCGACCACGGGGTGGCCGCGCGCGGCTGCTCTTAATGCAAGAGCAACTACCATTTCGTGCAGCCCTATGACCTGTGCGATATATCGCATAGCTGCTGTCCTGGCAAGTGTTGTCCAGGGATACTATAATAGTAACGAGTGGGCTTGTTGCGCGTTGCGAGTTTGTTCTGTGTATGTCGTTCAAGAATTCAGACTTGACAGTGTGTTCCAGGGAGGGGGCAGATAGGGACACCCGCCTACCGGCAGAGCCAGTTGGTTATTCAAGGATATATGGGTATGTCTTGGGGATTAAAGTATGCCATCAATATGTGTATTTGGAATTGGGGTGCTGGTGATAGTAAGTTCTCAAATAGCTTCATGTCGAAACCAACCAAACCCATAGCACGGCGTGAATAAGTTACAAGCTACAGGCATCATCTTCGTGTAGCCTTCGGTGAGGCTTCATGATGGCCCTTTTTGAACGGGAAGTTGCAGAATATACTGTATGATCGCCGCTTGTGTTACTTCTTCATGACGCTGTCTGACGCCCCAGCATCAAATATGAGGCTTCAGAAAAGCCTGTATACATGTTTATCCTTCCATGTTTGCGTCGTCTTCCAAATTCCAAATACATGGATCTTCTTACAGAAATAGGAACTATGCCCACCTCTGAGTTAAGTTGAAGGAATCCTTCGCCAGCAACCCAGTCCCAATTCCAGATCCAACACCACAGATCCAGTTCTTATATCACCAACCTAGCCTAGTTTCCAACCACCAATTCATAATGCATTTCACCCCATCCCTCCTCGTCCTCGCTGGCCTCTTCGTCTCTGCCTGCGCATTGCCGCCCGCAGCGCACCCCACGTTAGGGCCATGCTACCAAATCGATAACTTCGGCTCAAGCTCAGGCTGCCAGCCGTGCTCTGCTAAGTACCGGTTTTTTTCCACGCACGGCGACATCTGTGATGATGGGATCGTTGGCTGCTGTCGTCGCGGGCTGTGCTGCCCATAGAGATGGTGGAGTGGCTAGCGTGGATTTTACCTACTGTGGTGTAAGCTGGTGCGAATGAATGCCCTTGGTAAATCCAGAACTAACTTGATGTTCTAGGATGTTGGTAGGACTAGACAGTCAATAAGGCCGTTTATAAAAGTTACGAAGGTCCATATGACCCATCTTCTTATCTCTTCTTTCGGGCAGACGATGTTGAGCGTTTTGGTGTTGGTTTGGAGTGTTGAGGTTATTCAGTCGGATACGGAGTTATGTTAGTGAGGATAATTTATCTAAAATAAAAGTGGGGGGAATCAGTTATTGTCAAGCTGCAGATTGCATGAATATTATATACTATAGTGTTTATGATGGTGAAGTTACGAGCAGAATGCCAGGGCATATCAATATTACAACACTCATAAGAGTAGATATGCCCCAAATCTGAGATATTATCAACCCCTCATAGATTTAGGGTCGTCCCCTCTTCTCCCCGTCTTCTCCCGGTTTCAGAGTCATGGCTTGGGGGTAGAACTATACCATTCTAGTTTCCAGTTCAAAATAGGGCTGCCATTCCAGAGCTATCATTGTAGGATAGAACTTCTCTTTCGAGACAAGCCCTTCTGGTAACTCTATCATCCAGGATAGAACTTCCTCTTCGAGTCAAGGCCGATTTTGCGATAATTGGAGAAAATGCTTGTTATCGCATTGCTCGTGAGGGGTTTTCCCACTTTTCTCCTCTTTCTCCCCTTTTTCCCCACACCGTCTTTCTCCGTGTTGGGCGAGTTACATAAGCCTGCCCCGCATTTCGGCGCCGATGACACTGCGTCATCTGAGCCGCGGCGCACCCATCGGAGAGAGATAGACGAAGAACTTTTACATCAACGACGACATATATAGATCAATTCCACGCCGACTTCACTTCTTCACTTTATAAACCAATTATCTACCCTCATATACGCTTCTCCGGTTCTTTATCGCTGCCCAGCGACGCGGCGTGTTGTGAAAACTGCTAGTGGCTGTCTATCTACCGTGCGGGGTCGTCATCACGGAACCACGGCTATGCACAATGAACAGCTCCCTTTTTAAATATTCGTCCTCTGCTGCTCTGAGCGTAGCTAGAAAGTCAAAGTTTCAGCGATCTACACTGCCAGTTCTCCAGACGAGACACGCTTCCACAATGAATAACCATAATGTCCCAAAGGTGAGTTGCCCCGGCTATGGCAGGCGGTGCGGGGAAATGGCGAGACTGACAGTTTACAGCTATCCGACCCGTCGTTGCTTAAGCTCGATGTTAACTTCGTCAACGGCGAGTGGGTGAAGGCGAAATCAGGCAAGACCTTTGACGTCTATGGTACATACTTACCCCATCATCCGCCCCCAACTGCTGGACATCCTGGCTAACCAACCCCACCAGACCCAACAAACAGCAAAGTCATCGGCACCGCCCCCGATATGGACAGCGCTGACACCGAGCTCGCCATAGCAGCCGCCGCGACTGCCTTCAAGTCCTTCAAGACCTGGACAGGCCGCGAGCGCTCCAAGGTGCTCCGCAAGTGGTACGACCTGATGGTCGAGAACCAAGAGGATATCGCAACTCTTATTACGTGGGAGAATGGAAAGCCGCTCGCAGACGCAAGGGGCGAGGCGGCCTACGCTGCCAACTTCTTTGAGTGGTTCAGTGAGGAGGCGCCGCGCATCTACGGCGACACCATCCCGGCCAGTGTGCCAGGGAACAGGGTCGTGACGTTCAAGGAGCCGGTTGGCGTGTGTGGACTGATTACACCGTATGTGCTCTCCCACCCAGCGATGTGTTAAACTATGAGATAGTACTAACAGACTACAGATGGAACTTCCCCGCCGCCATGATCACTCGTAAAGTCGGCCCCGCCCTCGCCGCCGGTTGCACCGTCGTCTGCAAAGCCCCCAGCGAGACACCCTTCACATCCCTCGCTCTCGCCGAGCTCGCCCAACGCGCCGGCGTTCCCAAGGGAGTCGTTAACGTCATCACCGCCGCCACCAACACACCCGCGGTCGGCAAGACCATCTGTACCTCCCCCACCATCAAGAAGGTCTCCTTCACCGGCTCCACGGGCGTCGGCAAGACTCTCATGTCCCAGTCCTCCTCCACTCTTAAGAAGCTCTCTTTCGAGCTGGGCGGCAACTCCCCCTTCATCGTCTTCGACGACGCCGACCTCACCTCCGCCGTCGCTGGGGCCATCACCTCTAAGTTCCGCTCCTCGGGCCAGACCTGCGTCTGCGCCAACCGCATCTACGTGCAGGCCGGCATCTACGACGCCTTCACATCCGCCTTCGTCGACGCGGTGGCCAAGTTCCAGCTCGGCAGCGGCTTCGAGAAGGGCGTCACGCACGGCCCTGTGATTAACGCGAAGGCGGTCGCGAAGGTGGACGAGCACGTGCAGGATGCGATTAGCAAGGGCGCGAAGCTACTGGCGGGTGGGCAGAAGCTGCCTGAGCTCGGGGCGAACTTTTATGCGCCGACGATCCTGGGGGGGATGAATGCGGAGATGAAGTTGGCGAATGAGGAGACGTTTGGGCCGGTGGCGGGGTTGTTCAAGTTTGAGACTGAGGAGGAGGTTATTAAGTTGGCCAATGCGTCGGATGTGGGGTTGGCGGGGTACTTTTACTCGCAGGATATTCAGAGGGTTGCAAGGGTGGCGGAGGCCATGGAGGTTGGAATGATTGGCGTGAATACGGGACTTATCAGTGATCCAGCGGCGCCGTTTGGAGGGATGAAGGAGAGCGGGTTTGGAAGGGAGGGGTCGAAGTATGGTGTTGGGGAGTATATGGTTACGAAGATGGTGACGTATGGTGGTAACAGCGGGCCGATTAAGGCTTGAAGGAGAGAAACGGGGGATTAAAGAATGAAAAGGTAGATTATATCGAAATGAGAATTGTATCTTGTAAATAAAATAGTTTTCGATTCCCATAAGTGACTACTACAACATAATGTCCTTCGCGTCCATCTCAAGTCAGGCACTTAAAGAGGATTAGGGGAATAACATTAAGGACTAGGCGCGTAAAAGAGCTCAATCCGGTTCCATGAAGCCGCAGAGAAACGCCCCTGCGCCGTCTCCGGAAGGGAGTTGTTTGCCCGACGGTCTACCCACGCATCTAGCTATCAACTTCTATCCCGTAAGGTTAGTGGAAGCACCGGGAGCCACCAAAGAACCGGAATCAGGGGGCGCTTCTTCTCATGACAACCCGTCGCGGGGCCAGTGACCATGTAGAATGAAGCCGGGCAGACTCTACATCCTAGCCGTTTCGCAGTCCTGCACTATTTCCTGTCAGCTTTAGAACAGAGGGTGGGAACTTCGCCTCCTACTGAACGAATGCAACGCCCCCTCCGTGAGACTGGCTACTCTTGCCGGCCAGTGCCACGCCTTAGAGCACATAAAGCGCAGCACCACTGCTCAAATTATCTCATGGGCTTATGTATTGCAATCTTCCAGGACAAGTTCCCAGAAGATACAGCAGCAGAGGTTGAGCCAGGTATCTCAGCTGAGATATACCGCATTATGCACCATGCTAAATTTAGCATGGCTACGATAACTTTAGGCCGCCTTTGCGGAGCGCTACACGCGCCACCTCTATCACCACCTCTCTGTCACCACCTCTCTGTTGTCACCTACAATTCCCATCACCACCTATGTGTCATGTTTCCGGGCTCGTGAGTTCATATGAATCAATGAGACCTTCGGCTAGGCCCATGATAATGGATCCTAGGGATCCTAGGGCTTAAAGTAGCCAAGCCACTTTGGCTTCATTGTAGTAACAAGCTAGACGACCTCAGGCGCGTCATCTTTTGCTACTGTGCTGCTACGGACGCTCCCTCTGACGAGGAAAACAAAATCTTGGTCGAAGGAAGGAGCAGTTAGTGAAGGAGACGGAGAAGGAAAGGGAAAAGATAGAGAGGGAGTACAAGGAGGAGTAAATGATGAAGAAGGAGAAATGAGAAATTAGAGAGGGGGGGGGGAGGAGGTGAGAGGAGATGTAAGAAACAGAGTGGAAAAGAAAGGAGGGAGATGAGGGAAAGAAGCATGTATTCGGGTTGCGGAATTGGAAAAGACGACCTGGACAAAACGTCACGCCTGTGGGAAAGAAAGCGGGTCGTGACTTCCTTAGGGAAGCATGTAGTTTGGTTGTGGAATGGGAAGGAGCGACTTGGGTAAACAAACATCTACTAACTATGTCGTGACTTCCCTAAGAAGCATATATATAGTCAGGATGAATAATGGAAGGAACGGCTATGTAAACAAACATCCCCTGATAAGTGAGGCGTTTCTTCCCATTCTGTGCTGGCGCGGTCCACGTCGGAATGCACAACTAGAAGGGAGGGTATTGAAGATATCCGCGATGGGGTTGCGGGGTCGGGGAATCGTCTTGTTGATGGCTCGGTGTTGGTTGATGATATCAGATAGGAGAGGGTAAAAGAAGAGAGGGGAGATAAATATAAACAATGAAATAGCAGAAAAGACGAAACAGACGAAAACGACAAAAAACGAAGATATCGCATCGAGTGTGCATCCAGCACTCCCATGAGATGAATTCGTGACGAAACCAGTAAACCCCGCGAAGCTATGCCTTCCATTCGCGGATCCAAACAGAGTAAATGCCTCCGACCCCCTCATCTTCCTCTCCGTCCGAGAAAACGTGCGTCTGAGAAAACGTGTAAACAAACTCCTCGCTGCGGGTAGACGACGTCATATCGACCAACGCGCGTTCCGAATCGTTCACCCGGAGAAGATGCTGATGATAGGGAGGGATATATAAGGGAAGCACTCACTCACTCACTCACCCACTCACCCACCCCGTCTGGTCTAGACGTTCAAACAGTCTGACGTCCAATCCAGCCCTACCAGCCTTACAACAACAACAACAACAACAACAAGTCCAGTCCAGCCAAACGATCCCTGATCACCCGGCTGACTAGCTACAACAACCGCCCAGACCAGATCACCGAGCCCAGCCAGCTTACAGCCAGTCCGGTAACTGTACTACGGGGTGGCCAGCGAAAAGATAAGATGATCTTTGGACCACTCGCTCCACAGGCAATCGAAATCGGACTCGATCCCGCAGGCTTTGGCCTCTTCGGCTGGACTCTTCCCTTGCGGGTGTTCCTGGACTATTAAGTGCACGCACTGTTAGCTGTATCCACAGTGCGTCGCCTCCGTCGCCTCCTAGCTCCCACCGCAATCCCTCAACAGACGTACCTACCCTCAATCCGTCTCACAGACCTCTTCCCCTTTTGTCTCCTCTCTCGCACATTCCTCCCCCATCCGTCAGTCATCCCCAGTCAGCAAATCCCGCGTCCATCCCTTTCTCCTCCCACCGTGCACGATCGACCTCGGCTCCACCCTCCCACCCCCTAAACCAATCTAGCGCGCACATCCTCATTTCCCAAGATGTATGGGATTTATGGGCTCGGAGATGGGGAAGTTGTTTCGTTTTCCGCGCTTGGATGTTGGCCCTGACCCTTGTCGCGCTGGGTTATGGAGTTCGTTTAGAGAGAGGGGCGGTATGAGATGTACGCGTGGGTGAGGGAGGGACGTGCTGGAGATGGGTGTGAGTGAGATGTGAGTGAGATAATGGTTTGACGCGGGAGGGTAGATGGGTGTCTGTGTCTTACCTGGTAGTGGTGGAAGGAAGTGGTGAGTGATAGAGTAGTAGTAGAGTTACTCTTCTCTTCTCGTCTCTTCTGTGGTATCGTACTCCGTGGTATCGTCCTCCTCTTCTTCGATGGTAACTGGTAACCTCAAAATAGCCATCCCCCCCCAGCCCAGGTGATCGATCAGTCGTACCCGTATATGCACGCCCTCCCTTCCTCTCCCTCGTATCCCCGCATGCCGCAGTCACGCCTACGTAAATCTGGATATCAGCATGTGGTATTTCTTCCCTCTTCCTCACCTCGTACATACCATCCCATGCCACCTATACCACCTATACCACCTATACCACCTATACCACCTATACCACCTATACCACCTATACCATCCCATACCATCCCATGCCATCCCATGCCATCATCCCATACCATCCCATACCGTACATATATCACACCTCATGCACACACAAACAATGACGTGGTCCTCACCCTCTCACCGTATATCCCAGTCCGCCTCCCCTTCCGCCCACTCACCACTCCCGGATCATCGTGTCCCCACCACGCCGGCGCTCCTTGGCGGGTAAGGGCGATGCGCGTCGGAGCCAGTGAGGACGCGTGGTTGGGGGAGTGTAGGGGTTGTTATCGGTGGCCACGGACAGGGAAGACGAGAACGGCTGCATGAGGTGCCGGAGCGAGGTGGTTTGGTGGCGCTTTTTGGTCTTTTTTTGCTTTCTTTTCGGCGTCATCGGCGGTGGGTTTGGTGTTTTTCGTGGTGTACGTAGGAGGCGTGGAGAGGAGAGGAGAGGATGGTGTTGTTTTGGTTATGTTCATAGCACAGTACAGGCGTATGGGGAAGATGATGTTTATGGTGGGTTCAGTATAGTTGTGTAAACAGAACCTGCCTGACCGCGATCTTGACCGCGACGACGCTTGGTTAGGGGTCTGTCAGAGCTTGCTGCTTGCTGGAGTACCAAAGGCGATTGTGATCTGGTTATCTGGTTACTCATCTGTTTATGACTCCAGAAAGAAGCTTTTGATCTTTTTTGCTATCCCTGATGAGTCTATCATCACCGTGTTGGCGCTGTCTACCAGGCCGTGTCTAACAAATAATTCCCACAACTGGCCTTTCCCCTGTCCTGGCACTGTCCCAGTTCCAATGTTTTGTACTTTGAGGTACCCGGTACTTTAATTAGTGGTGGAGATGGGTGAAAGTCTATGGATTTTAGTGTGGATTTGGCAGTAAATGAGGGCTAGTATAAAGTCCCCTCTACCACCCCGCTACTTCCACATCTCCCCGTTGGCTGGGAATCCAGTACTCCTTCTCCTCTGTACCCCGTACTCGACTCCCCTTCCTAGCAAATCTTGGAAATCCAGCCAGACAAATCCACAAACCTTCAATTCTTCTCCTCTCCACTCATTCAACTCCTCTCTCTCCTAACCTTCTCCAACGGCCCTCAACCCCCTGCGGCTCGACATACCATCACCGCATCTCACCTCTCCCCTCCTCGAGCTCAATCACCGAGCTACGAGAGCTATCACCGAGCTGCTGTCTCCGAAACAGCTGCCTCACCCATTCCAGTCGACAGGACACAACACGACACAAAGGAACGGCGGCTCCCGCGCCATCCTCCCTCTTTGAGCGTATATGCGCCCATCCTTCACCACGCACCTCCATCTCCCCGTGTCCGCCCAAGCATCAATGCGCCCATAACCGCGTCGCTTCCCCCCCCCCCAATTCCAACAGGTGTCGACGACAAACACAGTAGCGTCACCGAGAGAGAGAGAGAGCGAGAGAGAGAGACGACACAGTCCGGATGGTTGCCCCGAGGTCGCAGTCCGCCATGTCGGCGGCGACGGTAGCATTGGCGTGTCTGGCGCCGCTGGGCGTGCTGATAGCAACACAGGTTCGGCCGGTGCAGGCGTTGACGATAGCGTATTGTGCGGGGATTAATACGGCGTCGAGGGCAGGAAGTATGTTATTTGCCCTACCACCTCGCTCTGTCTGGCGGTCCCTGACTGACTTCCCCCTTCAGACTACAGCACCTACCAGTCCAATGGCCTCTGCCAGACGTTCTGCCAGCAATCGTTTGCCTTCGCCATCGTCCAGGATAACCTCTGCTGGTGCTCCAACTATGCCCCGGGCGCTTCGACGACCTCGAAAGACAAGTGCAACACCCAGTGTCCTGGCTACCCCGACGATTTGTGCGGCGGTACGGACTTGTACGGATATATCAAGCTCGAAAAAGATGTTGTAGGGACAAAGACAACTGATGGGACTGGGGTTACGGCAAGCCCTGCCAAGGTGCGTTTTCTTGCGAGCGAGTTTTGACATCTTTTCGTCGTCCTGTTATGGATCTATCCCCTCGTCCTTTTATGGATTATCTCTTCGTCCTTTTATGGATCTATCCTTTCGTCCTTTTATGGATCTATCCCTTCGTCCTTTTATGGATATCCCCTTCTGTCGTTTCACCCCCTTTCCTCCCCGTTTTCCTAACATACCGTTGTCCCTACCCCTTCCATCGTTGCCCCGCGTTGAGAAAGAGAATATACACGGTCCCCTGTTGGAGCTTAACCTGCTGGCTGTCGGGAACCCGCGCTTCTGTTGCCTCCAGTTTGACATTGGTACAACAGGACTCGGCGACGACTTCTGGCTCATCTACTCACACGGTACTGCATCTCCAATCCATCCGCGCGTGCGCTTTTCCTATCTGGCATCCTCGCCTTTTCATCTTTCCCCTGTCCTTTCTAACTCCCCCTCCTTCTCCCTATCTTCTAACACCCCCTCCCCTCTCCTATCCTCTCCCACCCAACCGCCACCACGGACACAAAGCTAACACACCCCAGAACCCAACAACCACCTCTCCCCCAGACAACGCCAAAGACGACACCTCCTCCTGGACGCCCACCCCCATCACCAGCGTCGAAACCGTCACCGGCCAAGTCCGCGTCGTAACCATCACCCCCACCGCGCCCCCCGGCGCCGACTCCTCCGCGGACAGCGGCAACAAGAAATCCCTCACCGCCGGTGGCGCCGCCGGTCTCGGTATCGGCATCGCTGCCTTCCTCGCCCTCGTCGGCGCACTGATCTTCTTCTTCATGCGCCGCCGCAAGCGTCTCGCCGCTGAGTCTGACGTCGGTCCTGCTCCTCCCACCCCGAACACGGGGTACACACCTCAACGCACTATGAGCGAGAACTCGCGGTACGTGCTCGGCACCGACGGACGACGGGTTGTCGAGGGGTGGGACTCCGGAGCGGGGGATGTGGCGGATACGCCTGTTAGTGCTGGGTCGAGGAGGAGCAGGTTGATGCCTGTTGATCCGAGGTTGGATCCTTTTGCGCCGGTTTATCAGCAGGGTGGCGCGAGTGGGAGTCGGGAGAGCGTGGGGAGTATACAGGATAATTTTGATTATTCGCGGAGAGTGGTGAGGACGGGGCCGCCGATTTTGAGGGCGACGAATCCGGATGCTTGAGTGTGGGGGGGAAAGGGGCGGGTTGATTGTAGATATATGGAAATGGAATGGAAATGGAAAAAGATGGGTGGGAATTGTGGCTATTAAAGGGCTTATTATGGCATTCGCGAGGGTAAAAGCGAGATTTCTTACGAACAACAAACACAACAAACAAATGGATCAGACTGTCACTGAACAGGATGGAACAACTGGAACTGGATGAGAGAGACGGGAAGGGGAGAGGGATGTATGCTATAAATCGAAATGGAAATCAAATCCGAGGTAGAAACGGAGCTTGTGGGAGGGAGGGATGATATGGGAACATGGGATGGGATGGGATGGGTGGGAAATGGTGTAAATACATATGATACGGATGAGAAAGGGGAGGGCGGATAATAGGGATGGGGAGCACTATGATACCCCCCCACCACCGGAGAGGAATGAGTAGAAGTTACTTTTTTGCTTTGATGTTTTTAGAGTTTTTGGTTGTGAGTGTGTGACTGTGTGACTGTGAGTATGTGAGTGAGTGTGTGAGTGGATGGGCGAGTGGGTGGTTGGTGTGGTGACGGAGTGAATGAGTGAGTGAGTGAGTGTGAGTGAGGATTGTTTCAGTGGTGAGTGCTTAATTGGCGGGTGTTTAATCGTAGTGACTGAGAGTGGGTGATCTGAGTGATCTGAGTGATCTGAGTACACCTGTATCACCCACCACTACTTTCCCCCACCAAAGATGTCTCATTCCCACAGCCCCCACGATTACGCAAAACGGCTTTTCTGTCTCTTACCTCTCTCTCTCTCTATCTGCCTACCTGTATGGAGCGAATCAGGGAGGAGGGCGGGTATGAAAGATCTTGATCTGCCTTACTTGCTCGTGTGGGCGCTTGGGTGCTGTTGGAATGTTGGTGGTGTGGTGGTGTTGTGGTGTTGTGGTGTTGTGGGACGGGGAGAGGTGGGGGGGTGTTGCGTATGCTTATTACTGGCCCCCACTCACTCACGTATCTGTTTCTTTGGGATGTGGGATGTGGGAGATTTTGGATTTGAGTTTGCTTAGGGTGGGAATAGGGGAGCTGGTACGGTAGATTATGGTTTTTTGTAGGGGCTTGATGGTGGGTTGTGGTGGGTGTTGGGTATTGGGGGGGGGGTTGGAGTCGGGGAATATAGGATTTTTTTGAAAAAAAAAACAAATGGTGGGTGTCTTTAAAGCTCACGGAGAGGAAGGACGTTAATTTATATAGATAGGTTATTTTTAAGGGGAAGGCCAAAATCCTATTATTTTATTTTGCAATAATTTGAAAAATAATATACTGACTTTTATTTAAAGCTTAGGTATATAAAATGGATGTTCTCAAAACATGGCAAGCACAGTGTCCTTGAGACGGCATTATGTTTCCCAGAACACCAGACGGAGCCGAGAAAAGATCTAGATCTTCATGTGAATTCCTATATGATATTACCTGTGATATAGATGAGTTGTTCCGTGCCACAAGAATTCACTGTATTATAACAGCAGTGACGCTGATAATGTGAATAGAAGTGCGCCTTAAACGAACCCATTATAGACGAGCGGTGAAGCAATGATTCCAAAACAAAATAGTAAGCAACTGAATAATCCAATAAGAAGCTCAAAAACCCTATCCCACAGCCCATAACACGGCGTAATAATCCTATAAACTTCCCACATAAGCACAATATAAATCCTCACCTCACCTCCCCCGTCCACCCCTACCAAGCCCAGCCCAGTCCGCCTAGTCGCCAGCGCCAAACCAACCACACCCTCCCTAAAAATAGCCCCTCGAACGATAATAAGGTACCTAGTACCTCCCTCCACCACCCACCACAACGCATGGACAGAAGTCACGACTACACACCACCACCCAGGAACGAGGCTGTGCGGTGGCAGGGTAGCGTGGCGTGGACGTTGGCGCGGCAGTCTGAAACGGTGTGGTGCTTGGTGCTTTGAGATCAGATATATGCGCGTGGAGGATCAGCGCTGGTGCTGACAGATTGGCAAAATTCTAATTCCCTTTCACTTCACGACTTCACATACGATCTGTCAATTACATCTACATCTACCCTACGCTGCGAACAATCCACCACCACGCGCGACGACGAGGGACGACCATAGGACGAGGGACAGACAGGCACGCGCCCAGCAAGCACGACGGTTAGATTAGGCGGCCCGGTCGGAACGCGGGTGCAGCACGACGGTGGCGCTAGAGACGGATATTGGACCCTGAGGTTTGAGGAGGACGCGGTGCGCCCGGGGCGATAACGAGGCACAAGTGGTGTTCCTGTCTGTTTGGGTGTGGGGAGAGCGTATATAGCCAGGAACGCGACCCGGCTTTGCCGTTTCTGCGACAACGATTGCTTGTTAATACGGGTCTTGACCGACGATTACGACGGCGCTAATACGATAATACGATATTCTGCGACTCTGCAACTCGATTCGAGACTATACGATACGGTAGACGAGGGGATTTGATTGAGAAAGAGAAGAGAAGAGCAACTGAATTGACGAAGGTGGGGGGTTTAAAAACATACAAGAAGGACCTTATAAGAGCGGACGCGCCTGGACGTACGAGCGCTGAGCCGCGGGGCTGGGAAGGACAATGGTGAACTTTACGTGTAATGCGACGATGGAGGATTTGCGGAGTGAGTCCTAGGTCCACATATGCATGAAAGCAGGTCTAACAGATGCGTAGTAACGGGCGAGCTGCCGATAGCGGGGAGTTTGAATTTCCATCAATTGGGACTGATAATCTGCGGTGGATGCACGATTGTGGCGATTCTGATCTCGGCATACTCGATTTGGATGCATGCGCTGAATTATACCAAGCCGAGGGAGCAGAGACAGTGCGTTTCCCCATTTACTCCCCCTTACGTGGTGAGAAGGAGACAGCCGACTAACACTTACCAGCATAATCCGCATCCTCCTAATGATCCCCATCTACGCCGTTGCGCGATTCCTCTCGTTCTGGTTCTACTACCATAACGTCTACTTCAGCGTCATATCCGATTGCTATGAGGCCTTCGCGATCGCCTCCTTCTTCGCGCTGCTGTGCCACTACACCTCCCCCACGCTACACAGCCAGAAAGACTACTTTCGCGCCATGCACCCCATCAAGCCGTGGGTGCTGCCTGTCAACTGGTTCGCCAAGTGCTGTGGTGGGGAGAGGGGCATCTGGCGGACGCCGAGGAGCGGGTTGACGTGGTTTAATGTGGTGTGGGCAGGTATCTACCAATACTGCTTCGTGAGAGTCGCGATGACGATCACGGCGGTGGTGACGCAGTATTTTGATGTGTACTGCGAAGGGAGCAATATGCCGTGGTTCGCGCATATTTGGGTAAGTCGTCAGTCTCTCTTTCTACTGTATACCCCACTAACACTTCGCAGGCCCTGGTAATCAACGCCGTCGCCGTAACGATAGCCATGTACCTCCTAATCCAATTCTACATCCAACTACGCGTCGACCTCGCCGAGCACTCCCCCTTCCTCAAAGTCCTCGCCATCAAACTCGTCATCTTCCTCTCCTTCTGGCAAACCTTCATCATCTCCATCCTCACCTCCTCCACCTTCTCCATCCTGGAAGCCAACTCCTACCTCGCCTTCCCCGACCTCTACGTCGGCATCCCCTCCCTCCTCATCTGCGTCGAAATGGCCCTCTTCGCCATCTTCCACATCTTCGCCTACCCGCACGGGCCCTACAAGCTCGGCGCCCACCACTCCGGCGAGCCAGGCGCCTCTAAATACCCCACCGGCGACCCCGACGACCTCGGACCCAACCAAGGCGGCTTCCTCGGCGCCCGCGCACTCCTAGACGCGCTCAACCCCTGGGACATCGTCAAGGCTTTCGGGCGCGGCATTCGCTGGATGTTCGTCGGCGCGCGCCGTCGCAAGCAGGATGCGAGTTACACGCGCGACGCCCGCGATGCGCTAGCGCTGCAGGCGCATGCTGCGGAGGTGGAGGTGGGGAGGAGCGATGAGGACACGGTGTACCGGCCTAAGATGAAGCTGCCGATCGCGGAGGAGTTTAGTAGGCGGAAGTTCAGCCCCGCGGAGTATGATGGGGAGGAGAACGCGGGGCTGATCTCGCATGCGGCTGCGAATCCGGTGGATGCGCCGGAGGCGGGGAGGGAGTCGCCGAGCGGGCCCGGGAGTCTGTATAGGCCGAAGGAGCAGCGGTATGATGGTGGTGGTGTGGGACAGGAGTACGGGGGGCGGGCGATGGGACAGGGGTTGGGGGAACGGTATGATAATGATAATGCGCCGGCGCCGATGTTTGGGGGGTTGATCTCGACTACGAATATCCATCCTGCGCTGCGAGAGACGCCGGGGTTGGCGATGAGCCATGATGGGGGGGTGGAGGCGAGGGCGTGGGATGATCATCCTGGGGTGGAGAGGCAGGTGGAGGCGAGGAGGGTGAGGGTTGTGGGGAGTGTGGAGGCGTTGGGGGATAGGGGGGCGACGAGGAGTTTGCATGGGGAGTTGACGAGGAGTTTGCATGGGGAGTTGGATAAGCGATGAGGGGTGGGGAGGTGAGTGAGAGCCGGGATTGGAGGTACGTATGCAGTTGCAGGACAAATGCATGGACATAGTCCTACGCACCACCGCACACCGCGCAACTCATCTACGACCACAAACCACCCATCATCGCGCAATGCGCAACTGGACAGCCACCGCCCCGCTACCACCCCCTCCGCCACTCCGCCCATAATGAGACCTCGACATAAACGGCTAAGAACGGGCGTGCTAGAAAGGAAAGGATGGGAGTTACGGGGCGGTTGGGATTTGGATTGGGGGGTAATGACGGGTAAATAGAGGAAAGGGATATAAGGAAGGCGAAGGGGGAAGTAAATGGCGTGTGTACGAGTTGTGTATCTGTATGTATGTAGTGTCGTTTGATACCCAACGCGTGGAAATGGAAATATCTCAACATCAACGACCCCTTTCCCCAGTGTATTGAACCCATGAGTTGGGCTCGGTCAGAACTTTCACCGAGGCAGCGACTATTTAATAGTCCCGAAAATGCCAAATTAGAACTATGAACTATACAAGGTATTGACAATATAACACAGACGGGGGGGTTGTGGTGGTGACAAGAGGCCGCTTGGTACAGAGTTGGCGGTATTGCTTTCGAACTGGAGAGGGTTAAGTCGACTGAGGTCCCCGCTAGATCTTCCTCTATGTTGGGTTCCTTGACCGATAATTACCATGCTACGTTTATATCGCAATTAATATGATTTCATGATGGGCGCGGGTTTTGGATACTTGGAGTATCATCCGTGGATTTCTTGCAGTCGGGCGGTCGTTCTTGCCGTTCTTGCCATTCTTACCGTCCATCGTCCTTGCCGTTCCTGTCGTTGTTACCGTCGCCAGTCGTTCTTGCCGTCATAAGCCGTCCCTGCCATCGTCAGTCGTCCCTGCCATCGTCAGTCGCTCCTGGCGTCTCCCCACGTGCCCGAGCTTTAGCATGGAATCTCTATCGTCTGGTAGTTGAAACTTCTTTGTAGGATTAATTATGCTATGGGAGGCTAATTCTATGCTCACTATCGGCCATAGTAAATGGTATAGTGCAATTAAATCCCAAACGATGCATAGTTACCCCTGTACATAGATAGGGGTAAGTAAAAGGCACTCTTTTGCCAGATCAGGACACGACCCAATATGGTCATTGTCCTTCCCTGCTCTGAATGCCCTGTCCATAAATACTGTGACGTGGTATATACCTGTAGGATCGTGTCTGGCGGCGAGGTGAGTTTCTCCTGCCAAAAGCTGCAGCTGCGATTTCTGCAACTCCATCTTCCTGCACTTTTACTTCCACTTAAGTGGCGGGAGTCTGCTATCTGTTCTTCGTATAATTTCACATATCGAGGCCCCTTAGTGATTGATATTGAGCGTATGTGCACTCCCGGACTATATAGCCCTGCTCCATCGTTGTTACTGCTGGTCATACTTGCCCTTGGTCGTTCTTGCTTTACTCACACACTAACTACACTTTAATCGAATATCAGTTGAGATAAATAGCTTAGTTTATGCTATTTGGATCACGAATATGGTGCTGAGACGCCTGGGAGCACTTGGCCCTATTACCAAGTCCCTAGCCTCTCTAAGTTACGGGGAAAAGAAATCCTCAGGTGTTACTGATCTTAAATAATTTATGAATTTAGCGAGGAGAATGCGTTAGCAGAGCTGGGGCGGATATATATTCTCTCCAAACGCCACAAAAGCGTTGTATTCTGAATTAGGACCTTTGTGTCCTGATTTGCGGGTATTGGTAGTTGGTATGGGCTTCACCCAGGTTCCAATTACAATCAGGTATCTCATACAACCGTTAAGGAAGGCACCTGGCATGAAATAATTTACGTGTTATATCTAAAAGCTGAAAGTTCTTGCTGCCATTCTGGCTGTCATTCCTGCTGTCAATCTGGCTGTCGTTCTCGTTGTCGTTCCTACTGTCGTTCCTACTGTCGTTCTCCCCGTCGGCCATTCTTGTTGTCAGTCGTTCATACTATAGTCTGCACTTCCGACTCGACCCTGTTACGGCTTGTCTTCAGCCTTGCCATGTGTCGCTCGAATATGCGTATATCCCTGCTGATTTCTGCACAGTGATTTTACCCACGTTATAAGGATGTATAAAAGGTGAGACCATCTTAACGGCTTTTCGTCGCAGTCAACCAATAGTGCCATTGGCCTGAAGGGGGGTATAGGGCCAGCACACTTTCCAATGCGATCTCCCTAGTGTCTCACATTTCGAAGCTGAGTTGTAAGACAGTCTTAACAGCTAGTATTATGATTAACAAATGGCAACCCTTGAAAACAAGCAACAGCTACGAGGGTCATGCAATGAAGTTAGCAGTCTCTCGCATTCTTGACGGAGATATTTAGCAGAGTGCCAAAAGGTGCGCATGTGATCGATCAACGTAGCTCAGAAGCCGGGTCAGCTTACACAGATCTGAGACCTGTGAAACCCATAATCAAGGCTGGCGCTGCGATATTGGGCGTAACTAATGGCGCTGATGCTTATGAGGACCGCGAGATGTTGACGTGCCTTCTGATATGCGCTCACTTGTTTAGCTGCGCTCAGGGTTGCGCAACGGTTTTACCCAAAGGCACTAGTAGAACAGAAAGGAGATGGCTAGAGGAGTATGCGCTGAAATCATAGACAGTCTTTAGTTCTTCCTAAGCTGAGTATGCACTGTAACGCTCGCTTTGATAAATAAAGTAAGGATTGTTGGTATTTTAGACATAAGGTGCTATAGTATGAGCTGAAATCACAGACTGTCTTAGTTCTCTCCTATGCTGGCTATGTACCGTAGTTACATGTAGGTTACTCTTGACTAGGCTGGCTAATCACTTCTCGCCACATATGTGAATAGACAGACATTCGGACAGAAATACAAAATTGGGGTTAATCACTGTGTTTAGGATATTGCAGCATATTTGTTGAAGCCGCTAAAAGTATCTTAGCACTTTTGTCGGAAAGGATGAGGGTAACGGTTTGCAATAACCAAGGCACATTTGTAACGATATAAATCGCTCGCGAAAATACATAAATCATAGCCTACTCCCACCATCTCTCTCTCACTTTTTCAAGCCTTTCTCAATAGTTGCTATACTTGCTCCTATCTATCTAAACATTTACTTCAATTTGATTATCCTAACGGGACCCTGCCATTCACGATGGTTGCTACACTCAGCATTCTCTCTATCGCTCTCGCGTCTGCCTCACTATTCTCTGACTTTGGTTATGCCCAGGTAATCACTTTTTCTCCCCACTCCTTTGCTCCTTGCTAAGACTATTTATACGGAACAGCAACCAAAAGTGAGAATTATATTTTCGGGTGGTGAAATTGCAGAATTCGGGCCAAGAGGTCAATGCGTTCGTCGATTGTATGGTAGACCCCTACTCTAGTTTATCAGAAGCGGCACACGTTTGTAGCGCCCCAACTGTTTCCAGCGATTATACTTATTCGATTCCTGGGTTACTAGGTCACAGCATATCACCAGCTTGGATATAGCACAACATATTAGCTGCAGCATCTACAGGTTCGTCTCTTGCATGCTTTCTGAGTGCTATCTACCACTAGACTCTAACTTATAATTACTAGCAACTACGACTGTTCTGGAGCTCAGATCGCAGAGACAGTCACAGGACAATCCGACTATCCCTATGCCTCGAGGTCAAAATACGCTGCCTCCCTTGGTCTTGCGTCCGTTAGCTGTGTCCAACTTAACTAGTTAAAATTCCAGTCAACCTATAGGTCAATGCACGTGCTTTGGTAACACTTCAGGGTCTTACTTCGTTGCAGAGAATATCGGAGTGTGATAGCATTACACCACCAGTTATAGTCAATACACTGAATCTCTTTCAAAAAGCTGGGGAACGTGGTCCAGTTGCTTCGATGCGATAGGTAGTGGCTGGCCAAATAATAAATGCTAGCAAAGACCAACCGTTTGCACTTATACACACCGTCGTTCGCTTGACGCCCGCGCCTCTGTAGCCCCGCGGATCGTCCTTACTTACAAGGACTTTCACAATGCCAAGCATGCATAACATGACTCCCGTTCTCGTCCATATTATAGACATTTTCCGACAGAATAAGTTGGATCCCAGATCAGGTGATATAATATCCAAACGCTGGTGTGAGCTATCCTGATAATAAAGGACGTAAAAGACCAACTGATCATTCGGGCTGCAAGACGTAGTATCTCTCACAAACTTTGCGAGTCACATAATTACACAATAATAGTTGGGTAGATAAGCCACAATAAGACAAAAGTCCTTATACTTTATCCTTGTAATCATCAGCCATCTCAGGCGCAAGGCCATTCGCAACAACCTTCGGCCCAACATAGTTCTTCTGCCCAATAAACCACCAAATTCCCACAAATACTGACAGCCCACCAGTGACGAGGCTTGCATAGTTCATCCCCTCGGCATCGACAGGCATGGTGTAAGGAAAGCAATAAATAACCATAAAGACAGCCATGTAAACACAAGCAATAATGTTGACGGCAAAGCCGATCCAGCCTTTCATCCAAAACGCACCAGGCTTAATATTCGATCTTTTGGACAAAAGATGTGGAATCAGCGCAGCAAGGAATGAGGCGGTCGACAAGATAACAAACGCGCCTATGAAAGCATTAAATGCCGCCGTGGAAGCGACATAGATCCCGCCCATAACGCAAGACACAACGCCGCAGACCAGCGTCGCGACAAAGGGATTCTTGAATTTAGGGCTAATGGCACCGACAGAGTTTCTACCGGGCGCGGCACCATCACGAGCCAGAGTCCAAAGCATGCGACCCGCAGTCGTGTAGCAGCCAATGCTAGCAGCGACGATAGGTAGTAATATGACAATGACGAGACCGACCGCCCCGCTGCGGGAGCCAGTGGCTTGATGGTAAATGTTGCCAAGGGGGAAGACGGAGTTGGATTTGAAAAGTCCTTCGAGGTCGTTGATGGAGTAGAAAATGGTGATCATGAAGATCATACCTGTGATGAATCCCGTTACGATCTGAGCAAGGATCGCTTTTGGGATATTTGAGCTTGGTCTGTAAATTCTATTAGTATCATAGCCCATATTGCGGACCGGATGCATACCTTGGGATCTCTTCAGCTAAGTGAGTAAGACAGTCAGGCGTGCCGACGGAAAAGGCACCATTCAGCATACCCGTGAGGAAAACCAGGCCATTATTAGAGTACCCGGTTTCATTAGACCAATCTTTCCAGACAAATGAATTTGATGCGTGTCCTTTACCGTTGTGGAATGGCATGATGGCGCAAACGAGGACAGTGACGACGACCCCTGCGAGCATGAAGAACGAGCCAACTCTGTTGATAGTAGAGAGAGCGCGGTTGCAGAACAAGACAATACAACAGCAAAACCAGGTCATGATTTGGTAGACAATGAAGACCTGCCAGCGTTTAACTTCCATCTCTGGGTGGTAAAGCTGATAGCAGTAGAGAACTCCATTGCCAATGATGGCAGCGTTGGCTGATGCCCCGAAGATCCAGGCGAGTAGGTTCCACCACCCAGCAAACCAGCCACAAACTCGACCAGCTCGTGGTCCAGCTGCGACGGTGGCCCAGTGGTACACTAGACAAATGTTTAGTTAAAAAGTTGTCTAGAATGGACAATAGGGCGTAAGTACCTCCACCAGATGCTGGTATAGCAGACGCCAGTTCAGCAATCGACGCTCCAACAAACCAGTAGCATATAGAAACAACGATACTACCCCTTGTTAGCAATCACTCACGAAGGTCTAGGTTTACAAAACGCTTACAACTCATAAATAACACCAGGGGGGCCACCATTGTAGATTGCAACGACCTATTTTCTCTTGTTAGTAACTTGAGTTGCCCACGTGTGGTATTGGTTCGGAATACTGACGATTGCACCACCAATTGCCGTCCAGGTATTGCCAGTTACAATACCCGTGGCACAGATACTCCACAGCCCAAATTGTCGATCCAGCTCTTGAACATGGCCTGAGATGTTCGTGGTGACAACATCGCTACTGCCATTCTTCTCCGAGTTCTCGAAAGTGCCGCTTTCAGGGGCTTCAATGGACTTGGAAGATGAGGTTTGGGTCTCCGCCATGATGTCCAAATAACTGTGAGAGTATATTTAAGGGAATAGATATAATTATTTATAGGTAGAAATCACAGCTGTGCTACACCAGGTATTTATCAGAAGTTGAGAGTGTCTGAGAATTGGGTTTAACCTCAAATCTCCTATCAGAGATAGATGAAATGGGGAAACTCAAACAATGGGGAAATTGACAGACACATATAGATAAGACTATAATCAAGTTACGATAAGTCGATGTAACCCGAACAGCTCTGTTCTTAGTGACTTATATCGATTTACCGTGGATATCTGCTAATTGGGAATTGGCTTGTTAGATATGGTATTTGGCCAGCCGGTTTGCTTTCATTTGATTTGATGTGGGTTTTCGCTGGCCCACAAGTGGCTCGCTGACTCCTGCCTCCGATAATTCAACGGGCTGCACCTGACCCCACAGCCCTCCACCCCCCACATTTTATCTCCTTTATGGTAGACTAAGCTTATAATTCAAGTTACTCCTCAATCGAACCAGATCTGGTCCAATCACTGTTGGCACTGGCCTCGCTGACAACTGCCTCAATTTTACTCTCGCTGACTGCTGCTTCATGTCCTGTAAAAGCAATATTGATGACATCGCCCCAACTGTTTTTTCGAAGCTCGTCAATTATGAGTAAAAATATCCATATTTCGCGGTATTTCGCGGTGACTAGACCAAAGTTGAGGGTTATATAATCCAACTCAATCTTTACTCTTCAATTCTCCGTACTCTGTTTCCTCAAAACTCTTTTCCTAACCAAATTTATGCCGGAATTGCAGAATTTATTAATCCGTCATGGTGGAGATAACCTCAATTGACTTGCTCCGAGGATGGCCATCTGCGGATCTGCTCCCTACGTCTATCCTTGAGGAGGCATCGAAGCGTGTGCTCAATGACCCTGCCCTTTCAACACCATCACTATCATACGGCGATGAGCCTGGCTACGAACCACTCCGAGAATCCATTGCAACCTGGCTGTTGCAGCAATACAACACGCCATGGACTGTGCCAGAACGAATATGCATCTCGGGGGGTGCGAGTCAAAACCTCGCTTGTATCCTGCAAGTCTTCACCGATCCAACATACACTAGAAATGTGTATCTCGTGGCACCGACGTATCACCTTGTATGTAGAATCTTCGAAGATAACGGTTTTGTCGGGCGTCTGAGAGCGATTCCAGAAGATGACGATGGAGTCGATATAGCTTATCTCGAGGCGAGTCTGGTGAAACATGAGATGGTGAGTAATGGAAGTGACCAGAAGGTGAGTTTTTTTTCTGGGTAACCGCTTGTTATACATGATTTTTTATCTGATTATATTCCTAGGCGACGAAACGACCGCAAGTAGCGCAAAAGCATTACAAGAATATTATATACACAGTCCCGACGTTCTCCAACCCATCAGGCAGGACCACAAGCCTGGACCGTCGTCAACAACTCGTCAGACTCGCCAGAAAGTACGACGCTCTCATAATCGCCGATGACATCTATGACTTTATCCAATGGAATTCCACAGACACAAATCCGCCACCGCCGCTTATTCCTCGTATCGTGGATATTGACCATGTCTTGGACGGCGGACCAACAACGCCATTCGGGAATGCCATCAGCAACGCCTCTTTCTCCAAGATTCTCGCTCCAGGTTTGCGCACGGGTTGGACAGAGGCCACTCCGACCTTCATCCGCGGACTATCGCAGTGCGGATCTTCAGTCAGTGGGGGCGCGCCCAGCCAGTTCGTCGCATCGGTGATAGCCCAGACTCTCAGAAATGGCACTCTTCAAGATCATATCGAAAAGGTTCTCATCCCTTCCTATAAGCGACGATATCAAGCTACGCTTTGTGCGTTAGAAAGATACCTGCTTCCTCTAGGGGTGGTCCTTGAAGGGAAGACGAAAGGGCCAATGCAAGGTGGCTATTTTGTCTACTTTCTCCTCCCACCTTGTATCCTGGCAAAAGAATTCGTCCTCAGAGCCTCGCATGATGAGGCCGTCCTGATCGCAGATGGGAACATGTTCGAGGTCCATGGTGATGAAGATGCTGTTCCAGCACGACATGGGGTCCGCATTTGCTTTGCGTGGGAGCAAGAAGATTTTCTCGCGGAGGGGTTGAGGAGATTAGGAAAAGTGCTAGCGAGCATGCTCGAGCCGGAGCCAAGTGTTGTTAATGGCCGCAGTGCAATTAACGGAATATCCATAGAATCTTAAAAGCCATCCTTCAGACCGCCAGAATCTTCGTCCCTGTGCATCTTAAGACAGGCATCCACGCAGGAACTTCCTTCAGACCCCCATCTCTCATAGCCCACGCTTGTTTCACCACAGTCCACAACTTAGAAATATTCCCAATTTGGTACTTACGCATCCCCTCCCACCACTCATACCATATATCTCGAGCGCCGGGCTCAGCCTCGCAGGATGCAATGAAACCAGGCCACATAATGCTCGCAGTCAGGTCAAGATTTCTTCCTTGCTGTGCTCGAGCAGCTTCAATTTCCATTAGGTACTCGGCAGCACGCTGAACATATAGCGCCATCTCCGAGTCCGTGCAAGGCAAAACTCGTGTATGAAAGTATATTTGCAAGCTCTGGGCGAACGCGAGAATGTGAATCTTTCCAAGAGACACGTTGCAGTTGGCGGCAGGGAGAGAGGATAGGTTTTCCTGGTCAAGTGACCATGACGAGATGGTCTTGGAAAATCCGTGACAAGCTGAAAGAAGGGTGGGATGAATTGGAAGGTTTTGCGAGATAAAGTGGGAGATATTCTGCGAAAGTATGGTGACTTGGTGTAGATAATTAGCAAGAGTAGCTGTTATGCCGTATGTGACCTCTAAGTCGCAGCCATCGGTGAACATATCGCTTCCGGAGATTGGAAACCCATTTCTCGTCGACCATGGAATTGGTTGGAGGTCGACGGTTGTGGTATCTGAGAGGACCGTGAGAAAAGATGAGATAGTGACCAAACGTCCATCAAGTTCGATTGATTGGTCACGCATCTGCTTGCAAATCCGATTCACACCGCTAAGATGGACTTGGTACTCACTCATACTGCCTTCCATGATATCCGCAGTAATTAAGGTGAGAATAGCTGATATTGCAGACTCGTACATTTGAGGTACTCCAGACCTGCACACATCTTTTTTGCTATGGTCTAGTTCAGGTAGCTCTTCTAGTGCCATTTGAAGCCAATCGAATGCTTTCAGCCTTAGAGTTCTTGCCACTTCATCAAAAATTCTGGCTTTGTTCGTTGCTCGCAAATTAAATGCCGATGTGGCCATGAGAGAAAAGAATATGGCGACTGTACCTGATCCTTTTTGCGTAGGGCCACCCCTCAATGTTGCAGAACCAAGTAATGCATTTGGGACATACAGTGAACTGTATGTGTTCTGAGAATGAGGTATCGGTTGAAGAAGAGTAGCAACGTTGCGGACGTAATTCTCCATCAATTGACCTTCAAGAATACTTTGACGATATCCTTTGTCAAGCCCGAAGGACATCGAAGAGCAAATGGAACCCACAAGAGAATGGTTGGTCGAGGAACTGCTCATGTCATAGGAGCCATGCCGATAGATCATGGAGTCGCTTTTATCAGGAGAAGTGTTATTACTTCTAGGAATCTGCTCAACGGACTCTGTCGGTCGCTGTTGGTCATGCACGGAAGTACCTGAAACCGAGAACACTCCAAATGGTCCACTCGAGGATGGTTCGCCATCGATACCGCCACAACCGGCATTCTCTAGATCCGCCAATTGTTCATCAATCACACGATCTGGGAAAGACCACAGCGTATGCGCTGAAATAAGTCAGCACGTGACCCATTAATCACGGCGGACAAAGATGGGAGCACCATACGTTCTAGGCATCTAGCCTGCCTCTTTATTGCAGACGGCAATGTCGATGCATCGGCATCAGTGATCCAATATAATTGAACATCGTAGCCATCACAGTGTAGGCCAGCCCTGGTACACCGGGTACACGTTTGGCGACCTCCGTCGCATTTAACTTTGCGCCTCCGGCAGGTCCAGCAACTACTAGATCAGGAATTGGTCACTAATTAATGGAGAGTAGACGTACCCAGTAAAAGTCTTCGTCTTTGGTTTTGTCTCTCTGATTCTCTTTCTCGTCGACATAATCTACAGTATTGGAAGAGACCAGTTGGCAACCATCAGGTTGTTGGAAAGAACGACTATCCCCGCAGTTCGGAGCAACATATACTGTATGGGGCGGGCTACCATTAGGGGTTATCGGGAATCCCAACTTAGGGTGGTTGGGGACGCGCTTTATCAGCTATTACGTTACCCCATCCGCCCGAGGCTAGGCTATTTTGTGATGCCGATAACCTTAACACCTCTCTCGAAAATCTGACCTGTTGTGGGTGTGATGCTTGCTATGATCTACATGTCCAAGTACATCAGCTTGGGGCGACACGTTGCGATTGTTCCAAAAGCTCTTGGGCAGTCAGCCAGCCTCTTGCGTCGCGTTTAATCACCATGAGCAGAAACTCTTTATCCTCATCACCAATTTCTCAGGTGGCTGTGAGATGGAAAGGCAGTTTCAGGGTGCTAGTTGGACTCCCACATGGAGTTTGGAATGGCAAGACGGATGAAGAATTCGCCATTATTATTAATGTACTTTCATATTCCATCCTACAGAATATTACAAACACCAAGACGTAAAGGAATTCAGACAACTTTCAATGCATATTACTCGTGTCATTCTTGATTGTTGCGATAGTTCTGACACTGACACTATTGACTCGATCCACGTCCGATCCCACAAGGAGATCATCATCGCCACCCGTCGGCTGGTTACGTTTTCTACCACGAGTGGTAGTCTGGCTGGCAGCGCCTGTTGATACGGATTCAGATTCGGATTCCCTATGGCGCTACCATCTTTTAACCCTTTATAGCGATGCGCCCATGTAACACTGCTTCATAAACTAATAGGATGCACAGAGGTTTCTTGTGTGAGGGCTCACTTCTCAGAGGAGGTAGGGGACCAGACACAAAAGGTTTCAACTATGTTATAGTATATACTTATATAGTGGCGTCGTGCCAAAGGGGACCGACTGCGAGGAACTGTAGGAACCGCAACAGATTTAACAGTTCTTACAGTTCCATCCCACCTGGTTCACAACACGCATCTAGTAATGCATCCACGATTACGTATGGGATCCGTTCATCCAGGAGCACCCCTGCTTTCGGGCGGCTTGATCCCCAGCTGCCCGCTCTCCTGCTGTTATCTTTATTCATGTCTCAAGAAGGAATTCATACAGCCTCTTAAAGACATGGAATACATAGTTATAAAGACGTTCCTACAAATTACTAGAGCGAGACCCCTTGCCTGTCTAACCTGCAATAAATAGCCGACGCGAAATTGCCGAATAGTCCTATCCCAGGTTGTCGAGGGTTAAGCGGTGGCAGCAACTTAATTTCAATGTACAATAAACTCGATACCTAAAGAAACATCCTTCCCAATAATAGAGCTCAATAGCGAATATCAAACAAACGCTCACTCTAATCTAAATGCCAGGGTCCCGTATCCTAGCTGGTCATAACCCCCAGAGTTGGGTCCATAGTTGCCACCACCCCCTTCGGCACCACCGCTCTCGGAATTGACCAAATCCCTCATCTGTCCCGTGTACTTAGAATCCAACCCTTTGAGATCGTGATAGTGTGCATAAATAAGCTCCCAAGCTGGTCGAATTGTTCCTCTCGAGGCGTTTGAAATGACGGATTGAGTGACATCACTGTTGGTGTAGGACGTGTACGGAACATCTTCCCCAAGATTGTATTTTGCGGTATACTCACTTCCGGCAAGTATTTTGTTTGACTCATACCCAAAGAGGTCATCTCCTTGGTTATACGCCATTTGTGCAAGTGGCCCAAGTAGAGCAAAATCCAAGGTAGCGTGGCCTTGATCCCGTCCAGACTCCTGGCATTGACCTAGGACCACGCCATCTACTGTGTAGAGCTTCCAGACTGTGAGGTCTATCCTTCCGTTGCCAAGTCCGCTCTTGAAGTAAGTGATTGCTTCCTCGTACATGGTAGTGTTGTCGTTAAATATGCCAATGGCGAGCATAGATGCCATATTGCAGAGATCCCAGTTCGCCCAGTAGTGGTCCAATTCCGCATCGTTATGGCGTACAAGAAAATCGTGGTTGATGGAGAAGAAGACATCGTGAAGCATAGTTTTGAATCGTGTTTGGTCTGCCGCTGCCCAGCCGCTGTAGCTCCGAATAATTTCAGCAGCATTTGCAAATTGGTAGCCATAAATGCCAGCTGCAAGTGCTGCATCGGATGTCCCTCTGATTGCCGTAAGTGTTGACGACCAGCCGTTTAATATTTTAACTGCTGCATCAGCAAACGAATCATCTCCCGAGATCTTCCAGCGCAAGCCAAGAGCATAGGCGGCGTGAACATCGTTATAAAGCTTTGAGTAGTTTTCAGGATGTGTGCCATCATATCCGCGGTACACAATGGCTTGTGGGCTCGGGGCGTAGGTGTTGGAGGAGTGGGAATTGGCTGTCAAGGTATTCCAGCCAGTTATCCACGGAGCAGCATCTGCATCAACTTTTGCCTTCATTCGCATAAAGTCGGCGTCAGTATGAAGCATCCCGGGGTGTACCAAGGCAAACGCGCCATTTCCTAGCAGGAAAGACAGAGTGATGATAGACTTGTAAAGCATCTTGATTGCATGAGAATGGGTGAGCTGTTTGTGCATTTTCAAATTAAGAATAGAGAGAGGCAGCTTATTATATCCTTTTCTAGTCCCCCCAGCGTTTGGTTATATTACATTCTCCGGGGTTTCTATCGGACTGTAAAAAACTTTGGTTATGGTTGTAATATTGCAGTAACAAAAAAAAGGGTAGAAACTGCAAGGTTATTCCACCAAACAACCATAAGAGGAACGTTTTCAAGGAGCATACACATTGAAGATGAGCGAGTATTAACCGGCGCAAGGGAGATGATACGCGCGAGTACATGGTTGCTTCTAAAACATTGGAATAAATTAATAGCAAGTGTTGATCTCTACTCGAGTGGGCGTAACTGCAATCTAAATAGCGCAAATGATTTCTCACATCACAAGCTCCGGCTCCCAAGATTCTTTGGATTGCCTGGTGCATTGGTGGCGATCAGTGACCTTATTCTCGGCCTTCTGTACTGTGCAAGACAAAAGCTGGGGTAGCGGGGATGCGGGGATGCGGGGTTAAACTTCGGCTGCAAACTCTCCGCCGGGCATCACTGGCAGCATTGCTCCGATGCCCGTTGGATATTTAGTGTTGGAATCCTAGAGCAGCTAACAAAAGTGCCGAAAAGCGATCTTCCTGGAAACGACAGCCACCCATCAGCCAACTGTATGGTGGAAATTATGCGTACCGGGGGGTACCCGCTTACATTATTTTTTTGCCTAATATCTTTTGAGAGTAACGGGGGATGTACGGGGCCGAAGAAACGGTCGCAAATCTCTTGGCATTCAGTACCTCTCATATCTGGAGATGATTTACTAACGATCATGCAACTCAATTTCGAGTTAATAATTAGGATGACCGCTTTATTTTAATATTAAAGTCATTTTCTTTAATAATTTTTACTCTCTTGTCATGCATTACTGTAATTAAAAATCCTATAACCTCTAGGTTTAGCTCCTTCCTAGATAGAGAAAACAAATGCTAATTCTCTACTAGTTAGAATCCTAATCCTAGCATTCTTTGGGTTTATAACGAGTATTTTATTATAACGTCCTCTTTTAAGTACTTTCCTAGCGTTCTAATATATAAATGTAAAGATTTAGCAAACTAGGAGCTATACTCTTACACCTTAACAACCCCTAATGATGTTTAGCTCTATAGTATCCTAATAGGAGCTAGTAAGCCTCTAACAAACTATTTTATAGCCTAAAGCTTATAGAGTAATAGGTGTGTAGGCACCTAGCCTTAGCTACTTTAAAGACTAATTTTATCTTACATTAATAACATAATAGACATATAACCTAACTATAAGAGCATAGCCCTAAGTCTATTTCACCTTATTAAATGATTTAATTAGCAGGTAACTAGGGGTTCTCTCACCTAATGCAGGGCTTGGTTGTCTAGGTACAAGATGCGAATGATGAGCTATCAAAACCGCCATTACATTACGAAACACATGTTAGCTATATAGATGCACCTTGTAGATAATGCAGGTCTTAGAGGCAAGGCCTACGAAGAACGAGCAAGATAAGGCGGTAGGCCGCAAGGCCCGCGCTCCGCTTGATGAGTGAGAAATGGCGGTAGTTGATCGAGAGGACTTAGGGTGAGTTTGAGGTGGAAACGGCATCGGGCTTATATATTCGAGGTCACGCTAGCGTAGGCGGGTACGATGCGCTCAAACAGCGTGGGCGCTATTGCGGCCACGTAGGCATAGCGGCGCTTTCCCTGCTGAAGACCCCTCAATATCCAAATCCAGAATCGCAGACATGTATATAGCTATAGTAAATGTAGGAGGACTAGATATAATCATAGGGGGATTAGGCAAATGTGAATATGGTTTAGATGAATTAGCGCTGCATAATATAATACAGTGCATAAATGGATAAGAGGTTGCTTAATGGACAGAATAAGCACTCAATTCCACCGTACTCTCGATACCAAGAACTGTAGAATAAGGCGGTCCATAGCCTTGGCTAAGTTAGAATACTACAGGAGAGGGTATGGTAGGGCAGGCTCAGGACTCGGGCAGGCTACAGTAGCTAACCCTCACATACCGTCGTATGTGCAATGTAACAGAGCCTTGGCTGAACAGGGCAGTGGGAAGTCACTTTATGGATAACTACGTAGTAGACTCTGTATTGATTACGAAAACTGAACGCTGACCCTCCTTTAGAGGTCCGCGTTCCCACTACTATATACGATTCCGCGCGGGGTTCGGAGTGTAGACTCTCCGTCTTAGCACCGCATTACACTGACTGTAGTCCGCATGTGATATTGCTCGTAACAATTATCCCCCCCTAGAAGGCACAAGCCCCTTTGAGCCCGAATTGTGAGGTCGGCCTGTACAACTTATTGTTTGGATGCGCCGTGTTGCCGTGGTGCCTGCTATGGCCTGAGGAATCGGACCTGTTTTGCCGACGCGTTATTGTGGTGTTATTGTGGTGGCCCTTGTCCCACTTTCGCTTCTTCTTCTTTTCAGCCTTTCCCATATCACTCTATCGTACCAGCTTCTGCCATTATCTAATCACAGCCACATGGGGTGCACGGCTAGAGGCGCTTTGCGGGGCTATGCGGAAAGATGAAGAGGGTGGAGAGTATGGGGAACATGCGGGCTAAGGTGCTCAATGGCGGCGGTCGTTGTAACGTGTGACAAGTCCACCACAGAGCTTGGCGATTGCGCTTGGCGATTGCGCTTAGTGATTGCACTGTCGTAGCAGACACACACTGTCGTTGCGGACAACCAATGCACATTATTAGCCACCCGTTCGTTGAAATGGCGGCTAAGAATGTAACAATAAAAGTAATTGCCCTCCACCCAAAATCATCCCAAGTAATACTAATCATCCACCTTCAGTAACCTCTGCAACCTCTGCAACCCCTGCAATCCCCCCATTTCCCCCGCATCGCCGTTGAGGAGATGATGGTGCATTTCCACAGAGGAGTCTCCCGAGGACCATTAGATGCGGGAAGGCACGAATCCCTACAATGGTTGCATTGACACCTTGGCTAGAAACCTAACGGTTCCGAGATGATCTTTGATGGTCATAGACGCTTTTGTATAAACTGGGATCGTCGCCTCCCTTTACCAACAACTAGAATCCAGCGACTCACAGAGATTAGGAAGCACTCAAAGATGCGTTTCACTCAAGTCTTCGCGGCCTTCATGGTCACCTTAGCCGGCGTCGATGCCCTGACTACCCCACAGCCTGCCTCCTCCGTCAAGGTCAATCCCCTACCCGCCCCGTCCTCGATCACCTGGGGCACCTCGGGACCTAAAAGGGTCGCCGGCGGACTCGTCGTCCGCACGATCTACAACCAGGCTGTCAGCGATGCCTGGAACCGCGCGTTTAAGGCCATCACGCAGCTCAAGTGGGTTCCAGCGACCTGGGAGGCTCCCATCCCTGAGTTCGAGAAGTTCCCAGGCACAAAGCGCACCACCCCCTCCCCTCTGATCATTGAAGTCAGCATCACGATTGACGACTACGAGGCCGATCTGCAGCACGGAGTCGACGAGTCCTACACTCTCGACATAAGCGAGAAATCGCAGTCCATCGACATCACTGCAAAGACAATCTGGGGTGCCTTCCACGCCTTTACTACCCTCCAGCAGCTCATTATCTCCGACGGAAATGGCGGCCTTCTCGTCGAGCAGCCAGTCTCTATTAAGGACAAGCCGCTCTACCCATACCGTGGTATCATGGTTGACACTGGCCGCAACTTCGCCAGCCTTGGGAAGATCCGCGAGCAGATCGACGGCATGTCCCTGTCTAAGCTAAACGTCCTACACTGGCACCTTGACGACAACCAGTCGTGGCCCGTCAAGATGAACGTCTACCCAGAAATGATCAAGGGTGCCTACTCAGCCCGCGAGGTCTACACACACGGCGACATCCAGGGCATTGTCGCCTACGCACGTGCCCGCGGCGTTCGCGTCATCCCTGAGATTGACATGCCTGGCCACTCGTCGGCTGGCTGGAAGGAGGTTGACCCAGACATCATCGCCTGCGAGAACTCGTGGTGGTCGAACGACGTCTGGCCGCTCCACACCGCCGTCGAGCCTAACCCAGGGCAGCTCGAGCTAATGAACCCTAAGACCTACGAGGTCGTCGAGAAGGTCTACAACGAGCTCTCGCCCCTCTTCCCCGAGCACTTCTTCCACGTCGGCGGTGACGAGCTCCACCCCAACTGCTACAACTTTAGCAAGTTCTCCCAGGATTGGCTTGCTGAGGACTCGTCACGCACCCAGAACGACATGCTCCAGCACTGGATGAACATGACCCTACCCATATTTACCAAGCCAAAAAACAGCCGCCTAATTATGTGGGAAGACATCCTTCTCGCCAATTTTCATGCCACCAAAATTCCCAAGGACGTTATCATGCAGACCTGGAACCTAGGCCTTACTAATATTAAAAAGCTAACTGGCCTCGGCCACGACGTCATCGTATCCTCGGCCGACTGGTTCTACCTCGACTGCGGCCACGGCGGCTGGGTTGGCAACGACGCCCGCTACAACGAGAACGTGAACCCGAACCCGGACGTGCCCAACTTTAACTTCGGCGGCATCGGCGGCTCGTGGTGCGCCCCGTATAAATCGTGGCAGCGAATTTACGATTACGACTTCACGGAGGGCCTAACCGCCGAGGAGGCCAAGCGTGTCATCGGCGTCACCGCCCCGCTCTGGTCCGAGCAGGTCGATGACACTGTCATCTCTAGCAAGATGTGGCCTCGCGCCGCAGCACTCGCCGAGCTCTCGTGGTCCGGAAATAAGAATGCCGCTGGCAAGAAGCGCACTACAGAGCTGACGGCGCGCATCTTGAACTTCCGCGAGTACCTCGTCGCGAACGGTGTCCAGGCCGCCCCACTCCAGCCAAAGTACTGCCTACAGCACCCGCACCACTGCGATCTGGCATATGACCAGACCATTATGCATTAAGCGGAGCGGAGAGGAGCTGATAGAGGGAGTTGAGTGAAGGGTGATTGTTAAGGGTGCGAGAGAAGTAAAAGGGGATTGCTTTGAGGATTTACACTAGAAAAGATGGCCTGGCTTTAACAAGATAAATATCATGACGGGGAGAGCACCCTTAATTTACATTTATAGGCTGCTTGATAGTGACTTAACTTTGTGCTCTTGCTTTGTATGTATGTTGTGCTTGAAGGACGGTTCTGTGTGCTAACTTGTTCGTGTTATGAGGATTGCGCACTATTAGAACAAGGGGATACAAGATAGGGACTATGAAATAGCTAACTAAATGCCACTAAACGAACGCTAAAAGCTAAAGCTAACTTTACTTCCACTATCTCACCCCTACTCTTTACATCCGCTAGGAGCGACGCTTTGATGCCTGGCTACATAGTTCAGCATAGTGAACTGCACTATAGGCACGCCCTATTGCGCCCTCCCCTTTATAAGTCACTCTCGTCCGAAACATAATACGGCGACACCAACGGAGGTAGCGCTGGCGTGTCTGTCCCTAGAACGACCGTCTCTTGCATCTCCGGGTCGTACAATGTCCTAAAGACGCTGTAGCCCCTGGCAGATGACCCCGCGGACGACCTGGCGCTCGGGTCGACCCGACGTCTCTTGCGGGGGCGGCTTTTCGGCAGCCCAGCCAACAACTCAGGATACCATCTCTCCTCTAGAAAGCAAGCTGTTAGCGAAACTGGTCTTAAAAATCGTTTCCTCATCGTCAACTCACCCTCGGGCATCTCGAACATAGCTATCTTCAGATTCTCCCTCACCCGCATCGCGTCGCGTAGAAAGTCCCCCATAACGGATCGAGCCGTCTGCTCGTCAAACACAGAGAGGAAGGGCTTGCCAGGTCCGCGCCTCCCGGGCCACTGCTCCTTCATGGCCGATTTCAGCTCGTCAAGACGAGCGTCGACAGTCCCCTCGTCGAAAAACGGCGCCGTCTGGCGGAGGAACTCCTTCACCCCACCCACGACCTCTAAGTACTCTGGCGCAGTCAATGCGTCCACAGCCTCTTCGGGCTCATCGGGCAGCTCGATGCGCTCCTTCACGCGCAGAAATGCGTAGCGTACCAATGGCAGGCCGGGGTCCATGCCATCTAGGGAGCCGAGCGCAACTATCTTCCGTCTCTGGGGCCGGGTCGTATGCCACTCGCGTGAGACGAGGACAATCCAGCTGCCGGGCTCGAGGGGACGGAGAGCAGGCCAGAGGTCTACCCTCTGGCCTTCTTCGTTTACCTCCGAGGCACGCGCTGACTCCGGGATAGCGCAATTCTCCGCGGGGATGGGGTCGATGGTCAAGCCGGGGAACTGTCCCTCGTCAGCCACCAAGTTGGAGGGTGTGGCCGCCAAGCTGAAGAGGAACCGATCCGTAATTATGGACTGGCAGTACCGCAGGAAGCCGTCGACCAGAAACCGTGGTCTCAACAGCGCGTCGGCGAGGGAGAAGTGGCATGGTCGGAATCTCGGAGGACTCCTCTCATCAGAAAGATCGAGGTACTGCTGACGAACGAACAGTTTCTGAACGGGGAAATCCTTTAAAAGAGTCGTATTTCCTGCCGGATCAGGGAGCCACTGTTTTCTTTGAAAGGGAGCGGAAAAGGCGCCTGTTAGGATGACGCGTCTCGAACTCAAGAGGCTGCGTCCATGGGGTGATTCCCGAAGCTGCGCGAAGAGTCGAGTGGACTTTACTTCGTCGGTCCTTAGCGGACCCTCGAGAAAACAAATTGTACGAATACTCTCGTGCAGATCAAGGGCATTGATGAGGGGTTCTGGCGAGTCGCCGTCGCTGATACCGTCGAGGCAGATACTGAGGGCCTCCACTTCTCCCAGTCTTGTCGAACTAAGAGTAGCGGCGATGGTATCGTATGACAGGCACTTCAAGGCAACTAAGTTGAGATGGCTTTGCCCAGAGAAGGCCAGACCAAGGAGCTGCGTTACGGATTGAGGCCCGTCCAGTGCACCGGGATCTCGCTGGAGCCGCGCGAGTAGGCGGCTCTGGAATTCTGGCTGACCGATAGTGTCTCCAAAATCCTCGATAACCAGCTCAGTGTCTCGGGCGGCTTGGATCAAACGAGAAATCTCCTCGTCGGGGGTGACGCTTTGTCGGGCAGGTCCTCTAGGCTCCGCAACGGAGTTGGAGGGAGGACAGACGTCTAAGCTATATCAGCACACGCTCCCTACTAAGTCAGGACTGAACTTTTAGGTTAGACTCACAATTTATCACGGCTCCCTTGATGACCGAATGTCTCCTAAGCCGCTCAATGGCACTCGTAACATTGTGCATGCCGTATTGGCGCATGTAGCCAGTTCCGGAGAGCGGTCGCGCCCGGGACTTCTCTAGCTCAATCGCCGGCATGTTGGTGGGGCGCCAGCCGTCCATAATGCCGTACATATCCTGCTCAAAATCCTCAGTAAAATCATAGCCCTCGAATGAGTAGATCACCCTCGAGCTGAGGATGCCGTATCCAACGTTGTCGAGGTCCGTTACGTCAAACACGATGGCGCCGTACTCGACGTTATTAAGGTGAAAGACGGTATCCAGTGACTGTTCCTGCACGTCGCCTAGGCGAGTAAAGTATCTACGATCGGCGTTAAGAGCTAGGCGTAGGCATGTTGACGTGAAGGGAAACTCACGAATGCCGCCTGACCATTCCAGCTCAGGCCTGTCCGGCATGCCGGTCCTCGTGTCTTTCCACTTTTCGTTGCTAAACGCAGGCTGCATCTCGTCTGGTACCACAGGGGGGTGCGGTAAAGGGCGCTGAAGGCGTCCCTGATACCAGGATCTGGCCAGTGCCATCTCGGCCTCTAAGGCGGCACGGTTTGTTGGGTCGGACAGGATGGATGCGAGGCGCGCGCAGTCTTCGAGGACATGGTGCACACGCAACTCGGCACGAGTATCATATCGCCCGGGGCTGAGACCATGGCCCTGGCGGTAGGCCACTGCGAGTGGACGGTGGCTGTAGCCCGATTCCGAGGGACCAATGTCGGCGACAATGTAGAAGAGGAAGGACCTTGGGCTGGTTTCGCCGACGACCTTGGTCCCAGACATGGCTAAGGTGCCTCTCTATGTGTAGAGAGTAGTGGGGACGGCTACCTTCCCAGATATGCGAACACGCAAAGGAGTACAGCAGCGCCGGTGGGCATCTTATAATTATAACATAACGCTGCTGCCTGTGTTGGGGTACCTTCCCCTTATTGGCCACAACTGAACATCCGGGGAAACAACAATATGCTAGGTTTATTTTATGCCAAGCATCGTACGGGAGGCTGAAGTACGCGAGCGAGGCTACAAGTATCCCCGATCAAGGGGTGGATGGAGGCTTCGCTGTGGCGGGGAGCCGAGCCTGCGATGGAAGTAATAGGCAGCGAAATGAGAATTTGATTTCAAGCAAGTCCACACCTGCGATTTAGGTGGCCACGGCAGCTATGGACTCTAAGGAGGAGTACGGCACCATCTATGGCTGTATATCCCAGCTCAACCACATTCGCAGGATTCGAAGTCGGAAGGCTTCAAATTCACAGGATTTTCGCGCAGAATAAACTACTTCTAGACGAATTCGCGTAGAAAATTGTAGCTTAAAGAAGGCTTCAAATGCAAAGGATTTTTGCGCAGATTCGACTGCTTCTACACGAATATGCGCCAGTCAGGTTCGAAGGCTTCAAATGTACAGGATTTTAGCGCAGATTTGACTGCTTCTAGTTTAACCGGCGCAAATTGGGGTTGAAGGCTTCGAATAGTTCGGATTTTGGCGCAGGTTCGATTGCTTCTAGCTGAACATGAGCAATTTGTGGCTTGAAGGCTTCAAGTAGACAGGGTTTGTCCTGCACCCGCAACGTGTGGCTGCGAGAAAACTCGGCTATGTCTGTGTTAGGCAGGTACTTATATTAGTATTAATATAAGAAGATAACTGAAATATTGTGCTATATTTCGTGATTGCCCAAGAATAACAAGCAGCTTCCTAGTTTTGCCTAGGATTTCAGGATTGCGCCCCAACCCTAAATCTGCCGAGGTGAATAACCTTGCAAAGCTTGTCTGCTGATAAGCATTGCTAAGAACACCACTTGCCTATCTGAGTTAATAATCCGGTCTCAAGCCTTTCGGCGGGCTGATTATACGTGTGCGCTAACATAGGTTTGTTGGTCAGGTATCAGACGACATAACCATAGCAGTGCCTTCACCAATACCGTGATCTTTCCCACCATCTCAACATCAGAACACCAATGATGAAGCCCCGGGATACTCAACCCTACTGGGCAAAGTATTGAACTAAGAGTCATTATATGCCTGCCTCCACCGTTATTAGGAAGGTACGAGACTATAGTTTGCTCAAGACACGCGTTTAATCTCAGGTGAATGTCTAATCGGCCCTCAGTTGTGTCTAGAATTAGAGGCCATTCCATCTATGAGAACCTCCGCTACTTTATTTTATGGCCCTGTAACCTAAATGATAGAAAGGAGAAGGTGGACATAATAGTGCGGCCGGTATGCGACAGCTGCCTTTGAATTCATGCCTCTTTCCATGGCATAAGTGAGTATACATGTGTTTCTTAACAATCATCAGGATATCAACATCCTAGACAGTTTAGGAAGGTATTTCAGACGGAAAGCAAATATGCTTCGACTGTCGGCGATGATATTTGTATATAAACCAGCTTTCTGTCCTGAATCTCTCTGTTATCTGCAGTCTCAAGTCGTACTTCATCTACAGCCGTATTCTTTACTGTCACCTCGCATCATCATCTCTATCAAAATGAAGTTCACTACCCTCACTAATGCCCTTCTCCTTGCGGGAACGGTCGCTGCGGCACCGGGAACAGCCATCAGACGTGCACGAGCAGCAAGACAAAGCAAGCCCCTGAATCCTGTTGATGGATTAACTGCCTTGGGCGGGCCGAACAACTCTCACGTCCAATACTCGGGCAACTGGGCAGGTGCGGTCCTTGTTGGAACTGGTTACACATCAGTTACTGGCACTTTTACTGTACCTACTCCCACTACTGATGGGAGTGGATCTGCCTGGGTAGGCATAGATGGCGACACATGCGGTACCGCTATTCTCCAAACTGGAATCGATTGGACAAAATCCGGGTCGTCAATTACATACGACGCCTGGTATGAATGGTTAGTTCATGCGGGATCTCTTAATCCTCTTTACATGCTTTTCAATTCTACATCTCATCTTCTGGGTTTGGACTTGCACTAACAGGGCCAAAGGTATCCAGATTACGCATATGACTTTAGGTATGATTCCGCACATCTTACATGCTTCAGTATCATTAACTGTTATTAGTGGCATCTCATTGGCGGCCGGAGATGTTGTGACTGTCACCGTGACTGCCACCTCGAAAACTGGAGGAACTGCGGTTATCAAGAACACCTCGACTGGGAAAACGGTCACCCACAGCTTCAGCAACGAAGCAAGCACCGGGTCACTCTGCGAGACTAACGCTGAATGGATCGTCGAGGATTTTGACTCTGGCGGAACACAGGTCAGCTTCGCTAACTTTGGAACCGTTTCCTTTACGGGAGCTTCGGCTGTGCAGAGCGGAACTAAAGTTGGCGTGACTGGGGCTAGTATCATTGATATTAAGCAGGGCACCACAGTTCTTACAGACTGTTCCCTTAGCGGCTCTTCGGGTGTGACTTGCAAGTATGTCTAATTTGCAACGAGGGGATGAGTCTATGTTGGCTAGAATGATGATGATGATGATGGGTAGTTTCGTCTATGGGGACGTTTTAAGCTAGGGAATTACATACAATTTGATTGAAAGCACTTCTTGTCTAGCTGTGAGGCTGTGAATCCAGTTGACTGAGTACCCTGTCTACCAGTTGAGATGGTATAAAATGGTTGGAAGAGGGTAACGCCTCACTGTTTCTCCCATATGGTGGCTAGAAGAAGAGGTTAGGGTGGGGGTTCAGACCCAAAAGGTTCGATTCATTGCAGTACCTATTTTACAAACTGTCACTATATAGTCTAGACTTTTAAACGTCGTACTGTAATACATTTATGGAACCATTGTCACAGCTCATATCCAGGGGGTGTAGAGGTGCTTTGGCTCCTCCTCTCTTCTCCCTACGAATCCTGAGGTTTTAATCTCCGTGGCTACGTATGAGGTGCTTTCTTGGATAGATGGACGAGTCGCGCCAATTTTGTCGCCGTTCATCCCTTTTCTCGTGATTGTTCAAGGTATTGGAAGATCATTTCACTAAACTCCAGATAATTACAAAGTTTAACAACCTAAAGTAGTTTGCTCCGTATAACCATATGGCCATGGAATAAGGATTTTTTTGACAGAGTTCACAGAGCGACGCGTTAGATTTGAAGATCGATAGCAGTTATATAGGCAGTAGTTTTCAACCATGGGATTGTGCTCGCGATACGTGGAGTGTGGTATGGAGGATATGATGATATTTTTTTTCTTTTCCCCTAGTCTTGCTTATCATTGCGGTGACATAATTTAGCATCCAACCCAGTCGTATCACATGCACGGCGAGGGTTATATGAAAATCCACTCACAGCCGCAGCCACTTAGCAACAGCTCTCCGCCCTCATGTCTCCCCAGCGCCCCTAATTCCCAGCCGTCTCAACAACTCCACCAACTCCCCAGTCACTCCCTCCTCTCCAACAATCGCCTCCAATACCCCTCCCACCATCTGATCACTCACTCCCGCTTCCTCCACCAAACCCCTCAACCACGCTTCCTCTTCTCTCCCAAGCACAACACCACTCACTTCCCTCACTAGCTCTCCAAAAAACTCAAGCAGCGTGACATGCATCAGCACATCCTCCCGATCCACCATCTCAAGCGCAGCAAAATGCAGCAACCCCTTCCCCGACGTGCCGTAGCTTCTCTCGGCATCTGGAAAGTGCGCGCGCGAGAGCGTGCTCAGATCCAGCACAGCCAAGGACGGGAGCAGGCGCAGAAGCCGCCCCTGTGCAAGCGACCGTTGACGCTCAGGGAGGTAATCCGCATCATTCTCCGGGGTAGCAGCGCTGCACATCGCGAATATTGAAGCGTAGATATCCTTGACTCCGAAAATGCGGCGCCAGAGCAGGCCCTGTCCCTGCCCCGCCTTCGAAGGTGGAGGAAACGTGATCACCCCATCATCGCGTCGGAGAGGTGGCTCGGGGCAGTCCGTCGCCAGGAGTGCGGCGAGAAGCTGCGTCGCGCACTCACCGACCCCGACGGCGGGACTGGCTAGCCAGGTTCGTATAAGTTGTGCGATTAAGTCGGGGTGGGTGGCGAGGAGGGCGACGTTGGAGGGGGATGAGGCGGCTTTCTCGAGGATGGCAAGGGCGAGGAGTCCGGATGGGGGGGAAGAAGAGAGGGCAAGTGTTAAAGAGGGTGGGGGGGCGATGGTGAGAAGCGTGGTGAAGTTGAGGGGGGCGAGGAGTTTTGAGGCGAGGGAGGCGACGGGGGTGGGGTCGTGGGGGGTGAGGGTGAGGGTTGCGGTGAGATCGGGGAGGAGGCGGTTCAGGAGCGGTGGAGTGTTGGTTGCTGTTACATGTTAGCTTGGTTCGTGATGTGGATGAGGCTGGATGGGCGCGGGTGGCCATAAGAGGCACTGAGGAGATGGCGAGGCTATCATCCCCCTCTTACCCCGCTTCACTCTTGGAAAATGAAGCGCCTCCAGGAGTTCATCGGAGGAAATAGGTCAAACAGCACGGTCCTACCTCTCCGACAGAAGGAAAGATTATCCACTTACGCGTAAGTTGAAGCTCAACATCATCAAACAGCTTCGCATCAAACGGGGTGTCGGGTTTCTCAACGAGGACCTTCAGGTGCTTCTCCAGCGCCTCCAACCCATCTATCGGTGCATTCTCCATCCTGTAAAAGTCCAGTCTTGTTATTCGTTTTGCTCAGAATCGCCTTCCCAAATTTCTCAAAGCTGTGATATGCCGAAGATAAAGTCCGAATAAACCAAGCCAGGGACACAAGAGGCGACGAAGCCAAGGAGGAAGGCTGACAAACCTAGAGTGGCAGGCGGTCGGGATTCTGCCGCCTTAGCCTGCGGGGGAAATCGCGCCGCCAAATTTCTCTCAGCCTCGCCGCCGACCTCATTCTTTCGCGACGTAATCGAGCTGTTGTATATCTCGATCGTTCAATGCAGCTCTTCGCAGTCGCTATATCACTCTTTAAATAATATACTACAGCTGGTGTGCAATCAGACGCATTTGAATACCCCCAGCTGGCACGGCCACGGATCTACGACTCATCCCAGCCAGACCAGTCAGAATAACCACCTCGACTGATTGAAAACTTCACTCACCCAGCGCCCCGCCAACCACCAAAATGTCGCGCGGCGGCCGAGGCGGCGGCCGAGGAGGCATGCTCAAAGGCGTCTCCTGGGAATACGATCCCACGCAAACCCTCGACTCCGCTCCCACCGAGCTCTTTCCTGTACTTCCCCCCCACCCCGCCTTTACGCATTGCACAAGCTAACCACCCACCACAGGACTACACAATCCCATTCGCCTCCCCCGCCACCCCCACCGAGCAGCGTGCAGTGCGCCTCTACAAAGACCTGCGCGAGCAGATCCACCATGGTCCTCTATACACGAAGGCGCCGCCGAGAGACCCGAATACGGCGCCCAAGGTGTTCGGCGAGGAGCAGGAGAACGAGCTTTTTGAGATGCGAGGACGCACAGACACAGATCCGTTTGTGGGTGTGCCGACGTATACGATGAAGTATGACAGGAAAGAGAGGGCAATTCCGATGTTGTCGGGGAGGCCGTTTAGTGAGTCTCACCCGTCTTGGACGTCGCAGTGAACGAATGCTAATGTGTTGGACAGTTAAAGCTTTCTTCCCCGCAGAACTCCACGCCACGCTCGAAGGCTCGGATGGCCTAGCGGCGCGAGGCACCATTTCGCGCCGCAAGAAGCTGATCCTGGCGCGCGAACCGGGGCTTGCGGGCGCGACGGAGGAGGAGAGGAAACGTGCGTTGCTGGCGAAGCTGGATGGGGCGGCGGAGGAGGAGGGGGAGGAGGAGGAGGGTGAGGAGGAGGGCGAAGAGGAGGATTACAATTATGAGGATGATGAGGAGGAGATGGGTGGCGATTATGATGCGGAGCAGTATTTCGATGATGGCGGAGAAGGGGGAGATGATGATGAAGGAGGAGGGGGTGGGGATGATTATTAGGTTGGTGGGCGGGTGAGTGAGTTTGGGGGGTAGAGGTGAATTATGGAGTTATGAGGGAAATATGTTTATCAACACGGGGGACTGTGGCTGTTTGGAAATCTCGGGTGTGATAGATACCTAAATCGGCATTCATATATGCGACGATCAATTTACCACGCTCCATCCGTATTGAGGTCTTACACGCTATTAACTTTAGCCACAAATCCTGATCAATCCCGAGGGGTATCTTTAATCCAACAGCGCTGAACGCCGCCGGCCTTGCTGTCGTTACTGCTGTCGTTACTGCTGTTCTTGCTATCGGTCGCTCTTGCCGTCGACGTTCTTGCTGTCGGTATCCCTCTCGCAGGTTCGTTGCGCAAATCAACACAGCCCGTTTCAAGCCTGCTCCACAGGAGGGAAGATTGCCAGATCCACCCCAAAAAAAGGGCCTTGTGGAGGATTCGGGCCGCCGATGGCGTTTGGGAGTGGCGGCGAGGTGTATCGGGGTGGGTGCTGCATTGCGGCTGGAGGCTTGAGGATATTGAGGGTGCTATGGTGGATGTTGCTATGGTGGATGTTGCGTTGTGGCTCGATACTTGAGGTTTGGGGATATTAAGGTGGTTGTCGCGGTCCACAAGATAGATCATATATATCGTCGGGTGAATGTGCTCCTAATCAGGTGGGATCGCGGTGTGCTTCGGATCTTGTAAGATGGGTGTGGCAGGCGGTTTACAGTCGCCTCTCATGGGTAGCAGGAGGAGCGAAATCAAGGTTATAAGGAGCCTAAAAGCTTGGTTCATGTGTCAATTGATACGCGATGTAACGATCTTTCCACCTGATCCCTCTGCCCATACAGACAGATGAAGCTAGAACCGAAGCATACGCATCCATCTGTACTGCCCTTGCAATCAAAAGGTCGTAAGGGACAGGGCCTCTCTGTTCTTGTGCGTCCACGCTTTCCGGTCGTTGCAGTCGTTGCGGTCGTTTATCAAGTCTATTCTCACCGAGTTGGAGGTCATCGAAACTGTAAATTCAGCCAGCATATTTGGCCAGTTTAGCAGCTATTGGCCGCTCCTGTACAGTCTGGATGACGTGCCCAGCTATGCCGATGTCCCAGATTTGAACCTGAACGTCATGTGTCGTTAAGGGGTTTGCAGAAGATCACACACCCAGCTTCTAACTATAGAATCATTTCATATTCTGTAATTCAGCTCTTATCCGAGTCCAAGCCTTGACCGTGACTTCTTCTACTGATATCCATTCTAACAGCCCCGTTCCGTATCTAAAATGTCACCAACAGTACTCGGCGAGTCCCCGAGTACTCGAAAATATCACCCGAGTACTGCTCACGGCGAGTACTACTCAAGCAACACTGTTTGATAGTGAAAGATGAATTGGGAAGGTTTGTGGGGTCAGCTTGGTGAATTTATCTAGCAAAACCAGTATTTTAAAAAAACATTATTAAATAGAAAGTCGTTATATTCGTAACCCCCCCACATCTATATATACCCTCCAGTCTCCCTCTTAGCATGCAAATTAAATGAAAGTCATCCCCAAAAGGGAAAAAGACCGAAACGACCAAACCAAACCAAAAAAATATATATAAAGGAATGTGGCCAAGTCGTTCGTGCCCTGCCCGTGTCTCCAATCTCGGACGGTTTATTCTTTACTCTATGACCCGACAGGAAAATCATGTGTGCAAGAGGTATCAGGAAGACATGGGAAAAGAGGATACGAGAGAGGGATATTCACCCTACCCCCTTCCCACCCTACGCAACCACCGCCCTAGCCTCAACCCCCACCCCCACTCCCACACCCACCCCTCCCATCTCCTTCCCCCTATCAAACGCCCCATAAACCTCAAACTCCGCATCCTCCTCCCCCTCACTCCACCCATCCTCATACTCCTCATACTCCTCATCCACAATCTCCATCTCCCCAATCCTCGCATCCAGCCCCACCACCTCCCTCCCCCTCTCGGGCCATGCCCCGACAAGGCCCTCCCAGACTTGCATCCACACCCCCGCACTCTGGGTATCTAGACCCTCGAAGGCGCATGATGCGCCTAGAGCGTCGGTGCGGGAGGGGTAGACGCGGGTGGAGAGGGCGAAGCGGCCGTTGGCGTAGACTTCTACGATTGAATTATCCACGAATACCCTGACGTGTAGGTCCTCGCCGTCTTGTAGTTTGAATGGTCCTGAATCCGGTGTGAGACGGCCGTGGAGGAGGGAGGATTTGGAGCGGTCGACGGAGACGGTGTGGGTGGCGAGGGAGAAGATGATGCGTGTTACCTCCTCATCGTTGGGTGATTGGCGGACATTGAAAGTTAGCAACTCATTCCCTGCTAGACCACGGAAGCGTGCTTCGATTTCGTACGCCTTGGAGCGGAGATGGCGCAGGGCTTCGAGAGAGTAGATCATCGAACCTGATCTGAGCCCCCGGAGCTGGCGAGCTGGTCGCACGCCGAGAGTTGTCATTATGCCTAGTTCCTCGTCGCGGGTCCAGAGATGAGCATCGACTGCTTCGGGGTCGGCGGGAACGAGGGGCCGCGTTAGGGTGAAGAGTTCGCGTGGGAGTGTGAGGCAGCCTGACCAGCCTTGGGTGATTTTGAGGGCGGGTGAGGCGTCGAGGTCTTCGTCTGCCCAGCCGGAGAGCATGACTTCGTTCTTGGCGCCGCGGAAGACGTGGGGGCCGTAGTAGATGCCGTGGTCGACGGCGCCGTGGGAGAGGGGGGTGAATGTGGGTTTGCCGTTGGGTGTTAGGGAGAGAGCGCCGCACATCCAGAGGACGTAGCGCGAGGAGTTTTCTTCAACGGCTGTGATGATGTATTCCTTGCCGTTTAGGGTGAAGAAGGAGCCGCACTCGAAGTTCTTACCGATGTGTAGGGAGCTGGCGTGGTGAGATATGGGTGTTTCCGATGGAGCATCGAAGAGCACACACAACTCGGTCCAGCTTAGCAGGTCGTCAGACTCGTAGAGGATGAGCTCAGGGCCGTTGCCCCGCTCGCCAGACGACACGAGCATGTAGTTCGTGCTGGGATGGACGTCACGCAGCGCCGATAGCGAGGGCCAGGTGCTGACAAAAGGGTCCCGCCAGCCGGTAGTAGAAGCGCCATGGCGGGGTTCAGAGAGCACAGGGTTCTCCTGGTAGCGGTGCCAACTGTGACCAAAGTCGGTGGAACAGGCGAGGGACTGGCTCTCGCAGCCGGCAATGTACGGCTTGGACCAGTGTATGGGTAGGGCTGAGATGGAGGTGTAGAAGAGGTAGACCACGCGCCTGTTGTTGACGACGCGCGAGACGAGCGAGCCTGAGAAGACACCGTGCGGGTCGTACGAGCCGGGGGGACCGTTGCGCAGCGGGGGGAAGCAGTCGACCCACGTGATGAGGTCTTTAGAGCGGGCCATACCCCAGGCGGAGTTGCCGGGCTCGACGGTCCCTGGGTGCCATTGGTAGCACAGGATGTACTCTTTGATCTCTGGGATGTAGGCGGCGCCGCACGGGTCGTTCATCCACGAGTGAGGCGCGATGAAGTGGTAGGAGGGGCGGTAAGTGTTGAAGGAGACCGTTTCAGAGTCCATTTCCGAGCCCATATCTGCTCTCGCGCGCCTCGTGCGCGTCGAGGACTCAGGGCGTGAGTAGGATGAAGGTACAGAGGGGGCGGTGGGTGAGGATTGGTTGCTCGGGGAGGTGGGTAGGTTTCTTATAAGTGGCGCACCGCGTGGTTGAATGCGGCAGATGAGAGCGGGCCGTGGTGATTAAGTTAGGGTTGGCGGCGTTGAGGCTCGACGGAAAGAGAAAAGGAGCAGGGACGAGGAATATGGATGAAGGGCAGTTCTGAGCCCGTGATATCTGCGGTGATGGCAGGATATGGCAGGATATGAGAGTGCTCGTACTGAAGCGAGAGTAGCGACCCACCTACCTACCTACCGACATCTAAATGACAGATGAGTGGCGACGGAAGAGACGTGGGGTGAGCTGCATCTGCATGGAAGATCTGTGGAAGACAAGCAGCAGCTAGGCAATAATTGGCCGCCTTGTTCTTCCCACAGATGATTTCAACGAACGTTGTTGTGCGGCGGGAAGTGGGTATCATGTATTCATCCGAGTAGAACAGCCGAGGGAGGAGGAGACAAGTGGGCGGAGAGTCGGAAGTTCAGGGCCGGGTGAAGACGACGAGGAAGGAAATAATGGCAGATAAACGAACCTCGAGAGTAATCCTAGACCTTTTGATAAGGCTCCCGGGATTCTGGGGAGGGGTGTAAAGAGATTTATATAGTAGTTACCTTCGTAGGCGCGGCCAAAGCAATTGGTAACCATGTTCGGCCGTTTTGGCGGCGGGACGAACGACCTAGTTCATCGTTCTGAGATGGTATGTCATCGATAACGGGAGTATTTTTCTCCGTCTTGGGATTTTATACGGAATTTGTGGTTCTTATGGCTCTTATTGCTCATATTGCTGGCTCTTGAATGTTTTCGTCGGTGCCAGTTTGAATGCCGCCATCAAATGCCAACGCATGGCATTCCTCCGCTGTTCCTGTTTAGGCAACGGAGGGAAAGGAGTAGAGTGCTCCAAATACTCTAGCCAACTCTCTAGCTAGGACGTCGATGATGACATAAGCACGTGGGGGGGATAAGAGACGGACGACGTGGACCCAGGAAGGAGCTACTCGACGATCAAAATATCTCCACAAAGTGAGTGTTGAGTTCTCCGTGCTGTGGTAGGTAGGTAAAGCGGTATTCATATCGTCGCTCCCATCCACGTTTTCGTGCACGTTTTGTCCATCGTCCTCATCTCCCAACCAAATCTCTCTCGGATCAGCGGATCCAGTCAGTTTCTAGGCCCAGCTCGTGGCATAGTTCATGGATATGCAGGCTGGATGATCGTCGGCGCCGGCGGATGCCGTGTGATGCAGGCTGCCCCGGGGAATGGTTGTGGGAATTCGTGGCGTTGATAGATTCGGCACGATGTAACGAAGGATGACACTTATCCGTCTCTGTCGACTAGTGGCTTGGGGAACGAAAAACTCCTCTCTCTCTCTCGTCCAAGGGAGAGTCCAGTCCAGGGCAAGTCCGAGTAAAGTACGAGCACAGGACAAGTACAGTTCTTACTACACTCTGACAGGTGTTGCTTGACTACTTAGCCACGTACTCCGTAGGATAAACACTCTATGTGGCACGCGGCTATTATCGACATTATCCGCCATATAAGGCCAGGTAGAGCGATATAAGGTCAAAACAGGGCCGATATGCTCATCCCTACTCGTTCCTCCTCGTCGCATAATCATATATTCTTACGGCATAGTCATATATATAACCGTAGGGTAATATACAAATCATATATGTCTCATACATATACATACACTAACTCCGGACCCCGGGTAGAGAGTCTAAAGTAGCAGCTGTTGTTCTCGCCCTCACCCCTGGCTAATCTTCGGACGAACCCCTCTGTTGGCGTTGGCGTCTGTTAACGGAGGCAGACCTGGGTATTGACTCCGTTCCCCTTTCGGACAAGCAGGAGAAGGAGCACGAAGCCAAGACCAAGAATCTACAGCGGGGAGGGATGGCGGAACGATGGGCGGAATCGAGAAGTCCAAGACGCCAAGCTCTTCCGCTGCATCGTATATATCCTCATGTCCGCTCTGTCCGCCCGCTTCTTTTGTGTGCCCATCTCACTTTCTCCGCCTCTATTCCCGCTCCTCCTCCTCCCTCCAATCCCGCTGCTCCCTCTGCCTCCGCCCCCTCCTCCGCCCCCCACCGCCTTCCGCCCCCATCCTTATTCAGCGCTGACAGGTCCCCATCTGCCACCGCGCTAAGCCTCTTTCTCCTGCCACGACACACCCTTGTCACCCTTCTAGAAGCTATAAGGGGCTTCTAAGGCCAATCACGTGTCTCGGATCATCATTCATCCAGCCACATGGAATGGCGGGGAGAGGTCCCGTTCCGTATCTGGGGAAAAGCGCAACATAGAGCGGCCGCCCGGACCCTTTCCTTTCAAGAATCCTACTGATCCACTCCGCCGAATGCGCCTCGTCCAGTCCATGTCCTTCTCTTCTTCGACCTCCAATATCCAGTCCAGTCCTCGCCTCGTCCTTCCTTCAGCCCTTTCCCTTTCCTTCTTAACGTCTCCCACTCCCGTCTTACTACCGAATCCACTTTCTGTCAAAATTTTATACTCCATTCCCCACTCTCCGAAGAGAAGTCAGCAGCATCTGTGATCTAGGCCGCTTCTATATCGAAACTAGCTCTTCTGTCCTCATCTGGCTTATCTGTGACTCTCATCTGCCGCCGTTGTCACCACAGAGACCCATACGGGATACGACTACCGCGCGCCTAGGTAATGGCAGAGAACTCTCTGCATCGACGGCTTTAAAACAGCAATAGCATATCGCACAGTGCGACGGCTCTAAAACGGCAGGAGCATACTCTATGGTGCGGCGGAGCGCGCCGGCAACTCACCGCGTGCTCGGTGCTGATAATGGTAACACCCACCCGATCCCGACTATAACAACAACGACTACCACCGCCACCATGTCGACGACAACCTTTCAACGTGTGCACCGCACTCCAAAGGTCAAGCAAGCATGTGACTGCTGCCACGCTAGGAAGATTAAGTGCGACGGAACGTGTCCTTGCAGTCACTGCGCCGTCGCCGAGCTCCAGTGCACATATCTCACCGTGCCGAAAAAGAAAGGGCCGAAAGGACCCTCGAAACGCACCCCAAGGGCCATTCTGAAGATGCAAATGGAGCAGCAACGGAACGGAATACCCCCCGCTGTGTCACCGACGCAACATATACCGCCCCGCTCCTCCTCCAGCATCTCCTCTCCCCCCAGCAGCGGCAGGACATCCAACGAATACGGCGTCAGCTTCGAGCCCTCCCCGCTCCTCACCACGGCTCTTGTCGAGCAGTTCGCCAAGAGCTTCTTCAAGCACAAGTACCCCCTCACCCCCATCCTCCACAAAGGCGACTTCTACGCCCACACCCTTCCCCACTTCCGCACGTGCCCCTCCAAATACGCCCTCGTTGCCTCTCTTTGCGCTGCAGCGCGCACACAGGTAAACCATGATCAACAAGCGGATCCCTCTCTCTCCCTCGGCGCCACGCCCCTCACTACCGCTTACTTCATCAACGAAGTGCGGCGCGCGCGCGCTATGCACGATTACGTTGAGACGCCCACCCTTGAAGACGCGCAGGCTAGCTTCTTCATCTTCGCCGGGCTCTTCGATTGCGATAAGCATAACTCGGCTTGGTTCCATCTGCGTGAAGCGATCACGCTGATGGAGGCGCTGAGGCTGCATGAGGAGGCTACATACGTTGGCATGCCGGCTCGAGAGGCCCTCTTCAGCCGCCGCACATTCTGGCTCCTCTTCATCACGGAGCGCGCATATGCACTGCAACGGCATCGGCCACTGAGTCTGAATGCCACGATCGAACTACCTACCGCTACGACGGTTGACGACGATCCGGATGCGGAGATCATATCGGGGTTTCTGGACCTCCTCGCGCTGTTCAGGAATTTCAATAGCGACTTCGTGTCTACATGGAACAGCTCGTCGCATTCCCCGCTGTTCTCGTCGTCGTCGGCGTCCATCTCGGCGGCGCAGCTGGCGGAGCTGCAGGATACGCTTGCCCAGTCCGCACCGCCTGAGGGCTCACAGAGGACTGAGATCCAGAAGGCTGATCTCTCCATCACGCGCCTCGTATGTCTCACACCACTTTTCTCTCATATACCAAGCTAACTTTATAACCCTAGTGGCTCTCAACAATGACCTGGCAACTCTGCGTCGCGAAAGGTCTCCTCTCCTCCTCCCCCACCACCCCGCCCTCCCTCTCCTTCCGCTACCCCATCACCCTCTCCGCCTCCCTCGCCGCCGTCGCCGCGCCCCTCACCCCCACCGCCTTCGACGCCAACGGCCCCGGCATCCTGGAGAAGATCTTCGACATCGGCTGTTCGCTAGCGGATGTGCTCCTCCTCCACCCGCCGCGCGCGGAGGCAATGCAGTGCGGGCCGAGGGATAGTATGAGGGAGATGATGAGGGTTATGGATCGCGCTATGGGGGGACGGAGTCGGTATAGGGCGTTGCTTGGGGAGAAGGCGGGGGAGGCGATGGGGGGGGATAGTCCGAGTGCGGGGTTGGATGCTGGGGAGGGGGTGGGGGTGCAGGAGGGGCTGAGGAGGGGGAGTGGTGAGGTGAAGGGGGAGGAGGGGGAGGAGGGGGAGGAGGTTGATATGAAAGATTTTGAGGCGTTGAGGGGGGCGAGTGTGGCGTGGGTTGGGGCGCTGGGGGAGGCGTATGGGGGTGAGGAGGGGAGGGTATATTCGCGGTAGGTGGCGCGTATGTGTGTGTTCAGCGAGGTGTTCAGGGACGAAGAAGGGATGGGAAGGTTCGGAGTGATTGACAGGGAGCTTGGGTCTGTGGGTGCGTATTGATAGGAGTACAGAGTGATGTGTTGGTGCAGCGATGATATCCGGGGCTACGACCTCAACGCGAAAATAGTGATTGACACGGAAGGAAAGGAGCAAAGCGGCGCTCAAAGGGACAATCTTCTTCGGTATATATATTTATAGTACATTATTCCCCCCTAGGAACGGGCTGGGGTGGCACGTTAGATGGGGAGTTTCAACCCCCCAGGCGGGGCGAGGAAAAGGGAAAAGAGACGGGAGAATTCTCTGTAACAAATTTTGGACAATTTTGAATACTTATTTTATGTTCTGTTCTATCATGATTTTTATATCTACCTCTCTCTAGGTCCGCGAGAGAAAACTCGGGAGCCCAGGAGCTCGGGATATGTACACCACCATGCACACCCATACCAAGCGCAGTGCCTCATACACAGCTCTACCAAGCCGTAATATCCTCCACCTCCGCCTCCCCAAACGTGCTACTCCTCGTCACCCCCCCCACCTCACCCACCGCCACACTCCCCTCCCTCCCCATAATATCAGGAAGCGCCTCATTCAAAAACCCCAAAATATGTTCATTCACCTGCTCAAACTGCAACAAAAACGCATCATGCCCCTCCGGACTATCAATCCTCCTCAACCTCGCATTGGGGATATGGGACGCCAACTCCTCTTGCTCGGCGAAGGTGAAGAGGCCGTCGGATTCGATCCCGAGGACGAGACAGGGCTGTGTGATTTGTGCCAAGGCGGCGGTGATGGAGGGGGAGCGAGAGCGCGAGACGTCGTGCGTGTCTAGCTTGCGCGTGATGGCGATGTAGCAGTTTGGATCGAAGCGGGCGACGAATTTGGCGCCCTGGTAGCGGAGGTACGATTGCGCGGAGTAGTAGTAGGAAGTTGACTGCCGCGAGGTCGATTGGCGCGCCGGGGGAGGGGAGGGGGTGGTGGTGGACGAGGCGCCGTGGAATTGCGGGTCTGTGTGTTGGGGCTCGGGTTGTTTGGGGCTCTCGGCGGGGGTGGTGAGGGCGGAGTGGGAGCGGGAGCGCGAGGACGGGGGGCGCGTGGTCTTGTGTCCGTCGTTGTGGATTGCCCAGTGTCCCTCTGAGGTGGCGGGTGCGGTCTGCGAATCGTTGATGGTCTGCTGCCGGGATGGGTCGGGGGTGTTGCGGCCGAAGCGCGACTCGAAGGAGTTGCGGGAGCGGTAGGTGAGGAGGGCGGACATGCGGGCGGCGCCGAGGCCGGCGGTGGGGGGGTCCGCGAAGGGGTAGTACCCGTCGTCGTATTTGGGGTCGGCGTAGATGCTTTGGCGTTGGGCTTCGCCCCAGCTGATACCCCAGGCGCTGTGGCGGCTGGAGGTGGCGATGGGGACGATGCAGCGGACGTAGTTGGAGCCGAAGTAGGCCCATTCGAGGACGAGCATGCCGCCCATGGAGCCGCCGATTACGGCGGCGACTTGCTTGATGCCGAGGTCGTCGAGGAGGAGCTTGTGGAAGCTGGGGGGTGGTTAGTAGGGGGAACACAGAGAGACAGACTACAAAGTGGCGGGGTAAGGGGGACTCACTTGACGTCGTCGCGGATAGTGGTGAGCGGGAACTCAGGCCCGTATCGTTCATTTGCTGGGTTGCCGTCTTTGTTGGTGACGGGGCTGGCACTTCCGTATGGACTGCCGAGGCTGTTCATGCAAATAACGAAGAAGCGGGAGATATCAAATGCGCGGCCTGGACCGAGGAGAGGACCCCACCAGTCGCTCACGTCTGCGCTGCCGGTGAGGGCATGGCAGATGACCATGGCATTGTCGCCATCTGGGGAGAGGGTGCCGCGGGTGCTGTATGCCAGGGGGGCATTGTGAAGGGTGACGCCAGACTCGAGCGTGAAGGAGGGGATGATGGCGATGTGCTGGTCTGGGATCAGGGCCGCGAAGGGGTTCTCGGGCTGGGTCTGCGTTCTTTCTTGGACGTATTCAGTCACTGCTTCTCTAGAGGGCTCCACGAGAGAGGGGCGAGGGGGGTTCTGGGGATTTTTTTGTAACTGACCGAATTTCGGCGCGGGGTAGCCGGTGGCGGTGGGAGTGGTCAAGCCATTGGCCTGCGGTGCGTCGGTCATCTTCAGGAGGAGGATGAAGGGGAGAAAAGAACGACTTTCATCGAGTTGAGGGGATTTTAAAGTGACAGCGAAGACTTATATATATCCCATCTGAGTCATGGTTACAATTGGACGTTCCTCTCTCCCGCACCGCCATACAAAACTTTTAGAAATGACGTGCGAGAAGGCGTGTCACGTGACTAATTTATGTTTGATAAACAGTTTACTAGGTTTACTAGTGTACGAGTACGAGTAAGAAGAGACCGTTAATATAGTAAAAAGATCAAATACCCCAGTAAGTTGCCGTTAAAGTCCGAAAAGCCGTTGAAAAGACCGTTTGGAATTCAAAGCTCTGGAATTACTACTTTTGGACTAGCGCGCCGGGGAACAATTGGAAAGTCGCGAAACTACTCGTTACTCCTCCATGCGCGAGGAACGAGGCACGAGGAATCAAGAGACGTTTCTCTTTGAATTCAATCCCGAATTCCATCTTCACTCGGAATTACAACGCCAACAACTTACTCAGTCACTGCTGAAGCTTCAGCACCGATACGACAAAGCTCTTCGTAGCTGTTTCCGTTTCGCAAACAAAGAAGACCATTTCACCTTACGACCGTCCCTCATCGAGATACCAACGCCCATGTGCACAGCTTCGTCGCGACTTTTCCGTGCTCGCGGTGCGTGAGTGCGCAAGTGCTTGGAGCCCTCGCGCTGCCAATGCCACCGAAGCGGAAGAGGTCCGAGAGAGGGTCCGTTGATTCTGGAGAGAATCGCCCGTCGCCGCATCGACCTGGAAATACTAACCTGGGAGGAGGTCCAGGCCGCGAAGTAGATATGCGCGGCGAAGGTGGAAGAGGGAGAGGGAGGGGAAGGGGCAGAGGAGGGAGAGGCGGAGGCAATTTGTCAAGAAGAGAGTCCACGGAGAGCTTTACTAACACTCCCTCGACGCCAGGGCGTGGGACAGGCGCAATGTCTCCTCCACCTCGTCCGACTCCGACACCCTCGCAGCAGCAGCAACAACCTCCTGCGCTGGCGCCTACACCGTTCGCATTCACTCCAGCAAAGTCCGCTACACCCGAACCGATGAAAGATCCGAGCCCATACGACTACTCGCATGTCACCGACGAGCGCATTGCGGCATGGGCAGTCAGTGGCCGCCAGGAGATTGTCGCCGCTGGTGCACAGTCTCTAGACGATCTGGATATTTTGGATCTTTCGACGATCTTCCAAGAGCTTATACGTTCCGGAATTGATGGTAGATTGAGCCCTGCGGATGCCGGAAGCTGCGTGAGAGATATTGTCCAACCCGACACTGCGCTCGAGAACCAGCAAGACGACAAGGTCGATGGCGCCTCGCTCTTCCTGGACTCGCTCTCAATCGTTACAGATAATGAGCCATACCAGCCTCGACTACGCAAGCTTGTGGCTGCCACCGAGATATCGACAGTCCTGATGCGACAGATGCTCGATACGCAGCTCCTACAGAACCTCGAGCTCACACGAGACACATTCTTCAAAGCTGGTATTCGCCAGGTCACCAATCTTCTCTACCGACAGGCAAACCATAACCTTCTTCGCGAGGAGACAGAGGGCTACTCGAAACTAGTCACAGAGCTCTTCACCACCAGCGGCGGCGAACCTCCAACTAGCGAAGTGGTGGAGGAGACATTTGAGCGGATAAAGGGTCTGATTGGGACATTCGATCTCGACGCAGGCAGAGTTCTGGATGTGACTATGGACGTATTCGCTGCTGTCCTCATTAAGCATTATCGATTTTTCATCAAGCTTCTGAGAGTCAGCTCTTGGTGGCCCCGCGATAATATTCTCCCGGGCGTGGACATTGAGAATGCCGACCTTCCAAAATGGGCTCTCCCAGGAAATTCTGGAGTGATCTCTACCGATAGTGAGAAGAAGGACGACGGACTTGACAAGGATGCGCGAGATGAGGCATTTTGGGTCAGGGCAAGAGAAATTGGCATTGATGCATTTTACGAACTCGGCGGCAGGCGGCCAGTCGACTCCAAAACAAAAGAACGTATTGCTGCTAGCAAATCCAATGCCGACGATCAATCGAATTCGGATAGGCAATGGATCGAGGCAACAGGTACCCTCCCGCCACTGGGCAACCAGGTTGCTGCACAGTTACTTGGGTTCAAACTACGATTTTATACCTCGCCAGCTCGGGAGATGGATGATATTCTTCCAGCAAATCTTATGTACCTCACCGCTCTCTTGATCAAAACCGGATTCATCTCGCTGAGAGACTTGTATCCGCATTTATACCCCCTCGACGAAGATATGGAGGCTCTCAGGACGAAGATAATGAAGGAAAATGCCGAAAAGGAGAAGCTCAACCGGCCTGGAGGCGGGGCGAACGCACTCATGATGGCTGGTGCGCTGGCCGACGACACTCTTCCTGGCGGTGGAAGGATGCGAGATATTCCTGGCTCGAAAGCCGATGCTGGTGCTGGTGCCCCCGTTGAAGCAGAGGAAGATAAAGACAAACTACCAGAACCTGTTGAACAGAAAGTGCTTCTGCTCGTCAACCTCCTTACAATTGGTGCTATCCCAGAGGCTTTGTTCCTGCTGGGACGCTTCCCATGGATACCTGAGGCGTACCCGGAGGTTCTCGACCGCCTCCATCGCATCTTACACCATTCCGTCGAGAAGGTCTTCCAATCTACGAAGCCCTCCAATGCAGATGAAGTTGTGTTGCCTATGAAGAAGCTCTCAGATCAGGATCAATCGAGGGTGCCAAAGGGAGACGTACGACGAGTTGAATCTACTCCCCGCAAATCTCTTCGTTGGCCATTCCCAGCGAAATTTGATGTCGGCGATGGCGTTGCTTACAAGTTCTACTGGGACGAATGGGCGGATTCGATACCTGTCTGCCAGACAGTCGACGACATATTTACCTTGTGTGGCACGCTTCTCAACTATTCTGGGGTTCACATCGGCAGGGACTGTGCATTACTGTCTAAACTGGCCAGCATTGGTAATCAGAGTTTGTCAAAGGATACATCGGAGGCAAACCTAGCAAGATGGCAGGATCTCCTCAAAAGGCTTCTTGTCCCTGCTCTCAGCCACACAGCGGCCAACACAAATGTCGTCAACGAAATATACGACATGCTCCGTTATTACCCAGCCCCTCTCCGCTACAATATATATGCGGAGTGGTTTGAAGGACAAACATCCAGGCTTCCTGCCATGACGACGGTGTTCACGCGCGCAAGACTGGAAACATTGAGCACTATGAAACGTATTAGCAAGACGAATCTGACTGCCATGGCTCGCGCACTGGCAAAGACAGCCTATGCGAACCCTGGAATCGTTTTCAAGGTTGCATTGGATCAAATTGAATCCTATAGCAATCTTACTGAGGTTGTTGTTGAATGTGCGAGATACTTTACCGACTTAGGCTACGATGTTCTCATATGGTCTCTAATGAGCTCCCTCGGTGGAAAGACCAGGAGCCGCACTCGTGACGACTCCGCTCTACTTACCAGTAGGTGGCTGATTGCCCTCTCCAACTTCTCTGGAAAGGTCTTCAAGCGATATTCAATTATGAACCCGGCGCCAATCCTCCAATATGTCAACGACCAGCTATATCGAGGCAATTCAACGGACCTCATCATTCTGCAAGAGTTTATTGCCCAGATGTCAGGTGTTGTTCCCGACACAGATTTCACGGACTCTCAACTCCTTGCGATGACGGGAGGCGAAGTCCTCCGCCGCCAGACATTAATCAGCCTTCAAGACAGGCGATTTGAATCCGTGAAGACGGCCAAGCGATTGATGAAATCACTCACGGAGACGAGGCTCGCTGGCCAACTACTGATCTCTATCGCCCAACACCGACAGGCGGCTATTTTCTCTGTTCCTGAAGACGAGGCGCACATCAAATACCTTTCTACCATGGTGGATGATGCACAGCGAATCCTAACCCAGTTCAACGATCTCTTGCGAAGCAATCTTACTGTCGAAGAATTCGACAATCTTGTTCCGGATACCTGCGAGTTGATGGTTGATTTCGGCCTCGACCCAGCTCTTGCCTTTGCCATTGGTCGACCAAGCTTTGCTTACAAGATGTCTGGCATTGGACCGGCCGAACTTCCCAAGGAAATCACCGAGACCAACGGCGTGCCCGCGGTGATTGATATCGACGGTGATGTTGGCATGGACGGTGATGCTGCAGATGACGATGTCGACATGATTAAAACTCCCGAGGCGGGAACAACAGACAACGCCGTTGAACCGGCCACCACCGCAGAAGATCCTTGGTTAGAAGTTCTCGCACCGCTTATAGAGTCCGTTCGTGTAGCCTTACCCGACAAGCCTTGGGGTCTTCTCAATCCTGAATTCTACGTCACGTTCTGGCAGCTTTCTCTCTCCGATATCCAAGTTCCTATGGACAGCTACACAATCGAAAATGCGCGACTGACGAAAGAGATGGCTGAAATCATGAAGGATCGAAGTGATATGACCAGGCCTGGCATGGCTCGCAAGGAAGAAGCAAGAAAGGCCGTTGAAGTCATCAAGGAAGAATTGTTGAACGAGTCGAAAGAACAAATGAGCCAATTTGGCCGCAACAGAGCCCGCTTGAATAAGGAGAAGGGGAAATGGTTCAGCAATGTCAACAAGAGATATGATGCCTTGAATGATACTCTTCTTGAAGAGTGTTTCCTGCCTCGTCTACTTTTATCGCCTAGCGACGCGGATTACGCATTCAAGATGGTCAAGTTCCTGCACAACAGCTCGACACCTCATTTCAGAACTCTCGGGTTACTGGCGCGACTGTTCCGGGGAAACCGACTTCGCTCGATCATATTCTCCTGCACCATTCGTGAAGCCGAGTGTTTTGGTAGATTCTTGAAGTTGATACTGGGAGACCTCGCTCGCTGGCACGCGAGCAAGGCCGTGTACGAGAAGGAGGCATGGGGACCTAACCAAGATCTTCCCGGCTTCGCGAAGAGCATACACGAGACTACATCGAAGCCAGTGGCCCTCCTGGAGTACGAGGATTTCCGCAGGATCTTCTTCGGCTGGCACAAGAACTTGAATACCGCCCTGAAGTCCTGCCTTGGCGGGTCCGAGTGGATGCATATTCGCAACTCCATCACGGTGTTGAAATCGGTCGTCGAGCACTTCCCAGCGGTTGACTTTATGGGCAAGGCGTTCCAAAACGCTCTCATTACACTTGCCAAGCGTGAGGAGGGGAAGCGTGAGGATCTGTCTCTTCTGGCTAATGCGTCTATGCCGGAATTGAAGAAGAGGGAAAAGAAGTGGGTTATGCCGCAAGCGTTTGCGAGCAACCTGGTAAGTCAACTAGCCACATCAACCTTATTTCATCTGCTAACTTCTCTCAGGGTGAACTAGCCAATGGCCAGGCTAAAGCGGCGAAGGGCGGATCACCACAGATTGAAGGCAAATCAACGTTGAAGCCAACAGCCCCGGAGTTCAACCCATCTCCCAAGATATCGTAAGTATTATATCGCGACCCTCGAAAGGCACTGTCTAACATACTGTAGCAACGAGAAACCCGAACGCAAGCGAAAGGCAGGAGAGGTTGAGGATGGCGAGGTCGATGATGCAAGGGCTGCTAAGGCTGCTGCCACTGGCGTTACTCCTACAAATGCCATCGCTTCGGAAGCAAACGCAACCCCCATCCCAGCAAGAGGTGGTCTTCCAAAAGTCCCCGCTAAGAATGAACGCCAGACCGGCCCACCGCCACGACCAGATTTCACACGGGCCCCAGCAAATCAAGATAGACCGCCCTCCAGGCCGCCTTCCAACCTTCCTACTCGCCCCGAAGTACCTATTCCTCACGTTCACCCTGAACGCAACCTTCCGGCGCGCGGCGCGGGCCGCAGAGACGCACACCAGCCAAGGGCAGAGTATCCTGCTGACAGTTCTCGTTGGCCTCGTGATGGCCCTGGCCACGATCGCCGAAGCCTGGACGCCCGAGGTCTTGAAAGGCCATCCGATAGGCCTCCCTTTGATCGCGATGGTCACAGAGACCGCGTCGATCCCCTTCGCCGCGGTGCGGAGTTCTTCCCAGGCGATAGGGACCGAAACAGGCCACCTCTTGACATTCGAGGTTCAGACCTGAATGGTCGACCCTCTCGCGAAGATGTTATCCCTCCTTCCAGATCCGCACCTCCCCAAGCCGACCAAAGCTCCGCGCTAGCCGATCCCGCAGTGAACCCCGCTCGTGCAGCCCTTATATCTGCTGGGTCGGATACTGCGAGATCTGGCTCTCCACGCGGTTTCAGAGATGATCGGAGCCACCCAAGGGCCCAATCGCCAAGACGAGGTGATCGCCATGGTGGCCCAGACAGAGACGTGGACGTCAGGAGAGGAGATCGCATCCCTGGAGACCGTGATGCCAATCAAGGCCCTTCATTCCCACCTCGCGATGTTGATAGACCCGCTGAGCGGTCCAGAGACGCGTTTCAGCCAACAGCTGCGCCAAAACGCCCTGTAGACTTGGACCATGGGAGATTAAATGCCGCCGGTAGACCTGGAGAGTCGAGCTTTGGCCGACTTAATCCCTCGTCGCCTCCTTTGCAAGACGTGCCATCTGGACCAAGAACTTCTTATGGACGTGGGGGCAGTAATAGACAAGCCAGTGGCAACATGTCTCGTTCCGATACAAGACAGCAAGGACCACCTCGACCGCCATCGCCTGACAATACACCGCCTTCTGGGCCAGCTGGAGATCGCTCGCAATCTGGCGCAGTCAAGCCATCTGCTGTACCCGTCCATCCCGAGCGTATGCGCCATCTTGGACAGGACACTCAAGCCAAGAGTACTCAAGCCGCCCCAGCGCCTCCAGCCAATGTTGTGCCTGAAGGCGTCCACCCATCTCGTATGCGCGGCTTTCAGGACACCCCAACCTTCCCTGCAGCTACTCAATCACCACAGCAAACCGGGAATGTGCGACAAGAACCATCTCAGTTGAGCGCCAGTACACCATCTGGCCCGAGAGGTCAGCAAGCGGGACCTGCGACGCCTACGTCAGCCTCATCGAATGTCCCTACTGGACCCTCGTTCCCGCCTGTAGACCGTGCTAGAGGGCCTATGAGACAACTTGCCGGCATCAACAGCACACTACAGCAAGCAGGGCAGACGGAAAGGCCAAAAACATTCGACCGTCCCAATGACCGCGGTATCAATGTCCGCGGCAGAGGCAACGTGTCGTCGTCGTCTGCCATGCCAGGCTTCCCTGGCTCTGGCCCATCCACCCCTAGCGGACCCCGTCCTGATACACGAGACGGCGGCCCAGGGAGGGGAATGGGCGCACCCGAGCCCTCACCAGGCGACCAATTCGGCGGCCGCTTCAGCCAAAGCATGGGTGAGGACCGACCAGACGCCCGCAGTGGCTCCACGCGCGACTCAGGCCGACACGAGCGCTCTGGGCGTAGTAGCCATCGCACCTCGCGGTCGCACAGTCGGGACCGCAGCCACAAGGAAAATATCCCCGGCCCCGATCCGCGGGCGGAGATGATGGGCGACCGACCTGACTTCCGTGGGAGTGGGCGCAGAGACGGCGAGAGGGAGTCGAGTCGACGCGCTTCCGGACGTAGCGGACCCTCGACGCCTGGAGAGGGGAGAGAGCGCGAGAGCAGACGCGACGGAAGGGATGGTGATAAGAGAGGCGATGGGGGAGCAGCGATGAGAGGGGACCAGGGATTTAACCGCGGTCCGGGGTATCAGTCCCAGCCGCAGGGTGGAAATATGCCACCGTCCAGCCGCGGCGAGGGCGGACGATCGCGGGGGTCGAGGAGTAGTAGGGGGGGAGCGGATGAGAGACGCGAGTCGAGGAGTGGCCGCGATGATGGGTCGGGGAGTATTGGGAAGAGAAGGGGTGAGGATCGTGGGGGACAGGATCGCGGACGGGATAAGAGGGCTAGGCAGGCGTAAGGGCCTGCGGACAGAGATTGCATGCTTGCATTAGGGGAGTTTCTTTTGTGTATTCAAGTTTGGTGTGGTGGTGATGTGGTAGGAGGATATTGGGGCGAAGAGGCTTTAGATATACCGCACAGATGGAGTGATGGGGATGTGTATTGGTTCTCAGGGAGAATGGTTGTGTGGCATCGCGCCGGCGTTTTTATTTTGAAGGGGGTTGCATTGAGAGCGTGGAAAGGGGCATTAAACTCAATTTGTATTATAGGACCTCTATTTTGAATGGTATCTCGATGAGATAAGACTTGTTTTATTATTTTTAATCTGCGGCTTGAGTGAATAAAGTATTAATTGCAAGTAATTGCAAGTAATAAGGCTGAGAATGTAGGCTGGGTGATGTCGAAGTGAGGTTGACCCCACTAAGGGGGATTTCACCTCCTGAGGTTTGTTTACAGGCGAACCCCTCAACCCAACTTCGATATCACAAATTCAACCACAACATCCAACAATTTCTTCCAACTCTTTTACTTCAAACCCAAAGATTGATACTTCTTCTAGCTACTTTACTTCAATTTTCCTTCAAGTACAAAGATTGATCATATCAATTTGCTCTCAATTCCAATCACAACACCAGAATCTCATTTGAAGATCCAATTCTTCCAACAACCTTCCTTCAAATCCAAAGATTACTACCAGCAGTTACTCTTTACTCCAAAAGAGACTTGAGAGATTCAAGTCTTATACAAAAGCTTGTTCCAGTTGTTTTACACCAAGTCCAAAGTGTACTTTCCGCTGTTCGCACAACACACACACGACCAAGTCTCACCTTGGAATTCCTTCTAACGAACTTTACTTCGAGACCAAGGATTGAGACAACCTGTTCCTCTTCGCTATCAAGCTTTGCTCAAGATCAGAATTGCACTCAAGAAACCCTTCCAGCAACTTTGCTCCAGGTCTAAAGTTTGACTTCAACAATTTCACTCTCAACCACTCACAACATTGGAGCCTCACCTTAAAAAGTTCTTCCAACACCCTTCTTCTTTCAGGCCCAAAGATTCATATCAACAATTCGTCTTCGCCCACAAGCTATCCGCAAGATCAGAGTTGTGTTCAACAAATTCATCCAGCGACCTTGCTCCAAACCTCAAGTTTGATTCCTCTCTAACAACCTTGCAACAAATCCAAAGATTGATATCAACAATTGTTCTTTGCTTCAGAAGCTTATATATAAGATTCGAACAGTGTTCAAGAAACTCGTCAAGAGGGGTTTCTATAAGTCCAAAGATTTGTATCAGCAATTACTCTATTCTTCAGAGCTACTCACCAGATCGGATTCGTGTTTGACTCCTCAGTACTTCGAAAGCAACTCACAAGATCAGGGTCGTGTCTGATAAATTCAACCAGCAACATTGTTGATTTTCCAAAAGATTGATCTCAGCAATTCAATCACAATGCCAGTCACCAGATCGGAAAAGCGCCAGAGGCTGTCTTCTGAGCAGTCTGGGCCACCTTCAAACAACATTGCTCAACCCCCAGAGCCTGAACTGAACAATTCTACTACACGCCCCAAGAAGCGTTCAAAGAAGTTTTCAGATGCAGATGTATCTCCAACTCCAACAAACAACAACACCGCCGCCCCAGGTCCAAAGTCGGATGCAAGCTTCACTCTACCACAAGAAGAGCCAAGGAGAAGTCTCCGTTTATTCGTGACCTCAAGCAACAAATCCGATGTCGCCGACACCCCAGATCTTGAGCCTGGCAAGTCAATGTCACGTTCAGAGAAGCGTGCAGAGCAGCGTCGCCTCAAAAAGCTCCAATCGCAATCAGAGGCCTCTTCAAGCAACAACATATCTGTTGCATCTGCTCTAAAGTCGGACCTAATTTCGGATACACCACAGGAAGAGCCAAAGAGGAGAAACCTCCGTCCACGCCTGGCCTCAAGCAACAACAGCACTGAGGCGCCTGGTCCAATGCTGGACATGAGATCCTATAATCCACAAGGGACAGGCTCCAAGAAGACTCGTTGGAGTTCAGATGAGAGTTCGGCCAACAGAATCGCTATTCCTGACTTGCAGGCGGAGATGAGTTTCGTTCAACAAGCTGAAGTAGGAGTGAGAAAGCATCTTTCAGATCCAAACACATCTTCGCGCAAAGGAAACAAGCGTGCAGCAAGCCCAGCGCCGGATATGCGCTCCACCTCGCCCCAAAAAGACTCGTCTCGGTCGCAGAAGAAGCTTCGCCTTCTTAAGACAGCCACTTGCAATGATGTCCAAGCCCCTGAGTCTTCAGGAGTAAATGCCCCTTCCCGCCTCAAGTTACGCCTGAAGAAGCCTGCCCCTGGTCCTACACTGTCCGAGAGCAACTTCGCTTCATCATCCGAGGGCAACTCGACTCCATTTTCAGAAAGCCTGGCTGCATCTACCCCACTATCACAGGGCACATCCGCTCCAGTTTCAAAGGAGCCATCTTCTTCTCCACTTTCAGAAATCAAATCTGCTCCATCTCCAGGGGAAAACACCCCGTCAAGCTCCGACTACAAAGATTCTCCGTTATCCAAAAGCAACTCTGCTTCATTTTCAGAGGACAATGCTGTTCCATTGCCGAAGGTCAACTCTGCATCTTCGTCCGGAAGCAACTCTGCTCCATCCTCAGGACCACGCTCAAAGAAAAGGACAGCACTCCACCTAGAACCCTCGGCAGGTAGCATATCTTCCAGCACTGATTCTAATCTCAAAAACCTCACCCCAAAGAAGAGAGGCTTTGAGGACATGGACACCACCGACGGTTTGTCCCCAGAAAAGCAGGGTCAGTACCACGCCGAGCGAGAGAAAGAACCTCAGCGTGTCGCCGAACAGCAGAAGATTCTCGCGACGATGGAGGACTTCAAGAAGGGCTTTCAAGACCTCCTGAATCATATCCGTCTCCCGAGGAAGAACAGTCATATGAAGAAGAATCCCAATGAGCATATGTTTGCGCTGAAGCTGAGCCCACAGCTGTGTCTTATGGCACCATCTCCGAGACACGTTGGGATTTATGTCAAGGATGCCTGCTTTGAGTCAACGAGCGAGGCGATGATAACTTGGGTCACGGGGCTGCTGATGGATGTTGTTAAGAGAGATGGCTTGGCGTGGGGTGAGGTCGCCATTGAGTTGACGGAGGGAGGTTCGCTGGGCAAGGTGTCGAACTGGGGGTTCAACCAGGCGTGTCCGCACAAGCTGGACACTTGCTTCGTCAACACCAACGTGGAGATCCTCTTCTGCCGCAAGACCTACTCGGCCATCATCACCTACCACCACCAGTGGAAGTGTGTAAGTTTTCCCCCTTTCTTTCCAATCCCCTATCCCCTATTTCCATCCACGGCCTTCTTCCCGGCTTTCCATGCTTCTCGGCTCCCACTGTATAAAAACCCCAACTTCCATTCTTCAGCTTTACTAACTCCCACAGGCTGGTCAGTATGAGGTCCCCTCGGGGAACATGACAGACGTGTATCAGGCGCCACGTCCGTCTCGTGCTGACCACACCACCACTGGTGGTGGTAGGTCCATCTTCTCGGGCGCCGGCGAGTCGGCGTATGGCCCAAGCTGCCATACCCCTCTCGCCGGGGCCCAGTTCGCCCAAGCTGCCGCTCCCGAGTTCCCCCCCGGCGCCGACATGCGCACCGTTTCCGGCCTTCACCCCGCGCCTTCCCTCGCCGGTTACCTCCCCGCCAACCCGTACATCCCCGTCACGCGCACACCGGCTCCTCCCTCCCCTCAAGCCGTTTACGGCGACTACGGCAACGCGGGCGGCTTCCCCATCGACCCGGCGCTCATCGACCCGGCCTTCCTGGCACCGACCCTCAACCAGCCAACCTTCGACGTCTTCCCCGCCATCGCCACACCCCCTTACCAGCCCTCATCCGACCCCGGTCTCCCGCCCTACTTCTGGGCTCCGGTCGCGGCACCCGCCCCCGCCTACGTCAGCCCCTGGGCCCCGGCACCAGCACCCGTTCCAGCCTACTTGAGCCCGTGGATCTCGCCTGCTCCCTCCCCGGTTCAGCAGCAGTTCACGTACCCAGACCCAGACATCGCGACGGAGGACTACGTCGCGGACTGGGTTGCGGCGTCGTTGAACTTGCCGCTTGAACCGGGGAGGGGGGTTGTGTACGCTGCTCCCCCCGTGCCGGTGCCTGTTGCGGCACCACCACCACCAGCGGCTTCTGGGCCGAAGAAACGCGCGAGGAAGAGCCGTGCGAAGGTGCGTGTTGCTGCGGCTGTTCCTGCCCCTGCGGCTCCTGCGACGGCTGAAGAGATGATGGAGATGATGACCTCGGCGCCCCTCCCCGCGCCCGTCCCTACCGGCCCCTCCCCCTCCGAAACCCTCGCTGCCCTCCAGAGCGCGGCGACTTCGTCCCCTGGTGTCCCGGTCCCGGCCGCGTATCGGCATGTGTGGTTCCTGAATGGGCGGGGGAGGGTGTCGAAGACTCGGGATAACAACCCGAGGTGTCGGAGGTGTAGGAGGAGACATTGGGCTGTTAGTTTCCCTTCTTTCTTTTCCTTTCCCCTTGTCCCTGATCATGGTTGTTGAGATCGGTTTCCCTGTTTTATAAGCCGATTTTAGGCACCGAAATGGGGTTGGATTTCTTGCCTCACTGTTCCCCTGGGTTGAATGGAGAGATGCTAACACTGAATAGTCGTGCAGCAGGGGCCAACCCTGCGACGAGTGCGCCAAGGACAACGTGCAGTGCGTGTACGGTCCTGGGGTGGGGGTGGAGGAGGATGAGGAGAAGGGGCGCTGAGTGTGAGAGTTTTGTGTTTTTGTATATAGTAGCGTTTCTTTTCGCGTTGTTGTCTGTATTCGTAGTTTTCTTTTGTTAGTTTTCGTTCTTTGTTGGCTTGGTTTTTGTCTTTGTCGTTTCGGTTCTTGATTTCGGTTTCTGTTTTCGGGTTAGTTTTCGGCTTCTGATTTCGGCTTGTGGAGCGCAGGGGAGGGAGGGTGAGAGGGGATTTGGATCGGATGAGTTGTGAAATGTCAGAGAGTTGCTGTAATTACTCGTGCCTCCTTCCGACTTCAGTGAAATAATATCTTTGATGGGTAATATATACTGTATTCTAACCCCACACTCCCATCCAACGCCCTCAAAACGCTCTCAATCTATACAAAACAATCTACAACATAATCAAGCTCACCTCCTCAAAATCCGGCGGATTCCTGCCATACATCACCCTCCCCTTCCCATCCAACGCCGTCCCCCGATTCGTAATCCACACATTCCCCATCCCCACCCTCTCCGTCCTCCTGACCTCCTCATCGCTCACCCCCAACCCATCACGCGGCACCCACACATTGGGCCTCTTCGCTCTGAGCGCCTCGTGCTGGAACGCCACACGCACAAGCGCGTCACGCTCGTCGGGGGTGAGGTCTTCGATTTCGTCATTGTACCCGCCGAAGAGGGCTTCTCCCATCAGCTGCTGGGCTTCTACGTCCTTCCTGCGGCGGCGACGGGCGTGTGATGTGTCGAGCTCCCCAAATGTCGCGGCGCCGAGGGTGCGGGCTCCGCGTGTGGCCCATGTGGCGCCTGTGCGGAGGGGATTGAGGGGGTTGAATGTGCCGCCGTTTCCGTTGCCGGATTTGGCGGATTGAGAGGTGCGGAGTTTGCGGAGCTCGATGTCGTCGTCGTGGGAGACGGGGGTGTCTGGGACGCGGGGGTTGCGGGCGGCGCCGTCGTCGTGGTGGTCGGAGTCGGAGTCGTCGTGGTCGGATTCCATGAGGCGGGCGGCTTGGGCGCGTTCGAAAGCTTCGTCGCGGAGGACGGCTTCGTCTTCGAGTGTTATAGCGAGATGCTCGTAGAGCGGGCCGAAGGATTGGTTGAGGAGGAATTGGAAGAGTGCTGTTAGGGCCATGACGACGATCATGATGATTGCCTGTGGGAAGCATGCGGCGTTATTCTTGTCGTCGCGGACGAGGAAGAAGAGGCCGATTAGGCAAAGCTCCATGACATAGAGGCCGATGAAGTTCTGGTTGATGGCGCGCGGGTAGAGGAGGCCGCCGGTGTCTTCGGTGTGCCGGAAGACATAGAGCATGCAGTAGCGGTTGGCGAGCCAGAGCACGGTGAACGTGATGATGGCGAAGACCATGATCAGGGGGGCGACTGTGGAGTAGATGATGGCGATGCAGGCGAAGTTGGTGTAGGTGGGGAAGTACGTGCCCCAGTGCACTGTGGACAGGGTGGTGTTGCGCTTCCACTTCTGGCGCGCTGTGTTGTCGAATAGCTTGGGCATCAGGATCCACATTATGAGCGTGCCGACCTGCAGCAAACTACCGGCGCTGGTAGACAGCGCCTGGATGATCATGTACGAGAAGAAGTAGTTGGAGGCCTTGGGCAGATTCTGCGCCAGGAGACCAGGGATGGAAGTGACATCCGCGATACTAGCGAGTGTGGCAAACGTCCCGCTGGCAATCGAGACAACGAGGAAGACCTGAACGAACAGGAAGAAGAAGTAGTAGTTCTGCACCGACAGCTCGCGCATCTTTCCCGTTTGGTTGCCCTGCAGCGTCGCGAAGTTGTAGAAGACGAGCGGTGGCAGAATCATCAGCAGCGCCAGGACAACGGCGGGCAGGATACCCGCAACGGCTTTGAGAGCGGTCTCGGCCCCGCGAAGAAACGAGAGCCAGTGGTATTGCCTGATCAGTTCGGGGATGTTACCGAGGAGCGCAGTGGCGGAGACAGGAATAGCCCAGAGAATACACATCCCCGCAACAGCAGCGAAGATAAAGAAAGTCCGCAGCCATGCTTCCCACCATTTAATCGACATGTTGTCCCAGATAACATCCGTGGGCGAGACCTCAACCATGCGCGGGGCCATGTGCTTGGGGATGTGGTGGCTGACAGCCTGTACCGCCATGTGCGCGGCAATCTGGTGGTTGAACTGGATAAAGGCGGAGTTCATCTTAGGGTAGTCCTCGGAGTGATCTTGGTCGTACTCGATCTCGACGTTGAGTCGCGCGAGCTCCTCACGGCACCAGTAGATGGTGTCAACCTTTGTGTTGACCCAGGGGAAAATGTATGGAAGGATACCGATGCCAAAGCGAGGCAGGCGGTGCGTGTTGCGGTCCTTTTTCTTGATATACTTCGCCCACAGAGCGCTCTCCTCGTCCTCGACATAGTCCGGGTCAATGTGCGGTGGATACTCATGCTGTGGCCCCTCATTATTCGTGAAGAGAGTCTTCACAGGCGCAATGATCTGCTGGCCACCACTCGTGATCATCTGCCCAAAGTTCTTCTTCTGGATATATTCATCCCTCTCAAACCCATGAGGCATAGGTGACGCGAACCCCCCACTCGGGCCCTTCCAGAACTTCCACCAGCTATTCTTCATCTCATCCGAGTCGTTACTCCCATCACCGCCACCAAATCGATAAGGGATATTATCGAGTTCCAGCCCCTTAACGCCGCGGTGCTCGCCAAATCCCCTCGGCGTATCCGGCGACTGCCCAAAACTGACATCGCGCGGCGGCATATTGATCTGCGTCTCCACCGGCTCCGCGTCCGCAAAATGCGTCTGGCTGCTATTGCTATTATTCCTCGATCTCGAGCGCTCTTGCCTCATGTCCGGGCTGAGCGGATCGCGATCAATCCGCACAAACCCGTTCGTCGAGTCGATCTGGCCTTCAAACCCCTTCCCCGCGGTCTTTGCACCCCCCACAATTGTCCCTCCTACATTCTTCGTGCCCTCGACGAGCGTCTCGCCCGCTTTTCCAACCAGACCGAGTCCACGCCCAAACTGCTTACCCATCGCCGCCAGCCCTCCCATGGCAGTCTGTTTCTCCACCACGCGACTCTTGCGGCGATTACCTTCCTCAATCGCATCCTCAACCGAGTGCACAACCTGGTTGATATCGCCCGACGTGACACCTTCTCCCCTCGCAATCTGCGCCGCCGTCTCTTCGGCATTCTTCGCACGCCTCGCGCGCTCTTCCTTCGTATCCTGGTGCCCTGTCTTGCGCTGCATGGCCTTCTCGTCCTTCTCAACCTGCTTCAGGTGCGCCTTATTACACTTTCGTATCAGGGACGTCTCAGCGGCCTCGAGCATCGCCACAATACCCTCGCGGCGTCGCACCTTCTCTAGCAGCGCGTCGTAGTTGCGGTTAATCCAGATATTGCGGATTCCCCCTGGAAAGACATCGTAGAGACCACTAAGTGCCTCGATGGTGAGCCATTTGTCCGGGATGGCAGTGACGAGGACAGTGGTAGCCGAGGCACGCAGGCGGTGCTCAGCAGAGGTGAGGTAGTCCTGGCGCACGCGGATATAGACGCGCAGCTCAGCGAAGAAGACGTAGCACACCCATATCACCACCACAATAGCTAGGACAAGATGCGCCCAGTAGCGGTGTGTCTGTTTCGGGGAGATGTTGCCCCAGGCGAGCTTGTCGAGGCCGCCGGGGACATCAGGGTCGGCGCCGTTGCCGTCGAGGGGGTCTGCTTTGGCGGTGCTGCGGCCGCCGATGTAGTTGAGTGGGAGGAGGATGGGGAGGAGGAGGCAGGCGAGCGGGACGAAGATGATGAGTTGTGTTTGGAGGTAGCGGAGGAAAAAGTAGGCATCCAGGCCGCACTTATTGATGATCTCCTTGTCTTTGTATGTGAAAATCGACACCAGCCACCCGAAGGGACTTCGTGGCGGTGGTGCGGTTCGTTGTCGTTCGGGGACGAGGTATGTTTTTGGCTGGCTTCACAACATGTCAGCTTTGACTTCCCAGATGGACTGCAACTGCAAAAATAAAAAGAGAACTCACTATATCCTAACCAGCCTATTCTTTATCAAGGTAAAAATCAAGATCTGCACTCCTGACGCCGCGATACCAGTACCGATAGCTGTCAACAGTGCAATAATGCTGATATTGCGGTTGGCCTGCGCCGCGCCCTGCGTCGAGTCCGACATGGCGATCTATTCTCTGATAGCCAGGCAGTAGAGTGATTATGAGGAGAGAGAGAGAGTAGAGATCGAGGAGCGTCGTGGTGAGGGCGAGAGGTGGTGGTCTCCAAAAAAGATTTCGGGGCGCTTTGTTGGGCGCGTCAAGGATGGGGAGAGCGGCGCATTACTTCGTTTCAGGCGGACCATGAGAGTGAGATATGTACTGTCTGTCGTATGTGTGTGTGAATAAAAGGATACAAAGAATGAATGAATCACCGCAACAAGTAATAAAGGAGAGAAGAAAGTAGGCCCAGCTACTCTTTACTCTGCACATGCGCACATCAAGGTTTGGCAGCAACCGTCGATCTCCAACGTGTGGGGTTAGATAACCGTGTTTCCCCCCAAACAAGAACCAAGAATCTCTTAACTTAACGCATACCCTGTTTCCCCTGTACTATCCCCCCTAACTACCCCCCGTTAAACCCTCCCACCAATCCCTGACTGCCACTGATTGTAACTACCTGCCCGCCGAGACGCGGCATGACATCAGGGCGCCCCGGCCGTCCCTGCCCTGCCAAAAACAGGCTGGGGTACTTCGACACACGCGTACTTTTGAAACGGGCGGCGGCGCTTAGGGGGGATATGGGAGCCATACAGTCAGTATTAACGATATTCAGTATAGAGTTCTGAGTAAGAAGCGGGATTTATCTATATACGGGTTTGTTTGCCGCGCGCGAGGGGGAAGTGGGAGCCCTTGCGGGCCAGGGGGAGGAAGAGTCTTGTTCACTGCCGGGTAGGTTTGCGGGTTCTAGCCCAAAGAGGGCGGTTATGGTGAAACAGTACAGCACACTCATGATGTGCTGTTGATGATCACTCGGTGGCTTGTGGCTGTGCCTCCTGTGACCACGAACCAACGAGAGACGCGATATCTGCGTCAGTGGCTGATGCTGGTGTGTTGGCGATGTGGTTTTCGCCACCGCCAGTCACTGTAGATCAGCAACTGGAAATGCGATGCGATCTGTGCAGGGATGGGCAGGCAGCTGGATAATCAGCAACTCATGATCGCCCACTGCGGATGAGATCTGCGGATGGAGTAACAGTCAGTCAACTACTCCACGGTCACTCACTGCGGATGAGAGGCGCGGTGGGAAGTCGACGACTGCCTGATGGCTCACTTAGATGAGAGGTGCGAAACACAGATAGTCAACTCCTCCATGACAACTCACTGTGGATGAGGCATAGACAGTCAACAACTCCATGGTCACTCACTGCCGATGAGATGTGCGAGATATGGACACACAAAACTCCATTATCGCCCACTTGTTCATCCCGCATAGCAAACACATCAGCCACCAAAGCCCCAAGATCCTCAGCATACATCCGACACTTTTGCTTGTAACCCTACTCCTCCCACCCATTAACTCCATAGCCCCCTATCCCCCACTCCTCACTTACTCTCAAAAGCCTCCTCCACCCTCTCCACCAACTCCCCCTTCTTCCCCCCAACATTCAACCCCCTCGCCGCCAACCAATCCTTCAGCATCAGCACCGTCGCGCTCCCCACCTTCCCCTCTTTCGCCAACCTCTCCACCACATCCAGCCCACTCTCCTTAACCCTCTTCACCTTCCCCTCCTTCACATCTCCCCCCCTCTTCATCCCAACCTCCAGCTTCTCCCCCATCCCCTCCACCACATCAAGCCACTCCTCCTCCAGCGCCCGCCCCCAATCAACCACATACGGTCCAGCGCGCTTATCAATCTGCCGTGCCCTAGGTAACGTTTTATCATCCCCCGCCGCCAGCTCCGGCACCTCCTCCTCCAGCGCGATAGCCTGGAGAATGCGATAATGCCACTGTAAGGCCGGATTCGGATAGCGGCTCGGCTCGAACACCGCACCAGGGAGCTGGAGCTGCTGGACAACAACGTGCATCTTATCCGTCAGCGCGTCTGGGCTTACTATCGGTGCCGGCCCAGGGGCGGGGAGACGCAGGTCGTCTGCGCAGGGTAGGGGGTAGGCCCATAGACCTGCGGGGACGATTTGTTGGGATGTTGCTGGGTCGAGACGCTCGCGGGAGGGGAGGAGGGCGATGTATTGCGGGTTCGCGTTGGTGCGGGGGATGTACCAGGCCACGCCCATGGTGGAGGAATCGAGGAGTTTCTGCCACAGCGCGGCGAAGACGCGGGTGGATCCTACGTAGTCCTCCTCGGAGGGGTAGAGGAAGGTCGATTTATTGACAGAGGCGTACGAAGGGAGTAAGGCCTGGGGCTTGAAGCCCACGATGCGGAGGCCTGGTGGTCCGAAGTTCTTGAGTTCCTTCTGCTCGTCCTTTGTGAAGAGGACCTGCTCGCCGCCGAACTTGTATGCTTTCTTGACGTCGACCTTCTGCACCGTGCGCGTGGTGTCGGCGGCGAGGTGTGTGGTTTCGCCCGTGGCGATCTGGGCGGTCTCGCCGGAGAGCCAGACGTAGCAGCTGCGGGCGGGCTTTTGGCGTTGCAGGATGTTGTAGCCTTTTACGGAGATGGTGAGGCCGGGGCCGATTTCGAAGGGGAGGTTGGAGAAGAGGGCGCGCTTGGGGGTTTGCTTGGAGTTGATGTTGGAGATGAGGGAGTTGAGGAGGGAGATGCCGTCACCGCCTGCTGGGGCGTTGGTGGTGGATGCGGTGGTGGATGCGGTGGTGGATGGCGTGTCTGTGTCCGCTGGGTCGCGGTATATCACATCCTGTCTGGTCAGCGTCATCCGTAACACTACAGTCTAAAACTACTCACATCGTAAAACTTGCTCCTATCAAACACCTGTCCACCCCTCTCGATAGGAAACAACTCAATCACCACCCCCAAATCATACAAATCCTTCGCCCTCACTGCCGCCGCGGACCTCATCCCCTTATCGCTCTCATGCGGATCATCTCTATCAGTAATCACAAACAGTCTCCTTGACCCAAAACTCGGCGCCCTAGTCGTAAAGATCTGATTCGCACAAAACAGCACATTCGACATCGTGACCTCCGCTCCCTCCGGCGCCGGTACCAACACCTCCTTTGCAGCATCTTCATCCTCCACTAACTCCTTCAACGCCTTGACGTCACTCGCGGCGGGAACATCGAGGTCGGTGAGTAGGTAGATATGCGGGTACGCGATGCCGGAGGTGGCATTGTCTTCGGGCCCCTTCGACTTCGCGGTGCCAAAGAGGAGGATGCCGATCATATCCTTCGGGTTGGAGATGATGCGCTGCTGCATGATTTGGTAGGCGCATTTGAGGGCGGCAGCGGCGGGGCTGTCGGTGTCTGCTTTTTTGGAGTGGGAGGCGGGGGGAGGGGTGAGCATGGAGGGGCTGACTTCGATGGCGAAGAGGATGGCGTCTTTTTGGGATTTGTAGTCCTGGGAGGAGGTTAGATGGGCGAGGGGAGCGTTGATATGGGGGGGCAAACAGATTCATCGACCTCTTCGTCTTCCTCCTCATCACCCTCATCTTTCCGCTTCCAGTCCTCTTTAGAGTCAGCCATCTCGTCAGACTGAAGTAAATGCCTCAATTGTAGTCTTCAATGTCTTCTTAATAAAAAAAATCAACAATTGAGAAAATCACAAAGCGTAGAAGTTAGATTATCGACACCTCCCGAACATTCCAATCGCGACTGATGCCTTGTCGCGCATGACGACAGGCAGAATACGCGACTTCGGCACCCGGGTACACGTCGGCACGTGACCAAAATTTATGTCCCACCTTACCTTTCCAGCACCTGTGATTGGCACCTCCGAGGAAGACCAGCACAACCAGCCATTGCCAGCATCTCCGACTCCCAAAAGGCTTCAATCGCTATACCATCTGTTCAATTGCATGATATCCTCCTTATAGAACCCCACCACGCCGCCATGGCGCTCAGAACCGCCACCCGCCAACTCTCGAGGCACGCCTCGCCAGCAACCCTCTCCCTCACAGCCGCCCGCCGGCAAACCCGCGGCCTGGCGACGCCAGCATCTACACCCCCCACGACGCCCTCGAAGGGTCCCACAGCCATTGTCTTCATGAACATGGGGGGCCCGTCCACGGTCCCCGAAGTGGGGGACTTCCTCTCCCGCCTCTTCGCCGACGCAGACCTGATCCCCCTAGGGCGATTCCAGAAATACCTCGGACCTCTGATCGCGCAGCGTCGCACGCCGAAGATAGAGAAGCAGTACGCGGCTATTGGGGGCGGGAGTCCGATCCGCAAGTGGTCTGAGCTGCAGGCGGCGGAGATGTGTAAGATACTTGACCAGACGAGCCCGGAGACGGCGCCGCATAAGCCGTACGTGGCGTTCCGGTATGCGGCTCCGTTGACGGAGACGATGTATGCGCAGCTGCTTGCGGATGGGTTTGGAGGGGGGAAGGGGGGGAGGGCGGTGGCGTTCACGCAGTACCCGCAGTATTCGTGCTCGACGACGGGGAGTAGTTTGAATGATTTGTGGAAGTGGAGGGAGAAGTTGGAGGGGACGGGGAGGGGGGGCGAGGTTAAAGCGAATGGAGAGGATGGGTCGATTCAGTGGAGTGTTATTGATCGCTGGCCGGCGCATAAGGGGCTGGTGGAGGCGTTTGCGCAGAATATCGAGGCGACGCTGGCGACGTACTCGGAGGCTGATAGGAAGGATGTTACGATCTTGTTCTCGGCGCATAGTCTGCCGATGACGGTTGTAAACAGAGGTAAGTTTATTCATGCTCAAGCTCTAACTCTATGACCCCGCGCTGACAGTTACATTACAGGTGACCCATACCCTGCCGAAGTCGCCGCGACAGTCTACGCCGTGATGGAGCGTCTGAAGTTCTCGCACCCATACCGGCTAGTCTGGCAATCGCAGGTCGGGCCGCAGCCATGGCTCGGTGCGCAGACATCGGACACAGTGACGAACTACGTAGCGAACGGGAAGAAGAACCTCGTGCTCGTGCCGATCGCTTTCACCTCCGACCATATCGAGACGCTGTACGAGTTGGACGAGGAGGTGATCGGCGAGAGCGGATGCAAGGACTCGATCCGCCGCGTGGAGTCCCTGAATGGGAACCCGGTGTTCATACAGGCGCTGGCGGATATCGCAAAGGCGCATCTGGAGGGCGGGGTACAGTGCTCGAAGCAGATGGCGTTGAGGTGTCCAGGGTGCACGAACGCGAAGTGCGAGGCGAGCAAGGACTTTTTCGCGAGCGGTCCAGGGGGTGCGGTGGAGGCATGAGGTGATGATGGGTGGTAAGGGGTGGTGAGAGGTGATAGGGGTGGGAGTTGAACTCTGCTCTACTGTGACGTGGGTGTATATTATTATAAAAATATGGCGACAAATGCCAGCTGTAGATAATAGGGTATCACCAGGAAAAGGAAAAGTCGTGTTATTTGAAGATTATGAGAAATGCAATGGCTACCTACAAGTATGCTGTCCTCGTTGCTACACAAGTAGTACAATACGGCTGCCGACCATATTGTGCCACCACTCACATTCTCACCTGACGCAGAAGCCCAACGAGATTCCGGCCAGATGATGCTGCTCGTCGCCGCGAATAATGCATCTACATATCTACAGTAACCAAGCCTACGCAGGGGCTTCTCGGTCGCTATTTCCTTCCAATATCAATTAAATACCCTATTCATTGCCCTGACGCCCTGATGCCCTCGGAGAGTACAAGAAAGGCCCAACATGGCGCATCCACGTGGCGGAGTAACACAAATCGCTGCGGGCCGCCAGAAACACACTAGCTGATCGACCAAGAGCTCCAGAGTCTAAGCTGAGTCTAAGACATACAGCACGGTGTGTACTGCACATGACTGACTGAATGCAGTTTATAAGTTGTGAGAAGAGTAGGTGGCGGTAAAGAGTGTCAGGGTGGATTACCAGTGTTAAATGCGTATATATACAAGATATACAAGATATATTATCATCTATTTACCTCATTATCCACAAAGATCGGAATTCAAACATCCCGCAACTCCCCCCCGCACCCAAATGCCAAACGTCAACTGCCATCGGAACCTCGGAGGCGGAGTTGGTAAAAACGTGGTTTGTTAGTGGTTGATTACGTGGTTCCAGACCCAAGCTTATCGAGCGTCAGCCCACTAAAAGTCGCAAGTTCGCATGCACAGATGCCGTGTTCCTGGTCAACTGGGCCGTCTCAAGAGGAAGCCTGTGCCCTCCTTCCTATTATATATGCCATAGCACCCCGAGATAGCGTCAGCTTGGTTTCGAGATATGCCAGCGCAGAGATACGGCGACGACGACTTTGACTCCATGAATCTAGAGAGGCTAAAGGGATATACGAAAGAAGGACGACGACGGCGAAAACTGGAAAGATACAGCCGGGATTGATAAGCTTGCAATCGGCGTGGGAATCAGTGACGTAGCCGGTTTCTGGGATTGATTGGCCGCAGGGAGAAACACTGAGACGGGAGCTAGAAACGGAGATAAAGCACAGGAGAAGTGTAAACAAAGAGAAGACAACAGGCAGAAAGCCCAATGTCCTGTCGTGACGCCGAATTCTCACCTACAACACCATGCAGCGTCAAGGAAACGGCGACGCTGCGGCGCCAAACGGCCGCGACCGTCTCGGTATAGATGCATCCCCTCGAGTCGCGGAAGACACGCCTCTGCTGGCCAAGGCGGACGATGGGGATAGCACCACCGCAGCCAGCTCGGTGCCGTGGGATTGGGAATCCGATTTCGAGGGAGTTCCGTGGTATCGCAAACCATCCGTCAGTATCCCCCGACTCACGCACTCAACCACTCCTCCCATTAACGCGCCATAGATCTGGTGGCTCCTCCCCGCCTATGCCATCTACGCCCTCGCCTTCGGCGGCATCATCGTCCCGAAGCTCAATCTCGTCCTCACGCTGGTATGCCGGCGCTACATCGCCGCGCAATCCACGCTGCACCCCGACGCGCCATACACGCCCGTCATCATGTTCGCCAACAACCCCCAGTGTCGGATCCCCGAAGTGCAAGCCCTAGCAACCGAGTTCACGCTCTACATGTCCCTCCTCACCGGCATACTGAGCGCAGCCATCTGTCCTAAAATCGGGACACTCTCCGATCGCTACGGGCGCAAGTACTTCCTCGCCTTCGCGGTCGTCGGCGGCCTCTGCGCTGAGATCGTTACCATCCTCGCTGCCACATACCCAGACACAGTGCACTACCAATGGATCCTCGTCGGCTCCGTCCTCGACGGCCTCTGCGGCTCCTTCACCTCCGCCATGGCCATGACGCACTCCTACGGCGCGGACGTCACGTCGCCCGCCACGCGCGGCGTCGCATTCGGGTATTTCAGCGGCGCGCTCTTCGGCGGGATAGCACTCGGTCCCCTCCTCGCGGCATTCATCTCGCAGGTCACGGGTAACATCCTCAGCGTCTTCTGGATCGCCTTCTTCTGCCATCTAATCGTCCTCCTCTACCACGTCTTCATCCTCCCCGAATCCCTCTCCCCCAAGCGCCAGGTCGCTGCCCGCGCACGCCATAAACTCGAAATCTCCTCCGCGGCCGCATCACCCACCTCGCGCGCCGCGCGCGCTGCTAACTTCCTCGCCCCGCTCAAGATACTCTATCCCACCGGCGCAGGCACCTCCCCGCATCTACGCATGAACCTCATCCTCCTCGCAGCAATCAACACCCTCCTCTTCGGCGCCTCCATCGGCACCGGGTCGGTATTGGTATACTACACGAACTTCATCTTCAACTGGGGCGACTTCGAGACCCAGATGTTCGTCGGCCTCACATCCGCCTTCCGCGTCGTCGTCCTCGTCGCCATCCTCCCCTTAGTCACCTACCTCTTCCGCACACGCTACCAGAACCACGCCCGTCGCCGCGCCGCTGAAGCTGATCCCGACGCATCCACCACCGTCGCAGCGGACGATACCCGCACCCCCGGCGCCGACACCCTGGATCTCGTACTCATCCGCGGCGCCCTCGTGCTCGAAACAGCATGTCACGCTGGCTTCGCATCCGCGCGACAAGGTGGCGTGTTTTTCGCCTTCGGTGTCCTAGGGGCGAGTGGTTCGATCGCGCTGCCGCTTTTGCAGAGTGCGTTGAGTAAGCATGTTGGTGCTGATCGGGTGGGCCAGCTGCTGGGGGCGATGGCGCTGCTGAATGGGCTTGCGCGGGTGGTGTTCCCGGCGGTGTTTGGGGGGTTGTATAGTCTCACTGTGGGGGGGTTTCCGCAGGCGGTTTTTGTGGTGTTGAGTGTGACGTTTGGGGGGATGGGGGTGTTGAGTTGGTTTGTTAGGCCGCATGGTGAGTTGTTCCTGATGGTGTCTGGGGAGGTTTGGGGATGATTCTAACGTTGAGTAGTTTATATTGAGGATGAAGAGCCAAATCGGACGACGGCGAGTGAGGGGTATACGGATGCACTGGCTGAGGAGCTGGTGGATGAAGAGGTTGTTGGAAGGTAGAGTTGGATACATCATACGTCGGATACACATTGGATACAACATAGTAAGCCACACGGCACCTTGGACTTCCATTTCATTGGTATAACCTATTTGTACGACATCGATAAACTCGATGCACACTTCTGCATTTTGGTAGAACTGGGGCAGGGCCTTAATATCATTATAACGAAAAGACAAAAACAAAGACAAGAAACAAAAGACCAAGATAATAAATATTATAATAAACATATATCCTACTATATATTTGGTAATGATGTGGTTTTCACTAGATTAAAGATTCTAGACTAATAAATATTATAATAAACATCTATTCTACGATATATTTGGTAATAATATAGTTTTCACTAGATTAAAGATTCTAGACTCCGCACTGGTATGTCGTATCCTAGTTGAAAGTTCATTCTCACTTCTCGGGTTTCCTGTTCAAGGACGGAGGAAGCGAATTTCCGATCCGGTCAGTGCCTTACTGTCTGTTTATACAGGGAGAACGAGGTATGCTATCTAACAGACTTTAGGTTGAGTACCACATCCAGAGCATTCTATATTCAATTTATACAAAACGTTGACGCCCCTTGTTGACAATTTTATCGCAGCCGCCTGTCGAGGAACCGACGACGAATTAACTGATCCTCTTCTAGGCAGCTGCAGCTGGACATATAAGAAAGACGGCGCTTTTAATGCCGAATGAGCCCTGTCCTAAGACAAAGCAAAGTTTATGTGCTGGTTCGTTAAGTTATAAGTCCGTGGTGCTTGTACAGTAGAAGGCGAATTGGGTGTCGCGGAATTTTTAGTTAACTTTATTTGTGAGACTGCATCCCTCCACAGAACCACAAAATACTTCAGTAACTTATTTTATCTGGACTGTAAACGAAGCTCACAGTCCGATATGACGACTAGGTAATTCATCGCACACGGACAGTGGACCCAATGGCCAAAGCGGACCGTCAATCCACAGCGGTGCGGACCGGAGTCCCTTCCTTCATCGCCACAGGTGCGGCAGAGTGTTGGCAGGGGTGGATGTGATGCGGGATGGGACCACCAGAAACGCCAAGTTCTCAGCCTTGACAAGACTTCCCTATACTCATGATTTGGCTGCTATCGCGTTCCAACTCGGCCTATATTTCATAACACATCTCAACTGTCGAGCTAGCATCTATGGCGAAGATCCACCGAGAGGGAGTCACATTGCTGTCCGAGAGCGAAGGCGCGAGCGAGGACCAGCATGGTGTGAAGTACAACCCCCCGCAGTCTATTCTCCACCTCTTAACCCCAGCGCATTCTGACTGAGATCAGCGTCATCTTCATCCATGGTCTCAGAGGGCATCCACGTGGGACATGGTCGCATATACGGTCCACTTCTACGACCGGTCGCATCGAAGACACCGATACGCGCACCGACAACCACAAGAACATCAAGACCTTCTTCAGGCTAAAGAAGAGCAAGAGAGAGACAGACGACAAGAGGCAGACGAGTTTCTCTCCACTGTCGGATATCTTCTGGCCAGAAGAGTATCTCGCGTCAGACCTTCCCCAGGCTCGAATCTGGACGTACGGGTACAACGCGGATGTTATTGGAGGGCTTTTCCAGGCAAACAACCAGAACAGCGTTTCACAGCATGGCCGGGACTTCGCTGTCAAGTTAGAGAGGGAAATTGACAATGAAGTATGCCAGACTGCTCCGTGTTTCTTTATATAAGCCTAACGAGTGCCATCACAGGATCCCATTGTGTTTGTGGCGCATAGTCTTGGGGGGATCATTACGAAAGACGTAAGGCCCCGCACATACAGCTAGAAGGTCCGCAGCTATTGATACACTGATATAGGCACTACATAGATCGGAAACAATCTGCAAGCGGACAAGACTGCTTGTCTTTCTTGGGACACCACATCGAGGAAGCACGTACGCAGGTTGGGGCGTGATTGCATCAAACTTGGCGAGCTTAGCCCTTCAAGACTCAAACAAACGTCTTGTACAAACACTTGAAGTCAACGACGAGGTTTTGGACAATATTCACGAGGAGTTCAAGACTATACTTACTAAATACGCCATCAAAGTTCACTCGTTCCAAGAAGCGAAGGGGATTTCCGGCATGAGAGGTCTAGACAGCAAAGTAAAATACTAGACTGTAACCTATGGAGCTGCAGAAACTAATAGATATCACAGGTAGTCGACAACTTTTCCTCGAAGCTCGATCTCGCTAGGGAACAAGAAACTGTAGAGACCATCGACGCGAATCATATGGAAATGGCTAGGTGTAGCAGCAGAGACGATGCGTCTTACCGCCAGATCTGTGGAGTTCTAAAGCAATTCATAAGGACTGGACTGTCGAGCAGGGAAACGAACTTAGCTGATAACAATGATATATCCTGTACGTAACTATATGCTAGTAATGTATTATGCTGCTGATCACTCAGTTCATCCAGCACCTAGCAAACCATTTATAGTTCCCTTCTCCCAAGACGAGCACTTCGTTGGTCGAGAAGACATTCTAGATCAACTAGACTTAGGAGGCCAGCAGGAGGCGCCAAAAAAGCACAGGAGACAAGCACTAGTCGGTCTTGGGGGAGTTGGGTAGGTCTGCTACCATACCCATCTTCACGGCGGCTAAATGCGTGTAGGAAATCCCAAATCGCTATCGAGTATGCATACCGAGCGCGGAAGCACCGACCGCAAATATCAGTGTTTTGGATCCATGCAAGTACCAAGACCCGGTTCGAACAAGCGTATCAAGAGATTGCAGAGAGGCTTGAGCTTCCGGGGCGAGACGATCCAAAGGCCAACGTGCTACGCCTAGTATACAATTGGCTGTCAGATGAAGCCAACGGACAGTGGCATATGGTCCTAGACAATGTCGACGACGGAAGTGTGTTTTTTGAGAATAATGATGTCGTTAGGGGCGTCTCACCGCACGACCAAGCAACCAACTTGCAGCCACCACTAGAGACGTTTCTTCCTCAGTCGCGAAACGGATCAATCCTTATCACATCACGTAACTCGACCGCGGCCAACAACCTCGTCGACACGTTTGGTAAATTTATACCGGTAGAGCCAATGGAAGAGAAGGACTCGGTTGAGTTGCTCAAGACGAAGATACCAGCAGACAAAATTTCTAAGGCAGACTTAAAGGAGCTAGCCCAGGCACTTGAAGGTATTCCACTGGCGATTACGCACGCTGCAGCATACATACGGTCAAGGCCGCGGGTTACCATATCTATATACCTCAGTCTGTTCCGGGAAAGCGAGGCTAACCAGACTAGTCTACTGAATAACGATGAGACGAAAGACCTCCGGCGCGATCACAGTATCAGGCACGCGGTGATTACGACGTGGCAGATTTCGTTCGATCAGATCCAACGGACGAATGCCGAAGCTGCAGACCTGCTTTCGCTCATGTGCATGTTCGATAGACAGAGTATTCCCGAGCGGCTGCTACATAATAACACAGACCAGTTGCTGTTTGAGGATAGTGTTGCGCCGCTGGTCAACTTCTCGCTGATCCGAGAGCATTCAGAAGGCGGCGCATTCGAGATGCACCGGCTGGTGCAGCTGTCGACCAGGAAGTGGGTAGAGTTGAACGGACAGCTACAGAAATGGCGGAGCGAGGCGATTAAGATTACAGAAAGACTGTTCCCAAATGGAGATTATAAGACGTGGTCTCACTGCCAGATTCTGCTTCCTCACGTGAGAACGGTCATGTCGTCCAAAGCGACTGATCAGCAAGATCTGCTACGTGTTGCAGCGATAAATACCAGGTTAGGATGGTATTATATACAAAAAGGCGAGGCCATCCGCGCTGAGCCTATACTTCAAGAGGCAATAGTGGTAAGGGAGAGGGAGCTTGGGGTCAACCATCTAGACACGCTCACTAGCGTTAGCGACCTTGCGATACTGCTACGGAGGCAGGGAAGATATGAGGAGGCAGAGTCGATGATCCAACGAGCGCTAGAAGGGAGGGAGAGGGAGCTTGGGGTCAACCATCTAGACACACTTACTAGCGTTAGCAATCTTGCGTTAGTGCTACGGAGCCAGGGAAAATATAAGGAGGCAGAGTTGATGAACCGACGAGCGCTAGAAGGGAGGGAGAGGGAGCTTGGGGTCAACCATCCAGACACACTTACTAGCGTCAGCAATCTTGCGTTAGTGCTAGACAGGCAGGGAAGATATGAGGAGGCGGAGTTGATGAACCGACGAGCGCTAGAAGGGAGAGAGAGGGAGCTTGGGGTCAACCATCCACACACGCTCACTAGCGTCAACAACCTTGCGTTAGTACTAGACAGCCAGGGAAGATATGAGGAGGCAGAGTTGATGAACCGACGAGCGCTAGAAGGGTATGAGAGGGAGCTTAGGGTCAACCATCCAGACACGCTCACTAGCGTCAGCAATCTTGCGTCAGTGCTACAGAGCCAGGGAAGATATGAGGAGGCAGAGTTGATGAACCGACGAGCGCTAGAAGGGAGGGAGAGGGAGCTTGGGGTCAACCATCCAGACACGCTCACTAGCGTCAGCAACCTTGCGTTACTGCTAGACAGCCAGGGAAGATATGAGGAGGCAGAGTTGATGAACCGACGAGCGCTAGAAGGGTATGAGAGGGAGCTTAGGGTCAACCATCCAGACACGCTCACTAGCGTTAGCAACCTTGCGTTAGTGCTAGACAGCCAGGGAAGATATGAGGAGGCAGAGTTGATGAACCGACGAGCGCTAGAAGGGAGAGAGAGGGAGCTTGGGGTCAACCATCCAGACACGCTCACTAGCGTCTACAACTTGGCTTTCCTTCTAGCTTCCCTGCAACGTTATGAGCCTGCGGCGGAACTGTACCAGAGGGCATGCAACGGCTATGAAATTGCCCTTGGGCGGGACCATCCAACTACATTAGCATGTAGAAGGCACTATTCCTGCTTAGTCGAAGAGCATAGCGGGAGTTAAGGCATGTGAGGTGTGAAGATAGCCTCTGAGGAGTAGTTGGACCCTTATTAAACGAAATGGCTGGAGGATGTAGAATAATGTTATTGGAAGTATACGGTATTACTATCGGTTTTTGATATTCGCAGAGGAGAGACTGATATATTGCAGGTGGCACTATATTGGCCTAGTCTTGATCAGCACTGGCCGAACAGCGTGTGCCACTGTGACAGGGGTTGCATCATCCGACCTTCTTGGCGCCATGGCAGCCTTTGCATGAATTTCAAACCTTCCTGAACCTTGGAGAGTTAAGGGTCTATCGGTGCGATCTTGGACCATATTCAGAAAAGCATTCAAAGCCCCTTCAATGGTACTGTATAGATAGGCATTTAATGAATGCTGCTTCAATTGGAAGATAGAGAGCCAGTGCAAATATGGAATGGACAGAGTAGTGTAAGCATGGATACGAGAAATGATATGCGTAATGAAAGTGACTTAGCGCCATAAATCGCCACCAGCTGCAGGAGGACGGCCGACTCGCTGATTCTGTACAGTAAGTTAGGTTATTTTTTCTACAGTACAGACGACTGCAAAGTCATCTTGCAGATCTTGAGCGTGAAGTGTAGAATCGGCAAGGAATCGGCTCCGCTCTCGCGATGACAATTAGCAGCGGTACCTTCGAAGTACAAACAGGCAAGGGTGCACAGCCACAAGTGTCTGGAAATGGTTCGCCTTTTACTGTATAGGCGCGTTGGATATGTATATTTTTTAGGAGGAGCTTGCTGTTGGTATACTGGACGTATAACACAACGGCCAACCTAGACGGCGATACTTCGCTGGTCTGGTGCAAGAGAGGTACTGATTGGGCTTCGTCCTAGTTTACTTTCCGTGTCTCCGCAAGCCTTATTATTTGGAGTTCCGCATCCATGGGAATGCATATCGAGTGCTGATCCCCGAGCAGCTTGCCTAGCTCCTAATCTATCAAGGGTTAAGAAAGGCCTCCTCCGCGACCCCGATGGCAGCCAAAACGCCACCCACCCTACTCACCCTCCCCGCCGAAATCCGAGACCACATCTGGAACTACTGCCTCGTGTCTCCCACCCACCGCGTCCTCCCTGTCCACTGCCCCGCCTCCACGGACTCCAGCCTTCCCCCCCCCTCCCCGACCGCCGATCCCGTCAGCAAACCTACGATGTCGTACCTCGCAGCGCCTTCATAAAGATGCTTCATCTCGTCCCATGTGCTCCCACGACCGCGACCCCACTCTCTCCATCTCTCCTCCCGCTCGCTCACTCCCTCCCCTTCGTCAGCCGCCAGGTCTACGCCGAGACGTCTACCCGTCTCTGGGGCGCTAACACGCTCGTCCTCCCCGACTATGGCGCCGCGAGGGAGGTGCTCGCGTACTTTGGTAGGGCTAAGCTGGGTGTGCGGCGCGTCGAGATGCGGATTGGGAATGTGTGGGACCTGTTGACTATGCAGCTCATGCGGATGATGGAGGCGGTTGATGAGCTGTGGCGACTGGTGCAGGAGGGGGCGCTGAGGAGGCTAAGGTTTGTGTATGTGGATGGAGGCGCTTGTCAGCGGACTGCGTTACAGATGTGGAGAGGGGTGCTTGGGACCAGTAGCAGGGATAGAGACTGGGGCCAATGTGAGAGGGAACTTGTGTGGGAGGACAAGAAAATGAAGACGGATCGGTTGAGAGAGGTGTTGGCGAGGCACTGGGGTTTAGAGGGGGGGATAGGGGGGTGGGATGACACTGTTACCTGGGGGGACTGGGAGCCTGTCACGAGGTGAGAGGAGGGTGGAGAGTGACGCATTGGATGGCTATAGAACGGGCGGTGGCTTCAAAAACAACTAGGAATGATAGGCATGATATGAGTAGTTACCCTTCTAATAATCTACTTGAACATTGAAACCGACAAACCAGCCACCAGCCATAACACTGTGGCCCTTCCTCCACAACCCCCCCCTCAAGATCTCCGCTCGTGCACCAGTCTCCCCCGAACCCAAACAGCCAAAGTATTCCTATCATCCCCATTAAACACCCACTTCGCCAGCTTATTCTCCCAGCTCTCCCACCCAAAAATATCCACCGCCCCCCCATCCGCTCCCTCAAACCCCCCTTCTAGTCCAACCTCCTCCATCCCTACCAGCTGCGCATCCCACTCCATCCCCACCTCAAACGCCCCAACCCTCCCCTCCATGCCCACCACCTTCGCCCCCCCAAGAGTCCCCAAATACAACGCCTCCTCCACACTCAACTTCCTCCTCTCCGCCTCCTCTCCGCCCTCCCCCATCGCCAAGTTGCGACTACACATCAGCGCCTGTCTCACTGCCTCTAGCACAGACGGCGAGTACCCACCACTCACATCGGTCCCCAAGCCTACATTAATACCATCATCCAACCACGTCCTCACCGCCGCCATCCCACTCGACAGCGCCGCATTGCTAACGGGGCAATGGCTAATCCCCGCCCCGCGCTCTTTAATCAGCGCCCTCTCCTCATCCGTGATATGCACTGCGTGCGCTAGGACTGTCTTTGGCCCCAGCAAGCCGTGGGAATCGTATACCTCGGCGTAACTCTTCGATTGCGGGAACAGTTCAGCGACTAAGTCGATCTCGCGCTTGTTCTCCGAGATGTGCGTTTGCACAGGCAACCCGGTCTCCTTCTGCAGCTTTCCCAGCCCGGTTAGTAGCTGGCTTGAACACGAGGGTGCGAAGCGGGGGGTGATGATCGGTTTCACAATCGCGTGCGTGGGGTCGATAGACGCAATATGCGCGATCGTCGCCCGCGTGTGCGCAATACTCTCCTCCGGCCCCGCATCGCGGTAGTAGTCCGGCGCGAGGGAATCCATGCAGCAGCGCCCAATTAGCGCGCGCTGCCCCGCGGCGAGGCAGAGGTCCGCGAGGAGATTGGTGGCAGGGACGGAGATGGTGGCGTAGTAGGCGGCTGTGGTGGTACCGTGGGAGAGGGTGCGGGCGATGACGCGGGCGTAGACGCGGTGGGCGGTGGGGAGGGAGGAGAGGGAGGATTCAAGGGGGAAGGTGTAGGTGTTTAGCCAGTCGAGGAGAGTGGATTTGCCGAAGATGCCTGCGTTGGGGTATTGCGAAGCGTGGATGTGGGTGTCTGGGGGTTGGTTAGTTGAGGTTCGAAGGCCAGTGGGGGGCGGAAAGGGGGGTGATATGGTACCTATGAAGCCTGGGAAGAAGAATTGTTCTTCTTTGGATTTGATGATTTGGATCGGCTTCTCCTGGCTCTCGGTCCAGTTCAGCTTGGGGAAGAAGCTCTTCGCCGCGGCCTCATCGGCGACGCCCCTCTCGACGGCCACAATCTTGCCGCTCTCGTCCACAAAAATAGCAGCATCGTGGGCTATCTCCAGCTCCTTCAAACTCTTGCTGTGAGCAAACGTGCCCAAGTAGACCGCCTTCTCTACTGCCTTTCCACTCATGATGGCGTGTTATACAAAGTATGGAGAACCGTGTTAGATAATGCCAAGTCCGCAAATCCAGCGCAATGCCGTACGATAGCAATATCAACGGTCACAGATACCGACCGTAACTATATACACTCTAACGGGTAACTATATATTGTGTATAAACTCCTTTGGTTTGTTTCCAGGGCCTCTTCTTATGTTACATGGTTGTCCGTTTATCACTGTTGAGGTGAGGGACCGAGACCCGCATCTTTAACGGTTACCGGCGTGCTCCGCCGCTCCCAGTCGATTGCAACGTATTCAGTTACCGAGCACCATACCCACTCTTGGAAACTGGTCTTGGGAGGAGGGAGACGCCCGATAAACATATTGATAAAAAAGATTGCAAGTGACAAATAGGATCAATTTCAAGGATATTTAGAAAATAATAATATACTTCATGGGGTATCATTGATTGCTGGATAGCCTATTCTAGTGGCCGGCTCCGAAAGTACACATAAAATATAACTATATACTTGCTCTCCGTGGAGCCATCGTCCGCCGCAAGGCCTTCTTCTCCTCCGTCTCATCCATCAATGGCAGAATGCCCTTCTCCCGCATGTCTGCCAGGTATTCCTGGCCAAACTTGTATCCCACCTCGTAAATCTCATCGAACTTCTGGAACTCCAGAGTGCCATACGCATCGATAGGCGGCCGCATGTAAAGGCAGCCAGGCGTCGCTTTGGCTCGTTCCAGCGCGTCAACACTTGACACGTACGCTAGACGAGCCTGGATCTCCGAGAGTGTGGGCGGGTTGGAATATGCTGAGAATGGGTTCCAGCGGTTCGCTATTGCCCAGAATCCCGAAAGCGAATCCCCAAAGTTCTGGGGAGTATCGTCATCAAGCGCTCCCACGTCCACGGCAAAGATAACGTCGGCTCCCAGGGATTTCATGTGCGAGACCGTTAAATTGTCTACATAGCCACCATCGAGAAGCAGGCTACCCTCGTCGCAAAGTGGAGGCAACAAACCCGCTAGCGACATCGATGCTCGAACATATCGCCATGCGTAGCCGCTGGTATGGATTTCGGATCGACTCTTGCTGATGTTTGTGGTATTACAATAGAACTCCAGCCAGAAGTCTTCAATCTGTGAGTTCCCGAATGTCTTGAAGATACCGCGATTAAATTCGTGTCCGGTCGTGTATGACGCCGAGGGATAAGTCAGGTCCAAAGCGAACCGCCACATGCTTGCCATCCGACCAGCGAACTTTTTGGCACGGCCATACATCGGTACCACGTCTGCATCTCGGGCGTACAACGCGCCGATAAAAGAGCCGATTGATGTTCCACCGATAATATCGATAGGTATTCCAGCTTCCTCGAGCGCCCTGATAATACCGACATGCGCAATCCCGCGAGCACCACCACCTCCAAGTACAAGCCCGACAGACTTGCCACACAGCCTTCGTGCAACTCTGTGGAAGTCGCCCTTGAAAGGCGTATCGGCAGAGTACAGAGGGGTCTGCCGGACTTTGCGTGACGTGTACTTTTGGATCTCAGCTTGAATAATTTGAACTCTGTGCTTCAGCGCAGAGCCGAAGCGTCGGGTTTGTGGGTGGACTGGAACTGTGTCTGTGCTGAAGGCCATTTGTACATGATGATGGCCACCATTGATCCAATCACGGTTACGCAGCCAAGATCTTGTAAGACCAGAAGCCAAAAACTTGTCCGCATGCAGGAGGACAAGTTCTTTCCTCGCTGTTGTCTTCATTCCCAGCATGAACCGTTCGTATTCCCCAATTGCGGGAGACCAGTCTGCAATGCCAACCAACAGAATGCAATCTGCTTGGCTAATACACGTTTGGGTCCACGGCGAATTTACATTGGTATCTGTAGCAAACTCAGTTAGCTGCTGTCTTGCGTAATAATTATAAAATTATAGTAAGAATATGGTTGTAGTCAGGAAAAAATTAGAGTTGTTAAGTTTTAGTCTTCATCGAGACCTCTGGGTTAAAAAGTTCCTCATCATTCTACAAAGAAATACGCAAAGTGGAATATAAAATTTCGAACATACCTGCAATGTAGAGCACCAGCCCATACTTCTCCTCAAGATCGGCCAAATATTGAGAAAGTTTGAGCTTTCCCATACGGCTGAACGCATGTCTGCCAAGATGATTGAGAATCGCGGCTTGGTTGAGTGAAGTAACACCATTCGGAGCCCCAATCTGGGTGAGTGCATTCATCAGTCGGCTTCCAAATTCGACAACTGGGACACCTCCTGTGACGGGTACAATGGCCACCGTTCTTAGATTGCCAGTAGACGAGACCTTGACATTTGTAGCTGCCGTTGCCTTCTCGTTCCCAGAGAGGAATACCGGGTCTTCTATCAAAGCTCTCATTCTTGACGCAATGATCTTGGAAATCTTGATGGTGATTCCAGCATGTTCTTTGGCAAGACTATTGAAAAGAGTTTTTGGGAATTTTGCCAGCTCGGTGTCTCGGATTGCATGCAAGGTCGCAGATCGACAAGTTTCCGTCATCACCTCCAACTCGCCAACGCTTTCTCCTTGACCATACTCTCCAACGACTTTCATTTCAGAATCGTCGTCTTCATTGTTAAGAACAGCTCTAAGGCGACCATTAAGCACAATATAAATTGCGTCACTTTCGTCGCCTTGGTGATATATGACTTGGCCAGCATTTACTTGGACCCATTCCAGGGCAAAGTCAATGTGGAGGATCAGCTTTGGTAGCAAGCTCGTGAGACGCTTTGCCATAGTGAGTAGCACAACAGGATACTTCTCCACTATTCTTTCCAGTGAAGATCTAGGTAGGAAGCCCACATATACGTCCGTCTTGGCTGTAACATCAATGAACGACCGGTATGATGAGATTGTGCCGATGTATCCCGCGATTCCTCCAGGCTTAATGAGTGAGAGGGTTGTACGTCCCGAACTCTTACGCTTTCGCGAATCTGCGCGCTTTGCCCTGCTATTCGGTTTTGATCCTCGAGAAGAGCCTCTGAACTGGCTAGACTTCTGTGAAGTGAAGCTCGAACTTTTCGTTGTACGGCCAAGAAATTCGGTATCATCGGCATCGTCATTAGGAATTCCCACATCCAGGAAGCCGTCAATCACATAGTAAAGTCCAGGGTTACGTTCGCCTTGCTCGACAAGGACAGAGCCTTTCGGAAAGTAGACTATTTCCACCTCATCCCTCAGTTCAGTAGCGAGTCCTTGGCTGCTAACCGTAACAAAATTGCTGGTGGTACTTGAGGTGACTGATTCCGTATCCCCATCACCTGAACCTTCATATGGGTCAATAAAGCCAAAGGCGTTATTGAAGACAGGCTTTGTCCTTCTCTGGTCCATGGAGTGCAGGTAGGGAGAAGCCTCGACCGAGTCGGCCATGCGTAATGCACTTTGAGTAGTGGTAAGACCGATCGCTTTGAAGATACACTCGAGGATAGAGCCACGAAAGATTCCATCTTCGTCGATAGACTCTTGTCGGTGGAGTTGAGGCTGCACCACCGGAGACGCAAACGGCTTAAACGTCTTCTCCGTTAAAGGACTCAGGACATCGGAACCTTGCGCATTTGGTGTCGATTGCTCGAATGACCCACTGACATGGTAATGTCGTCGGCCACCCGTCCTAGAAATGTGGATGTTGGTAAGAAGGTCACCGGGGCTAGGGCTTGCTACTTCGTCGACATTTGGAGCCTGGGTTCGAGGAGTGGCTACCGTTTTAGCGCCAAGGGCATGCATGGTAGCCTCTTTGCGAAGACTGGTGCTAGACCGACGTCTCCGACCTGCGCTAGCATTGTGGAGAGCAATGCCTTTACGGGAATCCTCTGGTCCGATCCGTTCTCTCTCCCTAATGAACTTCTCCTTGAGGCGGGCCAGTGCACTGCCACGGAGAAAGTTTGGCAACTCATATGTTGTGTACTTGTTCATGTGTCTCTCTGTGCGAAGGACTTCTGCCGTCAGTCCAAGATAAGAGTGTCCAGTGGCCAGTGTGACACGCTGGAGCCTCGTTAAAATAACTTGGACAATATGAGAAGTAGCCTTGGGATAAACCCGAGTCAGGCGACGAAAGGCACTGGCAGGAATGATGGCAATTGTAGTGTCGACCCTAGCTCTTGCAATGATGTCTGGGTGCACCGAGTTTGACTTTGCCCTCCTTGGCTTCGGCCGTTCGGGTCGAGGGGTCTCTGGCGGATCCAGAGACATCGGTGGGATGTTTGGAAGGCCTGAAGGATCGGACTGAACAGAATCTTGAAATTCACGCCTCAAAGTTTCGGCTCGTGACTGTTGAGCTCTATTCCCCGGTGGGCTGCCGGCCAGTGAAGGCGGTGATCCACGGTTGTGGTCGATATCAGAGGCCGATCGATGGTGACCACCGCGCCCAGCAGGGTGGTTTGCATCCATTTCATCATCTTCGGTATGACGGAGCTTGATGTCTTCCGTAAATAGTGACAGGATAGAGAACAATGAGGACATCGGCGCTCCATTCCTAACTTCAGTCAAGAGTTGGTAGCCTTGGTGTCCACCACCCTCGTGGCGTTCATCATCGCTATCAGAATAGAATACATCGGCCCCATTGTGAGATGCGTCGCTATCAGCGTTGTTGTCTTTGGTGGGAGACTTCACGAAAATTTCCACCAATCCGTCAACTACCAAACAGAAACCCTGTTCTTCTTCCAAGTTAAGAGTCTCTCCCGCAATGAGCTTTCGAGTTTGCATCGAGCGTGTCAACTCGTGAAAGACAGGACGCTCCAGATAACCGAACACCTTGATAGCGCTCAAGAACTCGTCAAGATAGCTTGATAGGCCTGATTTGGTACCCTCCTCCTGTGTATCAGGAAATAAATCTACTTTGGGCTCTTTGCGTTGTGGCTCCGGAGGAAGCCGGGCGTACATATTCAGGTACCTGTACCGCACGAACCAGCTCAACGTAGACAAGAGCGCGAGCATTATCAACATTCTATAAAGAAGAATTAGTTTGGGTCTGAAAATGGTACAAATGCCGTAACTTACACAGTTGTGGCATTCAGTGTGAATGTGAGGCTCGTGGAGAACAGCGTGAAGAGCCATGAGGGGAGCGTCAAAGTCGTGAAGGTGATTACCCAGTACAAGATGACAGGTATCACCTTCACGATGGATATGATGAGGCGTACCAAGAGCCCAAGCCACGAGGATGGCGGCGGTGAAGACATATCCGCAGATAGCTTCGAACCCGCCGTCGCTGCCAGCCTTGGGATGCTCGAAGCTATCCCTGTAGACGTGGTCGACGCCGACAGAGCTTCCAAAGTCGACATCTTGATTGGTCGAATTTTAAAAATTGTAAAGATGGGGGTATATAGACTGACAGCCTTCTCAGCAGTCAGCCTATGAAGCAAAGCTAAGACGGTTCCATTGCCTCAGCTACTGGTTTCATACAGTAACTTGAAGCTTTGTGGTGAAATATTTAAAACAGAAAGGACAAGCAAGCTTCGGAAAAGAAGGGAATTCCCTCTGAACCGAACTAAAGCTACCCAACTGAAAAATAAGCGAGCTGTGGCGGGGCTAACCAAAAGTGGAGCACCATGCCACCAAATGCGAAATTGACGATGCGGGACCGATTTGTATCGTCGACGTGAATATTTCCAACTGACTCACTTCTGCTGGCCATTCAACCTCTCAGCAGACAACAACAGCAACTGCGATAACCAATATTCACCGGATAATTGAAACAGACAAGTTAAAAGAAACAAAACAACCTCTAAGTCGAACCGCGCCGCGCAGCGCAAAACCGCGAAGATGTCGTTAACAAACTGCCGATTCTATGAGGAGAAGTTCCCGGAGATTGACAGCTTTGTCATGGTGAACGTGAAGCAGGTAAGGCCGATTTGGAAACTGGGCTGATGAGTTTGAACTGACTGGTTCCTTCAAAAGATCGCCGAGATGGGTGCCTACGTCAAGCTCCTGGAATACGATAACATCGATGGCATGATTCTTCTTTCTGAGTTATCCAGAAGACGTATCAGAAGTATCCAAAAGCTTATCCGTGTCGGACGCAATGAGGTCGTCGTTGTTCTCAGAGTGGACAAGGAGAAGGGTAAGTGGCACCTTTTTACCCCTCACTGAAGTGGGCGTGAAGCTGATTGCGGATCTCTGGATAGGATATATCGATCTGTCGAAGCGCCGAGTTTCCCCCGAGGATATTGTTAAATGCGAGGAGCGATACAACAAGAGCAAAATGGTCCACTCGATTATGCGCCACGTAGCAGAGAAGACCAAGACTCCTATCGAGGACCTGTACGAGCGTATCGGATGGCCGCTCAACAAGAAATACGGCCACGCCGTGGATGCCTTCAAGCTCTCTATCACGTACGCCTTATAAATCTCAGTTACAATACCAACAGAAGCTAACAGTACTAGAAACCCCGACGTGTGGGCTGATGTTTCGTTCCCGAACGATGCGGTTGCAGACGAGCTTAAGTCATATATCGGAAAGCGCCTGACTCCCCAGCCAACGAAGGTCAGAGCCGATGTCGAGGTTACATGTTTTGGTTACGAGGGTATCGACGCCGTCAAGAACGCCTTACGGACCGCTGAGGCCCGCAACACCGCCGACACTCAAGTTAAGGTCAAGCTTGTTTCTCCTCCTCTCTACGTCCTTACAAGCACATGTCTGGAGAAGCACCTGGGCATTGCAACGCTGGAGGCCGCTATTATCGATATTAAGAAGAACATCGAGGCAAACGGAGGTAGTTGCACTGTCAAGATGGAGCCAAAGGCCGTCACCGAGAACGACGACGCCGAGCTGCAAGCACTGATGGAGAAGCGCGCCCGGGAGAACGAGGAAGTCAGCGGAGACGAGAGCATGAGCGAGAGCGACGAGAACGCGATCGAGGGCACGGTAAGATGATTTGGGAAATGGGAGTTAAAAGTTTTCTGAAACTCATGCTGGCGAATCTCGGCCGGTCTGCATTGCAGGCGCTTAGACATGGCAGCGGTACGCACATGAATCTAAATGAAGTACATTATGACCATTAAATTGAAAAATCCTATAAATCGTAAATATGCTTCTTGTGCACATGGGATGAGACTCAAAATGTGGCGGCTTATGTCATGCAAGGCTACGGTGTAGCCGACCATATTGAACCGAGCCCTTTAATATTTCAGCCTCATACTCGGAAATACAGGTTCACCCAGCAAGTCGTCGCAAACATGGCTCTGGGGCGGCTGCGGCCTCTTTTCAATCGATTTCGTGCGCGTGGCCCATTCGTGAAGCAGACATCATTTATCCTTTTCAATTTTATAACATGGATACCGGCTGTTATATGGTTCAACTCGAACGTCGGCGACATCGTCTGGATCCAGGGCGGTTCAATGTACCCGTATCTAAACACCGATATTAATCGAACCACGAAGAAAGATGCTTGCTGGAATAGCAAATGGGAGCCCTTGGAAGGTTTGAGGAGAGGAATGATTGTATCATTCTGGTTCGTTGCGTCCGAATCGATATAGGTCTCTGGGAAACGAGGACTAATACATGTTTCTAGGAGCCCAGCCCACCCCGAAGTCGAAGCCGTGAAACGCGTGATTGGCCTTGAAGGCGATGTTGTTTTCACTCGAAAGCCGTTTCCAAACCCTCATGCTACGGTTCCAACAGGCCATATATGGGTTGAAGGCGATGGTGGCCATAACGGAAAAGAAAGCCTGGATAGCAATACTTATGGGCCAATCCCTATGAATCTGGTTACGGGACGGGTTACATATGCGCTTTGGCCGTGGAGAACCTTTGGTCCTATCAATTGGTGGGAATGGAAGCCAAAAACTAGGGTCATCAAGGCGAAGCGATGAATACGACGAGGCTGGAAGGGATATACACGGGTTTCTATACTGAAGGGCGGCGTCAAGCAAGGCGTATGCCACTGATCTACTATCACCACCTCGGATAGTAAGGTACCAGGGTCCTCGGAGCTGTGCATTTAATACTGTTGGCTATGTCCGAGGAGCACCGAGCGAACCCGAGCGACCTATTACGGAGAAAGACCAGCCATTACGGCTTGGGCCTTGCATTGCGATGTGGTAGAGGACATGCCAACCCATAGCATCGGTCACAGAGCTTTTTGAGGGTGCAGAGACAGGTTGAGGTTGATGGAACAGTGTCGTTGTAGGATAGCATCTTCTAGAAGGGCGGCATTATATTAAACACCGGCCCTGCCGGGTATGGTATGACTGTACTATAGCGTGTCGTAAAATGTATTTATGTTGACAAGATTAATAATTGCCCTGCAATATTCTGTACATCGCCGTTATTCGACCTCATAAACTATAAAATATCCATATCAAAAAAAACGAAAAATATATTAGTGGAATCTCCCTCTGGTTATTGCATCTCCGAAATATTGCGGCAAAACCGGTCTGGAGTTAAGCCTCGGCCAATCACGTCCGATAAATTTCTGACCGCCTTACGAACCAGCAACGCACTAGCGTGAAATGACCGTCAACTGAAGGCCAAGAATTATTCGCATCGCAAGAGCTACTTGCGCATTATAGAGCCCACCACTTCCCCTCGACCCCTCGACTCCGACTGCCAATTGTCGCTACGCACACACTGTTGGACCGATCACAGACATCTGAAGACGTCACCTCCACGAGCTGAGGAAGGGCCATGTCCCTGGCCTCTCGCGTTGCCAACCTGTTCTCGGGATCACCTGCCGTGGAAAGAGAACGAAGCAAGTTAAACTTTGGAGATGATGGGCTGTCAGATGAAGAGCTCGGCTTCGCACATAGGCAATCACGGTTGCATGCGGCAGAATCGGACGCCATGGCACAGAAAGATGTCAAGGAGGAGGGACGCCCGCCATACCTTCATGTACGTTCGGGATGCGCTCGTTATGGGTTGTGGAAACGAATACTGATATTTTATAGGCTATGATAGCTGGAGGTATTGGAGGGACGACGGGGGATTTGCTCATGCATTCTTTGGATACCGTGAAAACGCGCCAGCAGGGCGATCCGCACATGCCGCCAAAATACACATCTATGGCATCGGCATACTCAACGATCTGGAGGCAGGAGGGCATACGACGGGGGCTGTACGGTGGTGTGCTCCCAGCACTGTTGGGTTCCTTTCCGGGAACCTTGATATTCTTTGGCACATATGAGTACAGCAAGCGTTATTTGATAGACGCAGGAGTTAGGCCGCAGGTGGCGTACCTGACAGGAGGTGAGCATTCCAGAAACTCATCGATGTTCGTATGCTGACTCTTTCGCAGGATTTATTGCCGATTTCGCAGCGTCCTTCGTTTACGTTCCTTCAGAAGTCCTCAAGACACGACTACAGCTCCAGGGCCGCTACAAGAACCCTCATTTCAATTCCGGGTATAATTACCGCGGTACAGCCGATGCTGCCCGCACAATAATTCGACAGGAAGGGTTCTCTGCTCTGTATTATGGTTATAAGGCAACCATTTTTAGAGATCTTCCCTTCTCGGCATTGCAGTTCGCATTCTACGAACAATGCCAGACGTGGTCGCGCCAATGGAAGGGCAGTAGAGATATCGGGTTACCTCTGGAACTTGCAACGGGAGCCGCAGCTGGTGGATTGGCTGGTGTCATCACATGTCCCCTCGATGTCGTCAAAACACGCATCCAAACGCAGGTCAACTCGCCCTCTTCGCCACTTAAGCACTCGACGCCTGTGACCAAACATGTTCCGGCCAGCGCGGCAACGGCGACCCAGGCAACAATAAACCAGCAGAAGCGATCGATCTCTACCTCGTCTCCATCGACATATACCCCTCGACCAGGTTCAATCAACCTCGACACCTCTTCCGTCTTGACCGGCCTCAAGCTGATATACAAGACTGAAGGGCTTGCCGGGTGGTTCCGCGGCGTTGGTCCGCGCTTCTTGTGGACAAGCGTGCAGAGTGGCTGTATGCTCTTCTTGTATCAAACTATCCTTAAGCAGATTGAAGTATGGTCACCGCCAGAGGAAGAGTAAATAGACGAGGTATGAGTCTTGTATAGATAGTGCATGCATGGCATCTGTAATAATATGGCGGGTGTTGTAAGGTATTTGCATTGGGCGGTGTTTGGCTTTGGAATTTACCGCATTTGATAGCGGATATATAGACTATAGGAGAAATAAAAAGATCTTCACTTCGACCGCTACCGTTTCCAGCATTGAAATCCCATGATAAGGTGGCAATCCACAAATCGCATCCCTTCCCAATCCACATCCCACCTCATTCATCCTTTGATAGCACTTAAAGTCTTAGGTAAACGACTATATAGAGGTACTTGGCACATTTGGTGGTTCCGAACGCATGTCGCTTACTCCGACTGAGCGAAGGGGCGTCTGCCTGTTTGTTCTAAGTTACATCTGATTTAACTTAACATTAATGCGATCTAATGACCAAAGAGGAGACAGCATACTACCGGTCCTTTCCCGTCAATATAGCACATCTGTCTATTCTAGCTCAAGAACCGAAAAGTCGACGCTTGCATAATGGGTCCTTTAATTGAAAACTGCCCGTTTGATGTAATCAACGAGATAATCAACCACCTGGAGCCGGACGCGATCCGCAGCCTCAGGTTAAGCTGCAAGACTCTGGCAATCAAATCCTCCTCATCATACGGCGTCAAGGCCTTGTTCCGATCGAAACATATCGAATTAACAGAACAGGCGCTTCGTGCATGTGCTGTGGCAACGCAGGCCGAGGGACTCTGCTGCCATGTAAAGGAAGTGACTCTGAGCGGTATTGCCGGCGGCGATGATGACGCACCCCGACGAACACGGCAAGGGGGAGTGCAACTATGGAGGAAAAACAAAGAATTCTTGCTCAGCCAGTCCTTCATCGCGCTCAAAAGAAATGGTCCCACTGGAAGGCTTGCGTCGTTGTCCCTCAAGGTAGCGATTCCCCCCCATCTCAAAGCGAGGATTGAGCCCGCCAATCCGCGCGGAGAATATGACTGGAGACCCTTGTCGGAGGCAGCAGTAGACGCATTTCACATTACTTTCAGAGCGTTGGCGACAAGTCAATTGCGAATCGACAGTCTCAACATGTTTAATGGTCCAGGACAGCAGCGGCGCAGCTTACCTTGCAATGCGCTCAGCAAAGTTGATTGGGACAGCGAGGGCCTGGTCGAGTCTCTCTCGTCCATGCGATCACTCTCCATCAGCCTTTCTAATCGAGTCTACAAGCTTGATGAAGACGAAAAAGGGCATGTCAGAACTGATAACGGGACAACACGAGGATCTCGAAATCACTACGACGAAAATGACGTATCCATAGCTCAAGAGGAAAGAAATTTTACGGGACTCGCAAGTCTCTTTCAACTCTCGAAGAATCTTGAGAGCTTCGAACTCCACTACTTTAGCCATCGCGGGGAGCTTCAAGGACTGCTATATTCTAGGGACTGGTGCCATGAGCGACTCCTACAACGTCTCGTCGCCCTAAATAGTCTGCCAAACCTGACCCGTTCTACGCTTCGGGGTATCTACGCTACGGAGACTGACTTGCTTGCATTCATCAAGCGGACGAGAGTCAGCGAGCTCTCTCTGGAGAGTGTCACCCTATCGTTAGGAACATTTAGGTCGATCTTTGATTACTGCACAAGCTCAGCGACCTCAATCACCAAGTTGAACTTTGACGTCTTGTACGAGATGGGTGAACGGCCATCGCATATGGTTCTGTTCCTCGGAGCTGGACCGTCGAGGCTTGTGTATGGTGAAACCGGACTTGGAGGTGAATCACTAGAGCGGGGCAGGGATGATATCAATCAACCTATTTCTTACTATACGCTTCGGTCGCGTCTAATAGGAAGTCCTACGGCGTCTAGATGGGCGACGTTTCGGATTAGAGAGTATGGGAGTACGTAGTAACTATGTTCTGTCCTATAAAAAAAAGAGAGTACTGCTACTACAAAATATATATATAGATTAGCACTTCTAATAAGTATAGCATATCTCATAGAATATATATATATTAGAACTATAAGGGCTATTAGAGCCATTATAGTTTTAATAGTCTTGATCCTGCTAACAGTACACAGCGGCACACATGCACACAGCCTTGAGCTTATATGAACGAGATTAATGATAGCACATGTGGGAAGGGTCTCTATCTGTTTGAGATGTTTACACCCTATTTAGCAGCGCTAAAATGATCTTGTGGCCCCTAAATAATGGCGCCTAAGCGCGTTTCCATAATGTCCTCCTTGCGCGTTAATTTCGGCGCCTTTGCTCCCCAGTATTTTAACAATCTTATAAGTTCAACCCCCTAATACGCTTACACCATCTTTCTAGCAGTCCATTGACCCAATGGGTCAAAGTGCCAAAATAAATTACTCCATACCATAGTATCTCCAGGTTACAGCCTTGCCATTCAATCCACGCGCGACAATCTCTTGCACATCGCCAGGCACAAGATCGAGCATATTGTCATCGAAGCTTACCGCATCAACATCCTTGACGTAAAAGGCCAGTCCTTTCACCGGTACATTTGCTCGTGCCGAGATCCGATCACCGTCAATTCCAATAACAAGCTTCGGTTTCGGCATGTTTATATAGCGGTATGGTTGGGGCCAGTTCGTGCAACGTGCGATAGTAGTACCTTGCTCGGTCTGTAGGCACGTGGACATGATAACGGGCTCATCAACTATACACGGCCTTGGCAACTCAATGTCAAACAGCTCCGTTGTAATATTGGCCCCCAACTCCTGGACCTTTGTCTGGGAAAACAACTCTTTCCCAGTAGACAATTCAAATGCCTTTATAGTCAGCAAGTAGGAAACAGGCTTAAGGGTAACATTTGTCGCCCATCCCAAGATACGAGTCTCGGTATCAATGAACGCCCTGGTAAATTCCGAACGGGGAGTTTTGATCTCCTTCCTCTCCATTCCTAGAGATATTGGCGCAATATCTCGCTTGACTGTGAAGTAGGACATTTTCGGACGGTTGAAGTAATCCACCAGGGCCTTCGACGTGACTTGCCACGTAGGATTAAACTTTGAACAATTAGTCTAGTAGCATTATACGTAACTGAAGAAGAATTATACGAACCTGCCATATGAGACTTCCACCACAATACTCCTTTCCTGTTCCTTTCCACTCTCGTCTCCAGGCTCTCAGGGCGCAAGTCATAGCCTCGGCCTGGTTTAGCTGTGTAATATAAATATATTCTTCCAAGCCAAATCCGTATTTGAAGTTTTCCACGAGGTATGTAGCCATTTTTCGTTCGTGCTGCAGTTCCTTGTTGTGATGGTCGATGGTGCGGGAATTGGGATGTCTCTCTGATGGCGGCGAGTCAATGAGGAATGATTCGATTGTGTCTAAATGAGGAAGAGATGAGATTCCAAATTCGGAAATGAATCGACTTCCGAGTTTTGGGTACTCCTGCCATGGACGAGATACATGATGCCAGACTGTCTATTAGTAACTGCACTCGTCATCAGATGGATTCGTACTCACCCTCCCACATGTGTGTGTCTCCAATAGTTGGGTCGTTGAAATACTTCCCGCCCCATGGCGATCCAGGGTGGTATGGAGTATCGGGAATGAGCTTCTTGCAAATCTCTGGGAGCATCTTTTCATAAATATATCGTGCAGGGAACGTTGTCTTTAGCCAGTTGTCGGGATCTGGGTCGTTGATATCGTAGGAGGTGTGAAATAGTTCGGCAAATAGGTAGTCCTCGTTATTACCAGACCATGCAACAATAGAGGGATGGTGACGAAGGCGCTTGATATTATCTTCAACTTCTTCGGTGATGCGGCCACGGAAGTCTTCATCTGCTGGGTATGTGCCACATGCGAACATGAAGTCATTCCACACCAGGATCCCAAGTTCATCGCAGATATCATAGAAAACATCGTCCTCGTAGATTGCACCGCCCCAAACACTATATACACATTAGTGATTGAAAACTTGAGTGTTAAATTGACTAAAACTGACCGTAGCATATTTTGATTCCCATCAACAACCATCTGCAACAGCGTGCGATATCTCTCGGGGGTGACACGAGGAACAAAGTGATCTGCGGGGCACCAGTTCGATCCACTACTAAATATTGGTACGTCGTTGACTTCGAAGAAGAAGCTTGTCCCTGGCTGATCAACAATGGGTCGCTGTACTAAAGATACAGTTCTGAGGCCTAGCTTTCGACTTCGTTGATGTATATTTATTCCCTGGAAAAAAAGTCAGACGGATCTCAAATAAAAATCCAATACACTAACCTCTCGAATGAGGTGAGCGTCAATGGTATATAGTGGCTGTTCTCCGTAACCAACAGGCCACCAAAATTTGGCGTCGTGCACCTCAAATCGATCAGTTGCCTTATTTTCAGTGACCTTCACGCTGCTCGTCGATATAGAAGCTCCATCAGGACCGGTCAAAGCATATTTGATGATGTCCCCTTCTTTCCCACCCTCGACCTCTGCTGAAATAGATATAGATGATGTCTTGTCTGCAACAGATATTTCCACTTTGGCATGTAAGTCAGAGATCCGAGCTGAGTATTGTTCGAGATGGATTGGGCGCCATGGTCCACAAGTTGTAAGCTCAGGGCCTGTTGACTATTAGCAAATTGGCCTCCAAAAAGATTTTAAACGTACCCCAATTCCAGGCATAATGATACTGGGCTTTCCGAACCAGAAGACGGCTTTTATCAGTAGATGATGTAAAACCTACGGGTTTAAACCCAGTCTCTTTCATCAGTTGCTTTCCCCTGATGATAGCGCTGTCAAACAGAATCTCCAGCACGTTTACGCCCTCTTCCACAGTCCCGGTGATATCAGCTCGAAAGATGCGGTGCATATTCTCCGCTTCTAGGATTTTTGTTCCGTTCAGAGAGGCAATCGCAAAGGTATCAAGGCCATCGAATTGCAGGATGGTCTTTCGGCCTGAGACCGAGGGGCATTCGAATGTGGTTCTATACAACCATTGTTGTTCTCCAACCCATTGAACTTTGTATTCGTTTAGTCCAATAAAAGGATCCGGTATTTTGTCGTGGGCCATAAGATCAAGATGGACGTTAGTAGGAAATTGTGCCACTGGCAGAAATCCGCAAGTCCATTCCGGGACCTCAGTCGCTCCGACTTGTTTAAACTCCCAGCCAGACCTGAGAGTTTGGTTTGTGTATCCGGCCATTGAGAAAGTATTCTAATGAGCTCGAGATTCTGTTAGAGCAGGAGAAGTTAAAAAAATCAAGCGTAAAATTTGAAGGCCAATATGGGCTTTTAGAGTTTATGATATACTTTGATTTTATAGAGAGCCTCGGCCAATATCGATCTAGCATTATTTATCTATTAGAGCTAAGAACATACATCCCGTTAAACACATGCATGCTTCATCATTTTGCCTCATGATATACCACAATATTACAGATATCAAGTGGAAACGGGATGATAGTAACAGTTCGGGAAAACTTCCCTTGGGCTAATGATTTCTCGTGTCAGAGCGCAGTTCAACCGCAATCCAATGAAACGCCAAAAGAACGGAGCAAGAGGCTAAAAAGAGTATCTTTGTAATTCGGACTCGGAAATTCGGGTCAGACACGAGACACTTGACTTGAATTGTTGGGGAACGGATTTCGTTCCCTACCATAGTTGAGCGGAGAGAGGGGTTAAGGTGGGTCGTAAAACGGGATGTAAATAAGCGAGTGGGATGAGGGGTTAAAACTGAATGTTCAGAACGGGATGGGATGCTCTCACAGCTCCAAAAATGCGGAGAAATCATATTGACATCCCGAGGTATGCAGTGGGTTGCAAGTAATACGCAGGAATCTGGGGAAATGCGGGGTTTTGCGGGGGAAATAATTGATGTGGAGTACATACTGTGTGTCCCTTAGATCCCCTGGTATAAAGAGCTTCCGCTGAAGGAGATTTGACGCATAGATAAAGGAGAGACCCTCGTCCACTTATCCCCTCACAATAATATTTTGTTCTCCCCGATCTTACATTTAAAATGGAATTAGGCCGATCGACATTTGGCATTCCGACGGCCAGCTTGCTCTGCGCCGTCTTCTCCTGCATCGGTGCCTTTCTACTCGGCTTTGATACTGGTAAACGTGTGCTTCACCACAGCTTGTGCTGTGAGCTAACAACTACTTAGGCATCTTTAGTACAACCATCGCCCATCCTAGCTTTAAAATCTATATGTTTCACAACAAGCTTGGCAATGCGGTTTTGACAGGTATTGTGTACCCTTTCACTAAGAATAGGCAGAGTCCTCACCGATTCAGGAACTATAGCATCGACGTACACGGCTGGAACAGCAATTGGAGGGCTTTCTTCCGGATGGATGGCAGATCGATTTGGAAGAAAGAGATGCATTGTTGGATCCGCCGCTGTCGGTAAGCATGCAAAATGTAGTGTCTGCCATTCGTTTATCTAAGTCAGCTACAGTCATTGTCGGGACCGTTATACAGACAGCTGCCATAAACATCGGTATGATCATTGCTGGTCGAGTCATTGCAGGCCTTCCAATTGGAGTCCTACTATCAATAGTCCCGGTGTACAATGCAGAGCTTGCCCTGCCCAAGTACAGAGGAATGATTGTTGGTCTGTTTGCTGCCATGGCCTCCTTTGGTGTTCTCTGCTCGAACTGGGTCGGCTACGCATGTTTTTTCGCAACTGGAAATGCACAATGGAGAATCCCACTTGGCTGCCAAGCTCCGTTCGCAGTAATCCTTTTCGTTGGGGGATTCTTCCTTCCAGAATCTCCTCGGTGGTGTATGGAATTCTCTCTCCCCTTTTTAAAACGGTCTAACACGTCCCAGTGATAAAGAAAGAGCGGGATCAGGAGGCATACGAAAGTAAGATTTTCTTTTACGCATAACATATCATCTGCTGACCTGCATCAGTTCTTATGAGAGTCCACGGTATGCTTGGAGAGGACTATGTCAGTAGAGAGTTCACCCAAATGCATGAACAAATCTCTATCGAAGGCCAAGGCGGATTTAGAGAGTGTTTCAAAACCCCCTCAGCACGGAAAAGAATAGCACTTGGTATATTCATAACTGTTTTCAACAATTTGGGCGGAACACCAGTCATTACCGCCTATCAATCGCAGCTTTTCACCCAGATTGGATTCCCAGGACTTCAGACACTCTTTTTCTCCGGGTTTTATGGGCTCGCTGGCTTTGTCGGAGTCCTGGTAAACATTGGCTTTGTGGCTGACAGAATGGGTCGAAGAACTTCCATGTGTAAGTCTTTCATTTGGCCCTAGCTTTATGTCTCCCGCTGATTTCATTATAGGGATCGGGGCAGTAACGTTGCTTATCGATTTAATCATTCTCATGCCTCTTTCGAAACTATACACCGGCTCCACGAACGAAGCTGGCAAAGCAGCTGCTGTTGCCTTCATTTTTGTTCATTCATTTGTGTACTCCGTCTTCATGTTTGGGACAGTGTGGGTTTATCTCTCCGAGATATTTCCAACAAAGCTGCGTGCACAAGGATTGGCCATATCCACATTTTGGGGGCAGGTCATTAGCGTCATTCTTCAGCAGGTCGGTCTCCAGATATACAACGACATTGGGTATTTATTTTATATCGTCTTCATCGTATGCACGGCAGCGGCTGGGTTTGTGTATTATTTTTTCTTGCCGGAGACGAAGGGTGTTACATTGGAGGATATTTCGGCATTCTTTGGTGATGAGGTTGTGGCAACGCTCCACGAGCCCAAGGCGAGGATTGAAAGGGTTCTTAATAGGGCGGCTGGATGTGATGATGAATCAAGTGGTGCGCAGCAGGAAGATACTCCAGCTACTCCCAAAGAAAGGGCAGTAGAGTTTGAGGATGTTTCGCGTGTGTAAAAGAGGCACTGGGTGGGCCACGGACACCACCTAGGAGCCCACCAGTATCTATACACGTCGGCAGAGACCAAGTAGCATGTAGTCATTATTCTTCGTATAAATAAATCACATGAGACTTGTTCCTCCTAAAATTGAGTCGAGAACTTGACTAGCCTCTTGACCTACAGAACATTAGTTTAGCTAATCATAGCATGTATGTCTAACGTACCTAGCTCCCAAGAGCTGCAAACTAGTCGATCTTGCACAGCCCTCATAGTTCTGTGTACATCGATTTTCATTGCAATAAGATCTAAGGGGGCGATTGGTTGAAGATGCTCCCCTGTCCTGTCTCGGTTTCGATCTGGTTGCCGTGTTTTCTGATCTTCGAGCTCTGTGAGGTACACAGAGTATATGAGCACCGTTAGAAATTCAGTATAACCTCTATCCAATGGCCTTAGCGAAGGTTTATGTCGTTCATCCAAGCAGAGTTGTAAGATTTTTAGTAGATGGGGGTAAACTCGTTCTCCATTTAAATTTGCTTGGGCCTCGCCATCTTGTTCCAATGGGTCGGCATTATCGTGGGCGTGTGGAATACCAGCTGCCATCGCAATTCTGCTAACGTCCACATATAAGAGAATGTAGGTAAAGTGGTAGTAAATGAGAGCCGATATGGCCATCTCTTCTTCTCGTATTTTGTCGTCCATTTTGCTGAAGTGCTCCCACCACTGAGCTAAGGCAGCTTTGAAGTCTGCTGATTTGAGGAGTCGAACTGCATTCGAAGAAGTAGATGGCATCGCTTGGTTGAGTTCGATTACTGCGGATGCAATACCTTGTATTAAGATGCACATGGAGAACGGATTCTCTTCGAAATCTCCCTGGACTATTCTGTTATCGGATCTTTGACTGTCTCCTAAAAGGATTCGCATTGCTGTTTGTAGGTAGCAAGTTCCTACTTCAGGTTTAATTTGGGAAACCTCTCTTTTCCACTCATTTAGCGTTTTGGCGTTCCACAGGTTCGATGAACATGGAAGAGGAAGCTTTAGCAAGCTGGCTAGCTGTAGGTTTGGATACGTGAAATGGATGGAATGTAGAGTATTGTTAAGAAAGAGGCAATGCACCAATCTACGAGATGAGATTAGTTTTAAATAAATCTATAACGATGATTCTTACCTGATCAAGGCTTCATGCTGTGCCCAGCTTCTCCATCGGCCGTTAAGGGACTCTTCACCGCATACGCTGGCATCATAACTGTGAAGTGAAAGGCGTTTGCGTCGGACGTGCTAATAGAAGACGACATCAGTAGCTAGAGAGCAATCCCGTAGTTATCAAAGCAAACTTACAAGTATAACCAATTCATGGATTAAATTGGCTATTCTATGTTGTTCACCAGTTGAAGAATAATGCCCTATATATTCGACTATCACCCTTAAAGTTCGTTAGTCTTTACGATAGAAGCTGCCAGGCTGCTAGCGTGTATGCTTACATTACTTGTAAAGAGTCATTAGATGGCTCTAGTTCAGTTAAAATGGCCTAATATGATGTTAGAATAGGGTAAACAAAATCTACCCGTGATATATATACTTACAGACTGTATCTGTTGGAGAATACTTTTTTCGAATATTCTTGCTGCTTGTTTGGCATCAGAGATCGGGCTGAGTATTCCCCCCAAACAGCAAATCGCCAGGAGGAGAAGAGACGAAAGCGGTAACATATGTAACGTGGGCACATGAACGAAGGGCATGTTGGCATCTAAATATGTAAGTCCATATTCGAAGTATCCCTCTATAACACCCTTGTCTTTTAGGATATAATTAAGTCCCTGTTAGGTACTATTAGTCTCTTCTAACACAATTTTGTTTCAGACTACAGAAGATTTTGGCTTACGGGGAACTCCTCCATCAAAGACCTATGGCTCTCATCTGATATTTGTAGACCCTCATATTCTTCTAGGTAAGCATCCTCTGAGGTTGTAGTAAATCCATGGTGTAGTAAGTTGGAATTTTCAAACGCTGATTCCTCTTCAAGAGATATGGAATCTAATGGTTCTGTGACATTGGACGTAGCGAAGATTGGCCTTCCGTGAAAGGTTGGAATGGACAAGCCCTCATTCCACAGCGGGTTGGTTCTTCTTAGCAAGGCATCACGATGCCCCTGATGTGGCGGTGTAGGATCCCGCTGGGTCTCAGTATTTTCAAGGGTTCTACTCTCGTGTCTTCGGAGATGGACCTGAAGCAAATCACTAAGAGGACATTAGTAGAGACCGATGCGATAGAAAATCCCTTGGTCGCAATCACCCACTTCCGAGTAAATTGCCGGTTGCAGAGATAACATGCAAAAGCACGTTGTTTATCTATAATTTTATTAGCCATTAGACGGAGGCTTCAATTGGAAAGCGTACGAGTAAGCTTGTGTCGATTTAGATGTTCTGCTCGCAAGTATGACCTCTTGCAACGGGGGTGATCACACTGGAGCCGATGACGATCATGCGTGGTATTTGACGCCATATTCTATATTTATAGCTGATACAAATACGAATCAATTATAACCATAACTAGGCACGCCTTTATAATGTAAGAAAAGACATAGTTTGAGGCTTGGTAAGAATCGACTGTGGTTAAAGTTGAGATTAGGACGCCTTCCCCTTTTCCCTCATTGCCTAAACCGAGGCTCGCCCAAACCCCACAGTAGCGGGGCAGACCAGTAGGCGATCTGCACGTAGTTTGCCCCGTGTGGTCACGTGACTCATATCCTGACGACTCACAAGCGGTGGTCTTTTTTTATATATGACGGTGTGGTTAGAGCCCTATGAACAACAGAATCAGAAGGGATTTGTTTTTTTGAGTAAACTTAACATATACCCCTTAATTACTATTCCTATCTCAGTTCGCATGTGCATGCGCATGTCTCCTTAGATGCTCGTACTTCTGGTGCAGCCTCTGCCGCTCCTCCAAGTTTCCCCACTCGTCATCACTATCCTCAGTTTCCACGTTGTTATTTATAGGGTCACGGTGGGGGGGCAGCCTTGCCGCCTCGGTTCTCGTGGCCATATGTCCAAGGTTGGCATCAGTCCTTTCAGCAGGTATCTCCACCACCGTCGGCGCAGGCATCCCTTCGGTGCAACAACTTCCTAACCCTCGCTGTCTCCTCCATAAGGTCCTGTTGCGCACTCGAACTGTCATCTATGCCAACGTTGATTGTAGGGAGTGGAATCAAGTCGCCAGCAGTGATGGTGATGTCGACGTCTAGATGAAGATGTTGTGCCTGCTCCTCGCCCCAGCGTTTCCTCGCCAAGTGCGCACTCACAACGTCTGTAGGCCGCTGTGCCGCCGGCAGGCCATGCGGATCGGGGCTGTAATTTTGGGCCTCCCAATTGTGTTGATAAAAGAGGGGGTCTTGAGAGTGCACACGGAAGCCGTGATCAGAGACAACGGTTGAAGCTCCCACGACATACGTTCCGAAGTAGGGGTCAAATCCACTAGTAGAGTCCCACTAAATGATTATTAGCCCGGCTGGAAACTATCTACTCCGTAGTTGATGATTTGCTTACTCCATATTTAGGAATGATAGCGTTCGAGGTAGCGCGAGCGTCATTCGGCGGGATTGCACCTATTTCCCAGGTGATCGGCGGTGGGCGCTGAAGCAGTGAACTGCATGGCTCCCATACTGCTTCCAACTAGTCCTGGTAGTCACGTCCTTGGCGACCATTCTCGTTGTCGTTGAGCATACGCAGGGCTTGGGGCAAGACACCTGCCTCGCGGAGACTGTCGAGAGGGAATTCGTCGAGCTCACAACGACATCGATTCCCATCATCACCACACTGATCGCGAGCTGTAACAGTTAGATAGTGCACATGAGGGTAATAACTTGAAGAGTTCTATCTGGAAATGAGCCTCTGCAATTCGCGTGATGCTTGCCACTCCATTGACCCTTCTGTCTACCGGTTCTGGGTCCAGTCTCGCGATTAAACACAGAGTGTATACCGCCCAAGACTTTATCAAGTCCCCAACGTTGATCGTCACATACCTATTGCTGTTAGCTAAAATCTGTCAGCTAAGTGGATCAGCTCACCTGATCAAAACCAAGTCCGTATTCACAAGTGTAGGTGACTTGACATGTACCGGTCGTACTAAAGTCAGCGATTTTGTATCTTCCATAGAAGCCGGCGTTGCTATCCACCTTTTTCCCAGGTTTTGTGTTAGTATTAGCAGGCTTGCTATTGGACTTTTGATTTGCACCTCCAGATGCTGCAAGCCGAGTGTTTTAGCCGCCAATGAGAGCAGCTGTGGACGCCTTGTCCATTCCTGATTTAGCACAAATATTAGTTGCTATGGCACCCGCTAGTGCTCCACCCGTAAGGGCAAAAAAACCATCAGTTGCAACTGTTGCCCACACGAATATCCCTCCTGCGATTACCCCAAAAACAGCACACTCAGCAGTAGCTCTCTTAGCTAAGTTCTTAGGATCGGATTCGAGATCACTATGATCGACAAGCTCAATATCCTTTCCGAACATTGGTGATGCCTTGGCGTTGTTGCAACAATAGCTTTGTGTGCCACCAGCACAAGTCTGATCCTCTAAGAATTTCTGTTCGGGATAGTTGAAGTAATGATTGGTGTTGACAGCGATCAGGGTGTGATCCGATGGACAACCACCTTGACAGCTTAAACCCTCGCCACGCCATCCATACCATTTACACCTCCCTAGGAAAGTAGCAGTTGCGCAGCACAATGACTGGAAATCGGTTCCCGTACAAGCTGTGGCAGCTCCCAGCTCTCCCACTCGCCCCTTCATTTGGCTAACACCACTATATCCTGGAGCGCATTCTTGACCACAGAAGGTAGTATAACAGCTGTGTTGGGCGTCGGTCTCATGCTGTGTCGTCGCTAAGACTTTTTTGCTAGCGTCGGACCTTTACCATTGAAGACGGAGGCTTTCTGTAGGAAGACTCCGCCATGGTAATCATCTAGTGTCTTGCCGCTTGAGGAGCCTTGGTCAATGGCCCAAATCATTGTGCCCCCAAGGCCGAGGTTGTTGGCGTAGTCGATCTTCCTCTTAAAAGATCTAGCATTATCATAACTAACCCATTGATCGGAATTCCACACAATCCAATTTACGGCGGCCTTGTCATCATAAGTTGGAGTGAGGTCATACTTCTCAATAATCCTGTCAATCTCTGCATTGGATAACACGCCTGGAGCGCCAGTACAATCACCGGCGGTTGCACCTTCCGAGAACCTGCATCCTGGAGTTGTGCAGGAAGGGTCTGCCAGCTTGAATGAACGCCCGTACCATCCAAGGCCGAGAACGACATTACCAGCTGAGAGGCCGGCTCGCCATAGAAGTGAAAGGCTTTCATCGATCTCAGTCAGGTTGGCGTGCGGTCGTGCGAATGGGCCAGAAAACCGATTACTTGAATCCAAGACACCGTGAATGTCATATGACATAATATTAAACCAGTCAACATGTGGCTCCATGCCTTTGACGTCAAAGTGTTGAAGATACCAGTAGCTAGCTGGGAGAGTTACAGATAAACCATATCTTGATCCAAAAGCAGCCTTCATCTCTTTAACCAGGTCAACAAAATTAGCCGTGTCTTCTTCTTTACCACCGCGATCTTCGGCTCCGGGGTATTCCCAATCTATATCGGCCTCATCAAAACCATATGCCTTCATGAAGTGCACAAGAGAGTTTATGAATTTCTTCCGATTCCCAGCTGACGACGCCATGTCACTGAAAGCCGTTCGTGTGTTGGGGAAGTTGGTTTCATCGTTGAAACTCCAACCTCCAATGGCAATCCATGTTTCGAGGCTAGTGTGGTTTACCTTTAGGTCTGTGAATCTCGCCAGCAAGGAGTCCGCATTTGCATCCATTGCTGTCATCTGGAAGGACGTTGGGTCGAAGAAGGCAAACGCAAAATTCAAATGTGTTAGACCTGCGACATCGAAATCTTCAGGAGAGACAACATCACAGGAACGAGTGTTCGCCCTATATTCAATGTCAGCATCAATTCGTACAGAGAGGAAAATTTTATATAGTTTTGTATATACCAGGACTCATAGTATGCGATTTCCTTCCTTCCAGCTTTGTTGCCTCCACGGCGTGGAGTTGGGGCAGGGCCACAAAGCCCACTACTCTCATCACAGCCCAGACCGCAAAATTTCTCCTAAGTACCACCTATTTCCATGTTACTCTTAGTGAGACTATCAATGCAAATGGGTTGTAACTTACAGAATCTAAACTCGCTGCAACATACATTCAGTGGGTACTTTTCTTTTCCAGTCTTTGCATACTTCCCACATTGTGCCTTAGCATCACAGTTGGATATGCAATTAGCTCCACAGAAATCCGGACTATAACCACAGAAACCCGAAGAGCTGTAACACGCTCCGTTTGAGCATGGAGTACCAGGCGCACAGGTTCCGTCCTCAACTGTACTTTCTTGTCTCTTTGGTAGCGCGAGGGTACCGGCCGCTCCTCGCAATGGGTTGACATCTTTCTGGGAAATATTTAGGAATCGAGGGGTTGAATTTGAAGGCGCTTCAAACAAGGGTTTGTACAAGGTTTTATTATAGACTTCTCTAGTAACATTGTCCTGTCTGTTACTATTAGTACCTCCCGTATTTAAAATGATATACTATGGCATACCGGTACTGTAAGAAGACGTCGGAGACGGAGGCACAGTTGGAGAGAAGTCCTGCGACTGCCAAGGCCGTCAATCGAAATGTTGTGTCGAGCTTCATTTATAAAATCATGAGTAGATGAAATGCAGGCTGTGCTTCGTAGAATTTGAGGGCTGAAAACTGGCGGGCAATATATCGTTAACACTTTGGAGTCCTCACATGATGAAGGCCCTTCCTAGTTTAAAGCCAAACTTAGCCTAGATACGACTTTTTGACCCCAATGCACATCGGAAATGAGATCTCTTGTCATAAACTCTAGCTCTCCAATAGCAATAGTCCCTAGAATATGCACCCACTCTGCCAAGCACTACCCCTTTTTTTTGCTAAGGCGGGAAAGGCTGTTGTCGTGACAATTTAGCGTCTAGTTTAAAGCCAAGCTTATCCTAGATACGACTTTTTGACCCCAGTGCACATCGGAAATGAGATCTCCTGTAGTAAACTCTAGCTATGAGGGTAACGATATCAACGGATCTTGATGCTCATCTATTGAGTAGACCAACGCTAAATTGGATCTCAAAAACATAGCTTAAAAAATTACCTTGGAGGTTTTTACTAAGGGACATTGCGCCTTAGGAACTTGATATTCAAAGCAGTGGGAATCATTTCCCTATTACTAATAACTCAAAACATAGCACAGGGCGCTAAAGTTTATAAAGAGTCCCATTAGGCACCCCCCCTCTAGGTCGCTCTTCTGGTGTGCTGAGAAAGAGTAATTATCCTTTAACATGATACTTTCAAACTCTTTATTAGTATGCGCAGTCTTGACGTCGGCTGTTTCAGCGGTACGACTTTATCATAATTATGATCTAGTAGGCACGGCGCTCAAGACGAATGTGAATGAGGCCTGTGTTACAGCATTGTAAGAATTTTCTCCACCTCTTCTTTTAGAGTATATTTCAGTATTGAAATTTTGCCTGACTGACTGCCATCAGAAATACAAGCCTGCCATGTGATGATCGGACTTTCTTGTCACTATCAGAACCAGACGTTTATGAATGGCACGCAGACAACCTCACAGCGCTTTGCACTCAAGCTCTAGAAAGTTGGGCTACAACTGTGTCGCAAATTACAGTTACCACACCTACAGTCTCGACAGATGGTCTTTGCGGACCTAGCGATGGCCATGAGGTATGTCCTGGAGCCGAATGCTGCTCGAAGTTCGAACACTGTGGAACAGGATCAGACTTCTGTAACTTCAGAAATGCGCCATTTTGAGAATGATACTGATCATCATTCCTGGAAGGTGGCCCAGGCAATTGTTATTCTGGACTGTGCGAAGATCCTGACAACTCTGTATCCCAAGACGGGACCTGCGTACACTGCGGTCCCGCGAACTCAGATTGGCTTTGTGGGGGCTCTGGTTTTGGAAACTGCTGCTCTACCAGTGGCTATTGCGGAAGTACTAATGATTACTGTGGTCCTGGGAACTACCATTCTGGAGAATGTGACACGGATGAGAGCGGAGTTAGTGTAGATGGGTCATGTGGTCCTGACTTCGCAGGTAACAAAGTGTGCCAAGGATCGCCCTTTGGAAGTTGCTGTAGCATCTATGGGTACTGTGGGGATTCGTCGGCGCACTGTGGTGCTGGTAATTGCCATTCAGGAGCTTGCGAAAGTTCTTAGACATGAGGCTGTTGCTACAACAGTGACAAAACAAAACAGTGGGCGAGAGGCGATGCAAGGGATTACCGAATTTGCAACTGCACACTTTATTATAGAGTTCAAAATCATTTCTGTGTAGTAACCTCAATATCGACAACCTTAATATTCCACCTCAGGTCCCCAAATAAGATTCAAATCGACCTCTGTTCCATCTTCTAATTGTCTCTTGTTTGTTCCTCGTTGGAACCATTCCAAGCCTCCAACCACTCCATTCTCATCAACTTTCCACACATCCATCTCAATCAAGACAGTCCATATCTCCAACATTTCCTTTAAGGTCGTCTTTCTGCCACCGTTCGGAAGCCAGGGGCATCTGTCGCATCTTTGAAAACAAGCACGATTATCTACATCAGCTATGAGTGTTACCGTATTACCAAATCCGTCCCCAGGCGTCGAGTACAATCCGAGCTTTCGTTCCACGATGATCAAATCGTCCATCCATTGAGATCCACTCACGTCGGCTGCTCTGCGCTCAAGGACTTCTGCTGGTATTTCGTTTGCCGCAGGGAAAATGATCATCGGCGTATGCTCTTCTTCTTCTCGGATGACACGACCGAGACGGTGGGATTGACGGGCTCGTCTCCTATTGTCCCCGGCAGCTGAGTAAACCGCCTGAAAAGAAGTCGAGTCCCACGTAGTTATACCAGGCGCTACGAACTTCAGACCATGAGGTGGCTTCTTGGCCATTGCGAAGAAATGTCGTGAAAACCCATCGCCTTGATACCTCTGCAAGACTCCATTCTCAATCATAGGTCGGAATTCGTCGTCATCACTTCCACTTCGATGAAACACAGTTCTTCTCGCTTCAATCACCACAACCAATCTCTCCCAGGCTTCTACAGCCTCATCAACCTCCTTATCGATCCATGACCTCACACCGAATTCTCCAGTTTCTAGCAAGTGGAACTTTCCCACCTCCCACATAAAAAGCCATCTCCTTAGCACCTCACTCAACGGGATGCCATTCCCAGGCCAGAATGAGCCTGGCAAATCAAGCCAATTTGCCACTTGCTCATTCGTATCAAGAAACAGCCCCCCACTAGTTGAAGACTGCGCATGACTGTAGAGTAAAATAAGATTACTTTGGTCTTGCCCACGTTTAACAAGACGGTGATCCGCAAAGCTCCATAGATTGGGTAGTATAGGTGGCGAGGAATATGGTGTCATCGGGTGACTATGATAGTCTCCTTCGGGAAATTCAAAGACATCGATCTTCCCCAGGAAGTCAGTGAGCGCTATTCCTAAGATATCTGGTAACTCGGACTCGGTGATTGCGTGTGAAGGTTCATAGTTGCGGTCGTGGATTTCCGAGTGAGGGATAGCGAGGACGTTCCGTCGGACGAGCCGCCGCAGACTAGGCTGTACAAGACAGACTTGTTCGATAATTTGGTTGTGGAGGCTTGCGCACAAATCTGGATCAAGGAGCACCTCCAGATCTGCTGCTATCGAGGGAATGTTTATACTGAGACGAGAACTAAGGTCCATGGCGAAGCAATCGATCGTGCTATCTATAAGGCGTCAAAGTTCTGTGGTCCTCTTCTTTCCTTTCTCATACTCCGATGTAGAGGGCATAGGAGCGGGTGGACTCTAAATGTATTCATCGTAATTGACCAAGACTGTCTATGTTTCGACCACCTCTTATTAGTTTTTCTTGGCGATGGCAAAAAAATCTAGGCAAGGAAGATCGCTTTCGGATTGGGTACAGGGCAACCATCAGCCAGGTATACTTGTCTGTAAGAGGAAGTACTTGAATATATAAACTACACACAAATTGTATAGCGTCTCTAGCAGCTAGTATACCATAGCGCACCCGAGAAAACCTGACCACACCTGAGCCGAAGCTGAGCTGGGCCAGAGCAAGAGTGAACTGTTGGGGGAAACCGACAGTCCCGTGGGGTACAGTGGGGGCTTTTGTGCCCAAAATGACACTTTGGGGGACTGTCTAGCTCCCGCGCGCTGGGGTTTCAGCCCAATGTCTCACTTTCAGCTAGGCTGAAGAAGCCTAATTCTTTGGGGTTTGGGGGTTCACCCAGGCCTCCGAATAGCGTACTTAGGGCCATAGATCCCCCTAACAAACGCTTAATATACTATAACACTCGTAGCTTAGATCCCTAAGCATAGCAGAATTAAAGCAAATCTAAGGTAGTTACTTTAGTTTAAGTGCTACTTGCAAGGTCTGTATAATAACAATGCGGCTTCAATCGCATGATTTTGACTAATATGCGTCTTCTAGCAGCTTAGTCATACTCTCTCTGCAGTCTAGCTCCTTCCTTTCCCTCAGCTTGCTTTTTAGCAAAGAGCTCCTCCCACTGCAGTTCTTCCACCCACTTCGGTGAAGCATACTCCTCCTTCTGCGAGCCGTCATCACCAACCCAGTGCTGGCCAGGCCCATGCTTCTCATGGCCCAGGTCGTCGATCCGGTGAAGTGCGAGGGGCAGCGTCATGTTACGTACAAACCCCTTAAGGCTGTTCTGGCCAGGGAACACAACCTTCTGCATTAAGAACGAGCGGAGACGCTCGTTTGAGCGGCGCTCAATGTTTTCGTTCACATAGGCGCTAATGCTAGTTGGTGAGTGTCGGTCGTACGTGGGCGAGGTGAGGCACTCAGCGAGGGAGATGGCGTCGAGGAGCGCGCAATTCGCACCCCTACTTAGCGTGTTGCTCATGTTGAAGACGGCATCGCCAAGGAGCGTGACTGTCTGCGAGGTCCACGGGTGAATGACGTCGCTCTTACACACTGTGTGGACGTACGCTGTATTTGTGCATGCCGCCTGGGCGAGTTCAGCGAAACGCGGGTGGATACCGGGTGTGGAGGTGCGTTCGATGAGCTCGGCCTTGAGCTCGGCGGGGGTGAGGCTAGGGAAGGGGCAGCGACGGTTGTGAAAACTTGAGGCTGGGAACCCAGCGCCAAGCATGATGTATGACTCTTCAGGCTCAATGGTAAGATTTGTGTAGCGTGTTGCGAAGTGGGCAAGGGGGTTCTGCCAGGTGGCGAGCATGATGTATTGGTTGTGTGGGCAGAGGGTATAGTTAAGGTTAGCTTTGTGGCTATGTAAATAGGGGATATAGGATATATCACCATTGATCTGCTCGTAAACTCTAATAACCTCCATGATTTTTCTGTGAGGGGAACTTTGACATAGATGCATACCATGCCCAAGCCCTTAATAGTAGCGTAGGGGATTAATTGCTTCTTAACCATTGAGTGTAAACCGTCAGCACCTACTAAGAGGTCGCACTCATTAGTAGTTCCGTCACTAAAATGTACTCTTGCTCCTCCGTTTGGCAGCAGCTCATAGTTCTCAAAGGCAATGCCTAGTTTAAGGAAGGGCTTGGTCTGGCGCAACAGAGCTTCTCTCAATTGCAACCGCGACACGGAAAACTGGTCCTTTATAGGATCTGAGTCCCAGGTGAACAACTTGTCGCCATTTCCCTTTAAGAATTCAATCTTCTCGCCTCCCTCTGGTTGTACCCCAATGCCGAGGGTAAGACTTGCCCAAACCTCACTGCTAAGCTTGCGTTTCAGCATTAACAGAGTTGAACCCGACAGCATCACACGGAACCCAACCACGCCATCGTCGATGCTAAAATTGCGCTCGTATAATGTAACCTGAATTTTCGGGGCTGATATGAGCATTTGTGCAAGGGCGAGACCACCGATACCAGCGCCGATGATGATGACCTTCAACGGGTCGACGACTTTCGATGTGCTCCCCGACATATCAGATACGCGACCTGCCTCGGGTGAAACGGGCTTTCTATCTTGGCTCAGAAAGATATCCAAACCCTTTTGTACAGATAATATAAGTTATCGTAGAGGATAATTATAGAAGATTACGAATCGTCGTGTGTAGCGGCGATTCTCTGAAGTTATAATAATTGAGTAAGTCTAATTCTACTTTAGCATCTGATCTAGATGCCACACTAAATGAAACTCAAGGAAGCCATGGCGTGAACATTGGACAAGGCGGGGTATGATGACGGAACCAGCGGAAAGAAAACGACGCAAAAGGTACGTCAATTAGTGCTCGTACCACATCAGCATATTCCGGCGCGCCTAGGCCCTACCCGTGTTGGACAGTTTGGGTGGGGCGGGGATGGCTAGCGATTCAACTGCCATTCCTTGTCGCACATGGAATTCCCACTTAGTCAGAATGGGAATCACAGGAACACAATATAGAGCCAACTAACTAACTAAACTATTTGACGGGACATACATATAGTATGTATACCTGGGAAAATCCTCAGCTGGAGCCGCCGAATCCGCGGAAACTGGCCTGATACTGGGCCTATGGGCCTACAGTCGACAGCATGGGAACGGAGATGTGCATCTAGAAAGATCGATCGATCACTCATCTTCGCCAGATACGCCAAAGCACAGGCCACCACAGCATTGTCCTTGCAACGCTGCAACTGACTACCTCATCATTCTGCGTCGAGCCCTTTAATAGGCTGCGCAAGCATAGAAAGAAAAGAGAATTTTGACTTGAAGGATTTGCTCTTAAGGAGCTGCTTCAACGGTGAGTAATTTGAGACTTTTGTTAAAGATCTAGCTGCCATCATCCCCTACTGTCGTTGCAAGTCTCTGACTTAATGTTCTCGCGAGCCCTCCATCGACAGCGGCCTTCCCAAGGCCGCCATTATTCCGATCTCGGGGGTTTGCAGATCGCCAGCAAGGCTGTGGTATAGAGTATTCTCGCCCTGTGAGGTTTGTAGTATCATCTCTCTCCTCCTTCACCTCCCTCGCCTTCTCCGCCGCGTAAAGTCTGGCGCCACATACGCCGGCAACAACTCATCTCCCTGCCCCATCTCCTCCCCTCCGCAACCCCCATACGCATCCACGCTCTCCCCACCCCCTGCCACATACCTGTCCCAAACCCCTCCTAACCCCCTCATGTCCCCTCCTTCCCCCATCCCCACACTCCCCGCCCGTCCACCCGCAACGAAAGCCTCCTTCATCCCCTCTCTCCCCTGCCCAATCACTTGCACGGGGACTTCGAGGGAAAGCATAAACGGCATCGTTGCTCCAGGAGGGTGCACCACGAGCTCAAGGACGAGCGTATAAAAGCGCGAGACGAAGCAGGAGTGGAATGTCGGGATCCACGTTCTTGACGGCGCGAGGACAAGGCGGAGAGCGATTGTCGTGTAGTAGGGTTTCTTCTCGTCTACTTCATCCACGTCTCCGCTAGCGGAAGCGGCGGATACCGAGACAAGAGGACCCGTGGACGCAGCTAACGGAGTCGGCGAAGAATTAGGTGAAGGAGTGGGGGAAAGCGACCACGCAGTCGAATACCCCGAGTCCGTCCTCGCATACTTCGGCGCGGGAACAACCCGCCACAACGGCGCCGCTGCCGCGGGCACATCCTGGGCCGCGAGCGCGACGTACGTCTTAAACGCCCTGCTGTGGCTATCGTACGGACTGCCCTGTAGCTCCTGATCAGGGATTCTGCTCGCGGGGTTAATTGAGTGCACCGTTGTCGCACGGATCCAAGCCGAGAGCGCACCTAGTCGGGGCGGCGCGCAGGAGGGGTCCGTGGGATCGAAGCGTAGGGTTAAGGTTAGGTCTGTGAGGGCGAAAGGCACGAGAGGGCCGCATGTGCGCGGGGGAGGCAGGGAGAAGGCGCGTGGTTGCGTAGTCGTTAGCGTGAGCGTGCCTAGTTTCCCTCTAAACATGCCTTTCCGCATGGTTTTGCTCTTAGAGAGCACATACTGACTCTCTTTCAGCACGAGTAGTGGGGGCGCCTCCTCGCTAGCGGGGACAACGTGGAATTTCCTTATCGCGGAGGAGAGGATTTTCGAGGGTTTGCTGGTAGGAGAGGGCGCGAGGAGTTTAGCGTAGATAGAATAGGAGATGTTTGCTACTTCAAAGGTGAGGTCGTCGCGGGGCAGCAAGAAGGAACCGAGGGAGGGGGGGAGTTGGGTGTGTGCTTCTGGAACGGAGGCTGAGGAGTGCTCGTGGCGGCAGGCGTGGGGGAGGAGGCGCGCGGGGACGACAAAATGGAAGGGGATGTGTAGGGGGCAGCCGGGGTTGAGAAGGTAGGTGTTGCTGCTGCCGGAAGGGGGAGGGTATGCAGAGGGGGGGATAGGCATGGCCATGCGTAAGAAGATGTGGGTTACCTGTGGCTCGGCGATGACGGGGACGGTGTGATCCGTGTGTGCGGTGCGGGTGGTGCCGAGGAGGAAGATTTCAACGCGTGAGAAGGGGGTTGGTGTGAGGGCGGAGATGGCGACATGGCCGCGGATGTCGTCGTAGGTAGTGTAGGTATGCACGGGGCGGGGAGTTTTAGCGCTGTGGTTGTCACCCGAAAGGGAGATATCGATGGTTCGGAGGGTGGTAGGGGTGAGGTGGCCCATGGTGGTGGTCGTGATGGTGATAGTGGTGTTGAGTGAACTGAGGTTGGTCTATTACATCAAAGCGTGTCCAATGCCTTTATAACGTGAGGCTGTGTGAGCAGTAATTAGGAGTATCACTCTAGTCAGAGCTAAACAACATGTGTGTGGACAATGTGTGAATATAGCGTGTATATCGTATCTAACGTGTGTAGGGGAAAGAGATAGACATGTCGGCGCAACATGACATATTGTCAAAGGTGAAGCTTTTGACACTCACATACAGCGCAAGACGTTATATATAAGCCAATGGAAGTCATAGCAGAGCGCAGGCCGATCCTAGTTACATTAGAGGAATGAGAAGCAGACTGCGAGGCTGAGCCACCAGACATCCACTTCCACAGTACCATTTGAGCTCCACCACTGTACTGTACATCGCCGGCCCCTTGTCATAGTGGCAAAGCGGTGCAGCACGACCATGAGTTCCAATATTCGGACACCGAGGTTGTCCGAATATTGGAACTCGACGCCACTGTGGCCTAGGGCGCTGGAGGGCGCATCCAGGGTGGTGTGGTCCAGGTGGTCTATGTGATCCAGGTGGTCTAGGCACGGTCTAGGGGTTCAGCGGTCTAGGGTGGCCTAATGTACATCCCGGACCCATCGCGCCATCCCCACGCCACCCCCAAGCCATCCCGCCCCAACTGCCAGAAAGTGCGGAGATGGTCTGGCTCCACAACAAATCATTTTCCTGACGAATCCAATCAACAGAACAGCCATACAGACGAGCTTTTATTAATCCTAGTAAAGTGTCAAGATAAACCGAACCGCCGCAACCCCAAAGCTCGGGCTCGACTCTAGCTCCCACTCTACTCCCAACCGTCTATATTCATGACATCATTTAATGCACTCCAGAGTCGAATGAGCAAACGGAAATATCCTCCATGTCGTCTCTGTGGCGCTGCCTCGGCTCCTCTCGCCCCTCCTCCTCATAAATATTCACCCCACCATCCTCAAAGCTTCCCTCTACACTGCCCACTACATTTCCATCTCCGTGCCTCCCAGCTCCCACCCCCTCCCCTGCTCCTACGCCTCTAAACCCATTCCAATACTCCATGAGCCTCTCCTCACCACACTCTCTGTAATGCGACAACAGCAGTTTCTTCAATCCATATACCTCGCTCCTCAACTTCTCGACCTCTAGCCCCTTCGACGCATTATCCTCTGTGAGGACCGTCATTCTCACTGCATCCTCCACCCTCTGCGTCTTCATCTTCATCCGGCACTTAGATGCCGCCTCTTTATTCCTCTTTAGGAATGCCTCCCGTTTAGCAGCAACATTCTCAAGAGTTGTCTTCTTCGACGGTTGCTGCGATTTCGTCGGCTTCTTGACTTTCGCCCTACCATCCTTAAGTGGTTTCGTGTTTTTCTCGCTCTCGACCGATACCGCAGCAGTAGCATTATTAGTAGTAGTAGTGACAGCTGCTACTTCCTTCCCCTTTCTCGACTGCCGCCGCGTCATCGGCGCAGCTTTCGTGCTCTCCCGTAGTAAGGGCTGAAGGTCCTTAGGTGAATTGCCCGGTGTTACTTGTCCATGATTCATCACCGTGTGGTGCTTGAATGGTTCCAAGCCAGAGGTGAAGATAGCGGGGCACGTAGAAGGAGACGTAGGAGGTGGCGAGGCCCATGAGTTCGGCGCTGTGATAGCTAGGTGGCTGTCTAATGGCATTGAAGAGTATCCCGAGTGTGGGATCTGTGCATCGAGAGTTGCAAATGGCTGACCAGTAGCCGGGGAGGATAACAGGTGCTCAGAGAAGAAGTTAGGGAGATCCTCGTGAAGTTCTGGGGACTCATTGCTGCTGATGCTGCTGATGCTGCTCCTGTTGCTGTGGGAAACTCTGGTGAGAGCATTGTCGAGGTGGACATTAGGTTCAGTTTGGTAGCTTATTTGTGGGTCGAAGAGGCATGAGAGATTTCTGAAGTCGGTGACCTGGTAGTCGACGCAGGCATCTGGGTATGAGAAGTAAGGCATCTCGGAGTCTGAGATGTGGAAGTTGTTGTCGAACATGGTCAATGGATCCTCCATCTTTGCTAGTAGTTCATATGATGTGTGATAGATTTGAGATATTTGAGTGAACTCGTGGCTTGGGCGGTTTACTAGATTGATATTTACAAGCTGGCAAAGAGCAACAAGATATGTGCAAATTAGGCGTATTACCACATGCCTCCGTTCAATACTACTACCTAGGTTCCGGACATATGCTCTGTATTCCATCTTATATTTTCTGTGGGTCTAGAGAGTACTTAGATCTCTATTAATATCATGTGATTTATAGCGTCTAGAACAGGCCTTATTCCTTACACGTACACGATTGGATAATTCGCTTGGCGCACGGGCCATGACATGTCACATCGAACTTGTTAGAGGGGTCTAGATGCGATGGATCAACTGACCCGCCACTAACCATTGCCAATAAATGCATGAATATTTATAGTGGTGTCACCAATCACCTTTGCTGTGTATATGGGTATACTAGAGCTAGCCCTGGCCATTGCGATAAACACTAATTCCACTATGGTTTCTCACACCACTGTGGGCTGATAGAGAATGACGATCAGAGATGGATAAACTAGCAAAGTTTACTGGTTGCTGGATGAATCACCTTGACCCCCGTGTAGGGGTGTGACATGATGCGGTCGGAACCCGACAAACGCCACATCTTATTCCAGAGCATGAAGTTGTGTGCAACTCATATATATAGTTGTCTCAATGTCCTGTTAGAGTATCTTATAGAGCAGACAAACAAAATGGCCTCCTCTACTCAGAACACCTCCGTTGGCAATGCCAACCTTGAAAACTTGTACCATATCGTTTTGACGACTTCTCACATCCAAAAGGATCCCAATAGTGTGATTGAAAAGATCCGCATTGCTGGAACATATCGCACTCCAGAGGCCGCCAAAGCTGCAGCGCACAGCTGCCTATTTGATGCTGGTTACGAGCGAGAGTGGTTCTCACAATATGAGGTCGATCCTGCGGCCCTAGAGAGCTATAGAATCCATCAACGCATGGGTCTGGTGGTATTCGCGGTGGCATCTGATGGAACAACCTTCCGCATTTCCATTAGCACTACTCCCAACATTGGCCACTTAACGACTGATAATGAGGACGGCCGGATTGCGACCGATCTCTACTATGTAGTGCAAACGAATGTCAAGTATGCGAACGGCGATGAAGGACAAGATCGCGATGTCAATATCGAGGGCATATTCATGAGAGACGACAAGGCGCGAGCCTTTGCACACGGCGTGCTCTTGTCCAAAGAGGACGGAATCACCAAGGAGAGCTTTGCGGAATACGATGAGGCGGGTGATAACGAGGGAGACTGTGGATTTGGGGAGAATGCCGTTATACATGCAGTGGGCATTAATGGGGAAAACTATCTGATCAGTGTTATCAAAGGTCAGACGTCGGAGAGTATTAAGCTAGCAGAAGCCGCAGTGCGGATCTCTTGACCGCTGGGAATTTCATAGGAGTCTAGTAGCTAAATGGAATTTAATTGTCGATTTACTTTACGTTTGAAATAAAAAGGAACTTACCTTCACTTTGTCGTCAACGTGGCCATATCGATGAGCCATTGAGCAGTGATAGGGCTGTGGGTGAATAACGAAGAGCTGATCTGAAGCATCTCTATTAGATTGATAATTAATATAAAGGGAAATAGTTGCAGTAACGAACAGACGGCAAGCGTAAGGAATGCAAAAGAATTTTTGGCAATGCTTATGCCGGATCTTTTCCAAGCAATAGGCGCCCTGGCCACGGCAGTTTTGTTATATGTGAGACTTGTCTCTTAATAAATTTCTTTAGTTATGCCGCCACAATCTCCTTCTCGTATATCCTAATATCTTATACATTTCGTTCTATCCTCGCCTATGGTCCGTCAGCCTTCCACTTATATGCCTCCTGCGCCTCCCTGCGCATGTCTAGACCCGAAATGAATACCAGACTTCCATAACATCTCTCTCAATTTCATCCTTAAGTTTTCTCTATTAGAATGCAACTATAAGAAATAGGGTACGAAGAGCAGTCATAAATTATAATTTACTGTCCCCAGCGCCTATCCCCTCATATAGCTAGCCTACAGCATCACACACTCTCTCCTGCAACGTCGGTTTCCTTTACTCCCTCCATCTCTTTTGCAGCAGCCACGCTTTTTACCCTCTGCAACTCTAATTCCCTCTCTACCTTCCACGCCCCACTCGCCGCCCCGACTTCCGACAAACTCATCCCCGCCTTTCTCAACCTCTCAAGCTGAAGCCCAGCCTCAGCTTCATCATCCCGCTCCTCTTGGCTCATCTCAGGGCCTATGAACAGCATGATCACATCGTATGCCCACACCGCTCCCATGAAGATCCCAATAACCTTCCCATAATCAAAGCGATTTGATTCCGTCGCGCTAGGGGGAAGTGGGAACTTCTCCCCAATTGTGGCTTGGATTGTGGCTGACGCCGAGGAGGCGAGGTTGCCCAGTTGGTAGGTTAGGCCAACAAGGAGGGAGCGTAAGGCAGGTGGGGAAAGCTCCATTAGATGTATCGCAACGGGACCTGTGGCAAGGTAAGTACTGGTTTCACGTGGTGGGATACGAAATGGTTAGGAACAAAGACATACCCCAGATACCGAGCACGAAGAACTGCTCGAAGAAGGCACCCGCAGCTAAGGACTTAGTTTTTGGGAGAATATAGGCGGGCAGGATGGCGCCGCCAAAGACAGCAGCTGTCATCATAGTCAACCGGCGGCCGGCGAAAGTGCTAATGTACCCAATACATGTGGCGCCGATGGCGGCACCAATCTGGCCCACAACGGTGATGACTGTGACCTCTTGTGTAGTCATGCCGAGTTGCGATGTGAGGAAGGTGGGATAGAAGTCCTGGCTGCCGTGGGTTGTCGCGTTGAGGCCAGACATTAGGATGACCATGTAGGTGATTAGAACCCACTAGAGCGAAAGGTTATTAGAGGATGAAAACCCTATAGCGGAAGAGAGAGCCTACGTTCTGCGTGAGCGCGACCTTGGCTTCCCGGGTGTAAGTATGAAGATCAAAGTACTTCGACGCGCTGCCACTAAGGTCAGTGTTGTGTCTGTGTTTGGAATCGCGCTCGGCCTTGATGATCTGGAAGGCGTTCGTCTCAGGGGCCCAATAACGGAAGGCCATGATGAGGATGGGCGGGCCGGCGCCAAACCAGAACAGACTTCGCCATCCGTTCGGCGTTGTAGGAACAAGCGCAAGGCAAAAGACGGCGGCAAGGAGGTAGCCGATAGCGTAAGCAGAGAGGAAGAGTCCTGAGAGGACACCGCGAGCGTCGTAGGGGAGATCTTCCAGTGCCGTTGCTGCTGCAGGGCCGACGAGTCCTAGACGGATTAATGCTGGTATAGGTTGGAATAGAGACCAAATGCGTACCGCCCATGACTATGCCATAGATAGCACGGATTGCTATGAACTGCTGAACATTTTGGCAGAAGCCAGATCCGAGTTCGAGGACAACGAACAAGCCTAGGCTAATCATCATAGGCCACTTCCGGCCGTAGCGATCGGATAAACCTCCACAGATCAGAGCGCCAACTGATCGAAGCATCAAAGTTACAGTCTTGGGTAGCCACCGTCAGAAAAATCAATGCTGCTTAGGAAGTGAACATACAATTCCCCAAGAGACATCCGCTTTAGAGACTCCGAAGTCATTTGCGATATCAGTGATGGTCAGTGAGACGGTGAAGAAGTCGAACGCATCCCAGACCCAGCTAATGAAACCAACGAGGAACATTATCCACTGGTGAGAATTAAGTTCGCGGAGAACAGAGATCGGATTCCTGAGCTTGGTCACTGGTGGGCGCAAGCTCATCGGGCGCGATATAATGTAGCGTTTTATCTGGCTAGGGGAGCTGTTGCTGATATCAGTATGGGGAGTACTATAGAGAGTGAGGGCAGCATACTAGAACCAACCCGCGGCCATGTAATTCCTCATCGTGGCGGTTAGTTGTGTCTGTCGCTCGGAGCAGGTAATGCAGATATTCAATTTCGCTGTCGCAGAAAGACACAAGCAAGACACAGGTGCAAGGGTCCATCAGTCACTATTTTGAGGCCTGTAGCCCTCTATATACATACGCCACAGAATTTTAATCATCCTGAAGTCTAAACAGGGAGTCAGTACTAGGCGTGCAAAAGGCAGGCAGTGTTCTCGGACTTAGAGGCTCGCCCAAACCCTTAATTATTATACGGCCCGATTGTTATATCTCTGCTCTGCATATCTGCAAAAGGTGCTTCTATTTGGATCGATATCGAAGTGATATCATGTGATATATAGCGTCTAGAACAGGCCTTATTCCTTTACACGTATGCGATTGGACAATTCAAATAGCGCACTGACGGTGTCACCATCGTCCCTGGCGTGGTCCCTTCGCCACCAACCCAGGACGATGGTCTAGTGCGTGGACTGGCCTGATACCATCAGTCCACCTTCGGCACCAACCAACATGCGGGGCCGACCAGACAAGTAGTCAATAGAATAGACCCTCGAATACCATTCTCTTCATTTTTGCTTCTCTCCATATTTTCCCATCTTTCTCGGCCAACGCGCATCTCGAGACGGGTTCTGTACAATGGAAACCCCCCAGAGCCTTGGTGATGAGGCTACGGAGCACGGTCCTGTTGCCTTGGAAGAGGATGTGGTTGGTGTTTCTCCCGTCACCCTTTGGTGTCGTCGCTGACGGGACGTAGAATATCGCGTTCTTCTCGAACACTAGCCGCTGTTCCACATCGTCGAGAACACGTTCAACATATACTGCTTCATCGGATTACAGCCAGCGGTTTCCCTCTTCGGCCACGTCCGTCGACTTGACGACAGATTTAGATGGTAGAGATCCAGCTACTGCGTGGCATCCGTTACCGAGGGATACGACTACTGCAACAACATCTCCGTCGTTCTTCGATTGGAACAATTGGGAGGATTGGACACAATGGGGTGGGGACAACGATCTGCTAAGATCACCTACCCCTCTAGCGACCGACGATGGAACGTCTTACCCCGAGTTTTTTCCCCACTCGGCAACGGCAACGGGCGAAGCAATAACGCCAATCGATCGTAACTCGAGCGATGGTGGGTCACCTCTCGGATGCACCCATGTGTCTCCCAGTGAGAGCCTGCTGCCACCTGCAGATTTCATCCCGCAATGGACAGAAGAATATCTGAACTTGGACTTTCTAGGGGGATCCCAACTCCGTACGGTTACGGACACTTGCCTGAATCCCCAATTCGCGCGATCTTCTCAAACCAGTCCGCCACACAGCAGTGATCTCACTGAACAGAGTCTGTTTTCCACGAGCCGTGACGGCTGGGCCCCGTCTGCAACATCGCCTGAACCGAGTCATAATATACCAAACAATAAGCGGAAGCCTTCAGTCAGCGATGATGAGGCTGGTTCAACTTCTGCAGGTCGCAAGCGTTTGCCGAGAGCGAAAGCAGCCCATAATATCATTGAAAAGAGATACCGGGCGAACCTCAACGATAAGATTGATGCACTTTGCAATAGGTTACCAAACCTGAAGGCTAAGTATAATAAAACTCATCAGGGCAGCGGGCATAACGAGGATGAATATGAGAACGTCAACAATGATCATGGATCGAAAGGGCAGAAGATCAATAAAGCGGTGGTCTTATCAGAAGCAGCTGACTATATCCGAGAGCTAGAGGAACGTATCAAGAAACATAACGACCAGATGGCGACGATGCAAATACGACTCGATGTCTTTAAAGCGCTGGCGGCTACAAAATCACCAGAAATAGATACTGGCCGACACCAAGAGCCACTACAGTGGAGAGGAATACGTGGGAATGCAGCACATCTACAATACCAAGCGAATACTGCGACGACCAACCAGGCTTCCCCACCCAGTCGTGATGTGCGCCTTGCCGGTAGGCAGAATACCAGCCGTGGCGGATACATGAGCAAGTTCATGGTGGGTTCATTAGCTGGTCTCATGGTCATGCAAGGTTTGGGTGAAAATGAGCAGGCCTACGACGGGCCTTCAGCTCGCGGTCTTTTCAGTCTGCCAACTGAATACATCGGGCAGCTAGGGGACATCATATGGTCACTGGGTCCGTCGAATGCTGTCGAATTTGCTTTGTTACTCCGAAGCTTCCACACCGTATTCAAAGTCCTCCTGTTGTTCGGTGCCGTCATTTATATTATCTCTCCGTCCTTCTTCGACTCGAAGCTACAGGAAAAAGTAAAGGCTGTACCATACCTCGCACCTAAGTCTGCTCTGCCACTAGGATCACCGGTAGAAGTTCGACGCAGCGCCTGGCTTACTGCCATTCAGACGGTCTGGGTTCCACAAAATAGCCTTCTGCAACAACTCGCAGCCCTGCTGTTGAAGTCTCTGAACCTAGGGATCCGCAAAGTCGTTGGATGGCATGGATACGCAATGTTGACTGGTGCAACTGAAGAGCAGGAAGTGGCACGAATTAGGGCATGGGAAATCGCAATTGATGCGCAGCTTACTGGCGGCGACGCTGAGATCAATTTGAGTCGACTAGCCTTAACGATTCTAGCTTCCGAAACGCTTCCCGTAACACCCTATCGACTTATGCTCAAAGCCCTCCACATTCATGTCCTTCTATGGGAGCTTTCTAATAGCAAGCTTCGCGGGCGGTACTTGTGCAGGACCTTTGCTATGAAGTTCGCAAGATATCAGTGGGTGAAAGCGAGGAAGCTCCATAACCGAATCAGCTTATCACTGCCATTAAACGACACATCTAGATCGGACGCGCTGCCAGATTATTTGGCTAATTTACTAGATCTCGACATTGACACCGTCATGCAGCACAGAGTGGTGCAACGGGCACACAATCTTGCTTGGGATAGGCCAACCGACAACAAGGTATCCGATTGCACTGATGGCATGAACACTGTCATCAATGACACTGCTATAGGTTCTCCGTTAGATGCTCTTTCTGCGTGGTGCTCATGTGTTAAACTTCACAAAGCGCTAGTCAACTTTCTCCGGTCGAGAACTGGCCTTGCGGACAGCAATGCTGACTTCCAACATGATCTTGATCTCGCCCTAAAGATTTCCCCCACTGGGTCTTTAGTTCAAGGCTACAGTGTTGTTGCTTGCGCAGTACTACTAAACGAGCATCGGGGTGCTAATATTGCTGCCGCTCTTCAAGTTCTACCGCCGCTGTCGAAATCCGGCACTTGCGTTCCAACAATGGCTGATGCTATTTTATCCAGTTCTATAAATTCAGAGACTCATCCTGAGCTTCGCCTAGCTTTGCAATATGCCATGGCTGTTGCGCTCCTGAAGCGTGCGCAATATAAGAAAGAAGCAATCGCCTTAATCAGAAACATTCACATATATGACAATGATTTTGGCCTCCTTGGTTTCACGGCTGCATACAACTGGTTAGACACAGCATTTCGGGATAATGCTCTCGAAAATGAGACTAGGGGAGCATTAGAGAACGTTGCAGGTGCTCTGAAGCTGTGGATGAGCGGGACACAGGGTAGGAACAGTGGACTGGGAAAGAATGTCAAATGTGAGATAGCGATGCTATGTGTTGATGTGTTAAGTTGGTTGGTCGGGATGAGGGACACACGTTGCTGAATGACCAGGGCTGCGGGTCTCATGCATACATGTCTAGCTTATTGCCGCTGAACTATTCGCGTCCAGAGTCCGCGCGAAGTGACAGTACCTTCTTCGGTGATGTAACTGCCGTAAATAATAATACTGATAATGCCAAACCCGTTGGGAAACCGGGCCGAGCTCTGGGAGATTCCGGGTTTTTGGCCCTGAAAAGCTGGTAATCCTCACCGTAGGGCCAGCTCTCCCCGTGGTACTCACTAGGGCTAGTAGAGGCTCTGCACTGGAAACAGTAGACTACTCAGTGGTTTCGGGGGTCATAGCAGACTCTTCAAAGCCTATAAACCACTGCGTAGGCCCATTTGAATGGATAGAATAACTCAATTGATCACTGTATGTATTACTACGCCATATACTAGCTTCCGTTTTGCCAGAAGGGATATTTTAGGCCACCGGAGAATTACACCGTGTGTAGATCCCCCCCGTATCCTGGAAATATCTAATAAAACCTGTTAAACCGACCATCTAGTCACGTGCTTAACCATCGAAAGGGATGGTTAAGCACGCTTTCATCAACCTACCGTAGACAGCAACGCACAACATGCACTTTAATTACGATGATATGGTATCTGCTTTATGTTCTACGAGGGTAAGTGTGTCATGTTATTGGTCAAAGCCAACTCTTCCCCATCCTAGGTGACTGCATTCTATTTCTTACTATCGTGCAAACAGAACTTTGAACCCACCCATACTTCACGATGATCACCAGCTTCACAGATGGATGTCCCATCTCGGGATGGTCATGGCACGGCACGCACTTGCGACTATCGCCGTTACGGTGTCAATTGGCACATATCTTTCGTTGCCGATCCTGTATCTCCGCCAGCCACCCTTCTCCTCGAAATACCCAAATCTCTCGGGCCATGCGTGGACGTCAATCCTGCCCTTTCCAGGTGGAGATAGTTTGATTCCAGATATCTCGATCAAGCAGCTTTGGATTCAGGGCAGCTGGATTAAGGCCTTGGAGCGGGAGACCCTCCTCGAGGCAGTCGACATTCAAGAGGCGCTCCTGGGACCAATCTCGAGTTGGGCCACGACACTGTTGCGCCATGAAGGTACTAGTGGTATCCTCGGAGAACCTGCCAAGCGCAGTGCGTTGGAATCCGATGCGGCTGTCTCCTTCATCCACTCGCCTCTTCTATACTGGAATGGTTCCGCAGCAATCGAATCGACCGACTCCATCCTGGCTGCAATCAACAGTCCTATAACCCGAAAATCCCCTGCAAATATCACCCTGACACCGGCCTCGGTCTTATTGGAACCGGTGTGGTCGGGCGATAGACTTGTTGCAGCTGACGCACTCGTCGTGAGTCTCTTCTACAAGGCGGGATCTCGGGCTGGGGAGATATGGAATGAGCGGGTGGCGGCACTAACGGAAGCTGGCGAGGGCAGATGGGACATCTATATGGATGATGATGGTGGGACAGGAAGCAAACTCTTACAGTATCAGTCTCGCCTGGTTAGTGCTCAAGATGAGGCTATATTTTTTGGCGCCTATGGCCTGGTGGCACTTCTCGTCTTCCTGGGTTTAAGAAACCTAAATTCGTTGAGAAGCAAGATCGGTTTATTGGTAGCGATTGCTGTGAAGGTTCGTATTACCTTTTGTAAATGCATTCAATTCTTATTGATGTTACAGGGATGCTTTTCGATTTGCTGCAGTTTTGCAGTTGCTACATATTTCCACCTCGACATTTCCAATATTCCTCTCGAGGCATATCCGTTTATCGCTCTTGTGGGAGCATTAGATAACATGTAAGAGTTTCTTTGATACTGTGTGCACGCTGTTTCTAATACGCTGCTAGATTTCGACTCATCCATGAAGTAGAAAGAACACCTCTTCTAGATCGACCTAAACGCCGATTATCTATAGCACTGGGATCCGTAGGACATTTATTGCTTATGGCAGTAGTGCAGAATGTTTTTATTCTTTTGATCTTATCAAAGCTGCTCCCTCCGGGCTTGGCCGCTTTCTGTTATTTTGCTGCGCTCTCTCTAGTAATTGACATGCTCTTCTTTTGGTCATTCTTTGTGGCGATATTAGCTATCAATTTGCGGAACTATGGAATACAAGATTCGTTCGAGAATGTAGGTCAGCATCGTGAGGGCACCGAGGACGTTAATGGATCAGCTATTCATGGATTCAATCTCCAACAACGAAGAGATACTACTTGGCGATGGTGGCAGGCTATATTATATTTCGTAAGAGACCAGGGAACAGTTGCCATTCTACTGTATATTTCCATGCTGGCTTGGCACTTCACCCCTGGAAAGATCTCATTTAACTTCAACCAAGAGTTTACGTCTGCTCCTGGCCTGGGTAGAACCCAAATATCACCAAACTACCCGACTCGCCTCAAGACTGTATTGGGACAGTCAACAGATTCAAGGGGTTGGCTCGAAAGTCAGGACTACAACACGATGAAAGAAATACACCTCTTAGCTGATGCTCGATTACAGGGCTTTGTTGCTAGAATCTACAGCCCTTTGATTGTTGTGCCAAAATTCACGAACAGAAACGTGTCATTACAGACGAAGATATCTAAGTCGTTCCTAATAAACAGTTACACACCCACGCAGTTCTGGCTATATATTGTTGCCCTCTGTTCCCTATTAGCATTCTTTGTCTCGAATTACTCGTCCCATTCCAAACAGGACGAGGAAGAAACACGAATCCAAAAACCCGACAGTCTCTGTTCTGTCCGCTACCTCCCTCATGGTCACACCTTGGACGTTTACATACTATCTACATCTACCAAGCCCTATCTAGCATCGATAGGTTTTGACCATGAGATTAGAGTTTGGGGTTTGAAGCCAAAGAATATCACCAGCCATCTCGCCACTTCTTCTGAGCTGGAAAGTCTATGGCCCGCAGCTGCTGTTGCTATTGACGACAAGGGGGAGTGGCTTGCTATTTGCTCTAAGCGAGGCGAGGTAGGTCTTTGGGATATCAAGCTCCAAACTTTACGAATCATAAGTGCTAGCCTTCACGTTCATATAGTCCTATGCTTTTTCGTACCAGGATTTCTCCCTGATTGTCAGCACTCAACGTTCTTAATGGTTGGCGCAAATGGCATTTTAGTCAAGGTCGAAGGCAAAGCTGAAGATGTTATATTACACCAAATCTGCGCCAGGCAAATTCGATCGTCCCACCTCATCTCTCACCGGCATGATCCGCTGAGACTCATCTCGGTCACTGAGGATGACGAGATATATATTACCGTTAACCGAGAAAACGGCTGGATGTCCCAGGCTCTCCATATCCCGTTAACTACTTTGCAACAGCCCTCGCGGTTGCGCTTCACTGTCATTCCTGATCTGAAAATGGTTGGGTTGGCGTTTAACATGGTCACATCTCAATTGTATCTAATTGACTTTCTGTCAGGTTAGTGGAAATAACCTTACCATCTTCATCGCTAACAATAATCCCTTAACATAGCTTCTCCGATTTATGTCTTCCAACCTAAGCCATTTATACATAGTACATTGAGGACTATCCACTCCCCACCTCAGCAGTGTCTCTCGTGTGGAGCAGTAGCACTTGTATCATTCTCGATCGCATACAGTGAAGTTCAGGATGGACGATTCACAATGCTCACACTGTCTGCGGAGCCAAATCCACGTAAAAGGATAGGATTGTTCTGTCTCCGTGCGGAAAGAGACGCTAGGGAGAGGAGATGTATCGGGTTTCACGGTAGCACAGAAAATTCTTACTCCATGTCACAAGCAGGGGCATGGGAAGCCACTGCTTCCAATGGCGTGGCTGGAGTAAGACGAGCAATTCCAGATGTCCAGGTCGTGCGTGAGGGCATACGAAATGGCATACTATTCAGAAGAGGAGAGAAAAGGGCTCGGAAAGAGCCCAAGCTAGACGAGGAAGGATGGGAAGCCTGGACGATGACTGCAAGAGGAATAATCAACACCCATCCGCTCCAGGTCGAGGTAGTTACAAGTAGGGTTGGCCCGATAAAACCAATTGGAAGAAACGCAATTGCTGTGGGCTTGGCGGAAGATATAGTCCTAGTACAATTTGGGGACCAGATTCATGATAATGACGACGATCATGGCGTGGTCGTGAGAAGATTGCCACATGCAAGATCGGCAGGCAGATATAAGTCTAGTTAATGATATCATAAATACCTTTAAGCAATACTTTAATGACTGAACGGGCAGTTCAAGGAAGAGGGTGTTATAACGTAGTAAGATCGTCATGAACCACTTTGTGTATCAACGCCCAGCCGACCCTTGTCAATTTTAGACAAATAAGAATTAATCGTAAGCGGTCCCAAAAATTCCTTGTGTCTTACGTGTAAAAATAAAGATTCAAAGCTCTTTGTCAGTTCGGTAGAAGGATTTATTTGGATTACGCACTCTATACTACCAGTCTAGGATCCAAACTCCTGATATTTGCACTGGTTGCCTCGCCATCGAAGATGATTTCACTAATGAGCTTTCCGGTTGCTGGCGCATTGTGGATGCCCCAGCAGCTATGTCCCGCCGCCAATAACAACCCTGGAACCCCCGTCTCCCCGATCAGCGGCCCTCCTGAGCCACCTACATTCATCACAGGCAGATAACAAGCGCGGCGACTAGTGACGACGCCATTTCCGAGCTCATCAGATATGCTCGCAACGGCATCAATGATGTTTTGGCAGTCCTGTCTAGAGACCTCCACCGCGTCGGTGTTCGCCGGTAGAGGAACGACGTTATCGCCCGAGCCGCAGACGTACACCTCGTTATTCGGCCGCGAGTATATCTCGGGGCACATGACCTTCGCGATCTCCCGCGGCACCGCCGGATCTCCCTGCTCTGCTCCATCGCCATCCGCATCCTCCGGGGCCACGGGGATCTCCGTAAAGAGACAGTACGCCGAGACAGGTTTCGTGGGCCGGATGGTGACGCTGTGCGCGCGCAGGGAGGAGATGGGGGCGGAAGGTAATAGGACCGGCGTCCATGGCCCTGCAGCAATGACAACAATAGTGGCTGGTATTGATCGAGATTCAGATGTTGCTTTGTCAATGTAGCTTACCGATTGCACTCTCTTCTCACGAGCCGCATTCCCTGCTATGAAACCTCCAGCTTTCTCGTTCGCCACATACTGTTCCCTCGGCGATTGCTGATCATCCGGAGCATAACCTATAGCATCTACCGAGCCTAAAACAACCTTGACACCGCCCTCCTCCGCGAGCCTTGCCATCGTCATGGTAAACTGCAATGGATTTACCTGGGCCGTGGCATTCGTTGTGGATATATCCTCGTAGCTCTTGATGGACTTAGCATTGAACCAATCTAGATCATCTGGAAAGTCTTTGGCGGGTAGATCCCTGTTTTCCTCCTTAATGTATTTCCTCTTACCCAGCGGAAACCACGTAGCGAGCTGGGTCCACGACGTAGCAGCCTCTGATGTAGATAGTTTTTGGTCCTTCGCGGTCAGCTTGCCGCAGTTGATGCGCCTGTAGCCCCATTGCCGTACGCCGTCGTGCGCCTCAGCAAGCTGGCTGTGTAGGTCGAAGCTCAGTGGTACAATGGACGCGGGATATGCCCACTGAGCAAGTAATCCTCCGGCTTTGCCTGATGCTCCGCCGCCAATTCGTGTTGCTTCGAACAGAGTTATGGAATGACGTGAAGGATCAAAGGACGGGTGTTTAGTGAGATAGTAGGCCGTTGTGCAGCCGATGATGCCACCCCCTATTAATGATCACTATCAGCTAGGTATGTGCAGACCAGCAATCGTATATATCCTACCCACAATCACAATATCCTGTTTTCCATCTGCCATGGCTAGAGAGGAAGACGTTCAGTCCAACGGGTAATAAAAAATGGCTCACTGTCGGTAATGTTGGTTGTGGCGTAACGTAGGATGTAGCGTATCGTAGACTGTGGCGTAACGTTGACTGTGGCGTAACAGTTCGTAATAGACCATCGGCGAATATTTCTTGTCTACATAAGTACTGCCTATACGCCTAATAACAACTTGTTAGCTCTAGCTATTATGTTACCTGCAACTCTTAAGCGTGCTAAAAATGTGTCTGCTCTAATATTAGGTCAGCTTTTGCTGCTACTAGCTCTAAGAACAGGAGCATACTATTACTTTAAACGTATAATATAAGTAGATAGATAGATATAGTATTTTTAGTCTTAGAATGTAAGTAGTTGTATTTTCTCTAATATCTAGCTTAGGAATAGGCTACTTTAGGAGGCTACTTATAAGGACATAGGGATATAGCTCTCTATAGTAGTATATAGGAGTGTAAGTTAGAGGTAATACTATATTCTATCCTATAGGTCTACTATAAAGGATATAACCCTAACTCTGTCTAGAATAACTTCGCCCCTATGCCCATGGCAAATCTGTTCTAAGGACTAGCCGTTCCATAGTAGCAAATAACTTGAAATAAATATATGATGCTAACAGAGGCTTCGAATTATAAAGGCGAGTGGCTGGCCCTTTATACCATTTTCTTGGTTAAGCTGTGTGCACTCAATCTTGTTTAACAACACCATCGCCAACATCCCATGCCACATCTCTGTTGTAACCAACTATATATCAGTGCAAGTTAGCACCGCCTGGGGTACTGAGGACTAGAGTGCGTAGAGAGAGGCATATGCCTGGCACGGCTTTTCCCAGCTCCTTGACCAAGAGGAGCGGCTGTTGATCCGCTGCCCCCTCTGGGCCATATAGCAATACACGAGTGAGGCTACATGCATGCGTGGCGACTTTGCCTATTGGTACGGCCAGCTGGCCAGATGTAGGCACTATCTTATGATATTCAAAATGCCGGTCGTCCTTACCAGTGATGTTCTCTAGCTACATATCCGTATATCTCAGGAGCCCAGTCACTGCTCGCCGGTACGGTTGGCATTTGTGCCAAGTCATAGGATGCCGCATCAAAGTTGAAATCGTCCAAACTAATAACGCGATCCATTACCGCATAACTTTGATCTGTTAGGGTTTGCAATATGTTAGACAGCTCGTCCTGTGGTTCAGTGGAACTCTTCGACCCTCTGAACTCTGGTACATCGGATGATGGCGTCCAATGCTCGGGGTTTTCATCGCTTAATATATTTCTACCTGGGGCACCAAGAGGCATTTCGACAGAGATGGATGTTGATGGTTGACCTAGTTGTAGTGCCGTTGCAAAGTCCGCAGTCGCGACAGCAGACAGAAATTGTTCTGAGGGATGATTCGCTTCGCATCGATTCTGAGACCTTTGCATGTCGTCCCCTAATTGACCCTCAGTCACTCGGGAGACATCACTTTCAACAGAGCCGACAACTCTCAAATAGAAAGTAGGATCATCGAGACAGCGCTTGTGAAGAAATTGGAGATGATCTGCTAATTGATCCGAAAGCGACGGCGTTGAGCTCCGTTCTTGAGAGAAAAGCCACCGCCGTGATGCCTCCTGAAGGCACTTGACTAGGATCGAAAATTTCGGATCCAATGCAAGTCCGTAATATTGACAGTGCACTGTACAGGTAGTTAGATTTAATTTATGTGCCTCATCTAACCTGAGAAACATACCAAGAAGCACCCGAGCACTAACGTAGCTGCAAAAAGAAAATTGTGGAGAAAGTGGCATGGTTTCTGGCGCGTGAGCAAGATACTTCATGGCGATATTTGCTGTTTCAATTGCTGCCGACTGGCATGTCTTAGCACTGTTGAAATTTGGGAGCTTGATGCCTTTCAGCTGCGGCTCGGGGTAGCCTATTCGCTGATGTAAGAGAATCATTGACGTATTATGCGTTATATGGGCTAGGGTCATATTCGGGTCCAATGCTGCTGTCGCCTCCGGAGGGGGGACTTCGGGATCTTTCCATTTAGCGGGTAAAATGGTTCTCCAGCTATTTACGACAATATTAATAACGTATTGTTCAGTCTCTTTTGAAGGAATAGGGTTAGCTTACTGGACTAGACGAAGATCGAGTTCCTTAAATCGTGTGAGCCAGGAGGAAACTTCTTGGCGGTTGCTGAAATCAATCTTCTGATTTAGGAAATACATGTTGATCCGACACAGAGACTCCAGAGATTCAACATAGTATGCAAAAGCACCGATAGCTGACGTATCGATATGCGCTGTTGGCGATTGCAGTTTCTGGGCGCCCGGAGGGGTAATTTCAAAATCTGCACCACTTGTGCCCGCGGATTGTCCTGGGCTTTCATAGTGGGCTGGCAGAAACGCCACTGAGTTGCTAATTTTGGCAGCCGATTTGTCCCATACCCCAAAGTATGGTGATAGTGCGGGATTGTCTCGGTTCCAATGTGTTCCACAGATAGGAAGTCTTCGTGAGACGTTGTCAGCAGTGAGTCCAATATTCCATCTGGTGAAATGTTAGCCCAGCACCCCTACGAAGACATTCTCACGTATGTTCACTGACCCGGTCAGGACAAAGCACATTCTACAAATATTAGCAACTATCTATGTTAGAGTAAGGATGCACGTGCCGATCTAGTATGAAGATATTCCAAAATACCCGTCGACGCTCCTCTTGCTCCATCCAATCAGATGGTGGAGGTAACGGCTTTGGCCTCAAGAATGCCTCCGGTACGTCCGCATCTCCTTCCTCGACGCTTAGCTGGAGATATTCCACCGTTCTGGTGAGTAATGCGACTATAGGCCATGCTCTTAGCGGCTCGCCATTCCCGATCTGTACCAGAATTTAAGCTGAATACTCGCCATAATTTCACGGAAATGAGACTCACATGCATGAACGCGACAATAATCAAGGCTTGGAGGTCCTCGACTGTAAGACTGTTGGTTGCCCTCGTAATGACTATATTCCTCGATCGTTCAACCTCTCGCTCTATGCGGCCAGCAGAAATGCGGTCGCCAGATGCTGCATTCATGGGGCGCAACGCCGCAGCTAACATAGCATGTAGTATTAGAGGCGGGTCGGCGGCTTCATCCAGCCCTTGTATTTTTCGTCTAAATGTCGTCATATGGATCATGGGGATCCATGGGTGAATATTCATGAAGTAGGCATCGAGCAGATCCTCAAGATGTGTTCCAGTGAGAAAATGTGATGACAATTCAAGCTCTTCAGATGCCTCACATGAGGGTTTTTTGTGCCTAGGCTGCTGAGTTTCTTCGCTGCCAGACCTCTGGCGCTTGCAACGATGCTTATCATTGTTTCTACTTGCATCTAATTGTGACCCGGGCGACCCCGAGCCGGGCACGATGGACTGAGACAAAAAGGAGATGCTAGAAGTCAGGTTTTGAATTTGCATAGCAAGAGCTGAGAAATTAGCTGTTCCCAAGCCCTCAAGGTCAGTATTTGTAACGACAGGATCATGGGTTGCAGAAGCAGCTGCGAGACGGGGTGATGAAGAACCACCATCTCGTTGGTGGCTAACAGCGTGCTCAAGAACCTCTGCATGTCAATCAGTAACGTATTCCCCATTACGGCAAAAACTAGGCTGTACCTATGCGCCTAACCAGTTTGTCTATTGTGCCACGCTTGAATCCTGGCTTGGTACGAACTGGGTCATAGAAGCACGACACGTCTGCAGGGATGGAAATGTCAGTGTGACTCGAGGCATATACACGATCCTGCAGGGAAGGGTGCTCCTACTGACCCAACCGTCTGCAGTTTGAGCACGAGGGGCTCTGGCGAGAGCATTTTAGTTTGCGGGTCCGGCATTCGTCGCAAGAAGGCAGCGGATTCTCTCCTTCGGGAGCCACTGTGTCACTGTTCGATTCCATCGGTGCGCCTGCCATTGACGTATTACCCGTGAAGTGCTAGGAGCCGCAAACCTATATAATTATGAACGGCACGAAATTGAACAAGAGTCACGCAGGAGGGAGGGATGTTGAGATAATTATCAATGCACATAGCCAGATTGCGGGGACGGAACGGGGTTCCAGGTAGCTCTAGCATCATGTAATGTTACATGCGGGGCTAATGGGGTGGTAGTGGTGTTGTGAGGCGGCAGATCCCCCATGCTTGTGTTGCACTAGGGACCCTTCAGGGATATTAATTGGGATGTCTTAGTGCCTGTCGCCGAGTAAGGAGAGAGCCAAACTACATGTGTACAGTAACGCAAATCGTGCCATAAAAGTCCCGTATGATAAAGTCCCTAATGTCTTATCTTTATACCAAGTTTATATACAGAGGTACTTTTGTCTCAAATTTTCATACCTTGATAACTAGAGCGAGTTAAAACACCAAAAACGTTGTATTAGATGAGCCACAACCATGTTTTCGCATTGTCTATAGTATTCCCATGTCTAAAAGTCTTCCCCCAAACTCCAACAAGTAGTAGTCCGCATACACCAACCCGTGATCACTAGGCTTGTTCTTGCTGAAGCTTGCGGCATTGTTGCATACGGTCGAATGTTTTAGGATGGATTCAAACCGTCCACCCGCAATAGAGTCTTTACAAGCTAGCTCGCCATGCTCAGAGACTACTAAATGCGCCTTCTCTTGGGCCAAAGCAAAATCGAGCACATCCTGAACAATCCTGAGGGACAGCTCCAAGTACCTTGAACTCAGCTCATGTTCCCCTCTTCCTGCCAAGACGTTTGACAGCACAAGCATGCCATTGGCGGCAATAACTCCTGCTGAAGTGTCGCGCAGGGGATTCTGAGAATCTTGGATTGGAGCATCAAAATCCCACAACGGCACATATCGCCCAACACGTCGTCCACCTGAGCTAGGCAGTTCTATTTCGACGCACTCGGGTGCAGTCTCAAGGCGAGAAACAAAATACTCTGCTAGACCACATGCCGCGTCAAGAAACTCGGCGTGGCCAGTCCAGTGATACGTCTGCGCATAACCAAGTATTGCCCACGCCTGTCCTCGGGACCAGGTTGAGTCTTTGCTATACCCTTGGGCTGTTCGCACCTCTTTAATTGACCCCGTCGCAGGAGCAAAATTAACTAGGTGTGCAGAGCTGTACAGGCACCCGGCGTAGCCTCTTCGAGTGACAGTCTCAACACGGAGATGCGACTTCAACAGTGTGCGTGAATGATTCACCGCCGCGTCGGAGAGCGCCGTGTTTCCGGAATGTGCCGCCGAATAGAATAGTAGGTCCATATTACACATAGAATCGATGATGACAAGAAAGTTCTCCTCCATGGATGTTATCTCAACACCTTCGTGCCAGTCGAAAGTGTCCCATGAGCGAATCGCCTGTACCTGTGGGTCATACCGTGCGTATAGACTCCCTGCAGCTGTTACGATAGTCTCAAGGGCGCTTTCGTCATGAAAAAGCTCCCATCTGGGACGCATATGAGGCATTATCACGAAACCCAGGTCATGCGTATCCTTCCGCAATGCTTGGCTGCGAAGAGGTTCAGACCAGATATGGCCGAGTCCTCTGAACCTTTGGCGAAGCACGGGTAGGCTAACCTCTGCATTTTGGATACCCAGGGCGTGTGGATGTTTTATGAATCGCTCGAGCAGCAAGTAGATGCACCCAGGAAAGAAGCCGCTTGTCCAGAAGTCAATCTCTCGCGATTCATAGCGACCCTTGCCAGACCCAAGCTGTGGTACAGTCTCCGGATACTGAGCAGGCGGGTTCTACATTATCAGAGAGTCAGCACTTGTTCTCAGTATTTGGGATGTTATTTGCTCACATTTTCCAACAGATGATCAACAGCTGCGCGAAGAACTTTTGCTATGACGTTCTCCGAGTATAGCTCAACAAGACAATGTTTCAGAGACTCATGCTGAGGATTGCGCTTGAGGGTTTTAAAATCGGAAATTTCGGCCGTGAAAGTTGCTGGAGCACTTGCGCCTTTGGTTTCAATGTTATACCAGCTGCCCATGGTGAATAAAGTGGCTCTCTATCTTCTGCTCTCTGCTTAGTTTGATTGGTTTGATGGGAACAAAGCCTGGTTATAGCTTTGCACTCGGTGAGTATCTATGTCGTCGCCCTGTAACATTCACTCAAGATGTCGGACGGGGGTAAGCTATCCGCAGAAACTCCAAGATGGACTAAACTGCCATACTCTTGTAGTTTTCACTGGCAAGAGATCGGATCTATGGCGCCGCCATGGTTTTTCCATCAGTCTCCGGTCGGCCGACATTTGCGCACCTAACCCGATGGCCGGGCTTTGATTTTAATCTGGAATATTATCTTGCTACAACAGCCACCACTAACCCAGACAACTAGTGAAGGCTTGATAGTCCTAATTAATGTTACCATGCCAGATAACAGTACGTGCTAGATGCTACAGGACCCACCTTCTCCACAGATACCCCGCGTTTAACATGCCAGCAGTAGTAATTGTTGGGTTGTGGAGCAGCGGGCTGGCTTTCCCCAGCCGGAAACTGGGAGAGGTCGCGCCGCGCAATACAGGTGGTGCCGGCAACACCTGCTCCGACCTCCACCACTTGTCGCCCAGCTTGATAATATAATATATAGCTGTTGTCGACGCTCTAATATGAGGGGAGTAAACTTTTTATCACGCTCAATCCCAACTGCTCAATACAGTACGCCTATTGACCTCGACAACTATGTCCTCCGAACGCGTTTCAACGATGCCTGTTTCGGATGAATTTAAAGGCCTCACTCTCGTGGATGTTACGCCCAAACTAGAGAAAATCTGGATTAAATACCCTAGGCTAGTCCAGCTGAATTTGCTTTTGCTCTGCGCTTTCCTTGGCCAGACTGCGACAGGTTACGATGGGAGCATGCTAAATGGTATGCAAGCTCTTCCGCAATGGCGAGAGTACTTCGGTTCTCCTAGCGCTGGGAAACTCGGGGCCATGGTCAACGGTGTTGCCTTTGGTGTTTTAATTTCTCTCACATTCTCATCTCAGCTATGTGAGAAGATTGGAAGACGGTACCCCATTACCATTGGCACCTCGATTATCATTGTCGGCTCTATATTGCAGACGGCGGCCGTTCATTATGGCATGTTTATCCTCGGTCGCTTCTTGATTGGTATCGGAGGTGGTCTTGTGGCCGTTGCGGCGCCGCAATTAATGATGGAGTGTGCATATCCATCACACCGTGGAAAGTTGGTTTCTCTGTATATGACCCAATGGCCTGTGGTAAGTTTAGACTACCCCAACCCGCCCAGCCTTGATTAACATTGTTGCAGGGATATCTGATTGCTGCATGGACCACCTATGGCACTTTCAAGCTCCAATCCTCGTGGAGCTGGCGCCTACCCAGCATGCTGCAGATTGTTCCGTCCGTCATTCAGTTGATCCTGAGCTTTTTCGCCCCCGAATCGCCCCGTTGGCTGATATACAATGATCGAACCGACGAGGCTATCGACATGATAGCCAAGTATCATGCCAATGGGGATCGTAATTCTCGCCTGGTCCGGTTTGAAGTAGCAGAAATCCAAATTGCTCTTAATCAAGAGAAGGAACAGAAGGCGATGCAGTGGAGTGAATTCGTTCGCACTCCCGGCAATCGACGCCGCCTTTTTATCCTCATCTTCGTCGGCTACATGACCCAGTGGTCTGGCAATGGGCTGACAAGCTATTATTTACCCAAGGTCCTCAACTCTATCAATATCACAAAACCTGAGACGCAACTATTGATCAACGCTTTAATAGCAGTCTTTAAAGTTGGCTGCTCTATTGTCAGCGCGCTGTTGATCGACCGGGTTGGACGTCGTGGACTCATACTCTTCGGAACTACCACCATGTTTCTCGTGTTTATCATATGGACCGTCTTGTCCGCCCTTAACCAAGAGCAAAATTTCCACAACAAGAGTTTAGCCTCGGCCGTCGTCGCTATGATCTTTATTTTTCAACTCGGATATCAACCCGTTGGCGCCTCCGCCATCGTCTATGTCATCGAATCTGCGCCATTCTCCCTTCGGGCCAAAACCTCGATGATTTTCCAATTATGCGCTTACACCGCAAGTGTCTTCAACAACTTTGTCAACCCCATTGCCATAGATGCTATCAAATGGCGGTACTATATTGTATATTGCGTCATTTTGGCGTTTGAGATAACCATCACTTTCTTCTTTCTGCCAGAAACCAAGGGCCGGGGTCTCGAGGAGATTGCAGAAATTTTCGATGGTCCCGCAGCCGCAATTACTGTTCAAGCCGAAAAAGCTAGCGAATTGGGTCATGATAGAGGTTCAAGTGACTCTCAGAAAGGTGGTCAGGCTATCAACCATCTGGAAGTAGTTCAAGGGACAAAGACTGTTTAATTTAGGCTATTCTATGGGTTAATGCCCGACCTCTTATATGATTCTCACTATGTGCTCTTTAATTAAACGCTACTGCTGTCAATTTATTTAATTTTTATACTGTAGCTTACTGCGTAGCATGCGGTGAAATATTACTACCTCTGGAACGTTATCTCGGATTTGGTCTGTTGAACCTGACAACCACCACCGCACCCTCCTACTTAAACCAAATCGCATACAGAACTTTCACATACGACCATAGACTCAAGAGAATTGGGCATCCCGTCCGCTCTGCCATACACAAGCTTGAGATCGGTGGATTAGTAGTTGGGTGGGTGACCACCAGCGAATACCCACTGTTGTATGTTTTTACCTCTTATTTTGCCAGTTTGATATGTTTTGATATTTCGTCTACGGTACAGTGCGAACATAAATGCTAGAAGAGCCGCGGGAGCCAGGAAGTCCCCGCAGATATTAGATACAGCACTCTAGTGTCCTCAAGTGGCTTCACTTGCTTGAGGGTGACGTTTCCCTTCTCCGAGGCGCATCATCAAACAGGCATCCATTGCTGGCGGGATCTCCATTTCAACCAGGTAATCTCTAATCCTCCGCCGAGTCACCGCGCCTGGCCGTAACCTCAATCTCAATCTTCATCTCTTCGTCCATCAACCCAGCCTGAATCATCGTCGCCGCCGGCTTAACCTCCCCCAGCCACTTCCTCGTCACCGGCCAGCACAGCGGGAACTGCTTTGCATCCGGCAGGATATACCTGACCCGTACGACGTCTGCCATGGTCGCGTCCGCCTCACGCAGAGCTTTATCGATGGTGCGGAATATCTGTTCGGTCTGCTCGACGATGTCTGGGGATATTTTGCCGGTGGCGTGGTCGTAGCTGTGATTGTTGTTGGGATTTTGAGGTTTTGGTGATGTGTGAGTCAATGTGAAAACTTACCCTGTTGTGCCTGAGACTATGATCCATGATCCGGTTACTACGGCTCGAGAGTACCCGATGGTTTCTTCAAATGCGAAGCCGCTTCTTATGAGTCTTCTTTCGGCCATTGTTTCAAAGAATTAGGTTGTGAGTTTGCAAGCTGTATGTTTGGAGTTTGAGCTTGGGGATGACGAGGGTCGTGCCGCGATATTACTCACACCCAGTCCAAATAGTAGCGTCTAGTCTGGTGCAGCTTTCAGCGCCGCCTTATGCCACCACAACCTACAGTCTGTTTTTATATAATACAAAATCTTTATTCATGCCGCCCAAAGGTCTGAAGGGTGCTGTGCGTGATAGGATCGATACAATAAATTCAGTCCGTTGGGATTTATTCCTTTGGCATAACTTCGAGAAACTGACTCATTAAAAGGGCATGTCATAAAATTATAACTCTCGAGTGATTGGACGACTTCATTTTAATCATAAATTTCCGTATACACATATGTTATGGATAGTGCACATTGGGACAGTTGAGTGGCACAAGTACAGTCACGGAATCTCCTGAGGGGCGCAGTATATATTCTCGATTGCACGTCATGGGAACTATTAGCTAGAAAATGTGCTCTTTGCACCTCAAATTGGTATATTGAACGCCTGCCTGTGCCTCTCAAATGCCTTGAAATCCATCTCCAGCCGCACAAAAACCGTGATACCCTAGCGCACGCTGATCGTGAACATCATGTCCAGCGCTGTCTGCGTAACATATGCGCACAGTCCCTCTGGTTCACCATCCTGGGCCTCAGATATCATTCCAAGATAGTCCATCCGCTCGAGATCCTGAAAAACAACCGGCAAAAACCCCTGACGGATCAGATAATCCGCCATCATAACCCGGCTCGCCCTCCCGTTTCCATCAGGAAAAGGATGGTCGGAAGCAAAGTAAACGCACAGCTTCGCGGCGAAGATCAGGGGATGTAGTTGGCCCATAGCGTGAGTCTTATCACGCCACTCAAAGAAACGTTTCGTGCACGCGGGCACCTCTTGGTGGTAGGGGAATACCCTCAGAGGATTCGACCTGACAGAGATGGGTAAGGCGCGAAATTCGCCGAGAGGGACTCTTGGGCCCCAGGAGTACTTGGCTGCTTCTTCAGAGTCTGTGCCGCGTAGCAGTGTGCGAGTGAGTAGTTTGATCTCATCGAGTGATATCCCTGCCGTTCCGGGGTTGGCAAGAGCAGAGTCGCTGACGTGGCGGGAGACAATAATATGATTTCTCAGCTCTGCGACTTTGGAGGGACTCTGAGAAGACAGATCGCGAGCAGGAGGAAGATCGAGATCTGGCAGGGCCTGGGTGCGTATTGTCCCAAAATCTTCATAGCGTGAGAAGAACTGGCTCTCAAGCCCTTCAGAGATCAAGGCGTCTCCGAGTGACAGTGGGTTTGCTTCGATAGCCACGCTTTGGTGCGCCCACTCAGGTACCAGAGAGTGAGTGACTGAGATGCGTAATTGTGGGCGCTCCCCGAAAAATATCTTAAACTTGTCCACAGATTCCAACTTGCTCTTTAGCTTTTTCTGTGTCTCAAGCCATGGCCCCAGGTCACGGGGTTTGAAGTGGTCTTCCCAGACTTTTCCGGAGTTTGCGAGCCCTTCGTACTCTGGGGAGCCAGGCCTCAGGTGGCTGAAGGCAGGCTCGTAGATGGACTGGAGGAGTTTGAGGCGCTGTGAGGTGGTTCGGGTTTTGAGCTGGCGGGGAGCGGCGGAAAACCCTCTCACGGCGGCTTTCTACCACAGTGGCAGAGTTTTGAAAATTGCGGCAGCCATTTTGTGGTCAAGATGAGGATTTGTAGTAGCTGTTGAGATGGCAGAGGTTAACAGTGGCTGGCGCAAATAAGTAGTCCCTTAACATCTGTTCTGGTCCATTTGAGAATAAGCCGCCCACGAATACACTAAGCGACATAATTCACTGTAATTTAACAAAGTCTCTATTAAATTTAATAAAATATTAAATGCCGATTAATTAACGTATTACTTTTATATCCTGCTACTTCAAATTGTTGAAGTTATTTGGCTTTTAATTTCTAGATGCAGAATCAAATATATTTATCCCCTTATTTCGCATATCAGGTTTATAAGAATAGTTTATCTTAACAAAACCTATAACTATCGTTGATTTTCTTTTCTATAATGACCAATTTTAAAGTCTATAGCCATTTCCATATTTTTTTTAACAGTTCATTTATTAATTATCACTTGGTTCTCCCTCCAAGCAATTGTCGTCCGAAAGTTCCAAGTTCGGCCGAGGAACAAAGTACTGCCGGCCCGAGCTTGAAACCGGAGATGGACGACAGAACATGATGTGGATTTTGACCTGAGCCAAAATCAATCTCAAGCTCCCTCCCATCGACAATTCAGCCCCGAGCAACAACAAATCCGCTCACGCTCATTCCACCACTATCAATTGCAACCTCCCAGCGACCCCGCGTCTCCCGCATCTAATAATGCAGTGGGGGCACATGCAGCGTTCGCCCTCGTCATAACATGTCTCTCGGACTCCCCGTTCCCTCCCCGGGCGCCCTGCGAGCCCTCCGCCAGCTCGCCCTCGGAACATCGTGTACCGTCGCCTTCACGACCGGGCTGCTGGCAGAGGACCGCAGGCGCCGAATCCATTCCGCGCGTGAGGTGCAGGAGAACGGCCGACGTATCAAGTCGTCGAGAAGCTATCACGGGGCGGCGGGTGCGGTTGCGGTTGCGAATTTTGAGGACCATGTTTTGAATCCGCCGTTGTATTCGGCGGGGGATGGCGAGGTGGCGCCGAAGTCGATTGCGAGCTGGGGGAAGGATGCGTCGGTGAAATCGAAGAGACTTGTCCGCCCGCAGTCACAGCGGGAGTTGAAGGATGATTTGGAGCCGGTGGTAGCGAAGGAGAAGCGGGATGCTTCTCACGATGCCGACTTGCGAGCGAGAACACAAAGCCATGCTACTCCCATTGCTATTAGAAAGACTGGACAGCGTCAGAGTCGACAGACTGTGTTGGCTGCCAGTATGATGGAAACCCTTGAAGCCGACAATTCAGCTGGTGGGATTGAGTTGGCTGCGAACGCTTTCTTCGAGTCCTTTGAAAATGGGCTGTACATCGGCAAAGAACCAGGACGCCATGAATCCCAACTTTCGAAACGGCTGGTTACAGCGTGTGGACAACTCTTCGATGCTTGCCAAAAACACAACTCAATTGGGGTATACGTTCCGGTCATCCAGAAACTCCTTAGCCTGGGTCCAATTGAAGAAGACCTCTTTTACGAACTTCACACCCCGGAGGTGATAGCCCACCTATTGGAAATAAAAACACGCAAGGAAGGAGAGGATCAAGGATATCTTGAGGCGTTGCACTCGGCATCCTCCATGTATATGACGGAGTTTTCTACAAAGCGACTCGAAAACGCCCATCCTAAGATGCGACATCTCGGCGTGCTTCTCTGCGCCAAAGCCATGAAGGAACAACTCTACGAACTAACCGATTCCCTCTATTGGCGAATGTCTGCTATTCCCAGCGACGAGGCCCCTTCCTGCGTCGACTACCTCATCCTTGCCAACCACGGCATGGGCCACCACAAATCCGTGCTACACTACTTCCGACGCTTCTTCGTCCTCACCGAACCTTCGAAATACGAACTTGACGAAGTTGTCGGGGCAGTTCTCGACTCGTGCCTTCGCAAAAACGCACTCGGCCAGGCTGAGGATGTTGTCCGTACCGGTGCCGAAATGGCTAGATCTGGGGGGTTCAAGATAAGAGCGGAGTGGCCTATGAAGGTGCTGGGGCAGCATTGGAGGAGTACGCGCGATCTTGCGTGTACACGGGCGCTTTTTGGCAGGCTTGAGACACTGGTGGATTGTATTGATCTACCGCAAGCGCTGTACAGTGCGATTATCCAGTTCTGCGTCGAGGACGGGAAGGATGACCAGGCTAGCGCATACCTCAATCAACATACGTCGGCGAATAATGGCGCGGCAAGCCTGAGGACCTGCGGCCATCTGGCTCTGTCGAAGGCAATGAAGGAGGATTGGGAGGGTGTCGAAAGCAGTCTTAAAACCATGAAACCTCTCTTGGTCGACCATAAGACGAAAGAACAGCACGCACAAGTATTCGCACCGATATTCAAGCTCTACACCAAATCCCACAGCGTCGCCGAGTCAGAGCAGTTCGTCCGAAAGGTCATGGAAGAGTATGGACTCGTTCCAAACATCTACGTATCAAACATCATGGTCGGGAAATACGCAGACGCAAACGAAATCGACTCCATCCCACACTGGCTTGAGACCATGCGTGCCTTCGGCCTCATCCCCGACGCCGTCTCTTTCAACGCCATGCTCAGCAACTACCGCGACGAGTGGAACACCCCCTTCGTCGACCTCCTCCATCTCTGCCACAAGATGAAAGACACAGACGAGAATCTCCTCGACCAATGCACCGCGCGCATCCTTCGCGAGGCCGCGATACGAGAAACTAAAGGGGATCGCTTCGCTTTCGTCCGCTTCTCGAGGCAGATCGATTACCTTCGTCAAGGCCAAGCCGACAGCGATAGCGGGCTGGACTTCTACCCCTCTATGCGCGAGGCTATGGCTAAAGGATCCCCCCGCAAAACACTGCGTATTTACCACTCCGCCCTAAAGCGGGAGCACATCCACATCCCACCCTCCATGTTCGCCCTCGCCATACAAGCCGCTATCGAGTCCCACCCCGCAGACAGCAGTATCAGCTCCCTCCTCCCCCTCGTCAGCTCTGCCAGAGAGAGGGGCGTTGATATTAGTCTCGGCATGGCGAGGCTGCTGATGCATCAGCTCGAGGACAGAAGTCTGGATTACATGGACCTGCACGCCGTGCTGAGGAAGAATACCTTACTCTTCGCTGATCACGGGCTCACCATGCCCATGGGCGTTGCTACGAAAGTCGCGAGCGTCTTCTCCCAGCGCGGCCTCAACCGTGACGCGTTGGCGCTGTGGGAGTACTACGCCGCGCGCAACGGGGTATCGCGGGGCTTAGTGGATTTGTCGAGCCTGACGGTTCTGATGCGCGTGCACATCGCGCTGGAGAATGTGGAGGGTGTGCAGTGGGTTATGGATACGTTGGAGAGAAATGAGATTGTACCGAGCAGACGGTTTATGCTTGTGATTAAGTTGGGGATTGCGAATCTGAGGAAGCAGCAGATGAGGCGGTGCGGGGATGGGGTGCCGAATGCGTTGGGGGAGATGCTGGAGGAGGCGCTGGGGGTGGTTAGGTTGAGGAGGGAGAGGCATGGGGTGGAGAGTAGGAGGGTGGGGGGGAGGTTGTTGGATATTATGAGTGCGGCGGTTGTTGAGTCGAGGCGTGGTGGTGCGGGTGAGGGAGAGGAACTGGGTGCTGCGAGGCAGCATGTTTCTGCTGGTGTGAATTCCACCGCTGAGCAGCAGAGAGAGACTGCTGGGCAGCTTCACGAGGAGGAGTCACGTGCCTCGCGGGGTTCACCGCCACCACCTGCGATGTGGACGGCTGTTTCAGTTACGCCGCTTGATCGCGGGGTTGGCTCCTCGGGACAGAAGAGGCATGAGACCCCGGTGATGCCTCTGGTTGAGAATCAGGTGTCCCCCAAGCCAACGTACGAGTATATAGAGGCAGAACCGAGGCACCACGCGAGACAGGATGCGGTGAGGAGAGTTACTTCTGGGGGAGGGGTGTTGGCAAGGAAGGTGGTGTCGGGGTGGTTGTAGATCGTTTGTGGTGGGTGTGGTGGTGGTGGTGAGGGGTGAGGGGTGAGGTTGGGGGAGGTAAGGGTTGGGATTTGTGCTATATAGTGTAACTTGCATGCACATAACTGTATTTTACACTGACCGTAATTATATATTAAGCAGTTTGAATTAATCGCTATGAAGTATTTACTATACTATAAAAATATACTATAAAATCGTTATATAGAGTCCTCTTCTCACTCTCTCTAAAGTCAATAAATAGCCCATAACCCCGGCTATCAACGTTGAATCCCATCGCATCCGATTTCATTTCCCTCTTTAATAGGGGTACCATCCCTCCCGCTCCCACCGCCGCAAAATCCCTCCTAATCCATGTAACAAACCACGCCACTCGGGTACAGTAGTGGATTCCTAGCGACGAGTCTAGCCAGATGTCACGGGAGAACGCGTGTTCCTGACTGGATAATGCGCCCCTAGTGTGAGGCTATGTTTCCTTGCCAGCCAAGGTTTGAAGGAGTCCAGTCGGAGAGTTGAGGACCGATGGTTTAGTATGGGGGGACAGATTAGCTGTGGCCGTATAGTTACTGTAGGTAAGTTGTACGGAACTCTAGGAAAAAGGAGTATGGATTTGGGGGGGAATGATAATCTCTGTAGTGGTATAGTTATGGAGGAAAGATAATCTCTACCTACAATGCTCTACTACGAGCGAGATATAACCGTACATTCCGTGATGCCCGTGATTATTCCCACCCTTCCGCCGTTGCACCCCCAAAAATACATAAACCAATGTATCCCTCTAGAACAATTTTAATTGTCCGCCCGCCCCCGACCACAAAAACCACCCCCCCCATAATCGCCTAATCCACTCTCCAAACCTCCCCCAAAACCCTCAATTCGCCCCAAAACCTCCTCTTTCACCATGAACACCCTCGTCCAGCTGCGCAGCTTCAACAGCCCGCCCACCACCGCCAAAGTCAGCGTGCCCGCCAAAATCGCCTCCGCCGTCTCCCGCCCCTTCACCTCCCTCCTCGCCTCCTCGCCAATCGATAACCAGTACCCGTCCATGACGGCGACGCAGAACACACACGAGTCTCTGGAGCAGCGGCGCACGATGCATCACGAAGCCGACGTTGTCATCGTCGGGGCGGGCGTCTTCGGGTGCGCCGCGGCGGTCACATTGGCTCGCCAGGGCCGCAGTGTCATCCTGCTTGAACGGTCGATGAAGGAGCCCAACCGGATCGTGGGGGAGCTGCTGCAGCCGGGGGGTGTGTCGGCGTTACACAAGCTGGGGCTGTCGGAGTGTCTGGAAGGCATTGATGCGGTGGTTGTTAATGGGTATAACGTCATTTACTACGGCAAGGAGGTGCATATCCCGTACCCGTACGATACGCGGGTGGAGAAGTCGAGGGCGATGAAGGAGTCGAGGCCGGTGGGGTGGTGTTTTCACCATGGCAGGTTCATTAATAAGCTCCGCGAGGCGTGTAAGAGGGAGCCGAACATCACGATCTTCGAGACGACGGTGAAGGGGACGGTGAGCACGGATAACAACGAGCAAGTCCTGGGTGTCAAGACGGAGACTACAGACCCTATAGACGGATCTAAGAAACCCGATTACTTCTTCGGCGGCCTCACCATCGCAGCAGACGGCTACGCATCCACCCTCCGAAAACAATACATCTCCAAGACCCCCGTCGCGAAATCCAAATTCTACGCCCTCGAACTCATCGACTGCCCCATCCCAGTCCCGAACCACGGCCACATCATCCTCTCCGACAACGCCCCCGTCCTCGTTTACCAGATCGGCACCCACGAGACCCGCGCCTTAATCGACGTCCCCGAGAACCTGGAGTCCGCAAAATCAGCCCTGGGAGGGGTAAAAGCACATATCCGCAATGTCGTGGTGCCGACACTGCCGGAGGCTATAAAGCCGACGTTCATAAAGGCGCTGGAGGAGGGGGGCTTGAGGAGCATGCCGAATTCGTGGTTGCCGCCGACGCAGCAGCAGACGCCGGGGATTGTGGTGCTGGGGGATGCGATGAATATGCGTCACCCGCTGACGGGAGGCGGGATGTCAGTGGCGCTCACAGATGTGGTGATTTTGTCAGAGCTGCTGCACCCGACTCGCATCGCGGACCTCTCGTCTGTCCCCGCCATGAGCCTCGCAATGCGCACTTTCCACTGGAGGAGGAAACAACTCACATCCATCGTCAATATCCTCGCGCAAGCCCTCTACGCCCTCTTCGCCGCCAACAACGCCGAGCTGAAAGCCCTGCAGAGGGGTTGCTTCGAGTACTTCCTCTACGGGGGCGTGTGCGTTGAGGAGCCGGCGGGGATGCTGGCGTGTATTCTTCCCAGGCCGTTTTTGCTGTTCTACCACTTCTTCTCGGTGGCGCTGCTGGCGATGTGGTTGATTATGTGTGATTGTGTGGGGAACGTTCTGGGGGTTTGGAAGGCGCCGCTGGGGGTGTACAAGAGTGGTGCGGTGTTGGTGAAGGCGGTGGAGGTGATTTTCCCGTATATTTTTTCGGAGTTGAAGTGGTGAGGTGAGCTCGCATAGACGGACTTACGAGGGAGCGTTGGGGTGAGAAAAAGATAAAATTGATGGGCGGTTAATGATGATGGGTTGTACTACTTACATATGCTTCGATTGGAGTGGTGGCGGGTTTGTTGAAGACATAAGACATAAACTACGGCGTTTGGGGTGTGTGGGGGGACAGGCATCCAGCATAGCCTTCAGCTGAGCCGTGGAGGCTGGTAATATTAATCATGAATCTATGGACTCACTCAATTCAATCCATTTTACAAACAGACAGACAGACAGACAGCTGAACCAAAACCCCTGCGATGTTTGAAGCATGTGATATATGTGACCTGTATGCCTGCTTTCTTTCTTTCTCTATATAACTTATAACTTTATATATACACGCGCAACAAAAAGGGTACTGTACTATAACACAACCCCCTCACCGCCGCCTATAAACCCCCAGCGCCCAACTAGCCCTCAAAACAGCCAGTCCAAAGGCCATCCCTATACTATCCCACAGCACATTCAACTTACTCCCCCCCACCTCCTGCCACGCAATCGGGACCTCCGCTACTCTTACCCCCCTAACGGCGCCGCCAATCTTGCCTCCCTCGTGCTTGGACTCTGGTATACACACCGGTGCACTCTCGGCGAGCATCAGCATCTCGACATCGAAAATCCACCCTTCGGCGTGCATGTAGGGGATTATATGTGGCAGCGCGGCGCGGGTGAAGAGTTTAAACCCACACTGCGTATCGCGGATGCGCGACGTAGCAGGTGGAGTAAGCAGCCTCAAAAGAAGATGAAAAGAATGCATCAACGCATTCCTAACAAACGACCTCTTCACCACCGCTTCACTCCCCACTAAATGCGCTCTGCTCCCAACAGCCACCGCTCTACCCCGTGCATCCTTGACTAACTCCGCACCCGCGACCAGCGCGCCGAGATCTCGGAACCGCGATGCCCCGTCCGCATCGGCGAAGACAGCATGGGTGCCCCGGACGTGCCGCAGACCATGGGTTACCGCACCGCCTTTGCCGCGGTTGCGGTGCAGGGAGATGATGCGGAGGGTATCATGGAGGGAGTGGGCGTGGGAGAAGCGGAGGGCGGTGCTAACGGTGGAGTCGGAGGAGCCGTCGTCTATGAGGAGGATTTCGTAGCCTTGGGGCTCGCTGGGCGAAGAGGAGGAGGTTTTCGATTTCGACGATTTGGTGGAGGGAGAGGGGGAGGAGGCGCGGCCGTAAGTAGCGTCGAGATAGGAAACAGCCTCCTCGAGCATAGTTTCTAACCTTGCTTCCTCGTTGTAGGCCGGGATGACGACGCTCATTGCGAGGGTGGCGGGCTCGATGTGGCCGGTGTCTTTGGAGGAGGACCCGGCGGCGTGGGAAGCGCGGTGGGAGAGCCAGTCGTCGTGCCAGCAGGCGAGGGGCTGGGGGGGGGTGACGCCGCCGGAGGGGAGGGTGGTGATGTATGTTTTTTCTGAGGGGTGGGGGTGGCGTGGGAGGGGGGCGATGAGGTGGAGTGTTAGGTAGAGCTGTGGTTGTGTTAGTCTTGGACGCGAAGGGGGGTTTGGGGAGGGGGAGGGTAGTGGTGGAACATCAGTGCAAGGAAGAGTGTGATTGAGGGGGGACGTACGGATATGAAGGCGAATGGTAGTATTGATGTAGCAGACACTACCAAGATCCACGCCGGAGCATGTCTCACAACCTCCCACGCCTCAGCGGCAATCTGCACCGCTCTATCCATCACCGCATCTGCCATAGCTCCTTATGAGACCTCGTATGCGGCAGCACTTAGTTCAGCGGGCAATTGCGCAGTCGTTCAACGGCCGCGAGCTGCCGGGGATGGGGCAAATGATGGGAGGAAGGCGCGCGAAGCTTCTCCATCTATGGGAGATGGGAGGGAGGGAGGTGGTGAGGTGGTGGTGGAGATGGGGGTTTGAGGAGTGCGGACGATCGTTGCGCGGCGCGGAACGTGTCAATTAGAGCTGGGGAGGGTGATTCGCTGCGGCGACGGGTGGGACGGGGACGGGTGGTAGCCTTGTTCAGTAGCCTTGTCTTGGCGGTGGCTTGTCAAAGTAGGAGTGGGATTTGGACCCTTAACATGTGTAAATGGTAATCGAAAAATGCTTTCAAGCTTCAGTGGCATGAGAATATTGATATAGTGATGGGTTTTTGAAATTATATTTCCATTATGTCAGCAGGAGAAGATTTTGAGAGGCTTCGCACATGTATATGCAGGGAAACTCTATATGCAGCACAGTAAGTTAGGGCCGCAGGATGCTCAGCCTCGATGGTTGACACGTCGAGATCGAGCCATGTAACTTCCTTTCTATCTATCATGCCCCCTTTGTTTCTTATTCTGCGCTGTCGCTGTATATGAAGGTATATGAAGAACCTCTCCGATGGATCCCCTCAGCATCACGGCGAGCATTATTGCCATCCTGCAGGTCACAGCTACGTTGGTAAACTACGCCAACGATGTCAAAGACGCCCCCAAAGATCGTGCGCGCTTTGCGATGGAGGCTTCAAGCCTCTCAAGCCTTCTCCTTAATTTGAGATACCAGATAGAGGAAGAAATTTGTGAGAAATCAAATGACGCATGGACGAGCCAAGTCACGTTGCTCGCTGTGCGGGATGGGCCTTTGGATCAGTACAGACATGCGCTGGAGAAGCTGCAGCTGAAGATCGTGAGCGGCAAGGGGCTGGTGAAGATTGGGAATGCACTTTGGTGGAGATTTACTGAAGAGGAGGTTGCGGGTATATTATTGAGGATTGAACGGTTGAAGAGCCTGATTCAGATTGCTCTACAGATGGACCACTTGTGAGTTATGTGAGAGATGGTTTAGATGAGACTACTTACTCTCCCAGAAAACTATCTCAAGCAATTAAATCTGGCTTGGACGGGATTTATGACAACAGTGAAGAGATAAAAATTGACCTGGCCGTTGTCCGGTCCCAAATACCTGCAATACAAGATAGTGTTGGTGCGGTTCAGGAGAGTGTTGATGCGGTTCAGCAAGAGCAAGGCAGAAAGAAGAACCAGGTGCTCGTGGAGTGGATATCATCGGCCAATTACTCATCTCAACAGTCTGATTTTATATCCAGGAGGGAGCCTGGAACCGGCCAATGGTTTCTTGACTCCCCCGAGTTCAACAAGTGGCTTGACGAACCGAGTCGGACTTTGTTTTGCCCTGGAATCCCTGGAGCTGGAAAGACTATGGTGTCAGCAATTACCGTGGATCACCTCCGTAAGGTGGCAGACAGGGCTCTCGGCGACCTCCTTGCAGTTAAGATGGGAAATACGCTCCACAGTGGCCTCCATGGAGTGGCGCAGATATTCTGCAACTACAAAACTCAGTCAGAGCAGAACACAACTACTCTACTATCAGCCATTCTCAAGCAGCTGGTGCAAGCAAAGCCCTCTGCCGCAAAGGCAGCAAACACACTTTACGAGCGCCACTACGACCAGGGAACGAGACCCTCACTCGAGGAGATCTTTGCCACACTCAAAACCACGATGATGAGTTTCTGGACCGTGTATGTTGTTATTGATGCTCTCGACGAGTGCGCTGATCGAGATGGCACTCGCAGTCAGTTTTTGGGCAGGCTACGCGATTTACAACAGGACTTTGATGTGCGACTGATGTTTACCTCGCGCGCTAACCCCGATATCATGAGCCAGTTCAAGTCTTCGCTGACGCTGGAGATTCGGGCCAGTCCTGCGGATGTGAAGCGGTACGTTAGAGGCCAGATTCACCGGCTCCCTAAATGTGTGCAACGCGACGAGAAGCTACAGGGAGACGTTGAAGATAAGATCGGTGAGGCAGTGGATGGCATGTTAGTGGTTCCCGCCCGGTTTCAAAGTCCTATCAGCTCATAAATTGTTTAGGTTCCTCCTTGCGCGTCTCCATGTAGACTCGCTTCGGGACAAGCGGACCAAAGCCAAGGTTCAGTCTATGTTGGGCATGCTTCCTAGGGGCGCGGAAGCGCTAGAGGAGGCCTACGACGACGCAATAAAGAGGATAGAGGCTCAGTTGCCCGATGACAGCAAGCTGGCCAAGACGGTTCTTTCTTGGATCACGTATGCGCAGCGGCCCCTGACTACGGCGGAGCTATGCCATGCTCTGGCAGTCGATCCCGATGATACCGACCTCGACGAGGACAACATTCTAGATGTTGAAGACATCGTCTCTGTCTGCGCTGGTCTCGTCACAGTTGATGAAGAGAGCAACATAGTTCGCCTCGTCCATTACACCACCCAGGAATACTTTTTACAGAACAGAGAGGCTTGGAACCCGACAGCTCAACAAGAGATTACAACGACATGCCTTACCTACCTTTCTTTTGGCCCGTTTAAGAGCGGCAGCTGTGAGGAGGACAAAGAGTATGAGGAAAGAATTGCGCACTACACATTCCTCGATTACGCCTCTCGATACTGGGGCCACCATGCACAGACGGTACAAGAGCAGGTGTCCGAGATAGCGCTTGCCTTCCTACGGGACAACAAACTGGTTTCCTGTGCTGTCCAGACCATGTCGATAGCTGTATATACATTCACTAACTATGGCCAATCCTTCCCGAAATATGCAACGGGGGTACATCTATCAGCGAAGTTCGGATTGCAGTACTTGCTAGCAGGACTTTTGTCGGGGTCAGATGGGGTTGGTGGCATGGCGGCCGACGCAATGGATAGGCATGGCCGGAAGCCGCTTACATGGGCAGCATCTGAGGGGCACACGGCGATAATAGAGTTACTACTGGAGCGGGACGCAGACATCAACTCGAAGGACCTTTACGGTCGGACGCCGTTGTTATGGGCAGCGCGTGGGGGGCATGAAGCAGCTGTGAAATTGCTTCTGGGGCTGGATGGAGTTGACACCAATACTAAGGATAAGCGTGGTCGGACGCCGCTGTCGTGGGCCTCAGATAGAGGGCATAGGGCGGTAGCGGAACTGCTCATGAAGCTGGAGGGCGCCGAAATTGACATCGGGGACAGGGAAGGAATAACTCCATTCTTATGGGCGGTACAAGGAGGGGCCGAATCGACTGTGAAAATGTTCCTAGGGCGGGAGGATATCGACTTTAACGCGATGGATATTCATGGTAATACGCCACTAATTTGGGCGGCACGATTGGGGCGCGAAAATATAGTAAAGCTGCTCCTAGAGCATGATGATGTTAAAGCCAACGTCAACTTAGCGGACCCACATGATCAAACGCCGCTATCGAGGGCGGCACAACTAGGGCATGAAGCTATTGTGAGGCTGCTCCTTGAGAATGAGGATGTTGTAGCTGAAGTCGACGTGGGGAACTTTCACGGCCGGACGCCACTGTCGTGTGCGGCAGAAGGAGGGAACGAAGCAACCGTGAAACTACTTGTAGAGCGGGCGGACGTCAATGCTGATTCCAAGGACAATAGTAATCGTACGCCATTCTGGTGGGCTGCACGAGCACGGAATGAAGAAACTATGAAGGTGCTTATAGACCGGGAAGATGTCGCAGCTGACTCGAAAGACTTGAATGGTCAGACGCCCTTGTTGTATGCAGCGCGGCTCAGAAACATATCTGTTATGAAGCTGCTTCTAGGACGACACGACGTCAACATTAACTCCAAGGATATAAACGGCTACACAGCGCTCTCGTGGGCAACAGTGGAAGGATATGAAGAGATTGTGAAGCTACTCTTAGAGCGAAAGGATGTTGAAGCCAACACAAAAGATTCTGAGGGTCAGACACCGCTAATGTGGGCGGCAGAGCTGGGATACGAGACAATTGTGAAATTACTCTTAGAGCGGGAGGACGTTAACCCTGAGACGAAGAACAACCTAGGCCAGACGGCGCTGTGGTGGGCGACGAAGACAAAGCGCAGGGTGATCGTGGAACTACTTATCGGGCAGAAAGCAGCCTTAACGAATGATTACTACCCAAAGGACGAGGACAGCTAGGCGCAGCTCTCGGCCGCAATGCAACGGAAGAATAGGTCAGTTAGATTCAACGTAACGGATGTACAAGGTCTGACAGCTCTCTCGTCGGCAGCACGGGAAGGGCATGGAGCGATTGTGAAACTACTCTTAGAACGTAACGGTGTTGAAGTCGAAATGAAAGACGTATTTGGCCAGACACCCCTCCTGTGGGCAGCACGGGTAGGGCATGGAGCGATTGTGAAACTACTCTTGGAACGAAGGGGTGTTGAAGCCGACATGAAAGACGGATATGGTCAGACACCCCTCTTGTGGGCAGCACGGCTAGGGCATGTAGCGACTGTGAAACTACTCTTGGGACGAAAGGGTGTTGAAGCCGACATGAAAGACAAGTATGGCCTGACACCCCTGTCGTGGGCAGCACAGGGAGGGCATGTAGTGATTGCAAAACTACTCTTAGAACGAAAGAGTGTTAAAGCCGAAATCAAGGACGAAGGGGGCCAAACACCGCTTTCGTGGGCAGCGCGAGGTGGGGGAATACTCTCGGGGTCGTTAGGGAGAAACGAATCAGTTGTCGAGCTACTCGTCAAACGACACGACATCGATGTTAACTCAAAGGACAATGACGGCCATACGCCGCTCTTGTGGGCAGCACGGGCAGGGCACGAGAAAATTACGGCACTACTCTTAGAACACGAGGATGTTAACATTAACGTAAAGGAGAAGGTAGGGGGTCAGTCATCACTTTCGTGGGCAGCACTGAAAGGGTATGAAGCAGTTGTGGGACTACTCTTGCAGCGAGAGGATATTGAAGCTGACGCAAAGGATGTTCACGGCCAGACGCCGCTGATGTGGGCGGCAGTCGGAGGATACAAAACGATTGTGGGTATGCTTTTGGATCGGAAGGATGTTGACCCTGCGGCGAAGAGCGACTCCGGCGCAACAGCACTGGGGATGGCGGAGGGGAAGGGACACGAGGCGATCGTGGAGTTACTGGAGTTGAAGCTGGAGCACTCCCGGGCCGGAAGGGGTGTGGATGATTCGAGTGGGAAGGGGGATGAGAGTCAGGTTTAAGGACTCTGGGTTGGATCGTGATTGCCTTCACAGACGACAGTTGGTCTATAATTCGGACTGCCAACATCCACCTCGTGCAATACGTACGAGCAGCCGAAATCACATCGGCCGCCGTCATCACTAGCGCCACCATCCCTTACGCTCACGCGCCAACAGATGCGTAATCTGGCATGATGAACTCTGAAGTAATCCCCGGAGAACTTAGACAGATGCCAACATCTGTCAAAGTGCGGGGCAGCGACGGGAGTGCCGTGGGATAGATGCGCGTGCGATGGACGCGAAGGATGATAATACTGAGTACCGAGTACCGAGATATGCAGCGTGTTGTAGAACACGGGAAAGTCACCGGTACCGGCTGGATATGCAGACATGCAGACTACAGACCCCTGCCGGCTGAATGCCTTCTTGGTCTTGGTGGTGGCTTGCAGAACTTTTCCAGCAACCATCACAGAACGAGCCACAAGCCTGCTCCACGTAGCCAAGATAGACGCTAAGCGGCCGGTTTATCCCCGCGTCTTCCATATAGTGATGTTTTTGAGAATATGGCCTGTTGATATAGTAATATGCCTATAAATAAATAGAATAAACAAACAATATACCCCTTCCCCGCGCGTTTATTCGAGTCAGTCCCTCATCTCTTATGTACCTGGATTATTAGGTGACAACGTACCACTGTAACAACCAACAACCAACCAAAAACCCGTAAGCGCGCTTCCCAACCTTATTTTAGTTTAGTTAGTCTAGCGAAGCGTTAGCCGCAACTTTCGGTCCGCCTCGCTCGCTCCTTGCAAACACGCCATGCGAACGCCGCCCTTCGCCACAAACCCCCCCAAACTAAAACCCACCTCCTCCTAGCCGCGACAACAACCTCAATACTAACCTCAACCCCCATCGACAACAGTCTCATTTAATCTTCACGATACCCGCGATCACTGCGCATGTCTCACCTCCATCGCACCTCGTACCCTGCCTAAACTCGCCACACCCCAACCCCCCGACACGAACCCCCCCGCGACAACCCGAAGCCCAACGAACCTTCCTGGCACAGTCCCGCGGATCGCCGAGGCATCACCGTGGCGTCGTTAACGCTGCTCTCGTCCGATCAGCTCTCTCTTCAGCAACACCTCGATCTCTCCTCCAGCATCCTGAGCTACCTGCCCGACACCGCAGAGGGCGAACCACAACCTCTGATCATGGCACAAGCGGTGCCTAATCCGCCGAGTGGGAGGAAGAGGGTCAAGGTCTACGAGTTGCGCAACAATGACTGGTTTGACCGCGGCACGGGCTTCGCGATCGCGTCGGTGAGTTGATTCTACCCTCCCCGGCGACACGTGCGCGTCGCTGCCCGCTTGTTTGGTGGTGGCGTGCGCCGCGCGTTTGCGATTTTCGCGCATTTACTGACCTGGTTTGCGCCGCGTGTAGAGCACATGGGACCATGCCGATGGCGAGCCGCGTATAATTGTTGAGGCTGAGGAAGGGCCGGAGAGGCTGCTTCTCGAGACGCAGATCTCGCGGCAGGGCGGGTTCGCGAAACAGCAGGAGACGCTGATAATATGGACGGAGCCGGTGAATGGGGTTGATATGGCGCTGAGTTTCCAGGAGTCGGATGGGTGCACGGCGATCTGGAAGTTCATCAATATGGTGCAGCAGCAGATGGTGGTCAATGGCGGGCCGGACGACGCGTTATCTGAGGACATGGCGCCCGAGGCCGCGCCGGTGAACCTGCCCGTGCCAAACATCAACAACTTGAAGGAGGTTGAATTGGAGATGCGCCATCTGAATAACACCCAGGCGGGACGCGATGCACTGGCAAAGTTTGTCATCCACGATGAATACATCCCAAAGCTCGTGCCACTGGTCGAGGAGGCTGAGGCAGCACAGCGCCTCCCTGAACTGCATCGCCTGTGCAACATTGTGAAGATGCTGATCCTTCTCAACGACAACGATATCATCGAGTATGCCATGACGGACGAGGTCTTTTTGGGAGTGATGGGGGCTTTGGAATACGATCCTGACTTCCCGAGTCACAAGGCGAACCATAGACAGTGGTTGGGCGATGAATCGCGATACAAGGAGGTTGTTCGCATCGACGATGACCAGGTCCGGAGGAAGATTCACCACACATATCGACTACAATATCTAAAAGATGTGGCTCTAGCTAGGGTTTTGGACGACCCGACGTTTTCCATACTTAACTCATTGATCTTCTACTATCAGGTCGACATAATCCAACACATCCAGGGAAACCCCCAATTCCTCAACGATCTATTCGCCATTTTCGGGCCGGAGGAGAAGGACGAGAAGCGCAAGAAGGATGCGGTCCTGTTCATCCAGCAGTGCTGCGCGATCGCGAAGAACTTCCAGCCTCCTGCACGGAACTCATTATATAATAACTTCCTGAGCCACGGCCTGCTTGCAGTCATCAACTACGCCCTGGCCCATAGCGACGTGGCAGTCCGTGTCGGCGCAACAGATGTGCTGGTCTCGGTGATCGATCACGACCCGCAGATGATAAGGCAGACGATCTTTCGACAGATCAGCGAGAAGCAGAGGCCTCTGACGGACTCTCTCATCGATCTGCTCTTGGTGGAGGTTGATTTAGGCGTCAAGGCGCAGATCGCCGACGCGATCAAGGTTCTCCTCGATCCCGGGTCGCAGCAGGGGCCGCAGGAGGGTATGGGTAAGCTCGGCATGGAGTTTGGCGGGAGGGGTCGGCCACAGGTCGACCCGCAACAGGAGGGGTTCCTGGTGAAGTTCTACGAGGAGTCGGCGAAGAGGCTGTTCAGCCCTCTGGTGGAGTTAAAGGATAAGGAGAACCTGGCATTCAATGTGCAGCAGGTGTCTTTATTCGAGCATCTGATTGAGATTCTCTGGTTCTTCATCCGCCAACATCAGCACCGCAGCAAGTACTTCGTCCTCGCAGAAAGCCTGGGTCAGCGCATTGCTCAACTCCTGAGCTGCCCAGAGAAGCATTTGAAGCTTAGTAAGTTCTACTCTTCTCATTCGTTATAAATACATAACTAACCACACCCCCAGCCGCGCTGAAGTTCTTCCGCAACCTCCTCGGCCTAAACGACGAGTTCTACAACCAGCAAATGATCCAAGAACACCTCCTCGAGCCAATCCTCAACACCCTCCTCGACACGATGCCGCGCAACAACCTCCTCAACTCGGCCTGCCTCGACTTCTTCGAGTACATCCGCAACCACGGCGTCCCCATCATGGTCAGCCACCTCGTCGAGCGCTACCGCGACAAGATCCAGGATATCACCTACGTCGACACCTTCACGGCGCTCATCTCGCGCTTCGATCACGCCTCCCAGGGGTACGCGAGTAACATGGACGCCTCCTTCCTCGATACCGAGGATGAAGGACCCGGACGCTCGCAGCCAGGTGGCGGTCGTCGCTGGCAGGGCGTGCGCGACCTCGACGCCGCGGAGGAGCAGTACTTTAACACCTCGGACGACGAGGACGAGCTCGCGGGCGCGAAGTCCCCACCCGGCGCATCGGTCAATGGCGCGTCGCCCCTCGCGAAACCGCTCGTCGACTATGCGTCGGACGAGGAACCGGATATGACTGATGCGGAACTAGCTGGGGTCCTACCCTCGCGCGAAGCTGGGTCGCCGCCGCCCGCCGCGGAGAAGGAAGGAGAGCGCAAATCGGCGTCGCCGCCGCCGCCGGAGCGGGTGTCTGAGAAGAGACGGAGGGAGGAGGATGAGGAGGATGAGTTGACGAAGTTGGCGAGTCAGCAGAGTAAGAGGCGGAATTCGTCGAGTTCGGTTGTTAGTGTTGGGTCGAATGGGTCGGCGCCGATGTTGAGGAGGAAGAAGAGCTTTAATAGCTCGCGTGATGGTGGTGGGGGCGGAGGCGGCGGAGGAGGAGGAGGGGGAGGTGGGGGGAAGAAAATCTCGATTAGTCTCGCGCCGGCGATTAAGAGTGGTGGGGAGGGAGGGGCCGGGGCGGATGATGGGAGTTGATGGTGATGGTTGATGTTTGTTGTTGAAAAACTACGATGATGCAAATGGGGCTTTCTTCTGCTTGGGGGGAGATGAGAGAATTTCGATACCCAAATACCAAAACACGGAATATTACTTTAACGAACGATGTTGGGGGGGAAGCAAAGCAAAGCAATGAGCATGGCCGGGAATAGGGATGGATGGTATGAGGCGCTTTTTGTATCATAGAATATGGCTGCGAGGGTGCGTGCAGTGCTGGAGCTATCTTTGTGGATTTGGGAGGTGGGGGGGCGTTGTTGTGGGTTTTTTTACGAGGGGGTTATGGTGGTAGGGCTATGATGCTTGGGGGGGGGGGGTTGGGGGAGGAGATGATATTTGCGTTCTAGGGGAGGCGGGATGTGATGGGATAGTATATTGATGGCTAGTGGGATGAGAGCCGAAGATGGGGGGGGTGTGGTGTAGTAGTATCGTAGCTACTAGATAGGTGGAATTTGAGGATAATGAATGCATGATGGGTGTTTTCTTTGTGAGGTGATGGTGGATGGTGAATGGTGGGAGTGAATTCGTTATTCACCCACCATAGGCCTGTGTGAATGGTGAATGGTGGATGGTGAATGGTGAATGATAATACGACCTGTAATACTGCAACATCGATGATATATTAATCTAATGGTTGATGGGATATGCAATCTAGAATCCGTCGATTCTCAATCGACAGCCTCATTTGTGAGACATCTCCTCATTGCGGAGTGAGACAGCGCACTGGTAGTGGACGGGACGGGACGGACGCTGACGGAGGGGAAGGGAAGGGAGCACGCGCTTGGTACGACGGCGACGAGGCTGGGGATTGTCGCCATCGCCACAAGAAGTCACTCCTTCTATTCTCATCCATCGCCACCAATAATGCACGACGATGAATAAGAAAAGAAATATACTAGACATATAGAAATACAGAATATCCTCCTGTTTCTCTCGCCTCAGGCGCTTAAAAACAAACAATCTTTATCCTCATCAATCAACCTTATCCCCCCCAGCGCTTCCAATTCCATTATCCGCTATCCACCCATCCATCATCCATCATCCCTCCACTATCTCACTCTGTACCCGCCGTCCGCCCCATCACACACCCGCCCTGTCCGTCCCCCCATCACAGCGCTAACGCCACCCCAAACATCCCCGCAACAACGAATCAACGTCCCCAAGGCTGCAACGCTCCTTCACACCATCCCACCGCTCAGCAGCCCTCGAAATCCCTTCAAGCAAACCCTACGATCACACCGATACTTCCCATAAAGACCGTCGCATCTAACGGCCACCTCTCTCACCCATCATCCAAAGCGAACACAACACCCCGAATCGAATCCCCCGACACTCACTCACACACACACCTGGCTGGCTGGCTGTGTCAGAAGGAAGGAGCACCAGCCGAACGAACGAATCGAACTCGCAACGCCCCCGCGCAACCCCAAACCACGCACCCGCATGCGCCGTCGCACACACCTGAGATCCAGCCACACCAATCGCTTGCGGGGCTGACACTCTCGGGGCGTCGCACCACGCACTCCACCACTCATCTGCTCGCGCGGAGCCCAACGATGGGTGCGCTGCCCGAGAGGTGAGGCGATCACGATTGGGCTAGGCTAGGCTGGCAGCTACGGCAGGCTGAGGCTGGTTGGCGACGACGACGACGATGATGAAGATGATGATGGCGAATGCTGGTGGTGGGGAGGAGGGGGTGAGGCGACGAAGGGGGGATATAGGGGGGGAGGGGGAAGGAGAGGGAGGGGGGGTGAGGGTAAGGAAGATGAAAGTCATGTCTGGTGTTGATGTGGTGGAGAAGAAGAAGATAAATTCGAATCCGAATAGGAGGAGGGTGAGGGGGGAGGAGGAGGAGAGGAGGAGGAGGAGGGAGGGGAGGGAGAGGGAAGGGAGGAATATATACGTTTATGCGCCGCAGGCTAGGGAAAAGCACCGGTCGCCGAGGAGGGAGGAGGTGAGGGGGGAGCCGTGTAGTGGGGAGGAGGAGTTGTCGGCGGTAGAGGAGGAGAGGGATGGGGAGAGGAGGGATGGGAGTGAGGGGAGGGAGAGGCGCTCGTCGGGACATCGGAGGCGCAGGCGTCCGGTGGAAGAAGATGGGACGGCGCGGCATAGGTCGTCGGCGTCGTTGAGTCGGAGTAAGACGTCTAGCCACCGTAAGGATTCGAGTCAGCCGTTGAACTTTCTGCGAAGGTAAGCATCAAGCGTCACAGTACTGTTTGATAACAGCTTGTGAGCATTGGCTAATCATCGCAATAGGAGCTTCTCCTCCGCCAGCGCGCGTCCCGACACTCGACCCGTCATCAAGAGAGCGCATACTACGAGTAATACCCATCTCCCGAAGAAGACGTACGAGTCCACCGGGCCCCCACAAACCCCTAAACGATCTATATTCCTCGACATGTTCACACCAGGCATCAAAGAAGAAGAGCCCGTGAAACTGTACGCCCCCCTCCCCTCAACCCCTCAACCCTCTCCCTCCCCCACCCTAACTCCACCTAACACCCCCACCCAGCGTCGAATGCCTCACCTGCCTCTCGGACGACATCCCGCGCCGCAAATCCGCCAAACTCAAATGCGGCCACCGCATGTGCCACTCCTGCCTGCGCCGAATCTTCAAACTCTCCGTCACAGACCCCCAACACATGCCACCCAAATGCTGTACCGCCGACTGCATCCCCCTAAAACACGTCGACAAGCTCTTCGACATCCCGTTCAAGAAGTTGTGGAACCGGAAGTTCCAGGAGTATACTACTAAGAACCGGATTTACTGCCCGTCGCGGCGGTGCGGGGAGTGGATAAAGCCGGGGAATTATCATGATGATGGGAAGGGGGGGAGGTATGGGAAGTGTGGGAGGTGTAAGACGAGGGTTTGTGTGAAGTGTAGTGGGAAGTGGCATGGGAGGAGGGAGTGTGCGGGGGATGAGGAGACGAATCGGTTGTTGGAGGCGGCGAAGGAGGCGGGGTGGCAGAGGTGTTATAGTTGTCGGACGATGGTGGAGTTGAAGGAGGGGTGTAACCATATGACTTGGTACTTTCTCCCCATATTTCCTCTCTCCCCTCTTTTTTTCTCATCTACCCCCTCCCTCCACTCTCTTTAACCCACCCCCATCCCCACCCCCCGTTGTCCCCCCACTAACACCCCCCCAGCCGCTGCACAGCAGAATTCTGCATGCTCTGCGGTCTCAAATGGAAAACCTGCGCCTGTCCCTGGTTCAACTACGACAACATCGCCGACAACGACCGGCTTGGGCACATGCGCATCCCTATGCCCCACCCACCTCCCCAACCACCCGGCGCCTTCCCCGACCCCGGCGTCATCCACATCCCATTCCCACCCCCTCCTCAACCCCGCCCACCGCGCCTCCGTCGCCAGAATCAGGACGATTTAGTCAGGGGAATGAGGGGGTTGGATATCGACCCCGCCGCACCACCTGCACCACCCCCACCCGCGCCGCCGGTGGCGGACTGGAACTTTGGCTTCGGAGTCGGCAACGCAGCAGGCCACCACATGAATGAAACCTATCGCCGACCCGTCCCCCTACCGCACCAGGATGTTTACGTTGCCCGCGGAGACGCGTATTCGCCGCCTGCACCAGCACCGGCACCATCGCCACCAACACCCGCAGCGCAGTTAGCAGCGCATGCAGCGGTGTCCTCGCAAGCTGCTACGCTGGCGAGGGAGAGGGAGATGAGGCAGGAAAGTCGGAGGAGGAAGAGGGAGGTTGTGGAGGAGAGGGCGAGGAGGGAGGAAGCTGAACGGGTGGCGAGGGAGGAGAGGAGGAGGAGGAGGAGGGAGAGGGAGGCTGCTGCTGCTGCTGCGGTGGCGGCGGAGGCGGAGGTTAGGAGAGAGGCGAGGGAGAAGGAGGGGGTGAGGAGTAGTGTTATGGCTGGTCTGGGGGGACGGGGGAGGGGAAGCGGGAGGGTGGGGGCGTGGAGGACGCATGTGGGATTGGGGGTGGAGCCGGAGGAGGGGGTTATTAGCGTTGTTTAGGGGTGTAGGATTTTTTGGGGATACGTTTTGGATAGGTAGGTGGGATTTGTTTTTGGAAGATGGTAGGGGGGAAGGAGGATGGCGATTTGGTAAGGATTTATTTATTGGCCATTGTGTCTTTTTGAGGGGAGGATTTAGCGGGATTGAAGCGGATTGGATTGGATGCTGTGTAAGTTAGGGGGATTATGAATTATGATGATTGTATTCGTTCATCTGTCTGTCTAGCTTAGCTAGTCGAAGCTGTTAGGGACAAACCCTCGTTGTGGCCACCATCTTCTTTAAAGAGAACTATGGCGAATACAAAATGGCCGAAGTCGTCGAATTCGGGCTTTGTATTCTTAACCACCAACTCAGGGCGGGTATTGTCTGTCCCTCCAACTCCCTTCGCACTTCCCACTGACAACAGGTAGTGTACGAGAGGTGAGAATTAGTTCTCACCTCCGCTCGTTCTTACCACCGCCTCCAACCGCCACTATAGTGTTATCACCGCCTCCCACCGCCACCGCGGTGTTGTCACCGCCACATCTCCCCCCATAGCTAACACCCAAACTGAGCTGTAGAGTGAGTGAACATGATACAAAACGATGGGGCTAGCTCCACTGTCTTGTAACGACTAGTCTCTATCTCGATAGCATTTTCTGGTTTGATTGAGCCCTGGAGTTTTGGTTGAGAGTCTTTGCTGTATTTAATCACTTTCGATTGATGACTCGTATTCTTGTATGTCTCTTCTGTCATTATCGCTTTGGATAGAAACCACATAGACATAGAACGAATAGCTGCAGGTTTGACATTCCGATTAAAGTATTGTATTAACAAAGCAACGTATCAATATATACCACGCTCACTCTATAATACCCTATCCTATTCCTACACCCCCAGCTCAATACAACCATCCACAAGTCGCCTCCAGGAATTCAAACCCCCAGCCCAGCACCAGCTCCACCTCCCCCACCAATATTCCTACTAACACTGGCCCTCGCAACCTCCTCCACAATCCCAACATGCGTATCACTCTCCGCCACCGGCTGTACACCAAGATTCAACATATTCAAACCCTTCGACACGCCCTCAACCTCCCCATCCTCGTCCTCCTCATCCTCTTCAGGAGAAGGGACAGTATACTCCCTACTCTCCTTATGCTTATGCCCCATCCCCCCCTTCCCCCCTCCCCCGCCCACCTTCCCCCCACCCTTCCCCGCCCTTCCCGCCACCGCCCCCCTCCCCACAATCTTCTCCGTCCAATTCCACCCCGGCCCCTCCTCCACCCTCTTCTTCTCCTTCACTCCCCCATCCTCCCCATCGCTATCCCCCTCACTATCCATGAAATCGTGCTCACTCCACACCTCCGAGTCCGCGCGCTCCAGCACCGGTTTGCGGGTCCGCTGCGCGGTATGCGTGTGCGTGCTCACCGCATCGCTGAGGCTGGAGAGGTGATCTACGCTCTCTCTATCTTCTTCCTCGCGTTCCCGCCTCTGTGCAGGGTTGAGGAATTGATGCAGCGCCGGCTCCTCCTCTTCATCCCGTCCATTGCCCCCCGGCGACCCCCCCGTCGCACGATCCTCATTCCCCTCCTCATCATCAGGAGTAAGCGCTGCGCCGCCACCAGCAAAATGCGTATCAACCAGGTGCTGTACGACTGGCCATCCGTAGGCGTTTGCGAATTTGCGCCGCACGATGATGTTGTTATGTGCATCTGGCTCTAGGCGCACGAGGACTTTCCGCCACGCGAGGTCGCGGTGGTAAGCGCGCGCGATTTTCTCCTCGACTTTCATGGCTGAAGAGTCTATTTCCGCGAGGGGGGGTAAGGAGGAGTCGGAGGCGGTGGTGGCGAAGCTGTTGGTGCTGTGGTTTGATGCTGGGGGCGTCTTGGAGAGTTTGTTGGAGGTGGTGGTGGGGGGTTTGAGAGGGGGTGGGGGGATGTCGGAGGGGTGGTAGACGCGGTCGTGGAAGATGGTTAAGGGGCGCGTGGAGGGGTCGATGAGGAAGGAGAGTGGGGGGAGGGGGGGGGCGAGGATGTCGCCTGCGGCTTCGAAGAAGCTTGTTCGTGGCGGGGCGGCGGAGCCCTGAGGGTCCTCGGGAAGGGCGGAGCTGATGCCGGCGGTGTGGTTGGTGCTTGAGTCGGAGTCGGTTTTGCTGTCTGATTTGCGGGTGGGATCGTCAAATTTGACGGTCTGGCTGCGTTTGTAGATTTTGGATTGCCGCGGGGGGTCGGGGGATTTGGCGCGGGGGTTGAAGAAATCGAGGAAGCTGTCGATGGGGCCTTTAGTGGATGCTGTGCCAGTGATGGTTGGCGATTGCGGCGGCGGGTGCAGTTCGTTCTCCTTCGCGTTGCTCGACGAGCGCGGTTGGCTCGTTGATCGTCGAGTGATTTTCATGCTCTTCAGACTGCGTACATCGTCCTCGGTCGCATCGGGCGGAGGCTGCGGGACATCGCCACCTCTTCCCTGCCGTGTAGGTGTATTACTCCCATTCGCCTCAGCCTGAGCCTGCGCAGCTTCCGTCTCTTTTGCTTCCTCCATCCATTCCTGTCTCGCAGCCGCCGTGGCATTCTGTCCCGTCAACTCCGCCCATCCCCACCCCGCCATCGTTCCCACAAGTCCGTTCTCCCTCCTCGCCTTCTCCACTCTCCCCAATCCCTGCCAATCCAAGAAGAGCAAACAGCTCGTTCGCAGCGGCACGATCCCATCATTCACAACATTCGAATACACCGTCCGGTTGCGGAACTTCTTGAGCGCCACATGTGCCGGCCCCGTCGGCAGGATCCGCAAGAGCGGCTTCGAGCGCGGGTCCCGCGGGTGCTCGATTGCCTTCTTGCCGTTCTCCCCGATGCCGCTGACGAGCGCTCCCCAGCCGCTGCGTGCGAGCGTCGGCGCGCGCCATGTCAGACCGAGGTCCTGGCCTGTGCGGCCGACGAGGCCGAAGTCGAGGGCGAACTTGACGTAGAGCGGGTTCTCGTTGCTGAGGCCTAGGAAGGGCGAGGCGAGGCAGATGAAGTTGACGGCCTGGATCTTGTCGAAGAAGTCGGGGGAGTGCTTCTGGATGTACGCTACGGCGTAAGTCTGGATCAGGCCACCCAGCGAGTGCGCGATGAAGCTGATACTGGTGATTTTGTATGCGAGTTTCTTTCCGGTGGGCGTATCTTTCCGGATGCTGCTGTGGGGGTGTACCGCCTCGCCGAGCTCGACCTCTTTGGATTTGTCGTGTGTGACTGCCGCTTTCAAACTTTCGCCAGCGCTTATACTGACGGAATGGAACGGCTGGTCTGGGTATGTCATCGCTAAGACGTATTTCGCCAATCGCTTGCCTAGATATTTAATCCCCTTCTCGGTGCGAACCGCATTTCCGGAGAAGCCGCGGACTATAACGTCCTCCTCGTCGTCAGTATCCTCGTCGTCCGCATGTTTTTGCTCCGAAGTCCCGTCGCCGTTTGTACTGCTGCTTTGCGCAGAAGCTGCTTCTGCCCTCTCCTTCCGGCGTTTGTCCCGCCGTAGTTTGGCTTCCTCCTTCGCCTTCTTCGCTCCAGCATCTATGCTTTCCTTCATGTACAGCATATCCGCGCCCAGATTACTATGCAGTCCATGCGTCAACACCACCAAATGTATCTTCTTCTGCTTCCTATCATCCGTCTTCCCCTCCCCATTCGCCCTCTCCCCCTCCACCTTCTTCCCCTCCTCCACCTTCCCCACCCTCCTCACCCCCTCCCCACCACTCCCATCCCCCCCCTCCTCCCCCTCCCACTCCGGCAACCTAGGCGTATTCCACAACCCCGCCGTATCCTCGACCCTAACCGTCACCGCCTCCGAAAAAACCCCCTGCCTCGCCGCCCCCTTCCCCGCCCCCATCTCCCCCCCCACACTCCCTTCATCCCTCCCAACAAGCACCTCAAACCTCACCCCCGCACTCGCCGAAAAAATAACCTGACTAGCCACCTCAACCACCCAACTCGTCTCCTCCTCACCACCCCTAACCTTCAGCCTCGCGCTCCACGCCGCACCGGCTTTGAGATTCGGCTCGAACTCCGGGACGCCGTCGAGCCTCGCGCTCGCGCCGCTGGCGACATCGACGCGGTGCGTGGAGGGGGCGGCGGAGACGTAGAGCGCGTAGGGCCCGTGCATGAACGCCGCGCGGAGGGCGATGGCGGAGGTGTTCTTGATGCGTAGGTGCAGGTGCGTGGGGTGCGGGAGGATGCGGTCGCGGCTGGGGGTGTAGGTGATGGTGTAGCGGACGACCTCGCCGACTTTGAGGGTGCCGGATTGCTGGAGGAGGAGCATCGTGAGGGTTTGCGTGGGTCGGTTATGCGGGTTTGGGAGGTGTTCGCATTGTTGTCGGGAGCTTGGTAGAGGGGTCTCTGTCTGTCTGGAGCGTTCGGATGGTGGGTTTAGGGGATATTTCGAATGGAGCGTTGGTCGCTTTGTGGGGATTTATACCAAAAACCGACTTTGAGGTTCTGAAGCTTCTCGAGGATCTTGAAGCTCTGGAAGTTTGGAAGATCGTGTGTCGTCGTCGTCCAGCCTTTCGCATCCAAATGCGGAGCAAGTGCTCACCTCTTTAAATTGTCCATAACCAGACATGTGGGGGCCGGGCGGCCGACGGCGATGACGAGCATGTGGCGTAAATGGGGGATCAAGTGTGGCTGGTGTCGACACCCGAGGGCTTCGGCGATTTCTTGTGAAAGCCTGTCATACCCGCGGCAATGTGAGGGGTTTGCGCGACTGTGACAAGACAAGACTTTTATAATTATAGTAGATGAATGATTATAGTGGAAGGAGGTGGTTTATAGAAATGAATAGTCACTGGAAATGGAAAAGGTTTTTGGTATTTCGGCTCCAACGGTGGTGCAGAAGTGAAACAATGTCTCACGGGAACAACCAAATATGAGAATGGAAGAAGCACATTACTATTCTAGCTTCATATCATTTTCTTCAGGATACACAGATAGTGAAATAGAAAGCTCTCTATTGTTTCAGCTTCATCTATAAACAGCAAGGTTGTCATTTTCTAAATAGCACAAAACACCCCATCATACACCATGCCATAATAAACACCAGTGAGTGAACCCCAGCTCCGTCCACATATCCAAACATACAGTACATCCCATAATATACAATCCCCACCATCCCCCCCCCCAGCCTCTCAATACCCCCCCCTAAAAATTCATCTTCGCCGCCAACTCCGCCACCCCCGGCTCAGCAGCCTCCCACAGCGCCGCAGCCGCAACCCCCCCCCCCTCCACCTCCTTCTCGGCCTTCGCACGCGCGCGCTTCTGCGCCCCCTGCGCCCCCAGCACAATCGCCCCAATAGTCCCCTGCTGGAACAAAAACCCCACGAACAAGCCCACAGCTACCACCACGCTCCCAGTCGTAACCCACATCTCCCTCCTCCTAATCATCGCCCTATACGCCACAATCTCTTGCTCACCCTGCGACGAGAACTCCTCCTCCTTCTTCTCCTCCTCCCTCGCTACCCCTCCCATCCCCAGCGCGCCCCAAACCCACCCCGTAACAGCGCGTCCTATAACACCCACCCCCGCCTCCCCCTCTCCCCACGGCAGCTCCTCAAACGCCACACCCTCCACCTCAGCAACCCACTCCTTAAGCCCTTTTACGGACTTAACCTTCTCCGCCAACCACGGCCTCGGCAGCCCGTCAACAAGCATAACAGCCAAGTACCCCAGGGCGAGACAATCCACCTCCGTCGCGCGCCCGCCTACAAACCACCTCCCCTCCCCCCTCATCTCCGCAAGTGGCTCCAGAAACTCATCAGCCAGCGCAGATAACCTTATCGTCGCCGCGCCTTCCGCAGCCAAACTAGCCGCCGCCGCGTTGGGGTTACCCTTTCGCAGGCTGACGGGGATGACGTCCTCGCCCTGGACCTGGGTGGAGGTGGATGCTGCGTCGTGGGCATCGTCGGTGGTGTCGAGTTTGATGCCTAGGTGTGCGGTGCGCGCTAGGGCTGCTTCGCGGAGACGGCGGGGCTCGAGCCAGGAGAGGGGGAAGGGGAGGGTGGAGGCGAGGGAGGAGCGGGTGAGGGTGTTGTAGTTTTGGGGGTCGGCGAAGAGGGAGAGGTCGAGGAGGGCGCGGCCTTTGGTGCGGATGAAGTTTGAGAATCTGTGGGGGGTTGTTAGCTGTATCCTTCAGGTAGATGGAGTAGATTAGTGAATGCTAGAAAGACTCACGCAATAACATCCCCCCTCTCCCCCTCCCCCTCCCCCCTCAGCTTCCCCTTCCCATTCCCCTCCCCCCCATCTTTACCCCCCAGCGCCCACCCCTCCCCCCCCATCTTCCCAACAAAATCAACCACATTCCCCCACCCCCCCACCCATACCTCCCCCCACCTCAGCGCCGGCAGCACACCCGTCGGGTTCGCGCCGGGGAGAGAGGGGATGAGGACCCATTCGCCGCGCGGGATGGCGAGGGAGAAGTAGGCGGTTAGGGCGAGGGATTCGGGGTCGAGGGTGGGGAGGGAGGGGGAGGGGAAGGAGGTTAGGGGGGGTGGGGGGACATGGAGTTCGAGGATGGGCATTTTTGAGGTGCGTGGGGGGTGTGAGGTGTGAGGTGTGAGGTGTGGTGTTGGGCGGGTTGGTGGTGAGGCGCGTGTTGTTCGCGGTGCGGTGGTGCGGGATATATGCTCAAATAGACCGAAACAAAATCGCGCTGTAAACCCCCTTCTTCCTATATCCGTCGTAAAATACAATTCCGTCCCGCGTTGCTGTCCAATCCGTAATATCGCGTCTTTGGGTGAGCTTTCGGCTTCAAAAAATTACCCTTGGTGGATAGCTTGCTACACATGTCGGGTAATTATATCCCCGCGCTCCGATATTTATCCGCCAAGACAGCCAAAGTGATACTTACTCCTCCTCCATCTCACACTTCAAAAACGGACATACCAAACCCTTCACAAGTCCCAAACCCATAGTTCTCGTCTTAAACCCCTAGCCTAGTTTTCTATTCCATATAAATCAGTCATTTCACAAACCTTACGTACCAGAATCCCCATACCGCCCCCCTCCCACGCCTCACACCGCCGATCAACGCTGCAGTGCATCATGCCCGCCGCCGGCACACCGCACCGCACCGCATAATCACACCAACACGCACCTCACCGCGATCACCCACGCATGACACGTCCTAGCGGCGCGCTTTTACCTCACCGCTGGGGTTTAAGCATAACATAACACATTTACCCCCGCGGCCCCCGTGCACCTGTCACTCACGAGGTAACGTGGTATTCAGTCTAGCACTCCAAGGGTAGTCACGGGGTATGGTAAGTACCGTATAGGACAGTACAGTATAGTCGCCGTTGTTGACCCCGCGCATAGAACCCTGTGCATGGAGGAGGGGGATGCGGGTGTTGCCATATTGGGGGGAGGAAGGGCTTAAGAGTTTGTTGGATATAGTGGCGTGCATGAGGAGCTGAGGGGTGGTGGTATAGGGCGGATCGGTCTCGACTCTCAGGTCGTCGGGTCGAGAGGGGGAGGGAGAGGGGGAGGGAGAGGGGGAGGGAGAGGGGAAGGAAGGGGGGAAGGAAGGTAATACGGACATCGCAGGAGGTGTGTCTATATTACACCCTCTAGGATGGCCAGGTATGTATGCATCCTGACATCTTGAACTCGTGTCCGCCTCGCTCGCTCGCCATGCCATGGGTTATCCGCGGGATAACTGATGGTGAAAGTAGAATAGAGTAGGTAATATATATGTACGTACGTACGGCGAATGCATGTATGCATGATGTACAGTACAGCCGTCCGTACGTGCAGTAGCCCCGTCCATCATCGAGTCTAGAGTGGAGAAAGGACAGACATACAGACAGACATGGCAAGGTGAGAATGGAAATATAGTACCTTTCATGATCACGCAAACATAATCCAACAAGCCAGATAAGCAATATGGACAAGACAGATATACGAGTAAAAAGCATCTCCGAGCGAGATATATTATATTAAAAGCCCCCCATTCGTCTAATTATACAGCCCCATCCCATCCCGTGCCCATCCGTCAGGCCCCAAAATTACATATCCTCGGGAACAAAAGATGGGTAGTAATAAACCCAATCCCCCCCACGCCCAGCCCAAGTAAAATCCCCATCCCGTTTCAAAAAAGAGACAATCCGCTCCATCCCGTACGCGCCGACCCCTCATCGTCCCGTTGCGGTAAGGCAAAAAAACCATTAAAAATAATCGATAATAAATCGCGTGTTGTTGATACATATAAATCCCACCCCACTCCACTCATCACCCATTGCCGTCGTAGCCATAGAGAGAAACCCGCCCATATGCGTGATAAACGAAATAAATGAAACGATTAAACACCCATAGGAAATAAGAGAGTCGAAAATAAGATGCCGGTTGCTTGCTTGCTCAATTCAACCCCGCGCACTGCATGCAGAGTGTAGAGGAGTAAAACGCCAAGACCCGCACATCACGAGACGCATCATGTGCGGGCCAACGCCGGCCATGTACAGCGCCGTAGTGCGACAGTACACCGCGCATGTCCCCAGGCCCCGCCCCGCCCCTTGCAGTTCCTGCAGGTGTGTCCGCAAATGATGCGCGCCGCGCCAAGGAGCGGTTTGGGGTTCTGTCGTGTCGTCGTGTTGAGATACTATAGTTTGTATTTGCCGACGACGAGAAAAGAAGGCGGTTCTGTTTTCGGCCGTCTTACCCGTGGTGGTGACGACACGAGTTTGCGGATAGATGGATGATAGATGATAACGGATGGAATAATGCGGGGTAAGCACAATCTAGACTTGCGAAATCGACGAGTCAGAACCCATTCCTTCGTCAGCGAACCGATTGAGTAATCGTCGATAAGTGAGGTAGGGTAGGTGTCTAAGTCCGCCCGAGGTCTGGACTGGGCTGAGCCGAGCCGAGCTGAATGGGCGAGTGGGAGTGAAAAGACTGGTGTAAGGCTACTTTGCTATTATTACACCTCTTGTCCTCGCCATGGCGCAGTTTCGGGGCCGTTTCGCGCCAAGGATGTGTGCATGGTGGGTGATGGGTTGGGTGTGGTGGTGGGCGTGGGTGGTGGAAGGATGATGGATGGGTGCCTGTCCGCCCCTCGCGATGATGGGAACGGTGGTGACGTGGGAGGGCGATCACATGGCCGCATCCATGTCGTATCCCTGCCCTGTCGTCCTTAGTAGTAGGAAGTAGATTTGCCTTGTCGAAGAAGTCCTGCCTCAACGTCTGGCTGCGGCGGTGGTGGTGTTTGTTATGTTGTTGTTGTTTGTTACGGGCGAGTCGAGGATAGTAGTTCTTAAGAAACCGCGTTCGTGTTGCCGTTGCTTCTCCTCTGGTGCCCGCGTCGTTGTTGTGCTGTGCTGTGTTGGTAGTGTTTTGAGAGTCGTGGGGGGACTACTTCGGCAGCGGCGGCAGGGGACGACTCGGTGGGGGACCCGGGCAGGGCGGGAGTTGCGATGGGCGGTGTTGAGCGGGCATTGTTAAGGCGGAAATGGTGGCGGTTGTTGTGGTTTGAGTGTGGGAGTGAGTGAGTGATGGAATGTTTGAACGACTTGGTGTTCAAACGGTAGCTTCCTTTGTTTATGTTCTGTTTCGTGTAGTTCGAAAAAATGTCTGGATGTGAGAAGACTGGCAGGAGCGGTCCTTCTTGTACTCGTTCCAGGTGGTGGTCTCAGTTCTCAGCCTTTCTCTGCCGTCTCCCCTTGTTGCGCGTGGTTGTACCTGGCAGTAGTTGAGGAATGTATCACTTTGTGACGTAACTCTCACTTTTCAGCTAGAGATTATTGATAGGCGCTGTGTGGTTTGTTCTTTGTTGTCGTCTTGTCTTATCCTCTGTCTCTTCTTGTCTTTTAGTGTCTTAGGATGTCTTATGTGTCTCGTCTGGTCTTGTCTGTTTTGTCTGATATGTCGTGTCTGTCTCTTCAAAGCTGATCCAAGACTAGAAGCCGCGAAGGGGGATGCGTCTCAAGATATACTCCCCCTCCTCTCTCTTGTCTCTTGGACTGTATGCTGTACACTCTCTCCTTCCCCCCACCCCCCCGCCCATCCCGCGCTCACCGTCCACGAGCAGAGAAAAAAAACTTCAAACACCCCCGGCGACGGAGATGAGTACTTTGTTCGCTGCAGTAGTGGTATACGAGTACTTTGGTAGTTTTGCGTGCTCTAAACTTGGCAAAGTACTCCATACAGTACGTACTTTTTCTACCTCCTTACTCCTTAATCCTGTACCTTATCCCCGTCCCGATATTACAGGGAATTACAGGGAATTACAGGGAGAGTTGAGGGGCCCATTTCTTAGTACTAGTGTAATATGTTAGTATGTAGTCCACTGCAGGGATTTTCGTAGGGGGGGGGTGTTAAGGAGGTACTATACTATACTATGGCGTCGTCGACGGTACCAGGGTGGAGACAAAGAATAAAGAGCGTGCATGGCGCGGCTTTGGTGTATTTTTGTGTTTTGTGTTTGGTGGCTTGTATGGCATTGTGCGTGAATGCTGTCCGATTACCATCCGGACATGCCGCTTCTCCCATTCTTGCCGTCTATAGTATGTATGTGTATGTAATACGGTATCAAAAGTCAGCATAAGCGCATAGGATACTCGCATCGCATACACGCATACACACGCATACCATACTCTTCTCACACGACAAAATATCATACAATACCCACAACGTCGAATGTATTCCTTCCCCATTGTCAAAAACCCACCACAAAGCACGCGTACCTGGCCCGAACCCCGCCAAACGCAGAGAAAAATGGGCTCAAGAAAAATTGGTGTCTCTGGTACCTGATTTACAGTGGACACCCACTCAAACCCACCAACCCACCCCGCCCGCCGCACAATTACCAAGCCAAGGGATGCGCGGCGGACGCGACTGCGGGCGCTGCTGCAAACGGATGCGGCGGACTGGCGGCGTGATATCGGATGCAGGGGATCCAGGAGAGGAGAGAGAAGGAGGAGAGGGCTTGGGATTCGTGTGTGGTGCTCCTATAGTGGTAGTGTGCAACCACTACTGGCTCAACTTGACTCTAACAGTCCCGTACTACCAAGAGTGCGGTGAGTGAGAGAAGAGTCACACGCGGGGCACGGGGTTGAGCGAGTTTGCGCGTACAACAGAACTAGAACAGAACAGAAACAGGCCAGTGGATTGGATTCGCCTTCTCTGCGTTTGCACTACTGGTTGAGTAAGGAGCTCCTGTGCGTCCGTGGTACATGCATGCACTGTAATCTGTAATCTCACTTCCTAGTCGTTCTGGTATGACAAGAGCCAGCCTTTCTTTGTTGCACGGACGGCGCGCGGTCTTCGCCGATGCCTGTGTTGTGCTGTGCGTTTGATTGTGGTGCTCAGTTCGGTTTGGTTGTGCTGAACTGTGCAATTGCGCGGAGTTCAGGGATGAAATGAAAAATGACATGTCACTGTGCGTGCGCTCCTGCAGCCTTGTGTGGGCGCACGGATATTGCGGTTTTTGTTCCTTTCTCAACAAACGGAAGCCTAGCAACTGCTGTAATGTGGTGTGTAGGTAGGGGTGCGGGGTGAGTGAGTGAGTGGGCGCCGAGATGATTCGAGGTGATTAGATGATTGCTGAGTTGATTACTCCTTCTCCTGCCTCCTGCATCTTGTCGGTGAAGGAAAGGGGTGGGACGGAACGGAGACGAGGAGAATGAGATGGGGTGAAGGCGCGATGGAAGACACGGCATTCACCGTTCCCCTGCGTCTCTCCTTTCCTTCTTTCTTTCCGAATTCATCCCCTATGAAGGTCCCCTATGAATCTCAACTCCCCTTTGAGACTCTCTCCTGTCTGATCTCTGTCCCCATTCCAGCAAAGTGTCTCCATGAACGCCCCCGTCCTCCCTTATGTCACCTTGTCTCTTGCCAGCCCACAACCCACGTCACTGTCAGTCCCGACAAAGGGGGTCACGCTACAACTCTGTTCTCCCCCCCGTCGTGCCAATTTACCCCTGCCGCGCGCTGTGAGAGTACATACTTCGTACAACAGTACTTCCAATCTTCTAATGAAAGGAAATGCCCCTGCCTCACCTACCGGAGATGCGAGGCTGGGCAAGCTATTTTCGGTGCTACCCTTCTATTAGACAGAACCCTTTGTGTTCGGGGCGTACAAAGTATGGCGGTGACCTCGCACCGCTCGGTCAGTAGTGGGGAAGTGTAATATCGGCATGGATGGGGCTCATCGTGTTCATCGGTGAGTAGCTTGGCTTACTCAGTACGACGAGTAATAAGACTACCGTGTCTATTTCCGGCTCCTCCCAATGCGAAACAGGCGCAAATACAGCCTCGTCTCACCTCATCCCCTCGCCGCGCCGTTCGTCAGCGAATGCCTCCTTAGTTCCTCGGATTCCGCTACTCAAACTCGCCCTCCTCCGCGACAAGGGGCAAGGAGTAAGGACGCGGGACAAGGGGATATTGGATTGAGTACCGGACACAGTAATCATCGTCACCATCACCATTGCCTATCCATCGCCATCCTTCATCTCATCCCATCCACCCGCCCCTCCGGGACTTCCTGGCGGTACATTTGATTCCGCTCACAAAATTAAGCCACCCCTGCGCGCCCGTCCAAGCCCATAAAATGACGTCTCCACCGCCTAATCTCACAACTCTTGCTCGATTTTCTCTGATTCATACCCCTTCTACGCTAGCCTTCCCGTAATTTTTCGCCTCCCTTATTTCCGCTTGTGGACATTACTACTTCGTGTATGGAGTAGGGCCAAGGTAATTTATCGAACAGAGGTGAAAATGAAAAAAGTCCCTGCAACGGCCACCGACCGGAGTGGTGGGTTACTGTAGTGCCACAGCAGGGGTGAGGGGGTTTGGGATTGGAGTTTATGTGGCACGAACGAACTGAGTGGTTCGTCTGAGTGTCGTTTTGGCTCACCGCCGTAGCCGCGAAATCGTACTTTCTGTTGGCACTTGGTGTATCCTGTGAGTTTGTACATACAACTAAGGATGTAATGTACACCGCTCGCCCCCAAAAGTACGATTCAGCAACCCACGTTTCGCTGACCCGACAGTTCGGCCGACAGGCAGCCGGGCAACGAGGCTGCGAATTTTAAGTCTCCTTTCGGTGCCGTGGCGCCGACGAGGCTGCTCTAAGGTAGGGTTTGTTGGGTTAATTTACTGTGTATCCCCCGTACGTCCTTGAGATCGCCCGCCCTGCCTTTGCCTTGTCTCGGCCGGTCTTGCCTTGGGGAGACAAACACGAAAGCGAATGCGAAAGGAGACCACACACAACAGGCCACGTCTCATCCAGACTGTCTGTCTGTCGGTCCTTTCCCATAGCCTCAGACACCGAACTCACCCGACACACCCGCCTGTCCGTAACCCCCACGTGCAATACCGAGGAGAAGAAGAAGAAGAAGGAGAAAATCCACTCTCTAATCTCCCGCACCGAGGGTGAATTATTGGCGCGCTACGCAAAACAAAGTGATAGAGTAGTGGGGTTTGGACCCCCACATCGCGCTCACGATTTTCCTCTTTTTCCCTTCCTTCCCCTTTTTATTTTCCTTCGAGAAGGGCGGGACGCGCGGGAGTGGTGGCCGTTAGGGAGTTTAGTTAGTTGGCAGGTTAGCGGTGGTGGGTTTCGCGTGGGTTTAGCGGTGGGTTTGGCGTGCTTAGTTGGGATTGGTAATTGCGAAGATGGGATTCATTTTCATCTGCCCTTGTGCTTCTTGGCTCCATGGAGAGTAGCTTGGAGGATGGATCTTCAGATTGGCTCCATATGGATACGAAATCTAGGGTGTTTGAGAGGGCGTCATGTGATGGACAGACTTGGAGGAGCTCGTCATCGAAGATTTCAGGTTGTTTCGTTTGCCTCCCTTGGCGTCCGGGAATGGTGTTGGTGTTGCGCATTGGTCCGGAAATTTTCACTTTTGGTATTAGCATTGGCAATATACCGTGCCTGCCTAGGACATGATCCCCTTTCCCCCTGTGCCTGTGCCTGTCCCGTTGAAGAGAGAAAGTGACTCCTCCTCCTCCCCTGCGCATATCACAATCCCACCTCAAATCCCACGTCGCACAGGCATACCAGGCACCTGACGATCCCCCAAAATCAAGGTACGAAGTACAGTAAGGTGGCAATATCAATCCCAACAGGCCATCATCACCGTGCCGTGGCAGCATGTATGTAGTCATTTAAGAATGGTTGAGTGGTGAGAGAGGCCGGGGCAGGTATTGCCCGATACGACCCTATCCTGCAGCAGGTCTCATCCGAACAAAATCTCCCCATATCCACACCCACCCAGCGCCCTGGTCGTGTCCGGCTGATTGGGTCGAGGTGCTGATCCTGGTGCCACGCGGCGGAGGGGAGTTGGGGCGGTGTCGTCACTGATTATCTCCGACTTGTCACTGCCTTGTCGTCGGTGTCAGCGGGGCTGAGTCTTTGTTTACCCTCCTTCTAGTTCTTGCTAAGCCATGAAGTGCCGTGGTCCATGTCCAATATAGGTCGCTGTTATTATAGGACTTTCTTGTTCCAGCACAGCAGCACCCAGGTTTCATCGATGCTGACACAGAAGGAGCCATGAAGGTACTGTACAGTACAGCATAGCTCAGCTCCGTAAGTACCCCATACTTTGGACCGACCCGGCAATGCACACCTCATGCACCTCTCTATATCGGTTCATCACCGCATCAGAAGTGGCCTGTTTGTCCCCCAACCTCCAAGGTACAGCCTGCAGGAGCACTGATTGAAAGAGCTCCCTCGTGCAGCACAGCACAGCACAGCTTGCAGACCGACCGCGATCGCCGCGTTATAGCCAGGGGCTGAACAAGCACCTTCCCATGCGTCTGGGGTACTGCGTGAAGCATGACTCGCGCGGTGCAGCTGCATGTTGGATGTGGTGATGTGGTGACGAGCGGTGCAGGACGGTAGTTGATGGCATGGCCTGCGCTGCGTTGTTGAGACTGTGGGGTAGGAACTGAGACATCCTCCCCGCACTTGGTGATTGCTTCTCCATGGAGGTGCGGGAGGGCCGGGTGGTGTTGGTTATGTTGGGAGGTTTGGGTAGGTTGGGTTGGGCTGCTTCAAACGAGGATTTGTGAAGTATCCATGTAGGATTGGTACGCGTCGTGCCGCTTACGCTGTGAAGTCTGCTTGTTACTCAAGGATATTCGAGGATATTCGAGGATACTGCACTGATGTAAGATAGCGGGGAGGTAATGAGTCGCGTCGCGATGAGCTTCGTTGGGATTGATGTGATGGCTAGTCATGAGGAGCTTCCTAGATGTCCATTTGACGGAGGTTGAAATTCCCAATGGCAACAGACTCAACCTTACGGTAACTATGGGAATCTCCGTTTGTCGCCAGTCATCCGTTACATGTCAGGCAACAAAATAAGAAGGTGATACGAGTATATAGCTGGGATTACGATTACTTCAATGCTCTTGCATTGTGTTCTATAGTTACACACAAGAATGTAACACTGCGGCGGTTATATGCAGGATACCTACTCAAACCAACCTCTATCCCCTCCTCAGGACTTCATCTTCCCTTCTCCATGGGTCAAACGCTCTTTTGACCAGACCAGTCGTCCTCTGCATAGGTCCGCCATCCAGCAGCAACCAGATACTCGCAAGTCATCCCAACCTCCCCGACCAGCTTGGCCCCAGCGAACACCCCAGGGCGTCTATCAATTCGGCCACAGCCCTGTTATGGAAGTTGCCCGTTCGCCAGAAGACCTGTTTGATGCGTGACGGGAGTCGACGGCGCAAAGGGGCCGTGGAACATTGATGTCTCGCGTGCAGGATGAGACCTGCCTGTCTGTGTAGCGGCACCGTTAGGCCTTTGCAGCATGTGGTGGAATGTCTAGGCGCCAGCAGTTCCCAGACACAACAGGCGAAGTTAGATGCCCGGCGACTCCCAATAATCACCCGCCGCATCTCCCATACAACAATATTTCTGTCTTAACCATATCCCCCTCTTCAAGTAGCTTCCCCCGCCGGATTCTGCGTCGAAGCAATCCACTCCTCCATCACCTCCCTCCCTCCCATCCCCGCCACATCCTTAACCGCCGTCTTCGTAACAATCAAGCACAACACCCGTCCATAAATCCCGTATCCGTCATACTCACTCCGCATAGCCATCTTCTTCTCGTCCTGCTCCTCTTCCTCCGCTCCCCCCAGTGGTGCCGCTGAGCGCGCGCGCTTGGCCGGCGGGGCACCAGCATCGGAGTCTGAGGCGGAGGAGATGGAAGCGTCGGAGTCGGCGACGAAGAGGGTATCTGTGTCTTCGGTCGGGCGTGTGCGTTTGGAGCGGCGGGTTGGTGGGGGTTGGTTTGAGGATTCAGTTTCGGGGGGGACGTCTTGGATCACTACGTCGTCGTCGCCGTCTTCCTCTCTCAGTAGAGGGGCGGGGGCATCGGGGTTCGTATCCTCTTTTCGTTCTGGTTCCCGGAAGATCTTCCGCCTCTTGAGGACTGTATGCCTTGTACTCGTCTCCGTGAGGAAGACCGAGACTTCGAAACCATCTATAGCGCACCCATTAGCTATCCATACCCAACAACTACCTCACAACATCCCCATTCCCATAAAAAGAAACCCCACTCACCACCAGAAACAACATCCTTCACCCCCCTCCCCCTCCCCCTCGCCTTGACCCTCTCATTCTCCTCCCTCAACTTCGGCAAGATCAACGGCCTCACCGCAGCCAACACGCGCGTCAGCAGCGAGCGCGTCGAGAGCAGCCACGGGCCGGGAGGGGACGGGTAGATGCGCACTTCGAGGACGGAGGAGGGGGTTATGCGGAGGTAGCGGCGGAGGGGGGCCATGGTGGGGTCGACGGCGCGGGTGGTTGCGGGATGGTTGTGGGTGATGGGCGCTCTATTGATGGCTGTAAAGCTCGAGGGAGAACGGGTTGGGAGGATTGGGCGTCAAGATGGGATGGCGATGTCGGCGGAGAGAGTGTGAATATCGTGTCGGCCGAGTGGTGTTGGGCACCTTGGGGGTGGATTTGCATGTGGGTGACTGGATGATGGTGGGATGGAGGGAGGTTGACGCGCCTGGAGGTTAGTTTCAGCCTTGCGGATTAGATAAGGTGTGCTGGCGGGAAGCTGTTTGGAGCTGTGACGATCATTGGGGTTAGGAAAGTACCGAGGTATTTTTTGGCCCTGTCGACACTTTTTAAAATTCTCCGAGAATGGAGGGGGATTGTAAGCTTATCGAGTATTTCTTGTATGCTTCTTTTATGGGTTATTATGGAGGATATAAACTTGTTTTGTATCATAAGGTCAGGTTTGTGGGTCGTAAAATCTCATATCATCACGCTCCGAAGATGCCGCCAGGCAAATACGAAGTTATAACACTGTGAGTCGCCTCTAGATTCTCATATTTGTAAGAGGCGGAATCCTAGAGCTCCGACTCGATTCATTCTCCCCTCTCACATGCACTAAATTACTACAAACTTTACTTAAAAATATTAAGCACCGGAGGATATCAAACTCCGAATGCAGGAGGCAAAGGCCAAGGAAACAAACCGGGTGAGGTCATAGGGGTCCTCCCGTGTAACTCCGGTTGCTTTTCGTATGAGGTACGAGTCACGAGTGAGTTGCATATATGCATATATGAAAACTAAACTTTTATATTTCCAATTTCTTGAGGCAAGGGCCTGTCTCTGTACTATATAGAGTGTCTGCCCGCTATATGCGAAAGTGTTCATTGCAATATAAAAATCATTGCATCTGAGCTGTCATGACGTCGCTTGGTCTTGCTACCAGACGAGCCCAGCCTCAACTCACTCGCGTGACGAGGCTGGAAGAACAGCTTCGGAGGAGTATATCAACTATTGAATTAGATAGAAAGAAAGGAGGTATATTTTATTCCCCCCCATTGAATTACCAGACCCTAACAAGTCTCAGACAGAGAACGAGTTGTGATTCTTGGCTCAGGGTAACCCTCCCCAACCAAAGATATCATGCAATATATATATACTAACCCCCCCTCCAGCTGGGCAGGCTTCAACCTCTCCCGCAAGCTAGACAAGAAAAAGTACCAACCCGTCGTCATCTCCCCCCGCCCCTACTTCGCCTTCACACCCCTTCTCGCCTCCACCGCCGTCGGCACCCTCGAGTTCCGCACCGCCATCGAGTCCGTCCGCGCCCGCGTCGCTGACACAGAGTATTACCAAGGATGGGCGGACGACGTCAGCTTCGCCGACAAGCGGATCACTGTCGAGGTCAATGCGATGATGACGCAGTCGACGGCGCCGATGCAGACGGCAGATGAGGCGGTTGCGCCGGGGACTAAGAAGGGGAAGAGGTTCAACCTGGATTATGATAAATTGGTCGTTGCAGTGGGGTGTTACTCGCAGACATTTGGGACGCCGGGTGTGAGAGAGAATGCTTTCTTCCTGAAGGATGTGGGTGATGCGAGGAAGATCAGGAAGAGGATTTTGGATTGTATGCATTTCTCACATGACCCCTGAAGTGACGGCATACTAACCATCCCAGGTTTCGAAGAAGCATCCCTTCCCTCAACACCCGAGAAAGTGAAGCGACAACTCCTAAACTTCGCCGTCGTCGGCGGAGGACGTGAGTCCCCCCTCTCCTTCCAAAGCCCCCTGGATCAAAACTAACCCCCCACCAGCAACCGGCGTCGAATTCTCCGCCGAGCTCTTTGACCTCTGCAACGACGACCTCCGCAAACTCTACCCCTCCCTCATCCAACACACCCGCATCAGCATCTACGATGTCGCCCCTACCATCCTCTCCATGTTCGACAAGCGGCTCGCCGACTACGCGACTAACCATTTCCGACGTGATGGGATAGCGATCAAGACTTCGCACCATATTAGGGGTTTGCGTCCTGGGCTCCCGGGGGCGGAGGAGGAGGATGGGAGTTCGGGGTTTACGTTGACGACTGAGGAGGATGGGGAGGTGGGGGTGGGGATGTGTGTTTGGTCTACTGGTGCGTATTTCAATTTACAGGCGGGGATACAGGCTGACTTGACTGCAGGGCTGATGATGAACCCCTTTATCCAAAAGGCGCTTAACGATGTACACAGCTACCCTAGCGCCTCTATCACCACTCCCCCATCCAACTCCTCATCCCTTCCCTCTCCCCCACCAGAGTCCCTCAACTGGCACCTAGCACGCGATCCCAAATCCGGCGGTCTGCTAGTAGACTCCCACTTCCGCGTCCAGCTCAACGGCTCCTCCCCCAACTCAACCAACCCAACCAACACCACCACCCCATCCAAACCAGCAACAATGCAAAACGTCTTCGCCCTCGGCGACGTCGCGGTCCCTCACTCCGGCCCCCTCCCCGCCACAGCACAGGTAGCGAATCAATCTGCGCTCTGGCTCGCGCGGCGACTTAATGCGGGGGATGTGGGGAGGGGAGGTGGGTTCTCGTATAAGAATTTGGGGATTATGACGTATTTGGGGAATTGGAAGGCGATTATGCAGACGGGGGGGAATAGTGAGGTTACGGGGTAAGTCTTGTCGTTTTTTCAGTTTGTGTTTATTTAGGTGTTGAGGATGGGAGCTAATGGGTGGGCAGGTTCGCGGCGTGGTTGGTTTGGAGGGGGGCGTATTTGACGCAGACGATCAGTTGGAGGAATAAGTTGTTGATCCCGATTTATTGGTATGTCTATGTCTCCATCGTACAAATTGGGGAGCACAGTTCTAACGTTTAGGCAGGCTCATCAATTGGGCTTTTGGTCGTGACATTGGCAGGTTCTGAGGAACTCGGGGCGAATCTGTTATACATAAAACTAGCGCATATGTCGAGTCTGAGGATACCGTTTGCCCTGAGATGACAAACTGATGTGCACCTCTATGTACACCACTGGATGTGCGCAAGGCACATATCCTCTATCTCAAGCCCGGGCACAGTGCTGCCGGCGAGTGAGACATTGACGGGCTCCATGCGAAGCCTCGGAAGTAAGAAGCAGATACGATCTGCTATCATCCGGAGGCAGTTAAAAGCGAGATAGATAGTAATCGTACTAGAATGCAAGTCTATTTTTGTGCTTCTAATTAGATGCCGACTATTATCCTTTCTCTCTGCTGAAATTTCAAGGCCATGATAGCCGGAATATTTCAAAGTATCCCACGAAAGACCGCCCAATGCACGCACGGAAAAAGTCTAAGCCGCCGCCAACATTCTACACACAATGCTCTCCAAATAAACCAACTCATATCATCATGCAAACCAAAGAAAAAATAATGGCCAATATCCAATAACAAGCACACACCCCTCACTGCGCAGCAGGAGCATCCTCGGTCCCCCACCTCGTCGCCTCATCCACCCCCTCCCACTCCTGCTCCACATACCCCAATCTCCTCTTAACCTCCACGACTGTCTCCTCGTCCCCGGTATTCTTCCCCGCATTATCACTAATCTTAATCGCCGGTCTCCCCGCCGCACTGGACAGTTTAATCACAATATTCAGCGGCACCGACTTCTTCCCCGTCTTCAGATTAATAAAGTCGTTCGTGAGGAACGTGCCCACGCCGAAGGCGGGCGCGAAGCCCGCCGCCTCGGAGAGCGCTTTGTATTTTAGGCAGAGCTCGATGTTGAGGGAGTCGGAGAAGACGATGGATTTCTTCTCTGTGATGCCTTGGCTGTCGTAGAAGGTACGCAGGGTTTTCACGAATGTCGCGGGGTCGCCTGAGTCCTGGCGCACGCCGGTGAAGGCCTGGGCATATGTCATGTCCGTCTCTGCCGTGTCGACTGGTGGCGAATGTTGCGGCGGTTCGGTGGAAGCAAGGTGATTCGCGCCGTCTGATGAGGTGGCGGTGGTGGCAGCGCTGTGCAGGGCGGAAGCGAGGCGGGGAATGGGCTTGCCGAAGGCGCGGAGGAAGATGGGCGTGCCGAAGGTGTCAGTGAGGGTAATGCCGAGGACGCCCTTGCCGAAGCAGCCAATCCAATAGCTGAGGGCTGTCTCGGTGGCGTGCTCATAGTCGTTGGTGATGGCCGCGACGGCCATGAACCATTCGTGGGCAACGGTTCCAATGGGGGGGATGCCGAAGCGCATGGCGAGGTGGACGTTGCTTGTTCCCGAGATCTTGCCGGGGAGGCCGCGCTGGATGCCGTCTTTGTTGGCGCGGACGAGGCCGCGAAAGACGAGAGCTTGGGTGTGGTAGTCGCGTCTCCTCCTGGTGCCGAATTCGGAGGTGATGCAGCCGCCTTCGAGCAGACGGATGCCCTTCTCGTATGCCTTCTCTTCTTGGCCGTCATAGGACCACTCTGTGTCCATGAAGCGGAAGTAGGCTTCGCTGGTCAAGGCCAGTAACGGGATCTCGTACAGTATCGTCTCCACCCATAGACCCTTGATCTCGAGCTGAAATTCACCGATGTCGGTATCCTTGCCAGTATCTTCGTCCGGGACGAACGTTCCTTTGATCTGCTCCCTCGGGTTCAGGCGGAAATCTTGAAGGTAGCGAAGATACGGCTCGTTCAGGTATGTGCATGTTGACTTGAGGAAGTTGTACTCGTCATCTGACAGCGAGATGTTCCCGAGCTCTAGTTGTATCAGTCAGTAATGCCTCTAGCGGTTCCTGGTGGGGGGGGGGGTGTGACTGACTGTTAATCTGGATTTGAAGCCAGTCGAAGGCGGCCCTGGATAGCTTCTTCTCTGGCGTCCGGTTCTTGAATGCATATGTGACCGGCACATCTGGAAAGTACTTCAAAGCCGCACATTGCATCGTGAGCTTGTACAAATCCGTGTCGAGGAAGGAGATGACGCCCTCCGGGAACGGTGACGAGCCATTGAAGTCCATTTTGCGATGATCTATCTCCGCACTGCGGGGGGTTTTGAAAAATTAAGACTGGATGTTGCAGAATGGCATCCTCCCAGTTTATATAAGTGAGTTGATAGCTATATAGCTTTGTAGCCAAGCAGACAAGGACTGAATTTATAAAGGTGAATCGGTTAGTGAAACTCTCTCTTAGGCTTGTCGTTCCATCCCGGACGTTCCTTGAACTTCACCCCACCAAGCGCACCCCGCACTACGCCAAAAAAAACTAGCTTAGTCATCCATCCGACCCACCGACTTTCCCCCGAGTCCAGATTCAGGCACCGTAGGCTATGTGCCGATACCGACACACCGACAATTCATAATTGAAATATAATTGAAATATTCCAAAAGTGCTGAATTGAATAATAAATTTGCTTAGATGAATTCTTCCAGCGATATTGCTATGGGCGAACTGCGTGAGCGGCACGTAGAAAGCGGAAATTCTCCCAGTAGCGAAGAAGAGCAAACCGCACTCGTAATTACCCCGCGAAGGGCAGATCGAGGAAAAGATGCTTGGTTGTTTCTAGCAGCTAGCACTGTCATCGAAGCTCTCGTATGGGGTTGGTTAAGAATCTTTTTTTATGTCTCATATTGTTATAAATGCTAAATTGTTACACAGGGTTCTCATTCTCATTTGGGGTCTTCCAGGACTACTATAGCACCCACAAACCCTTCGCCGGTGCAACCAATATCGCTACCATCAGCACAACGTCTACTGTGAGTTGCCTGCTTGTTAAAAAGTTATGCTCTCTAACATAGTCTCCAGGGAATCATGTATATGGCTGGCCTACTACTTTTCCCCGCATATAAGACTTGGCCCAACCTTGCTGACCGCTCAAAATGGGTCGGGCTACCTCTCATGGCGACAGCATTAATCGCTGCCTCCTTCGCCAACAGTGTGAACCACCTGCTCCTCACCCAGGGAGTTATGTTTGCTCTTGGTGGATCAGTCGTATACTACCCGGCACTTGCATTCGTAGACGGTTGGTTCATTGAGAGGAAGGGGTTAGCGTTTGGGATTATGTGGGTAAGTCAGAGCTTCCTTCCGTTTCTGACACATCCTCTAACACTCATCGAAGGGTGGCTCGGGCGCTGCCGGCCTATGCATCCCTTTTACCATCAACTGGCTTCTGCATGCATACGGTTTCCGCAACACGCTCAGGATATGGGCTGTGGTCATCACTGTCATATCAGCACCATTGATTTATTTCCTGCGGGCACGGATACCACCCTCCCAGACTCGGCAACCAGTTCGCCAGGGCCTAGGATTCCTCCGAACCAAAACATTTTGGCTCCTCCAAATGGGCCTCACCATGGAGAGCCTGGGGTACTTCATCCCGAGCATCTACTTGCCGACTTTTGCACGTTCACTCGGCTATGGTCCATCAATCGGCACGCTCCTTGTCGCCCTGGTAAACGCATCATCTGTGCCAAGTACGATCTTACTGGGGATGCTGATCGACCGCTTCCACGTGACGACTGTGGTTATCATCAGCACTGTCGGTGCTGTACTCTCCGTCTTCTTGTTTTGGGGGTTCTCAGATGCTCTCCCTCTGCTAATCGTATTTAGCATCTTGTATGGTTTATTCGCTGGGGGGTTTGTCACCACCATTTCCGGCATCGTTAAGGCGGTGAAAGGCCTCGATGAAACGACGGATGTTGGCACATTGCTTGGTATTTTGTCCGCTGGAAGGGGCATTGGAGCTGTGGCTTCTGGGCCGCTGAGTGAAGCTCTTCTCAGCTCCAGGCCGTGGCAAGGCAAGGCCACTCTGGCATATGGAACTGGATATGGTGGGTTGATCGTGTTCACTGGCATCACTGCGGCGGTGGGCGGAGTGAGTTTCCTTGGAAAGAAACTGGGCTGGATGAAAGAGAGGGTTTAGCTGCGCATTTTTCAGCTAGCTCCCTATCTTCTTGGACATGATTATGAGTTATGAAATATAATAAGACAAGACCGATAAAAGATGCTAAGGAGCGATATATAGTATATGTTCCAGCCCAGCCGAGGGTTATTCTTCCTCGTGAGCTGCCGGCCACATTATGAGCGGGCAAAATTTACAGTTGGACTAGAACATATATAGACAGGTACATTCACTGAAAGAAGGTATGCGAGTTTTTAGTAGCGTTTTAGTACATTTGAAAATACGCAAGCAAATACTATCTCAATATTCTCCATATTCGACTTATATTCACAAAGAAATTTCCCCAGCCACTCTTGTGATAGCCCGCTTCAAGCTGGCAAGGATATGTAGCCGCTGCATGCTGTGGGGTTTTATTTACCTATGTAGGCCTTGTTGACGGCCTTGGGTAGGTTTGCTGGCGCTCGTTTTTACACAGCCATAAGGCAGGGAGCACATTTGTTGGCTCCTGCGCCTCCGTGGTGAACCCCTGGCAGTGGCTATGCTAGCCTTGCATGGAGGAAAGTGAGGCGGTTAGAAAGTGACCCCGCTACTACAATATATATGCATCTCTCTTTTACCGAACTTTTCTATTATCTGTCTCTGTGTAATATATGGCTCAAATCGGGTTAACTATCGGCGTCGCTGGTGGTGCCGCGAAACTCTCTATCTCATTATTCAGTATCGCAGCCGCCATTGGAACGGCAGGCGTTGAAGTACGCGCCTTTGCTTCAAATGCTAGCTCACTTGCTCAAGTTCTTACCAACCTGAGCGATGCTTTAGTGACGAAGGAGCCAATTTCGCCCAAGGCAAAGACCATTGCCGATGGCCTGATTACGCTTTGCCAAACTATATTGGATGATAGCAGCAACCTTCTCAAGAGGCTCCGACCGCTAGTGGAACTCACTGGTAGTGCTCAAAAGCGGTTTATACTTCGAATACGTTGGGTATTTGAGAAATCTAAATTTGCTACTCATCTGCAGTCTTTGGAAGCCCTAAAGAGCACTCTATCATTATTGATAGGCACAGTAAACTACTCTGACGGCGTTGCATCAAATAGGCCAAGGGATATTCAGTAACCAATACCAAGTACCTCTATTTAAATATAGTTCTAACGTCACAATAGAATTTCATTACGACTCCAGCTTCAGAACGTAGCATCAGAAGAAATCCAGAACAGCAACCGTGTACATCAAAATGTTTCTCGCCTCATGCAAAGAGAAAGCCCCCTCTTGACGGGAAACCCTCTAAAAGAATCTCGAGAAAGCCAGCCTCTAAAGCTACGGAGAATTCCGGATGACAGCATTAATGGCGAAGAAGATGAATCGCAATCTGTAGACCCAGGGCTTGACTCGCTCTCACTCGAGCCTAGCGAAGTTGAGAAATCCATTATCGTCCACTCAAAAAACGTCGAAAACGAGGAGGAAGTTGAGAGAGAATTTGGCATTGAAGAACTAGATATTGTTACCCCTTACTTGGAAATTTCGTTGCTGCAACAGCGCACTATTCAGTTTGCGACACTTGTTCTCCGAGCGGAAGAGGATAGGGCTACAGCTGATGATATCAATGCACCTAATGATCAAGGTTCTAGCAACTCTCAGGATGGAACTCGACTCAGCAACCCTCCACCACCTCAGTCTCACATGGAGCACATGAATGGAACCGTAATCTATAACTCAGGAAATCCAGAGTCACTTGACCAGCAGCAGTCCGTTGCTAGCTCGGAGACTGCTTCAGTAGCTGCAGAAAACGTACCAACTACAAAAGCCGAAGTGACTAATGTAGCATATGGTAGCCTATTGTTTACCGATGCTCGTGGAACGAGGTATACTTTGCCTTTAAGTGACTGTAAGACATGGGAAGTAAGTCATCTTCTATTGGTATTTAAATTGACCTATTATTCTTGTGTCAGTACTAACAAATGTTTATAGGGCATGGTTAATATCCTAAGGGAGATTTATACAAGTGACGATTACTGGGGATATGAGCTGAAGTCTGAGGTCGAGAAACGCAACAAATCTGGCCTCAAGCTTGGCCTTCAGCCATTCATACTACTAGGCGGTCGTGACTACGCTATTATTCTTCCTCGACATTGGACAAGTATTGTCCACTCAGCGTATTCAGTGACAATGAGGTTTGATGATCCTCGTCTTAACACCGTGCCTGACCCAAGAGTCGAAGAATTACAGAGGTTTGATGATCCTCGTCTTAACGCCGTGCCTGACCCAAGAGTCGAAGGATTACAGAAGTCTGATGATCCCCATATCAAGGCCTTGACTAGAGTCAAAGGATTACAGGGGTTGGTTGCTAAAGTACGCCTTTGGGATAAATTGGTGAAAAAGAGAAGGGATGCTGATTAGGCGGACCTCTCCTTAATTACTGTATATATTTCTTTTCTTGGGAGCGGTTTTAAGAAGAATGCCCATGGCGTTTTTAAGATACAATTCGTCTTTCACCATATCAAATGAAGTGTGATCATCTAAAAATCAAAGCGAACGATAGGGATTGACTGGGCGTCAGGAGAGAAATTCATGATCTGACTTCGCACTCACTCGATACCTATACATTCATTTTGCCACTGTGCTATATGCAGCAACAGCAATTAGATCCAGCCATGATAATTTCTGCGAATGCTACGCAGGCCATTAGACTGACATGACAATTCGATTTAGATCACCAATTTTTCCTACGTTTCTTCTTCACCTATTTCTCAGGTATGGAAGTTTTGTATTCATGCTGAAGCTATCCTAGGCAGCACAGTTCCCACAGATCGCATATCCGAAGCCGATATTTGAGCTCCCCCAACCAGGGCTTGTTGTTTCTGTAGTATCGTTTTTGATCGTTCTCGACAACGAAAACTTCCTGTATTACTTTGTCCATATCACTTTGTCCACGGATTTAAACAGGTCACGTGGCAATAAGACACAACTCGCAACCGGGAGCTTAAGGTGGTTTCAACCAACCTCGGTGGGTTTCGATGTGCCACCAAAGTTTAGACTTGTCTTAGACGCGTCTCGGGCCGACCTCTTCATCTTGAAAATACACAAATATATGTCGAAGATGCATCCAAAACCAAGCGAACGATCATGGCTGGGGGCGAAGGATCAAGCGGGGGACGCTATAAGATGACATGATCAAGGTCCAGAATCAGGTACATTTTTAGCTCGTCGAAGAGGCGCCTCGTGATATCTTAGCATCAACTAAGCATTCTTAGAGCCGGCATGTGGCTGTGATGCATCCTACGTTGCAGTACCAACGCTCGCAACGGCCTCGCAACGGCCCTACTACACTCGGCTTTTTACGACTGTGTGGGTGTTCGGCAAGCGAACGGGCGTGGGGAATCCTTCTGATACTCCTGATCCAGAAGGTCGTTAGTTGATAGGGTGGTCATCCAACTCTTCCACAGTGATGATCCATACTCCGGCACCTGGCTGCTGCCGCGGGGTAAGGTTATATTTGTCTCTGCTAAGGTCTCAGTCAGTCAGAGCTACTTGGAAGGTTCCTGGGGCTTCTGTTTATAAGACTGTGGTAGGTCCTCTTTAAGGTTTTCGTTTTGTCAGCCCCTCCAATTCTTTCTTTCTGAATTCTTGAGAGGACATAATATAAGATGCCTCGTCTAGGAAGATTGTCATTAATTATCCCACTCGTTGTCGTGCTTGACACAGCGTTGGCGCTCCCTCAACCTTTCGATCCCAATTTTAGAAATGGAGGGACAAATCTCGTGTCTCGAGACCTAGAGACCCTTGGAGAAGCATTTTCAGCCATGGTCAATACCCTCGATGTTATGCAGTCTCAATATTGGAGCTCCAATACTTGGCCAACTGGGATTGACTGGACGTCAGCGGTAACCAGCACGCACGTCTCTGCAGCCCTGACTGAAATGGCCATGTATGATGCAGGTACCTACAGCGATGATATCACCAAATATTTCTCTCAAATTGTTTCCTTTTACGGTGGCGAGAATGTGGAATCGCTGCAAACACAGAAATTCGACGATCAGGAATGGGTAGTTCTGGAATGGTTGGAAGCCATCAAATTCATCAATGTATACTCCACTATTGACTCGACATTCGACGGTCAGCAACATATTGGAGACTTTGCTCATCGTTCTCGTATTTTCTGGGATCTGGCTTCGAAGGGATACGACACCAAGTTGTGCGGTGGCGGGATGGTCTGGACTGATACACTCACGCCGTATAAAAACGCCATCACCAACGAGCTTTACCTCTCGGCGAGCATTTCCATGTATCTTTATTCCCCAGGAGACGACAATCCAAGCCCTTACTCAGAGCCTGGGAAAGCCTACGACCCTTCGGAGGCACTACTCCCAATACCAGCACACGACGAGAGGTACCTTAATGCTGCCATCGAAGAGTACAAATGGCTCTCAACGAGCAACATGAAGAACTCACAGGGGCTGTATACAGATGGGTTTCACATCACTGGTTGGACCAGCCCAGACAACATCGGGACCGGGAAATGCGATTCACGAGACGAAAGCGTCTACACCTACAACCAAGGCGTCATCCTCTCGGGACTCCGCGGCCTATGGGATGCAACAGGCAGCACAGACTATCTCTCTGACGGCTACACCCTCATAAAGGACGTTATCGCGGCTACAGGTTGGGTATCCCCAACCCAGCAAACAAACACCTGGTCCGGCCTCGGCAGCAACGGTATCCTACAAGAAACCTGCGATGCCGACAGCACCTGCAGCCAGGACGGCCAGAACTTCAAGGGCATCTTCTTCCATCACCTTACACTGTTCTGCCAGCCGATCGCGCTCAGCAAGAAGGAGACTGTTATCTTCAACGGCACAGATGCGCAGGCCCAGGCTCACCAGGAGGTCTGCAACGGGTATCAGCCGTGGATCCTGCATAATGCGCAAGCGGCATATAGCACGCGCAATGCTGATGGAAAGTATGGCGGTTGGTGGAATGCTGGGGCAGCAGCGGTTGCATCAAATGCTAAGAGCGCGCCTGTGCAGCCTTCGGGGGCTGCGGATGTGAGGAATAAAGGTATCCCGCTGAACAAGGTGTGGCGCCTGTCGAGCAACCCGCTTGTGTCAGAGCAAGGAATGAGCCCGGTTGAAAATGCGGCGGCGGCGGACCCCAATGATAATGGTAGGGGCAGGACGGTGGAGACTCAAAGTGGGGGACTGGCTTTGATGGGGAGTTTGGTGCAGGCGTTGGAAGCTGCTAAGTAATGGCCAGTATGGCTGATGCGTTGGAAAGTAGGTTAAGTAAGTATGGCTATATAAGCTTATATGAGATCAACATCTACTTTAAATATTAAATCAAATCCTTTATCACCACCAGGGTCTTCAGTCTCGTGCTTTTTACCCACGCCAGACTCCAACGCAATCCAAACATCAATCAAAAACCAACCCCTCCAATGCCGTCACTCACGCCCACCCCGCCCCATCCAGCACCCGCCCAAACAGCGACGCCTCCGAAAGCGCCCCCTCGCCCAACCCCCCCGTCTGCCAATCCACCCTATCATCCGCCTCAAATTCTCCTTCCCTGCCTGCAAACGCATCCCAATACCCCCTTCCCAACCCCTGTCCCAACAACGTCAAATCACACGTCTGAAACCCCGTCCCCTCATCACAAGAAGGCGGTTCCCCAGCCACCTCATCCACCTCCGTCTCTCCGAGAGCTCGCAAACAGGTCATCTGTGCTAATAGCCGATTCACCACTTTCGCCGCGTCGACTTGCTTTTCGAGACCTGCGACGCGGGACTGGAGAGCGAGGAGGCGCTCAGTCCGGCGTTGGCGGAAGGCGCGTTGGGAGGTGCGGTTTGGGATTTGCGACGTTGCTAATGGGTGGTTAGTGTTTATTTTTGGATGGGGAGGAGGGGACGGATGGGAAAGAAGGAAGGGGTGTATGCATACTGAGATGGGTCTATGAAAGGCGTCCTGGAAGGATGAGCCAGTGGTGGAGGATTCGAAGCAGGCGGGTTTCATGGTGCGGCGCTGGCGGCGGGAGGGGTTCTGTGAGTGGGAATTTGGGGTAGTGGGGTTGCTGATGGGAGGGGGTTGTGTTGGGAGATAGGGAAGGAGTGTTGGGGATATCTGTGAAGAAGCTGTTGTCGAAGGGGAATTCGGAGGGGCTACCGGCCATGTTGATGTATTTGGAGGTATTTGTACTCATATCAACATGCAAAATCGTCGGAAGATTAACGTGAATCCCTGCATCACAGGACGCACCCTGTGACGGGACAAGCTACTAGTACTTTGAATTCAATTGATTCTAAATTTGTGAGTCCATTGAAAATTCTAGTATTTTTGTGTCAGTCGTGTTGTGTGGCTACTCCTAAACAGTCCAAACCCCGGCTACTCTAAAATTTACGATCACGTCGTCGCTGTTGCGCCTGATTACGGAGGGCATCAATTCGAAGCATAATAGAACCCCTCGAGCTACAGCATCACCACGAACTCTTATCACTCCTAATACCCATAAGAGAGTCTTATCTAAGCTTTAAGGCCCCACTACGATGCAGGAGATCGTCATCAGCCTTGTGGCGGCTGTACGGTCTAGCATTACTCAACCCTTAGCGGGTGCTGTAATCTAGCGCCCGAGACATAACTTTGCGCCTGCGCAATGAGCTTCTCCCCCTCATCTTCCTCCTCATCTGACTCCTCACCACTGAACCAAAGCGAAGAGTTGTTTTTTGTTAATATCCCTTTTCCAAACCCCCCCCCTTTAAGCTTACTAATTTCGACTTCACATTTTCCATCCAGGCACCTTGACGCCACCCTCTCGCGTAGTAGATCCAGCGCCCCTGCCCAGTTCCCATCCAGCAACTCCACATTGCGCAGGTAGACTCGCTCCATCCTGCTACCATCCAGCTTGCGGAAGAAATTTTCTAGCTTGCCCGGGTCTAACGAGACGTCCGAGATAGAGAATCGCTTAAGGCGCGGCCAATTAGCGGTGGCAAGGATGGTACCTATGCGATACAAGCCGCCGTCGTTAACATTTGATCCGTGGAAATAGAGGCGTACGTCTTCGATGTCATGCCCAGAGAGAATAGCGCAGAGGTACTGGTCGATGGGGCAGTGCTCCTCGGGTCGGAGATGGCGGTCGCGGATCGGCGGTTGGTTTGTACTTAAAAAGAATTCCGTGAGGTGCTGGCTTGCAGAGCGGAGGTCTGGCCAGGAGGGGTTATTTGGGTCATGGCTAGGGCGAATCATGGAGTAATTTTTTACGGTCGGGAAGCAACGGATTAGTATGTCGAGGACGGTTGCGCCTGCTTTGTGGATGGCGATTGGTAGCTCAGAAAGGATTTTCGCGGGTAAGAGTTCTGCCCCTCCTTCAAGATTTTCAATTGTCCGCCAGTCCAACGGAATGGCCATAAGTCGGGGCAGCTCGTCTGGGTGGGTTGACATACGAGTTGGGTCGTCTGAACATCGGTTCAGGTAATCCCAGCCACCTATTTCGTCGACGAAATGTAAAGAAGTGCCATGTCTCATCCGGGATATCGCCAACGCCAAGGTCTCAACGAAAGACCCGTCCATGATCAGTCTAAACTGCTCTTTGTGCTTCTGCTTATACTCTTCGTGACCCTGCCGGAGGATCTCCTGATACTTAAGCGTATCCTCGTCCGTCGAAGCCACATCCGGCTGGCCAATATACTCATCCCACGCTGAGATAATAGCGCTGTAATCTGCCATCGCCTTATTATACACCCTTAGAGGCTGTTCACACACCGTCTCATCATCGGGATCGTGTCCACCTAGATACCACGTCTCAGCCTGGTAGTCACAGCTACTGCTCAGTGAATTTAGGTCATTCTCCCGCTGGTTTTTGTACCGTGACAGGTCCTCTGCAAGTTCTTTCGGGCAGTAGTGGAGCACGACATCAATGCTGCGGACCCCCGCTGCAATGAGCGGTGCCCTTGAAATCTTATCTGCGCAGTCAAGGGATGCCTGATCTAGTTGCACCGTGAGGATTGGGCATAGAAACGGCGATCCAAGGCGGTTGAAGAGAGTACAGACAAGACGAGCGCTTTGAATGGTTTTGATGTCGTGGTCATCGCGGCGAATGTGCAATTTTATGTTTCTATCATTGTGGACGTGGTCGAAAATACTAAGGAGGATATCCATTGGAAGATGGAGAATGTGCATAGGCCGCGTTTTGTCGCGGGGGTATTCATGATTCGCCATATCTCCGGCATTAGAGTCCTCCATTATCGTTGACATGGCTAGTTTCTGTTTGTAAGACAACTCATACGGCCTCACGATTGAGATATATATGCGGCAAGATCGCTGTGCTACGCCGCGGCTTGGGGTCCAAAGCTTCCCTCGACTTCATCCGGATGACTCACGCGGCGTATAATTATTTTCTGCTATTCAAATGGTTTCTATGTGCGCTCTTCAATATATCGCCGTCAGGAAACGTTGGTTAACATCTCAGGCGTGCGCTCCTATCGTAGTTTTCAGCTTATTTGTTGGTCTATTTGTCGTCACTACTTTGTAAGCTTGTCAAATCAACCGGGACGATCCGATCCGTGCACCATTCCTATTGATAGGTTCCCCAAATCCAGTTTTCCATCTCTCCGTCTTACCCTTCGGAGATAGATTCACAGCAATACAGGCTATATCAGGGAAAGGCGATAATGCGCAATATAAACCATTCCTATCCCCCCATCTTGTCTTGGTAGTATTGTGTGTCATCAAACTAGGGCAACATTATATCAATATAGTACCATCAAGTGACATACACTTGACAATGCTACTTATCACTCTCCAAGCCGTGTGCTGCTCCCTGCTGCTCCTAAATAGCGGTGCCTTTGCCCAGCAGACAATCGGGGGCCAGTGTGCGTCCCCAAGCATCATCTCGACTACTTGAAGACAGGGTACTCCCTAGTCACCACAAGGCTGAAAATGATTTTTCAGCATTGTGGTGAGGCTCGGAAACCCACATCAAAGTGTTATATGAGTTTGAAAGGTGCAACGAGCTCGGGTGGTGCTGTAGATCGAGGGGTCCTATTATACTTCAAATTGACGCCCTCCGCAACTAGGCGCGACGGCGACGACGTGATCGTAAATTTCAGAGTAGCTAGGGTTTGGGCTATTTAGGAGGTGGTCACACAACATGACTGACACAAAAATACTAGAATTTTCAATGGACTTACAAATTTAGAATCAATTAAATTCAAAGTACTAATATTTGTCCTGTCATGGGGTGCGTCCCTCAATGCAGGGATGCACGTTATGAGAGGCCAAGAGCTGCACGGAGCAGCTTTCTTATATTATCTGCTACCTTGTTGGTCTTCGAACCAATAATTATGCCAGCTTCTCAGTTTATGATATATAATTGCTAACAAAGCGTATGACTTACTAACTATTCGCTTTATTCCCACCGAACTGCAAAAACGCGCAATAACACCTAACTCTCGATTGCGCGCTAAAACAGAACATCTTGAAGCCTGAACCACTGAATATAGGAAAGCAAAAGTTGCTTCTTCGGGCTAGCTTCGCGCGAGGACACAAGTAGGACCTGCCAAGGATTTGTAAATGGACCCGTTAAAATAAGGTTCCGCCGGCGCGGACGTCTGTCTTTGGTTGTCTTCAAAAGGGCGTTTACTTCCTTACTAATCAACTCGGAGGATTAGGATCGCGGATGAGACGGGAGTGCTTAGGCAAGGAGGTTGGTTGTACGTAAGGACGAGAGTTGGGGATTGGAGATAGTGATGATGCGGTCCTCACTCCCTCGTTCGCGCGATTCTTGTGCAACCTCACTGGTCTCAACGGTGCTATTACTGCATTCCTTGAGAACCAATGTGCCAGTGGTTGATCTCAGGTGTATATTCGACAGGGTAGATCTTCTTCATTCTCCACAACAATGTGCGGGGGGTTGATAGGTGAACCCACATGGTGATTGTCAGAAACAACGGGGCAAAAGGAACGACAACAGAACGAGAATGAGGGCTGAGACCTGTCAAACAGCAATGTTGATTATAAGTTAGGGAAGACAAATGGCCATAATTCCATTGGCCTGGGCCATATTTTCACTGCATATATGTGGTGTGAGTAACACTGCTCTGTTAGTTCCTCATTCACGAACACCACCGCTCAACCTACGAACACCCCTCGATGCTGGACACTTTTCGAGCTACATGGCCCTATTGCCACAGTAGCTATGAACTCCCCTACAATACCAGGAAGTTAGAATACCTCAACTACTCTTGCTGATATCAAGCCTCGGTTATATTTGTATGCGGAGGTCCTACTGTGCCACCAGACAGTGTTTTAAGAATTTCACAAGTAGAGATGTTGGTTGAGCAATAATAAAATTTGCAGTCTTTGTGCAACCTTTCTCCAGAATCGTCTTATATAAAGTTCTCTCCTGAGATGCGAGATGCGAGAAGAAGATCTTTTTGAGGAGCTCTCATTATCATGTTATCAACCTCATAAAGCCGAATACTGCTTGCAGCTGTTCTCCCAGACTTATATCCAACTTTATACAACCAGTGCTCTTTCCAAAAACTCCAAACTCCATACCCAAACTATCTTAAAACGACCCCTACAACAACTCGAGCTTCACTCTAAAAATGACCAGATTATCCACCCTCCCTTTTGCCCTCCTCGTTTTTACCACAACCTTCACCACCGCCCTCTCAGCAGACTCCACCAACCCTCCCAGCCTCGAATCTCTCAATCTCACCACCCCCAACCCTCCCAGCCTCGAATCTCTCAATCTCACCACCCCCAACACCCCCACCACCTTCACCGACCTAAACACCTGCGACACCGTCCAACTAACCCGCGCCAACATCCTTTTGGGAATAAACTACCTAATCTCTCTCGGCAACACGCCCTGCGTCGTCGGGCAAGAAAGCGTCGTCTTCGTGACGAAGGGAGATGTGGCGATCACGGGGTATAATGGGCTTATGGGCGGGACCGCATCGGTGCCCTGTAATGATGTGGGGATCTCGGCGAGATGGATTGTTAGTCATTGCGCGTCGGGGCCGTTGGCGTTTGGGGGGGCTACGACGGCGATTGGAAAGAAGGAGGTGGTTATTAGGATTAGGAAGGCGTAGGGGGTGGTGGGTTGGTGGGGGTGTAGTGGAATAGATTTGATAGAGATTGATCTTCAACTTAGAGCCATCATTTTTTTGGTTTGAGGTTGCAGATGTCATTGCCTTGTGCAATCAGAGCGGACTAAAACCTGCTATCCCCCTATTTCTTTTCTCCCTCCAGCTCCCCCGCTGACAACCTTCTGCGATCCCCTTAACCCCTATCCTTTCTCAGGTACTGGCAGTAGTAGAACACCAGTACAACAATCCACAACACCACACCTAAGTAGCCGAAGTGCTCTGGATCACCAACCCATTATCAGACTTGAAATTAACATGATACACCACCGGTGGTTCCGCAACCAGCGACTTCACAATCACCCCTAAGGCCGCATAATCGGCTCCCGACTTCTCAAACTGATGGTGCGACTCGATGGTATCCCAATCTGGCCAGAGAGTTAGTCACACAATTCGGCACGTTACACGAGGCCCGGACCTCAGCTCAGAAGGAGGGGGGAGGTACTTATGAGCATCTGGACGTTGTCCGGGGACTCAACCCTACGTCCCCAGGCGAGATGCAGGAAGCCGGGTTGGCGCTGCAGGAGGCGGGTGAATTCGGGCATTTGGTCTTCGATGGAGGCGTTGGGTTGGAGTTTGAATTGGACGATTTCGGTGATTGGTTGGGACATGGTGGACGGGGGTGGGATTGGTGTTACTGTGAGGTGTGTGTGTGAGAGGCTTGCTGGTGGTGGTGCGGTGGGTAATAGGATGGGGGGATTGCTGGTGGTGTTTCAATAGGTGATGGGATGTGAGGTTTGCTGGCAGTGTTGCAGGAGAAGAGGGAGACTTGCTGGTGAAAGAGGGAGGAATTGTTCTTGTCGTGGGAGGGGGAATTGTTGACTTTATATAATTGCTTGACGGTTCATGCCCAACACTGCCGCACACGGCAGGGAAAGAGGTGCAACATACCAGTCCCTTTCAGATGTACAGGCATAGTCTTGAGCTCAACTCATAGACCATTCAGCAAGAACCGCCGAACGACTACTTACTCTCTCTTGCTCATCTTGGCACTCACTTCAAAATGGAGAACACGGAGCTCAGCCATCTTTCGCACAGTTGTGTCCAGCATTCACCATCTCATCTCAGTACAGAGTAAGTAGGAGTATGGATTCACATGGTAATAAATTGGTAATGAAGGTTTAGAAATCTATGCTTACATATATCTCGACCCCCTTCTGGCGCAGCAACGGCACTACCAGCCGCCTTACGCCCGATTAGGAAATTTCTGCGACCAAGGGAGCTAAGTGACAGGCATATTTGTCTCCACACCCAACGATCGTTAGATCGTAGTAACGGCACGGTTCGTCTTGGCGTCATTGGCTGATTTTTGGTACTCGGCGGAAGATACAGATTGTTGCTTAGAAATCACGATCATGCCTCCGCATTCTCATTCGCCATGTTTGTGAGTATCTAATCGTTGTAGATATTTGTAAACAGTAATTGCGTCATATATATATTTTTATTTACACACTGACGGTAAAGAATATAAGTATCATCTCTCTCTCTCTTTCACATTTTTTATATTCCGTCAAAGCATCTTGTTTCTTGATATCTCTCTACTCTCAAACAGACCTCAACCTGTGAATACCTACAGAGAAATGGGTACTCCGACTAAAGCAACGGCATCGCTCCGCCTTCTCTTGACAGGAGCCACCGGGTACATGTAAGAAAGAAGCTTCCAGCCAGTGCTCAATTCGTGCACGATCTCAATTCTGACCTTGTCAAACAGCGGAGGCTCCGTCCTAACCACGCTGCTTGAATCAAAGCATGAGTCGATTCGGGACCTTGACATTTCTGTTCTCGTGAGAGACGAAGAGAAGGGCGCTGTTCTTGCAAGGGACGGTATCACTTCTATCTACTTCACGGGCTTTGACGATGCGGGCACTATTACGGCTGCGGCGAGTGAGCATGACAGTAGGTCATCGAGAACGTGAGAATGTTCCTGAAACTAATTAAGTCCCCAGTCGTTATAAACACTGCTTCTGGCTTCCACTCCGGTCTAGCCAGGGCTCTCATCGTTGGTCTCAGCCAGAGGAAAAAGGAGACTGGCAAAGAAGTCTACTACTTCCACGTACGTCACTTCAGCAGCGTTCAAACACCCAGCAGGTTCCTTTACTAATTTTTAAAGACGACCGGAACTTCCAACATCGCGGATAAACCACTGTCAAAGGAGTACCACGAGTCCCGCATCCTCACCGACAACGATGACCTCTACAGCTACCTCAAAACACGCGAGGCCGCCGAGCCGTATCAGCAACGCACCACAGACCTAGTCGCCATCGACACAGGCCTCGAACTCAATGTACCAACCCACCTCATCATGTCCCCAACCATCTACGGCGACGGGACCGGCAAGTTCAATCGCAGATCCATCCAGCTGCCCATACTCATCCGCACGTTCATTAAATCAGGGCAAGCTGTTGTTATGGGTGATGGGGCAGGAGTATGGGATGCTGTGCATATCGCGGATCTAGCGCCTCTCTATGAACTCCTCCTCTTTAAGGCTCTTTCGGGCGAGAAGATACCGTCTGGAAAGAAGGGTATCTATTTCTCGGAGACGGAGGATTATTCGTGGAAGCAGCTGTCTCAGGGCCTGGCAGACGAGTTGTTCAAGAAGGACCTCATCAAGACGAATGTGGTGAAGTCGATTTCTCTCCAGGAGGGCGCTGATTTGTGGACGGGCGGTGATAAACAATACGCCGAGCTGGGATTTGGATCCAAGTGAGTTTTTGATGTGGTTAGATTGTGGTCTGGATAGTGCTGACATTGGAATAGCTCGCGGTCTCGTGCTAAGCTCAGTCGGGAGCTTGGGTGGGCTCCGAAGAGGACAAAGGGGGATTTTATGGGGAGTTTTAAGGGGGAGGTGGAGGCTGTTGCGGCCGAGTTTAAGAAAGCTTGATTGAGGCGGGGGTAATATCTTGGATGCGGAATGGGCAAGTATTGCATGTCTTAATATTTAGTGTGCATTTACATTGGGGTGGATTTGAAATTATGGCGCTTTGGGGAGGCTTGGTGCTGAAATGAATATATGCATAAACTGCTATTTCGGAATTCCATCTTGTACGCCCTGCTTCAACTTCAAGATAATATCGACTATCAGGTCATTGCACGTCTTCAACAACCTTTTCAGCACTATCTAATTTGCAATTATGCCAACATTGCTGCAAGATCGAAGCTCGAGATCTTCTTCAACAACCCGAAAGAGCAGCGAAAGTCGATAGTCTCCAGAGTACATGGGGATAAAACTTTCGCGTAGTCATGGGCAATATATGACTCCATATGTCGAGATCATTTCTCGGGGGTCTAACTAAACTGGGTGTTAAGCTAAATCTGAGTGATGAGAAGAATTCTCTCGAAACGCAGATCAAAAAGCGGCTATCTTCTGAGGAGCGCTGGTGAAGAATGGATGAGTCTTTACGATAAGTATCAAAATGAAGGATCGAGTCAAGCTTCGGGTTCTCGAGCGCTACCAAGAAGGATATCTGACAGCAACAGCAACTCGCAACAAGAATGCAGCGACAGCACTAAACAATCAGTGGTGAAATTTCAGCACGGCGGTTTGAAGACTGCAGCGATAGAGTGTGCCGCAGTTGTAAATTCGTATGTGCAGAAGGCACGGGTTTGCGCAATTTGATACGCTGAGCAGGTTTCATTGTCCAGAGTTAGACACCTTCAGGCTGGGCTAAGAAGATTTCTGCCAAGAGGAGTAGAGGAAGATTTTTCCCTATCCAGTGTGCTATATCAGTATATAAAAGCACCTGAGTGGCAAGTAATATAATTTTCTGAGTTGAGTTACCTATCTGTACTATACAACCATCGTTCCAAACCGAGCTCAAATCCAAAAGATCTCATCCACAACCTGGCCAACTACACAACCTCTAATGCGCCCCCCACTTCAAATCCAACCTCCCATCACTAACCGCATACTCCCTCAACCTCGTCCCACACTCCTCCGCCGTCCTCGCCTCAACCAAAATATCCTTCTGCCCCTCCCTCACAAACCCCGCCTCCACCGCATCCCTAATCCACGCCAACACCCCATCATAATACCCCTCTACATTAAACACCACAACAGGCCTATCATGGATCCCCACCTGGTTCCAGGTAACCACCTCCATCAGCTCCTCCATCGTCCCATACCCCCCCGGCATCGCCACGAACCCGCTCCCGTCCCCACCCTCTACAACCCGTCGAGCCATCTCCCGTTTCCGTGAATGCATGTCTGGCACTACTGTCGTTGTGCCGTAGATTGCCTCGTCAGGGACGGCTATCTGGCGGCCCTCGTGCATGATCGTCACCGTCTCCGCGGCGCGCTGCTCTTGGGCCATTAGTGGGGCGGGGATGATCCCTTCCACGGCGGAGGGTCCGGAAAGGGAGACCAAAGTGCGAGCCAGCTCTCCCATGAGCCCAGTGGTGCCACCGCCGTAGACGAGGTTGATTCCGTGCTCATGGAAATAGGTGGCGAGCGCGCGGGCCGCAGCTAGATGGGCGGGGGATTTGCCGGGCGAGGCACCGCAACTGAGAGGGTGTTAGGAGTCTGATGGGGGATAAAGGGGGGGAGGTCACGAGATGGGAGGGGGTTGGGCTTACAATACGCAGACGGTGGGTTTGGCCATGGTGGTTCGGCTGGTTGCCTGATTTTTCTTGGGTTGGTTCGAGGCGGGGGTGCGGGACTCCGGCAGGCGGGAAGTCGTGTTTATGGGTATTTATGGGGAGATGATGTGATATATATATATCAATATTTAGAAGCAATATCTTCGATACTTTAGGCTGTGACTCAGAAGCTTGGTACCTGCCTGTTGCGTTGGTAAGGCTCACATTCGACGTCGGTAACCACGTCGAGTTACCAATGGCGACAAGTCTGCGTTGTCATGGCTTGATTTTCAGCTCCGCTTTATTGTCATCTGACATAATAATTAGGGCGACAGTAACGATCCCAATTGTGATATACGAATTACGACTACTAGAAAAGTCAATTGGAATATTCAATAAAATGGGGATAAGCAAAATCGGCAGTTTTTCTGTTGTATGGACGTTCTCCGGAGGTTATCAAATTACCGTGGCGGACCCTCTGGGTAAATGGAATCGTCAAGGTGGATACCATTAGAAATTAAACCCCAGGGGTAGAGAATAAAGTATCATAATTATATTATTATACGTCAGATCTCACATTCATGCCCATACCAAAGAATGGGGATCAAATCATCTCTTGTACTTCCGACCAAACGGACTTCAAGTGTTCGTTTGAGACACCATCAAGCCATAGAAACTCAATCAGGACGTTCCTAACAGTCTCAAAAAGACTAAGCCCCTGGAACGAGAGGGCCTGAGCAAACCTTCGCAGAAACCAAGGAGCCATCTCAGTTCCGAAAGCCGCCATATTTCCCATATACAATATCCAGGTCAAGAGCTCTGGCTGCTGCTGTAGCAATACCTCCATGTTTGCCCGGCTCAAAGTCCTCTTCATACCCGCTGCCAGCAAAACCGCATTGGGAGTATTGTTATGGAGGAGCACGATTTCGACAAATACCATGGCAGCAAGGCGACAAGACTCAAAAACCGTAGACCCTCCCATCGCCAGTAGGCCCCCAAGCCTTTCACCAACTCCAAAGCAAAGACTGACAAATATAGGTATCTCAGAATGCACTTTGGAGTCTGAATAGTGAGCTACTGCTGCGAGACATCGAAGATCATGCAGTATGTCAGTAATGCCTTTGAAGACCTCGTGGTCAGCTATTATTTTTTGAAACCCACGGCATACTATGCCAATGGTAGAGCGAGGAGTCTGGAGCATAGGATTGCCGTAAAGTCGGATATTGGGCCGCTTTGTGAGCTGCCGTGGAGGTGCATGGCAGAGTGCGGCAGCTGTCAGATCAGTCCTTAATTGATAGTCAGTTAACGCGCTCGGGAGAGGAGCTCAGGTAGATGGAATACCAGAACAGCATTTCCCGGACTTGGTTACTCGGCTCAAAGTCAGGATTGAGAGCAAGCATCCTCTCTAGGCCGTTCATGTGTAATTTAGTCTCCTCCGCGTTGTTACCGTTGTTACATAAAATCTACTTAATGGTCAGCAAGATAAGTGTTGAGGCTTAGAACTTGCGTACAACTTGGCCAACATATCTGGCTACAGCCGTCAACGTAACATCGTTGACAGCTTCGTTGGGATCTCCAATTCTCTTGCTCAATAGTGATAATGTCTCAGTCCTATGGGTCACCACATCCACACTATCCATCGCGTCTATTCCGAAAATTGTTGACATATGAACGGCGCACATGTAAATAAAGTGTGCACTGGAGCAATAGCTGGTCGGACAAGATCATTGGAAGCCAGACATCCGTCATCGGATCACCAGGGCCAAGCGCAACGAACGCATTCCTCATAGTGTTCGTACCTGAGTTCCGTTTAGATTCAGATCACCATACTAGCTGGTGAGGATTTCGGTGTCACATACAGTATTCCAAGAGTTTTAGAGTAGAAAAATGTAGTTTGACTGGCAGACTCTCAAATGGATCTAGATTTGCTCCCAGTCTTTCAATGCTCCAGGCAGTGTTGCTTGCTGGTTCCATGATGAGGTTGGTTTATTCGGCGGATCTGAGTGCATGATATTGATATCAAGATTTTGGCCGTCGTCCCGAGTCTCATTTGACACAGGTCCATACTGGCCCGTTTGACTTGGATTCCTACCACTACTTTCTCTGTTTCTAACTCCAACAGAGCTATTAGTTAACCTAGGATATGCCTTTCGTCTCACATTCGAAGTCATATCACTGATAATTACCCCCGTGATAGTCCCCGGGCAAACACGCCCACTAGATGTACACTTCGTGCAATGTGGCGTAGTCTCATCGCACTAGTATTTGGCATACTGTCAGCAATTAAAGTTTCTGGGTATGCAAGTGACCTGGCTTGGAATTACGAGAGCCAATGCTGAGAGGCCGAAGCAATCAGCAGGGGAAAAACTTGACGCACCTTGATTTTACGTTGCCGGCATACTTGGCAACCCCGGCTCGGACCACCGCTTCTAGCCATGGGAGGAATAAAATGCAAGATAAAAGTCTGAGACTCGGTTCATAAATCAAAAGTATGTAGGATGGGTTCCTTCAGGGCCTCTAACATTTCTCCCGTGGGCCTTGGGCCAGGTCCTCAACGTCTTGACAGAGTAGTAACTAAGCCGCGACAGTCTGAACCCAAATTACTAGAGCCCATATATAAATACTTTCTCAGATGGGGAATCTTTGCTTGAGACTAGCAAGTTGTATCGAGGTGGTGGATGTGGTGGATGCTGACATATTGCATTTAGTCAGCAACTTTGCTGAATATACATGTTCCGGCCCAACCGTAAGTTGAGCAAGTTCACGAACGAGTAAACTCGAATTGGGCATATTGTCTGAAAATAATGTAAACAACTATTGGAAATCTAATAACAAATAACCAGATATATGAACATTTATTCCTCTATGTATTATACAATGCAATTCTGTTTTTACATACAATACAAGTAGTAGAGAGCCAGCATCACCACTTCACCCGCTTCTTCACGACGACGGCGTAACCTCAACGACCTCAGCACACCTCCCACATAAGTCATCCTCAGTAGGAGCCACGTATTTCCAGCACCTAGGACACTTCGCCTCCTTTGGAGGGAGAACCCATGCAATTCCCTTCCCACCTGGGACTTCGAATTCAGCCTTGAATTTCCACTCAGCCACACGCTCTTCTCCAGAGCCAAACTCGACAGATGAGACGACGAAGATTTCTTGGAGCTCGTCGGCGTAGTTCTGGAACAAATCTTGTGATTCTTTGGGTAGGGTCAGGATAACAGAAGATTGGAGAGATGACCCAACGAGTTTTTCGGTTCGGGCCTCTTCTTGAGCAGTCTTGATGGCGGCGTTGGCGGCCATCAGATGTGAGATATCTGTTGGCAGACTTGCGGGGAACTTGTAGGTGAGAAGACGTAGCTCCTCGGTGCTGCGTTGAAGGGGGTGTACAGAAGAAGTACTGTCCTTCATCCACTGCGGCCTATGCTCCCATGATTCCTCGACTAGAGCCGGTGTAATGGGACCAAGCATATGCATAAGTCCCATGAAGATGGGGTAGAGCACACCGCCTCCATTTCCACAGTACAAGCGATCTTTGATAGCCTCCAAGTAGAACGACGATAGATCCGTATTAATCCAGCGATTCAAAATGCTGACAGCCTTGTGGAAATTGTACGCCCGACACGCTTCATTGAAGCCAATCTGAGTTTGCTGCAGCTGGTACAATGCAATAGTATCCAACTTCGTCAACTGCACTTTTTCGCTGCTCTCCCTCATTGAGCCCAGGAGCATTTTGAGGGTTGTGCGGTACTTCAGTAAGGTCGAGTTGATAGCCTTGAAAACCGGCTGGCGAAGTGCAACATCATGCGTGTAGTCACTGCTCGCGACCCAGAGCCTCAATGCATCAGCTCCGAGACCATCGTATGCCGGTGGGCCAGTCGCCTTTCCCTTACGCTTTATCGGTGGCAGTAAGGTTCCATTCATGATCTCTTCGGGAGAAATAACGTTGCCAATAGACTTGGACATCTTCTTGCCATGCTCATCGATCGTGAAACCGTGGCTGACCAATGTCTTAAAGGGAGCCGAGTCCAGTCCGGATGCGCTTATGTGCGTCAAAAGACTCGATTGGAACCACCCTCTATGCTGGTCTGTTCCCTCGCTGTATACGTCTGCAGGCCCCTCGGTTTGAGTCCAACTGCTTCCGCTGTCAAACCACACATCCATGGTGTCTGTACCCCGTTTTAGGGTACCTTGGCCGCGGAGACTAGGGGGAACCCATGATACATCATCTTGAGCATCCGTCCACCATGAGTCGATGCCCCTTTCCTGGATTACCGAGATAATATGTGACACACTCTCCTGCGTTAAAATAGCCTTGCCACTTTCGTCGTACAGAGCAGGGATGGGAACACCCCAAGCTCGTTGCCGGGAAATACACCACTCGCTCCTCCCCTTGATAAAGCTCTCTAGCCTCGAACGGCTGTTCTCCGGGATAAACTTGACATTGTCAAGGCTTTTCAGCGCTTTATCCTTGATACTGCCTACATCCGCAAACCACTGCTCAGTCGCACGGACTATCACAGGAAGCTTCGTGCGCCAATCGTAGGGGTATTTGTGCTCGTGCTTATGAACCCCAAGGACTTGGAATCCCAAAAGCGCGAGCACAGCTTCATTGCCGCCGCCAAGAACAGATTTTCCGGCCAGCGCGGACGGATTGTGAGGTAATGCCTCGTCCGTGAAGCAGCCGGCATCATCCACGGGCGCGGAAGCCTCGATCCCCAACTTTGTGCACACGTCGTAATCTTCCATTCCATGGCCGGGAGCAGTGTGAACAAGACCCGATCCACTCGCATCCGACACGTAGTCTGCGAATATCAAGGGCTGGATTGGAGCATTTTCGCCATGGAGGGCATTGACATATGTCAGTCCCTCGAGTTCAGAGCCTTTAATCGATTCGACAACCACCTTGAACGACTCGGGGAATGCGCATTTCGCCGCAACATGCTCGAGGCGTGACTTGGCAATCAGCAGTTGTTCACTGCCGACTTCCACCACTGTATACTCGAGGTCAGGGCTGACGGCAATTGCTTTGTTCGCGGGTAGAGTCCACGGCGTAGTAGTCCATATGACAGCATGTAGGCGCTCAGTATCCACCCCCCGAGCCTTCAACGCCTCCGGCACCGCCACAACCTGGAACTTGATATAGGCCGTTATCGACTCATGGGCCTCATTATACTCCAACTCCGCCTCCGCCAACGCGCTCTTCGAAGACGGCGACCAATAAACAGGCTTATACCGCCTAAAAATCAGTCCCTGCCTCGTCATCTCCAAAAACACCTCCAGCTGCTTCAGTTCAAACTCCTTATCCATCGTGACCCAGGGATTCTCCCAGTCTGCCATTATACCCCACTCCCTAAACCCCTTCTTCTGCTCCTTCACTGTTTTCCGTGCAAGATTCCGCGCGGCGCGTCGGATGCCTATGGGGTCGAGGTTTACCTCTCTATCTTCGCTCTTCGCGCGGACTTGTTCGAGGGCTTTGATTTCGATCGGGAGGCCGTGGCAATCCCAGCCCGGCACGAATTGTACCTTGCGACCTGCCAATGTGTTAGATTAAGCTTCAATGTGTGTGTGTGCCGCGGCTGTACCTTGCTGGAGCTCTGTTCGGCAAATAAGATCTTTCAGGATCTTGTTCACGGAGTGGCCAGCGTGGAGGCTGCCATTGGCATATGGTGGCCCATCATGAAGCACAAACGGCTTCTGCTGGGCGCGAACCTTCGCCTGCCAGGCGTACAGGTCATCGGTGCATCGTTGGAGATATTTAGCTTGGTCGGCCGGCTTCGTTCGAGGGCTAGATCGGTGCTGTGTTAGTACTTCGGGACTATGAGGGTGGCTTCCAATGGGGGCTTTATTTTGGCTTACGGGAATGTGGACTTGGGCAATCTGATTGTTGAAGACCAGGATTTAGCTGAGGGCACCCTCATCATTGGCACTGGCCCATGGCTTTGGGGTTGAGCTTGAACTTTTTGGGTCCGCGGCGCGGTTCGCGGTTCACACTGAGGTGGGATGAGGCTGCAAGGCCACAACAATATTTTTACAGGGTCGTCCCCCACTCCCTGCAAACCACTTCAACTTCAGGGGCCAAAATTCAACGTATAAAATGGCAAAATAATAAAAAACATACAACATATAACATATAACATACAACAGTGGGTATTCGCTAGTGGTCACCCACGTAACTACTAATCTACTGATCTTGGGCAAACACCTAGATATTACTTAAATCGGTGCCATCTGGGCTAGCAGGTAAGCCTCGCCGCCCTTACCCTTATTTCGAGATGGCGACCACTTTAACTACCTCAACTATCCAAAAGTAGGTCCATTTTTAACAACGCGTTGTAACGCAACATTAGATGCACGTAGGTGAGCTAGGTAAGTAGGTAAGCATAGTGAGTAAGGTGAGTAGGGTAAGTAAGGTGAGCAAGGTAAGTAGGGTAAGCTAGATAGGTAAGGAAGCTGAGTATAGCTAAGCTAGGGAAATGGTATAAAGGGCCAGTCTCCTACCTTTATATTTTAAGGTCCTCTGTCTACAACTTTGTGTTTTTTTTTTAATATCTACTATAATAGGATAGAATATAAGGATGCCTCCCCTAGGGGGTACTTATAGGATTAGGACTTAGAGCTGTTATAGAGTTATATACTATAGAAGTAGAGTAGTATAGTTTTATAATATATAACCTAGTAGAGTTAGACCTATTTCAGATACTAAGGGGGAGCTACTATAATAGGTTCCTATTTCTTCTTTATCTTTTTTATATCCTTTGTAGTAGACCTATAGAATTATACTAACTCCTATCTAACTTATACTTCTATATACTACTTCTTATAATATAGTACTCTATATCCTTATATAGAAAGCCCTTACTCCTAAAGATTAGCTTACTCTTATAAGGACATAAGGTACTACTTATAATAAATAGCATATAGAAGTATAAGTTAGAGGGCTTGGAGTGGACTGAAGTTTCGCAGATATTACACATCATGGCCACTCATGAGAAACGTATATTTCATTGCAACTTGCCTCTATTAATGTCGTTCAAAACTATAATGTCTAAACGAATAGGAATACTGTTATTAATAATGCGATAGTGAAATTCAATATGGCAGTAGTCGTGCAGTTGTGAGATTGCTCTATTGCACTGCCTCGTATTTCCAATAATAACTCAGGCCAATACTAGGTTCCCTGCAAACTAGAACAACTTCCTAGATAATTGTTTTGCCGAGGATCCCGCAACTACGTCTACGTTGTAAAGTCTGGTTAACTGCCACTAATTTGTGATATAGCATTCACCTTAAAAACAAATCGAACTATCCTAGTCAAAATATCATCTACTTACCGATTAAAGAAACATGAACGACGTACATGTGCACTCGCAGCATGAGAGCAAACTGCTCTCTATGCTCGTCGAGATTCGCCGAGCAATATATGCTCGTATCATTCATGGCCAGACTCACGCATTTTTGTCGCAGGGCAGACTTCAACTGTCAGTATGCCTTCAGCCCAGCCTAGGGGATGACCGCCACGACGGCCGCGAGCGTAAGCCTACGGCCGAAGGATCGCCAGATACTACGTGGGCCCGCCGTCTGCGATCCTCGTGGGGGGCACATTGGGAATGTAAGGAGGCTGCCTACGCAGAGAACTTGCACGAGCATAGCCGCAATAACATAGGCAACCTTCTCTTTGTATGTAAGAAAATGTAAACAAATTCCTTTATCTATTCCTTAAGATCGCTCTTCGCTAAGTGTCACTTCTAACTTATAGGTTTCTCGATGTCTGTGACTTTGTTTCGGAGGGTACAGCGATAAACATCACAGATCTAGATACCCTGGACGTCTTGCTACAAACGCCTTTTGAGCCGAGTAGTGACCTAAACCGCCCCTGGAACTTCTGGGATCACACACGTCCTGCTATTCATAAGCTGAACATCGCCCTACGACTTCCGCTAGCCTTCTATGAAGCACTACAGGAAGATGAAAACTTAGTTTTGGTAACAAATCATGACACGAGCGTCGAATTAAACAAATGCGCTTCTGCGTGGGCCCGTCTCTGGCAGGCTACCTGCCAGTTGCCGCAACTACGCAGCCTTCACATATGGTTAGACCACGACGACAGACCTTCATGGTCATTCGTCAACGAACGCGTAGCCCTGCGTCAGATCATCGCTGCCCTGATTGCACGCATGCAGGCTTGCTCTGAAGAGCAAACCACGCCTCACATGGATATAACGTTTAACCTTCCAAAGTTGCATCCACGCTATGCAAGACCAGATACTCACTTTTTTGAAGAGAGCCCGCCTCAGCCATTCTATATCGAGCGACGAATTCGACAGCGCTTTCATTGCCAGGAGTGGGCCAGTGGTAGCATGAGTGCGGTATACAAAGCTGACTTCCCAGTTATGCACGAGTGGCCGGAAATGTGCGAAGAAAGTGATAAGGAGTTTCATGGAGTAGTCGGCACGACGTTGCAGGAAGACTACATGACATTAGAAGAAGTCGAGGATTTTGAGAGGAAGCTCTGGGAGAGACGTGAAAACGTCTACGACTTAATAACAGACTTTTCAGGTTTTCAAGATGAAGACAATGCTTATATGCATAGATTACAGACTAGACGCTCTTAGTAGCGGAGTTTCCGTATAGTTAGGCATACCACTATTAAACCCTTTAAATTCTGAATGTATTAGTTTATACCATTACTTGCTACTTACTGAGCTCTAGAGCTATGTATATACACCCTCTCTATGTCCTTGAAAACATCAAGTGGGATGGTCTTATATAGCTATCTATATCTTGGGGCTGAAGCAAGGGTAAGTTTGTATTTAGGCTAGAAAATATATCCAGGCAAACATGCGGACTAGTAACAGTCAAGCGGTGATACCGAGGTGCGTTCCATGCGGAGGACCACATGAATCGTTTAGTAGGAACTGCCGAGTGCTTTATCCTACCCATCATGAATAGAACACTCCAGGTCCTTCAACTGAATGTCCGAAAGCAGCGGATGGTACAACACAGCTTAATGAGCGATCCACAACTGAAAGACTTTGGAGTGCTAGCAATATCGGGACCATATGCGTGGACGACCGACAACGCAGTGATCACAGTCCCTACAGGACACCCAAATTGGACCAAAATGATGCCGACGGACCAGCGTTGGGAGAGGTGGGCTTTCCGGAGCATGCTCTGGATCCGGAAGGACATCGAAGCAGAGCAGGTACTACACTTGCCTATATCTCACCTTGATGTCGTTCGAGCCACTCATGGTCATGCGTAATACCCATGTAGCTACTCCTGTACTAGCGCCAAAGGCGCATACAGATCGTCGAATATTCTTATGATGCCAGCTTTTACATGCATTAACCCTGTGCCAATCCCTATCATCAACTTATCATTCAGTCCCCTTATACCCTCGCCATAGTAACTTAGCATCCTCGGCATTGTAATTCGTAGCCTAGTTAACCGATTTAGGGAAGGGGTAATTTATTCCTCGCAGGAGCTGATAGAATACACGAGGAGAATAATCAGTTTGCCTGTATGTACCGCATTAAATAGGATTGGTACCAACCATATAGGAATATGACAACACACCAGGTCCAAAAACGTGCCACAACAAGTCGTCATCTCGTGGCATTATCCCGACACAACTTGAGACATTCCTACTTGATAATAGTGAAGAGGATAGATAGCATGGCCTCTATAGTGCACGGAGCGCACTAGAACTGTCCATTACTAGCGCCGGTATTAAGGTACTGACGTGCTGACTCTAAATTGCGGAGTCCTTGGACAGTTTCATCGGCCATGTTCTCATCTGAACCTCAGCCAGGGTCACCATACAGGAAATAAACTTTACCAAGAAAAGTGGGAAGAGGCTTGTCTACCTACCCCGATCCCTGTGGGGATTTACCTTACATATTCGAGTTCGACCAAGGTTTGTGCCGTTGTTTCGCGGACTATACCTATTCTGGAAAAACTGAGGTCGCGGTTCCTGACTCAACATGCCGCGTATCACCATTTAAACATGGAGACGAAGGCACAGCTGAGTTATTTGAATCAACATAGCAGGTGTGTAAATGGTCTAAACAGCTTTCCCCCGCTTTTGGCCGAAATTAGCTATTCGAGTAGGGAAGGTCTGACATTGCATGACGGCATATCTCTCCGAACCGCGGGGTATCGCGTGGTGTTCTGAACCCAGTTCTGCGGGGCTGGGATGGAGAGATATCAGTATAGCAGCGTGTAAATGGTCAAGACAGCTTTTTCCCCTCTTTTTGCTGTCGAAACTAACTATTCGAGTAGGAGAGTTCTGACATTGCATGACGGCAGCTCTCTCCGAACCGCGGGGTATCGCGTGGAGTTATGAACCCACATATGCGGGGCTGGGATGGAGAGATATAAAGCATCCATTGTATCACCTTGGAAAAGTCTTAAATATTAAGCTTTCCTGGGTGTTTTCAGGGACATTGGCTTGCTCTTTTGCCTCCCAGTTGAATTGCACCGCGCGATTATCAAATCCCAACATGAAGAATATTTTCTTCACCCTCGCGTCCTTGCTCGCGCTGGTTCCAGCTGCCCTGTCCCAGTGCTTCCCGGACACAAACACCTTTTCTCCCATTCCCTATGCAGGGCCCAGCCAAGTTCAATTCACATCTTGCCCAAGCCAGGCAGATGGCCCAAGGATCTTTCCACTCAACGCGACGACGTTCGATTGGTGGTACTTTGACGCCGTCTCTAGTGATGGAACTCAGGCTTTCACGGTCATCTTCTTTACCTCATCTGCCATTGGGTTCAGCTTCGACTTCTTCAGCACCGTCGATCCCTTGAACGTCTGGGTATTTGCAACCTTTGCGGACGGAACGCCTCCTGCGGTCTTCCCCGTGCCAGCAGTGTCGGTTACTACCACTACGAATGGCGATGGAGCGTCGGGAGACTGGAAAGGAAGCGGCATCAGCTTTAAAGGAGCTCCCGATCTCAGCTCCTACGTTGTGAACCTGAACAACCCACTTATTGGCCTCACTGGCACCTTCACCCTGAAATCGGTATGCGCTCCCCATGTTTTAGATTCAGGTCTATTTCCAGCTAACATTTGACCCTTTCAGCGTGGTCCGGGACATTATAACTGTGGCCCTCTTGGACCTGGCCAGGATGAACAGTCACTGCCCAATATCGGCTGGGTTAATGTTATGCCAGGTGCTGATGCAGTGGTGGATGTTAAGGTCCTTGGCAAGCCCCTGAAGTTTACGGGACATGGATATCATGACAAGGTAGGCGGTCTTCGGTGGTCTTGATACTTTATTGCGATGCGATACTAACAATATCTTAGAACTGGGGAGACGTCCCCTTCATCTCAGCTCTGAAGAGTTGGTACTGGGGCCACGCGAGCGTTGGTGGTTACGACCTCGTTTTCTTCGACATGATCGACCCATCAGGAGCCAACAAGGTCGGTGGTTATGCTCTGAAGGATGGCCAAGTCGTCGCGTCTACCTGCACAACCGGTGTTAAGATCCGACCTATCGACACCCCATATCCTCCAACCATCTTCACTACTGTCCCCAAGGCGTTGACTCTCAATATGACTCTTAATGATGGGAGTCACCTGGATGCTGTCTTGACTCAGACGTCGACGCAGATTAATATCGGGATATATGTTCGTTGGGTTGGTACTATTGAGGCCACTATTGGAGGTGTTACCGCAACCGGAGCGGCGTTGTGGGAGCAATTTGCTGTTTCTGCAACATAAATATAGGAAGCCCTTAAGGCGGCAAGGAGCTTAGGTTCCACGCCATGCCTATTAGCACAATTTAGAGAGTATTAAGCCATGAATTTTAAGCTTGTATACGGCAGAGCAGACGGGATGCACAATTCTCTTAAGTCCATGATCGTATGTGACAGTTATGTGTACTTCCAGGACTAAATACTGCTGTAGCTGACTATCATTTCTGCTTCTTGTGCCTGAGAACATCAAAATTTACAGTTTATAGTTATTCAGCATATGCGCATAGTAAAGCACAGTATTCATACCGATCTAAATGCATAATTGAAATTTTATTCTCGACCAACTTCATACAGAACCGAGGGAGACCCAAGCCCCTTTCAAGTATTACTTCAAACAGAAGGGTCCCAGAACGATACTGAACCCAGGTATCACCATAAACCTTGACAACAGAAAGACAAACACCACACTATCCCTCCGTCCCCAAGGCCGTTGCGCCGATAAAGTAGCCAGCCGCCAGTGCTCAAAAGCAAACCAAGGCCATCAATCAATCCCTAAACACCTCCCCCCACAGTAAATATCTATGATAACCCTCCCCCAATTCTCGGGCTCCTCCTCCTCCCAGTGCTTTGTGAGAACGCAGCAACGGGGATTATATTATTCTCCCTCCCCTCAAGTGGCACAACCGTTGCCCTCTTGGCCGATTTCTGCGGAAGCCTCATTCCACTAGCAGTCATGCTGCGTTTGAATGCGGGTCGTGCCTCGGCATCATTGCTGGAGGCTGTGTCGGTACTGAGGGGTACGGAGCCTAGCGACCCGGCGTGTATATTGAGATCGATTTCCCTAAGTCCGAGAGTTGGCGCCGTCTCCGATGTGGGATTGGAAGGAGGAGATACCTCTTCTTCTTTGGCTGGTGTAGCCACGTCGTTGAAGATCACTGGGATGTATTTGGTGGGCGACACCAACGGAGTAGTGGAGACAGCCGGTTGTCGGACATTTTCTAACAGCTTCTCATGCGGCTCTGTGCGAGGCAACGTTGTTGGGAACTGATATTGCTGCTTGAGTGGAGTGTTGCCTGTAGGGACGTATTCCTGGAGAAGAGTGCTGACGATGTTTGAGCGTAATTCTGCAAGAGGCTGGCGTAATGTCGTATCGAGTGGTGATAAAGCATCTTGTAATGTGGTCGTCTTGGTTGCCATCTCTTCGCCCAGGTCCTTCACCCTGTCATATGAGGACGTAAAGTGAGTTCCAATATTGCTGTAAGAATCGCTAACAGTCGATGAAAGGTCCTTCAGAGACTGCGCATGGCTATCGTGGTGCTCGGCATTCTGTGTTCGTGCGCGGCTGACGAAGTCGTCCAGAGCCTCCATGTGAATGGCAATATCCTTCATTTGCTCGTCCACAATACGGATAGTCTCCTCATGGACAGATTTTGTTGTCGATTGGATGGATGCATTGTGCTTGTTGGCGGTCTATGTATGTTAGCAGAGTTTCGATTACATCGAGCAATGTACTTACTATCCAATCTTCCTTCAGCTTTGTCTTCAAGTTTTCGCGAGACAGGTGAACTTCTTCCACAAGCTTCTGCTCCTTCTCGTTCCATGCATCCATACTCTGGTTATACGCAGACCTAGATGCCTCAAATGTAGCCTCAGAGCTCTTGATACTTTCCTTAACCGCAGTGACTTTAGCTTCAACTCTAGCATCTTGCCTCTCACCCTGAGACATAACAAGAGTGGTGATCTGTCGGAGGAGGTTCTCGCGATCTGTAGCAGCTTGCTCACGCTCCTCAACAATCACGCGTTCCAGCTGGGATGTTGCCGCAGAGTTTGACTCCACCAAAGCTTCGCTAGCTGCATTGAGTTGATTTCGAAGGTCATCGGCTTCGGCTTTCTGCGAGTTAACGTGCTTGATAAGATCTTCAAACATGCCCTTGAAGTCGCGACCAAGTGAGCTATAAGACGTATGGAGCTGGGAATGGAAGGTGTCAAGTTCACTCAACACCTCGCCAGAAATGCGTTCAGCAGCACCAGAGAGGCCCTGCAATCCCTCCCCGACGCGGGATTTAACAACTTCCCGTAAGACCTTGATTTCCTCAAGAACCTCATCCATCTTATCCTTTGCCTGGCTGGTCTGCTGAGAAACCTCTCCCCGCGATGCTTCGAATAAAGCCACATTCTCACTAAGAAATGCTTGCGTAGCCCCAAGCTTCTCCAGCTCCTCCTGAACAAACGACTGCATCCTGGTGGAAACACTTGCCATGAGCTCCTCCTGCTGCGCTCTAAATTCTTCAACACGAGATTCGACCAGGCTTGTCACATCGGAAACTTGGGTCTGCGAGAGACCCCAAGTGCTTCTATTTATCGATTGGAGGTTGGACTTCCTGCGGATTTTCGAGTGAAGGCTGCCGACATCGGTGACGGTCTTCTCCAAAGTAGATATCAACGTCGAGCCGACTTCTGCCAATTCCTCCTCGGTGCGCTCATGCGCTTTCCTTAGCATTTCTTCCTCGGATAGAAGCTGGCGGGTTTGGGTAAGAACGGTTTCGGTTTGCTCAAGTACGTCTTTCGTCTCGTCTAACGTTGCTCGCGTGCCTTCATTCTCCCTCTTGAGGTTCATAAAGTTGGCGGTCAGTGAATGTAGATCCTGGACCTTATTCCGGAGGTTGATTTCCATCGTCTCAATCTTCGCGCTGAGTTCTTCACTTAATATCCTCCTCGACTCTCTCTCCACCGTCATTTCTTCAAAGCTTTCGTTCGTCATATAAACTCCATTTCGCTGCCGTGTGGCAATCAGCTCGCTCTTTAATTTTTCGATCTCGCTGGTGAACTCCTTGAGCAGAGTCTTCTTGTCTATCTTCGGGTTGACTTGTGGTTTATTCCGGATGTTCTTCGCGCGGAAGGCATAGTCCAGAGTGGATATTGTCTCCTCGAGGTTGCTCTTAGCTGGGGAGACAGTCGCAATAATGCAAGTCTTGGTCCGTCCTCCAAGCGAATCTTGCAGCAGTCTCGTGAGTTTCGATTCGCGATATGGGATATGAGAGCTCTTATCGACCAATGCATTGATAACTCGCCCAAGTGTTAACAGACTCTTGTTAATAAGACCCGCTTCGGCTGCGCGTTTGTTCTCAGCGCCACTTCGCTGAATGTTTTCGCTACCTGCCAGATCCACCAGGTTGAGCTTTCCGGCGCTGATGTAGTCCTCGCCGTTCTCGCCCGTGCGCTTGACATACGCGGTGACCGTGAACACCGTATGACTTCTACTACTGAGGTCGTTGCACTTGGTGGCTGCCACTTGACGCTTGTGACTCCCATTCTGGAGCAATTTCACCCCCTCCACCGCGCTCTTGATGTGTGCCTCCTCCATACCCTGGACGAAAGTCGCCGCGTGTCCCTTCTTGCCAGCATCCTCGTAAATCTTAAGTTTGCTGGTTTCGTCGGCGGAGATAAGGTCGCGAAGCTCTTCGTTGTAAAGTTCGATGAATGAGCACTTCACAGAGCTCTCCGCATCATCAATCTCGAGCTTGTTGAAAAGCGCGTAGAGAGCCCGAGGAATAATACCAGCCGCGTCCGACAACATGCCCAGGGTATCGTCCATATCTCCCGACATCGTATAAGTCTTCCCTGTCCCCGTCTGGCCATACGCGAAAATGGTGCAGTTGAAGCCCGCGATCATCTCATCCAATATCGGCGTCACGACATCGTCGTATATCATCGCCTGGTCAGCGGCCGGGGAAAAGACCTTGTCGAAGTGGTACGTCTTGTTGCTCAACGCGCTTGGTCCCATCAAAAGGTCGATGCTGTTCCCGCGGACACCATCTGTTGTCAAAACAACTCCGCTGTTTTCTCGGACCTCGCGGTCATTGCGCCCTCGACACCTCACAACGACATTTATGTTTGTCTCCTCCGGGCCATCGCGTTCGAAGTCCCTCTCCTTCCTCTTTGTTCCTGTCGTAGCTGCAGAAGCTATCGAGTCCGCTGGCGAGATTGCACCGTTTCGGTCCATTCGGCTGGCTGGTCGTACTGAGTTTGCCCTAGCTGTGGATGGGCGAGGACGTGGTGGGCGCATACTGTTCTTCCTTGAAGGCGCGACAGATGTCGGCCGTGGCATACCTGCCATAGGACCGTTTGTGTGTAGATGAGGCCCTGTGTGTATAGTAAAAAGAGCTTTCTAGCTTGGGCAATGTGCCCTTCGTCGAGCAGTGGGCAAGCTTCTATACCCTTGTCGAGCGATTGCAAGCGTGTAAATCGAGGTAATCGGTGCCAATGCAGCTGTTCGTTTGCTAAAACATGAGACAATACAACGTGTAAAGATATACAGGTCAGGTGTTAGAGCATCTCAGATGCAGTCCGCTCCTGACAATTTTCCTCGTAGACGTTGGTTGGTGTACTGGTTGGCGGGTTGGTGTATAGAGTACATTCGATGGTCGGTGTGGTTGAATTCGGCAGGGCAGACAAGCTCGATGTAAACAAAGCGTCGCCATAAACAGAAGGGCCCCTAAAACAGTTTAGCGTTTCGTCCCATTTGGGTTTAGGCGAAGGTGGGGCAGATCAGGCACTATCTTGGCCCTCGCAGGGCCTTATCATCATTGGCTTATCGCTGTTGCCCGCTATTGTCCACGAGTTGCTTCCTGTAACCTTAGGAGATACTGGACTGTTCACGACGATAGAAACACGACAACAAAGGCTTCTCTCCATCCTGAGCTGAGATACACTTACATACCTGTTCCTTATCGACCGCCCACAGTGGCCATGTCGCAGTTCAGCGCTGCTGTGACACCAGGAAGGTCGCTGGGGTTTCTAGGTACCGCTTCACTGCTCACCAGGCGAAAGAACAAGCAACAGTAACTAACACCCCCCCCTCAGCTCTAGGATCCTCCCTCCACGACATCGTAACAAGACTCAAAGCCGAACCCCAAACCTTCGGCAAGCTCGAACTGATCTACTCCCCCGACCACCCCGTCACCGAGCCCGTCATCGTGAGCCTCCCCACCAACGGACTCCGCCTCCGCTTCGACGGCCCCGAACAACGCCTCCGACTCATAGAGATCACCGACTTCTCCAAGAGCAAGCTAACCTACAAAAACATCGATATCGTCAAGCCCGCCAGCCCTGCCTCTCCCAGTAGCACATCATCCAGCATCCCCGACTCCTCCTCAGCGGGGCCAACATTCAAACACATCTACAACAAGCTCCTCGCGCCCTCCTACCCAGGCGACTATGTCCCCCCCGACGCGAACGGAGACGGCAAATACGGCGTCTACATCCTCTCCTACCCAGGCATAGCATTTACCTTCCCCGTCCTCGCCTCGACCTGGAACCCCTCCAAAGACTACGCCACCATGCTCGCGCTGCCCTCCACCAAGCCCGCGACCTCGATGGCCGTCTTCATCGGCGACAGCTGGGTCGAGGCGCAGAAAGTGCTGTATGACGAGCTCCTCGAAGATCCGCGCTCTTACTCCCCGAGCCATAAGGGGAAAGACGTTTACCCTGATGAGATAAGCCTCGTGAATATCTTCGGCGAGGGAAAACTCCGCCTCGACCGCGCGTGGGGGTCTACACCCTTCTGGCTGTTCCTGGGCCAAACCACACCCCAAGAACTGGTCGCCGAGTTAGGACCACCGGACGCAATATACCGTAAATCCGACCAGCGAATGGCAATCCACAAAGCGCGCGCAGGCAGCGAAAGCCAACAAACCCGCCCTCACCTCGAACCCCCAGGTCAAGATGACTCAACAGACACCGACGCATCATCGATCCGCACCGGGACCTCCGTTTCAGGGGATGAATCGGACAGCGGATCCGTGGACGGTAAAATGTCCAAGGAGTGTTTTTACAATTACTTCTACCACGGCTTCGACATCCTCGTTTCTCCCCCCACCTCCCCCTCTCGTCCACCCCCCTCCACCCCCACCGCCATCTCCGACGACCACCCCTCCCCCCCAGACCAAACACTACTCTCCCCCGCCCCCCTCGTCGCCACAAAACTAATCCTCCACTCCAACATCCCCGGCTCCTACGCATTCAACCGCCACCGTCGCTGTCGCTGGTCTCTCTCCTACCTCTCCTCCCCCTCGCCACCCACCTCTGAATCGCCCTACTCCGAGATCGCAACCCGGCTGCACGAGGAGTGGAAGTCCATATATGCGACGGAGGAGGAGGCTGTGCAGAGACAGAGGGGCATGGTGCTTAATAGGGATTGGGGCGATAGTCCGGGGAGTAGTGTTGATTTGCTTGGGGATTGGGAGGAAGGGACGACTGGGGCGGGGGGAAGGGGGGAGGGGGTGGCTAGTGCGGGGGGGAATGGGGGGTTGGGGAATACGACTCTGTATGGGTTTCCGGGGTTGGTGTTTGAAGTGTTGAGAGGGGGGGTGGTGTGTGGGTTGACTGTGTTTTGAGGGTTCTATCTTTTTAGGGGGGTGGAGGGGGTGGGAAGAGGGGTTATGGTGTTAGAGGGGGAGCATTTGAGTGCGTGGGTGGTATGGGGTTTGGGAGGTATTGATATAACAATCCGGCGGGCTATTCTTCCATCACTCGAGGCGAGCATGCTATGTATATACCTATCACGTTATGCTTGTTTGAATGCCATTACTATCAGCCAAAACCGTCAATCCCACAGAAGTTATCTCACATAAAATGAATGTCGACCGACTGAAGCAAAACACATAAGTTCACAACCACGCATCAAAAGCAAGATCATATAATATAAAGCACATAGAATCTCAATTCATTTCTATTTTCCTATACACACCCCCCATCCCCATCCCCTTCCCTTTCAATCCCCCATCCCCAATCCCCAATACCCCATCCCACCAAATATTTCCATACCCAAATACGCCCCAAAATCCCATCCCATCCCGCCTTTCCCATCCCCACCAACCCCTCCCCGTCCCTAAATGCCTCTCCCAGATGACAAAAAACCGGATATCGTCGAATGTGATCAAGACCGTCCCACCCAAAAATCCCCCCAAAGCCCAAAAGCCCTAGATAATAATAATAAATATATGTGTGTTTCCCAAAATAAACGCCTTGCCCTTCCACGACCCTCCCCGTTGACTGATCGACTCGATGGCCGATGACTTGACCCCGGACGATCTGCATGCTATGCTGATGTGACGAAACGAAATGTGACGAAACGGGACGCCGGTGACTGGCTTCGCTAGGCGCTAGCTATATACAGCTTGTGTCGTGATGTGATGTGTTCCTCCCCATTGTGTGTGTTCGTGGCGGCGACAGGTGGAGCGCCGTCGTGTTGTGAACGGCTTCTTCATTACGCACACCACGCCTCTAGTGTGCGGTGGTATTGCCAACCTGGTAGGCGCGTCGTGTTTACCTCCAGGTGTAGCTGCGTACCCCAATGTTATTGGTGTGAGGCTTTACCACCAGTGTAGATACCACCAGAGTAGTCGAACCCCAAAGCCGAGTACTTCAGTAAGTAGGATCACGGGGTAAGTTATTATTCCTCGGCCCCGCCTCCCCCCTCGCGCGCGTCCACTCCTCATTCCCACTCTGCCTCCCCGCCGGCTGCTCAGCAGGCAGTTTCTGGTCATCGCTCGTGCTCCTCGACGTTGAGTTCGGCGGCGGTGGCGGTGGCGGGGGTTGATTCGACGTCATCGTTGGCTCCGCTACCATATCCGGGACATTGACGCGGACGGACTGCGCGATGGAAGATACCACGTACCCGCGCAATTCGCGGTCCTCGCGACTATCCTCCTTCTCGAGGCGGAAGCGCTCTTCCTTCGGTAGGTTGGCGCGGCGGAGGGTGCGGATCTCGTTGAGGATGTAGAGGAGGACCTCTTCGGGGCAGCGATTGCGGTGTTCCGCGTGATCTGCCTTGCGGACATATCTGCGCGTGACATCCGTGACGCCATCAGCAGAGAAGCCGATACAATACGAGATCTTCTTCCCCCAGCCATCAGTGTATAGCCTAGGATTATCCCACGACTCCTCACACGCATCAACATGCACCCATCTCTTCTGCATCTCCGAGTACACCTCCGTCCACACATGATCCTCGGCATTCCAGACCCAGCGTACCCGGCCACCGACCGCACGACAGAGCATGCTGAAGCAGTTGGCCCACTCGCCGCAGCGGCCGCGTCGGGTTTGCATGAGGCGCCACACGTCGCTGTAGCGGGGGAAGCGCTCGTAGGCGCCGCAGTCGCCGGCGGAGCAGCGGTAGAGTTCTACGCGGAGGGCGCCGCAGGCGGCTTCGTCGGGGGTGGGGCGTGCCATGCCTTGGGCGACGGTGGGGGACATGCAGACGGGGCAGGCGGGGTTGTTGACCCAGGTGAAGAAGGAGCGTTTGAACCATCTGGGGTGAGGTTAGTCGATGCACTTCGAATCGTGGAATAGAGTAAATGGGGGAGCGTACCTTAATAATGCGCGGATGACGCAATCCTGATACCCCCACTCTGGCTTCCTCCCATCGCCCATACTCTCCGCCTGAGCCTGCAGCACTTCGCTCTCCTCCTGTGCCTCGCCGTATATCCTATCCAACGGCAGCGCCAGCAACGCCTCATCCAACAACCCCGGATTCTCGTAGTTCGTCGGCATCGCCGACAGCGTAAGCAACAAATTCCTAAACTTCTGACTCTGCGAATCATTCGGCGGCGACGGCAATTTCGGCAGCCTCCTCAACGACGAGTAACTCGGCGGCGTCTGTCCCGTCGCCGCGGAACTCGAAGTCGTCGGCCTCATCGGCCTCGAGCTCGACCCTACATCCCCGCGCAAATCCGATGACGACGCTCGCTCCCTCGGCGACGGGGAACCATTGCGCGACCGCGAGCGATCGAGCTCGTTTAACCGCTTCGTGCGCAGCAGCTGCTCGAACTGCACGCGCAGGTCTTTGGCCCATGCCTCGTCGAACTCCTGCGGCGGGCGCGGAGGCCCATTCGAGTCCGCCATGAGGTAAAGGCTGATGTGGAGGGTTGCCGCGGACTCGACCGAGCCGGTTTGGTGGTGCTTGCTGCTGCTGTTGTCGTCGTCGTCGTGTCGTGGCTGGTGGTGTTTCCCTATGGTGACGGTGATGGTGGTTGTGTATTCGTGTTCGTCGGTTTAATGAGAGATGTGTTGTAGTCGTTGATGATTGATGTGATGTCGTTTCGTTCGGGGTTTGCGCAGGGTGTGAGTCGTGATATCGCGTGGAGGGTGGAGGTGAGGTGGGAGGTGGACCGCAGCACCAGCACAGCCAGGCTTCAAATCGCCACTTTCGGTCTCGTCGCAGTAGTCGCAGTAGTACGTACAGCCGGCAGGGTCGCGGGTACAATTATAGAAACAATGAGGCCCTTCTTTCGTGCCTTTCACAGAGTATAACACTGTCGCATATTTCGATGAAGTATTGGCGATGCAATATGTAGGACTGTCTGTGTTGTAGGAAGAGATTTAATCGTTTGTAGTCTGTAACAGTGGTTGTTCGATGGGGGATGGGCCTTTTCGGAGGTTCGTTGGTAAAATGGGGCTTGGATGTCTCTTTTGCCTGGTTGACGGCGAAAGTGCTGGCGTGGAGAGCTGACGACGCTTCACACCACACTAGTAGATTGGTGCCTGGATTATATGGCCACAACCACGAATAACTGCGAGTAACGACGACTAACGGGGACTGACTAAGACTAACTGCGACTAATCACGAATAACCACCATAACGGAGAGATCTGATTGGTTGAGTGGGGCAAAACGTTAAAATGGGTACGCGCAGTTACACGCAGCCAGTACAAAATTTGATAAAAAGGGGACAGGGGGACGAGGGGGAGGACGGGGAGGATGGGGGGGACGGGGGGAACGACGGGGCAAAATCATCCCCCCCGGCTATGTCGTTCTTACTTGTTGTATAGTATAGTAATACAGTAGAGAAGAGTATAGAATACTACAGTAAATAATAGTAAAGCGGTATAGTATAGTACTACAGTAGAGTAATAGATAGTAAAGTAGTACTTCCTCTAGTTATGAAACACGGCGGTGAATACTGGACATCACATAACCACACAGACAGAACACTATTACTATGGATACCATGGGATGAACGATAGAATGGGTATCCGTAGTCATATTAGAAAACTCTGGCTGTGTGCATCCATCCATCCCTACTACTCCTACTCCACATACTCTACAAAAACCCAATCCAACAACACCCACACACACACACACACAAGAACCCAGAACTCCCCTCACAGTCCACGCTTCTCCCACTCCTGGTCCCCATAGTACCTCGGTGGCAACTCCAGCTCCCACTCTGGCCGCTCCACCAGCGCAATCTCCAGCCCGCTGCTGCTCGCTGGAGCCTCGCCACCACCACCACCCAGGCTGACAATCCCCATAATGGGTCTGTATTTGTACGTATGCCACCAGTGTGGCGGGTGCTCTGAGCTCCCCTCCTCGTCGCCGTACTCCGTCAGCTCGCCTGCCTGCGCTCCCCCCTCCACGTCCCCACCACGACGCAACTTGCCCTGTGCGCCCCCACCCGCCTCGTCGCTCCCCTTACCGTAGTCCATGCGGTCCTCCTCGTCATCCTCGTCGTCGTCGAGGATGCCAACGTGATTCCGCAGGTTAATCTCACGGGGTTTACTGCTGTCGTCCTCGTGGTTTACACGCTGCATCTTGCGTGACATGCCGCTCGTGAGCTGCTCGTCCGGGATCTTACTCCCGGCGCCCGAGGTGCCTTTGCGCGGGTTGTCCTGACCGGCAATGTGCATGTGTTTCCTCTTGCGTTGTGCGTTCGCTTCCGTCTCGGGTGGGAAGTCTCGTGAGAGGTCGAACATGAACATCCACTTGCTCCCGTACAGCCATAGTCTCTCCTTGGAGTCGGCTACATCCCAGAAGCACCCCATGGCTTGGTCCCGGAGACCCTTGAACTCATCGGGAAATTTTGTGGTGGGGTTGCTTCTCGACCAAGGTGTCAGTTTGCCACTTTTGGCTTCAAACTCAAAAACTGCAGATGTCGCCGTTACCACTAGCATGCGGTCTTCCGTCTCGGGCGCTATCGATGCTGCACATGGTCGGAACGATAGCACGACAGCAGCTGCAGGGAGCTTGGGAAGAGAAGAGGTGGATGGGTTACGCGTCCAGGATTGTCCCTTTAACGTAATCGACTTGGTTGCATCCTCGCTGTCCGATTCGTCCGACGATGATTCTGGAGACGCGTCACTCTCTGCTATATCATCCGAGTCAGCGCCATTCTGATCTCCATCGTCCTTCAAGAGCCAGGTATCGATGTATCCCGCTAGATCGCTAACTGCCAGGATGCGGCTGTCAGACGAAAAGGCGATGCGGTTGATATTCCTCTCGTAGTCTCCCAGACCGCCAAACCTAGTGGCCTTGTCTACCTTCCTGTCTAGTCGTGACAGCTTTGCGGGAGAGGGTAAAACCCTGACAGTTGACGGCGACTTTGCAACGTCACCCACGATACGCGTGGCAACAATGCGGTTGTCTCTTCGCACAATTACTAGCCATTGGCCATCCGGAGAAAACTGAACAAGACGTGCTCCACCACGGGACAGTTTTTCGGAAAGATCCAACTTTGACACTCTTAAAGCATCCCCTTGGTTCCCACCTCGTGATCTCAATTGGAAGAGTTTGACTTCGCTGTTCGTGGATAGTGCGAGAAGACCACCGTGTGCAGCCACAGAGGCAGAATTGATATTAGCTTCTCCCTTGATAATGACCTTAGCCACTAGCTTCCTGCTGCGGTGACGCTCCTCGGATTCGCTATCGGATTCGGCATTGTCGTTGGCTTGCGTAAGCTTGCTCACGCGCCAGATGTGAACCTCGCGGTCCCACCAGCTCATCAGAAGTCTCTTCGCAGGCACACTCTGCACTATCGGTTCTTGGGGGAGGTATGGCAGCATGCGCTGGTTCTCCGCACCGAACTCCCGAAGGGGAAGGACGATTGGTGTCGCATCGGGTCCTGATGATAATTAGTATTTGTAAGATGGGCCAGGGGTATAAAAACATACCTCCAGATACGACAAAGCTCATCCCACGGCCCTCGAAGGATGTCATAGTCTTGACATCGTGGTTGTGGAGTCGTTTATGGCTGACTTCTGCCCAACGAGATTTCGGGCCTCCTGACTGCTTGTAAACGACGGTCCGTCTATCCATGCCTCCGCTGAAAACTGTCGATCCATCTGCACTTGCTGCAAGACTGAGAATATCCTGTCGGTGGCTCTTGATACGTTGAATCAAGGTATAAGTCTTTCCATCCCATATCCGCAGTTCTCCGGTAGAGTCTCCAGACACGATATTCCCGTTCGGCAGGCACTTCACTGCCCAAACTATGATCTCTTTCGGTCCACCCGATGGTCCGCTGCCAAGTGATATGCTCCTAATCGAAGACCCATTTCGACTGTCATAAACTCTGATTGTGCTATCTGTGCACCCAGCAACCACAATATTGCGGTCCTGGAAGTTGACGCTTATAATCTTCGCCTTCTTCGCCGATGGTCGAACAAGAACACGCTGCAGTTTGAGGTCGTCATCGGCCGTAGAGTAAAGCACAAGAGCACCGTCTGTACACCCAGTGATCAAGTTCTGCCCATTCCAAGCCCCATTCTCCTGTTGCTGACCAGGTGCCAATTGCGGTTGGGCAGCCAGGCACCAGATCTCGCCGTGGTTCCCGCTCGATTGGCGCAGCGGCTGCAGGCGCTCAAGGTCCCATTCCGTCACCGTTGTAGTGTAGCCAATGCTGAAGAGTCGAAGTTTTCCCGGTATAATTTTGCCATCGTGGTCTTCCTCATCTGGATCCTGCACCCAGGCCAGCCCATCTACGCTGCGATCCTGGCCGCCTCGCAGGATCGTCTCTTGGAACCAGGCGCCATTTAACGGGTTCCAGATCTCGATGTCACCGTTGGCTCGTCCTATCGCAAGGCGGAGAGTGTCGGATTTATTCGCTCTGCCGAGATGCGAATGAGAGAATGCTACGGCATTGATTGTTGACGGGGAATATGGCACGAAGCGACAGCGGTGGACGTCCATGGCGCCGATATTACTTGGTACCTCGACAGCAAAAAAGTTCGACAAGAGGCAATGAAGATAAATTCAGGCGATAAACAAAATGGTCCGTGCGCTTGGTCTGTGCGGGGCGAACTTTGTATGGTGGTGGGTCGAAGGCTTCTAGCGGGGATTCACTGAGGATTGTCCCCCCACTGTGCAGAGTTCCACCATGGGGGCTTAGACTTTTCAACTTCTACATAATTAAAAGACTCGGCCTCAGCGTACTTCAATGAGCAAATTAATAATTCCTTCTATCTCTGGGGATGAGTATCTGTAGGCCGTCAAAGAATGGCCACGGCAGATGCATAGCTGACCGAAGAGTCCTTGATATCCTTCACGTCGCTGCTGCGCTCATACCGAACGAACTTAAATCGCCCACCATTCTCAGCAGAGATCTTCCCCTCTTGTTCGAGAACTTCTAATGCCGCCATGACAACTCCAATAGGATGACGGCCGCATACAGTGTTACCTGTATCCTTCAAGTTGTCCAGGAACCCCTGGTGTTTCCCTTCTTCAATGGCATCCATGGCCAGTTTGTCTATCCTGCCTATACTCTCATGGATCCAAGGGTTTGTAGGCGTTTTATCGCGCCGACTGAGGTTGTAGCCTTCGGAGTTCGCAGAAGGTGATGCGGGGAGGTAGTATGTATACTGGAACCTTTCGCCCCAGTGGCAGAAGTCTGAGCTCACCACAAAGACCGATGTTGGATCAGCGAGGTAAGGCGCAAATATCTCGCCATAACTTCGCTCGGTCAATCCAGATGTAGCGCCAACGAGGACTGGGACGAGCAGAGGGAAGTCGTCGGGGGAGCTGAAGGTGTTTGAAAGGACCTTGTAGATGTAGGGGAGATGCATCTCAAGACTGTGCTCAGCTTCCTCGGTTTTCGCTTTCCACGCATCGAACTTCGAGGTTGCTTGAAGTTCTTTGATGGTTGCCTGGTCTAGCTTGAGGTTGCCCAATGGCGTAGCATAATATTCCTGTGAGGAAATCGCGCAGCCGGACAGATACATGGTGTGAGACGGGCCCAGGAGGAAGATGCGTTTGGCCTTTGAGAGGTCCAGGGACTTGTACGCCCAAGCAGCAGCAGGGCCGGAATATGAGTAGCCGGCATGACTGGACCTGGATTAGAATGCTCATACTGTATGGGAATATTCTAATACTCACGGCGCAATAATCACTCTCGCGCCTGGAACAGGTAGTTTGTTGCCATCGATGCTGTCGGGCACCTGGGCCAGCCAGCCATCGAGCTCGCTCGACAGCGTCGCCGGAGCTGAGGAATACCACGAGCCTGCATGGCTTGCAGCTCTGGTTGACATTTTTCGCAGTAGCCTTCTATACTCCGAATGTAGTATGATTATCCGTAGTGATCTTCAACAATATCTCTATGAGGGAGTTACGTATTCGTACGATCGTGGGGTGTTGCACCACGAGGCTGACAAGGCGGATAGATGGTCACCCTGTTATCAGCGATAACCGATAACCCCGCGCGCGCCCAAGCTCTTCCAGTTCTGGTGTTAGTCCCAAGTCGCGTCTTCGCAAATGGCACTTTACGCGGTTCTGATCCACGTTTCCTTCCAGCCACCTCTTTCGCACCTCCTCACACATCAATTCCACCATCCCATAATAACAAACAAATACTTACATTCAGTATCCTGATAACTCAATTCATCACTTCATATCCTTCTAATTACTCAATCCCAACTCAATCAACAATCCCTCAATCCCCAAACTCAATCAAAATGCTCCTCAAACGCAAGCGCTCCGACTCCGAGATCTCCAGCCAGAGCTTCTCCATGTCTCCCAGCCCAACACAACACATGGCCTCCTCACCCTACCCATCCCAATTCAACCACGAAATCACCCCCCTCCACCTCTCCAGCCGAACCCGAAAGCGCGTTCGCGACAACCGTCCCTCAGAGCACCAGATCCATGGTAAGTACCCCTTGGTTCACGCGTTCCCTTCAAAGCAAAACTAACTCCCCCCAGAAAACACACTCAACCTCCTCTTCTCGGCTCAAAAACAACACCACCAACAGCAACAAGCCGAACCCACATTCCCCCAGCAAGAACCTACGATGGCCATGTCTCCCCCGCCCCAGCAGCAATCCTCACTGCACTCCTTCTGGGCCCTCCCCGCGCGCCGCGACTCCAGCGTCCATTCCACCACCCCCTCAGCAGCAGCGCCGTGTTTCCAGGAGACGAACTGCGAGGACTGCGATGTGGTGCTTGTTAATGGGGATGGCGATTCGATGGAGATGGATATCGATGTTGATATGTACGGTGGCGTCGGGGCGGACGGGTTTGCGTGCTCGCAGTGTAGGAGGCAGGTGTGTCATGGGTGTGCGGTGTCGAATTTGGGGGTGCAGAGGAGGTGTCTTGGTTGTGCGGGGCAGAGGAGGTGGGTTGGGGGGCTGGGGTGGGTTAATGTTTGAAGGTTGAGGAGAGGGAAGGGGGGATGTAGAGCGTTTTGGGGGGTCGGGGGGAACAGATGTTGACCGGAGATGGCGACACTGGGCGTTTTTAAAGGCTGGGTTACCATTTTCCATCGACCCTCGAGTTGAGGGTCGATTTTATTTAATATGGGGTAGAGTTGAAGTCTGGGGCATCATATCTTGATAGGGCACGGGTGTATAGCTTTTGTACTCATCAGAAGTGGAGGGTTTTGTATCCTGGCTAGCCAATGGCACGCTCGAAGGTCTAAGGACAAGTCTTGCATAGCTAGATGTTAATATATGGGATTAAAGATGATTGAATTTCTCGCTCCAGTTCAATTTCTGGGATTTCGTGTTGCTTAGACATGGGAAGAGGGACTTGGCGTGGCTGAGGCGTCAGAACAGCAATTTAGCTCGTTCAAAGGCCATAATGTGAATTATCCATGATTTTAATTATGGGCATGTGTAGTTGGGAACTTATATTTGAACCATGGTGCTTTGGCAGCGCATGATTAGAGGCAGGGGTGGTGCTGTCAAAATTGCCTCAAAGCTAATCTCTTCCTTTCCGTCACGCACCGGCCCGACCGCCATTGGCCCTGACACCAAGAAGAAATTATCTGACAGTATATTAACCGACCACAACTTTGAAATACACAATACAGCGACAAAAGTCTGCGCACGGGGCTGTGCGTGCACGGTTTGCGGTATAAACCAACACTCATTTATAAACCAACAGACTCATTTCACGCCAACCCTTGATATCAGGGTCATTTTCGCCCTGCCAAGATTTTAGCTCACGGCCTTAACAAGACTATTGGCAACAACGGCTGCCTGTCTGCTATCTGCCTATATAAGCCCTTGCTAGACCCAACCACATCGGGTGTGATTCGACCGTGAGCTCTAACTTTCTGTCATGGCAGGCGCAGTAGAGCCTCAATTTTAAGTTAGTCTTGTTTCCTATTGTTATGTCTGTTCCTGGGGTGATTGACCCTGGCCATCGTGCCATGGTATAAGTACAATGCACCGCAGCTCGCGTTCCCCGTGTGAAGCTCACACATCCAATCGTCCCTTTACCCCCAATTCCTCACGATGAAGTTCCCAACCATCCCCCTCCTGATCACGGCCCTCGCCAGCATTGCCGCCGCAGATGTCGCCGCCGCAGACAATACAGTCTACGGAATCATGTTCTCCCCGCCCCAACAGAACACCGCCCGCACCCCATCCGCCAGGGCAATCACCCACGCCTCCTCTCACATCAAAGGACGACAAGTCTTCTCCCTAGGCGCGCGACAAACCTGCGGCCACGGCTCAACATGCAAAGAAATCTGCGAGGGGTGCGGAACCACCTCCTGCGGCGTCCAGGACACAGACGGGTCGTGCATCTGTGCCAACGAGGCGGGGTCCTGCGCGTGGCCTGGGGACGGTTCTGAGAGTGGCAGCGGCGGGTCGGGTAGCGGTGACGACGACCCTAAAGGCGCTTATAGCGTTAGTCCGTATTGTGGGTGGGGTGCGACGTGTCTTGAGTCTTGTGATGCTTGTGGAACGGATTATTGTGGTGTTAGGCTCATGGCGGTGGGGAATGCATGTGTCTGCCGGAGTTTGGATGGGGAATGCCCTTCTGGTTCTGCTGGGGACCACCGCGTCGGTTTGGGGAGGGGGAATGGGACGAGCTCTGATAGTACCTACCAGTCATCGACAACAGGTACCGGCACCGATTTGCCGAAGTCGACGGGCGATGTGAGCAGCGAGACGACGACTAGCGGTGCCGCATCGACTACTCAGGATTCAACACCGACTCAGACCTCTGACGTTAACCTGCCGGGCGCTGCACCGGGAAGGATGGAGGTTGCTGTTGGGGCGGCTGTGGTGGGGGTTGCGGCGTTGGTGATGGCGCTGTAGGGAGACGGATATAACGGGCATTGGGTTGGGTTGGGGGATGGAAAGCGTGGGGAGCTTTGGGGATGGGGGTATACCGTCGAACTTGGATTCGACGCGCAGATTGCTGATGGTATTTAGATGTGGTGATCAAGCGCTGTTGGTGTCATGTTTTTCAGCGTAGCTTGTCTTATATTAATCTCTAATGTAATGATGATATTTGTGAGTGATTAAATATCCTTGTTTTGTTTACAGTTACTACGAACATTCAAAGCCGTGCTCGGGACCAAAATCCTTCTCTAGTCTGTTAAGGGTCACGGTTTGAATTGTGGCTATGAGTGATTAGGAGCTTATATTTAAATTGTAGTTACTGTAATCTATATCCTTGCATGGTTACTGTCGAGGTTGTGGGCGGTATGAGTAACTGACATGTTAAAATCTCTAATATAATAATAATATTCGTATGTAACGTATTTCACATGCGAGCTGCGCACCACAACACCAAAAATTGACTATTCCTACTACTACACTACCACCACCCTACATAATGACCCCCATTCAATTGCAATTGATTCCTGGCGCCTCTCGCACGTACGGGTATTATGTACGATCTTCTCACATCGGCCACAGCGCCGTTGTTGGCCCTTAGAACCCACCTGCCGAGTAGTCTCACTTGCTACCTCTATACGGACTTGAGCTTCAACCTCAGCACTCTAAAGGATATCCTCTCCCTCTCGTATAGAGAGACTACCTCCTTGCATTATACGCCTCTTACGCCTTCGCCCTAGGCCGCGCATCGATTGTCCCATTCCTTCATAGAATCGCCTTCTAGGTACTAGGCTACGAAGGCCACCTTAGCTTGTTTAGTCAGAAAGGCCCCTAGTTAGTAGCAGAAAATGGCGTAGAGGGAGGCCATGAACTCGTTAAGTTCCTAGGTAGAATCGCCCCTGTACACCTTAGGTTACTTAACCTTACCCATTAGCCTATAGGCTAGCGTTACCTCCCTAGATACAGTAGAGGCAGTCTCGTGGTCATCCTCTATTTAGGGTCCTGCCCATTCTTCAATCTCTTAGCGTTGCCTTTTCTAACGACTTTCTTCTTAGATCTAGGCTTGCTTCTCTGTAAAAGCCCTAACTTCCTTAGGGTAGGAGCTATAGTCCTCACCGTGCGACCGTCAGAATAGCTGTACGGCTTCTTCCATGGTATTAATATAGGCCCTCTCTTCGTCCATCCTCTTCCAAAGGTCGGCTAGCTTTAAGGCCATATCCTAGGGCTTGCCCGTCGCAGAGTTGTCGACTTCTGTGGCAGTAGGCCTCAAGTCTGGCTCGACAGCTTCTACAGTCGGCGTCGCTCCTCCCGAGGTCGCCTAGGTGATTCTTCTTTCCTGGCTAGCCATTCTGAACTGGTAGGCTAGATATGGGTTGAGCCGATAGAATTGTAAAGCGTAGTAGCTAGGGTCTCACGGGAGTCCAGGGAACCAGGTCAGAAGGCGGGAAGTGAGATCGTATTGCAAGACAGTAGGTCTACGTATGTACAGCGACTATCGGCTGGAGGCCTCCTTCTGAGGCTTCCAGCTCCTTATGTCCTACGTTCCTACGTTCCTACATACCCTGGTTTACCGAGCCCTAGTGGCCCTACTAGGGGGCAGCCCCTTGTTGGATTTCTGGTGTGTTGAGCAGCGGAACAGCATTGGACGAGGCAAATCACAGGTGACGGGCACAGTGGTATCAACAGCATCAATTATAATGATTAGATAGATAACTAGAATAGTAGGATAGATCATAGGAATATATAAATCTATATGTCCGTGATCGACGATGTGAGTTGACGTGGCTCAGCTGCGTGGTGACTAAGCATATTCCAACACCCCTAAGTTCAGGGCGGCCTCACGTGATGGGCCGCCTTACAGCAACGTATGTCTTGCATGGGAAGGAGTGAACGAGGTAAAAGGGGACAAATCCACCTGCCAATATTTAAGGGTTGTGGTTATTGCCACACGGCACATTATGCCATTCGACCAACTTATTCGTCTAGTGTCAAGAGCAGGATTGTTTTCTAGGTAGGGAGGCAGACTCGGTAGTTACGGAGTGGAATGATGTTTTCTTCCAGCTAAAATTTCGTAATAAAATTTGGTATACTGTACTAGGCACACTATTCATAATAAATGTTGGAAGAAGCCAGGCCCGAAGTTTTCTGTGCCGACTATGGTCACCATATCAGTTGCCCACATGGAATAAACATACATCCTCTGATTGTGGCTTGGTTAATTTCAAGCCACAGCACTGGCCAAGCAAGCCAAGGGAGCATTCCGGAGCCGGAAAAACCCGTAAACGTATGGCACTGGCAGGTGCCACAAATCGACAGCCCCACGGATGATTAATGGTACAGTAGAGCCCCTGTTATAGCGATGTAAATTTAACCAGACCTAAGTATCGTTATAATTGAAATATCGGTATAACGGTAGCGTAACACCATACAAAAACGCCTAATTCGTCACCTTAAAAAATATCGTTATATACATGATTATCGGCTAAACTGCCATCGTTATAACAGGGGTTCTACTGTAGAACTCTGGTTAAGCCACGGGCCGTCGCGCTAACCCTTGGAGCGGGGTAGCATTTTAGCGCGACACCCCAGCCGTTTTATGAGGCTGAACCTCAATCTCATTCATCATTCCAGTCTCATTACTGTGTCAACATCCCCTCATTCAATACTACTCCGCACTCATTATCTGCTTACCATTTGTTGACAACCCTGTGAGGAAGACTTTCAATTTGCTGCATACACTTCTGACTTATTCCAGCTTCGATAAATCATGTCCGGCGCTGAAGCAGGTCTTGTCCTTGGCACCATCTCAGCAATCATTTCAATCATTGATGCCACCAAAAAAGTTTACGAGGCTGTCGAAGACGAAGTTGGCCTCCCAACAAATTTCAAAAAGTCGGCAACGAAACTCCCTCTTATCTTAAAACTCCTCGAACATGCGGAAGAATACGTTAATAACGAGACGGACGAGTCGATAAAGGCTGCGTTTACACCTACTTTAGAGGATTGTAAAGTTCAAGCTATACAACTTCAAGAGTTGTTTGAAAAGGTCATGCCAGGAGAGGGTGACTCAAGGTGGGACCGATATATGAAAGCTGCTCGGACGATTGGCGAAGGCGGTCGTGTGGAGAGTCTGGTTGGGAGGATTTTAGACGACTTGCAACTCTTAGCAACGAGGTTTCCAGAAGTAACGACATCAAGAGGCAAAGACCAGCTGGCAACGGCCATCGAGGAGGTGACTAAGATGGAGCCTTCTTTACCTGACGGCTTTGAGCAGACGCCTGCATACGCACACTATGGAAGTGGCGCCCAAAACGTTCACTTGGGGGGGGGGAATCAGTACATTAATGGTCCTGGCAATCAGCTCAACGGCCCAGGCAATCAGTACAATGGAACCAATCATATTGGTATGCCAATGTCATAGTCCTTGTACAAGGGTTTTGTAGTTAACAAATGTTGTAGTTAATAATCATAAAATTACAACTCCCGATGATATAGATCGATCTTGTCTCCGGTCTCTGCGATGCCCTGATACGCTAGCTGTCAAAAATCGGCTGAAAGAGAATAAGGACAAGTTGCTCCCTAAATCCATCGACTGGATTCTTCAAGACCCTAGATATATTAGTTGGAAGGATGGAGAGGATGTATGTTTACTCTGGATCAAGGGCGGCGCGGGCAAAGGAAAGACTATGATCTCGATTGGCCTTATTGAGCGACTTTCACGTCCACAAGATGAATCTACCGTGGTGACCTATTTCTTCTGTCAAGAGGCCGATTATGAGCTTAAAACCCTTGAAGCAATCATTAAGGGCCTGATTCTGCAATTAGTTACTCAGCAAAAGGATCTCAAAGAGTCTTTGCGACGCCGTTGGGATACTACAAACGAACGTTTTGATGAGGATGTTACGTCGTGGCGAACGCTCTGGAACATCTTTTTAGAGATGCTAAGCCGATGCAAGTGCCCGAGAGTGTACGTGATCGTGGATGCTCTTGATGAGTGCCAAGATGATGGCATGGCAGATTTTCTAAAGCTTATTGTCCGAACAGGGCTCGATCAACCCTCCAAAATCAAATGGCTGCTGACTAGTCGACCATTGGATAGCGCTGAGCGAGAGTTGTTAGCTGGATCTGATCAGGTAGGGATCAGCTTAGAGCTCAACCAAAAACAACTTTCTGAAGTTGTAAAGACTTTCATCGCTTCAAAAGCAATTGAACTCGACCGTCGCCACCATTATGGACCAACATTGCGGCAGAAGGTAGAGACTGAGCTTGCTGCAAAGGCTGAGGACACAATGTTGTGGGTAAGCTTAGTATGCAGGAGACTCGAGAGCGTACACCGGGACAAGGTTTTGACCACAATTCAAGATTTGCCGCCAGATCTGCCTGATTTTTATCGTCGGGTATTCAATCAGCTTAATGAAGGCGAGTCAGCCGTTGTCAAGGGATGTATGCGACTCCTCAAGGCAATGATGCTGGCCTATCGACCTCTGAATGTGGAAGAGGTGGGTAGCGTGACAGGTCTGTCTAAACAATTGGTTGCTATTGAAGTGTGGGTTGATCGATGTGCTTCATTTGTCAAGAGACGAGGAACAGACATCGAATTTGTTCATCAATCGGCTCGAGATTTCCTGGCTGGAAGGGATGGACAATCTATATTCAACTCCTATGAACATTATGGGCATGGTGAGATTGCGCTTAATTGTCTCTCCCATTTAACCAAACGACTCAAGATAAATCTTGCTGATCTGTCGCGACCTGATTCAACTAGGGAATCGATGAAAACGAATGCACTCTTGATTAGCGTGGACTATACAGCTACCTTCTGGGTTCAGCACATGGAGTGCGTCAAGCGAACCACGCTGGTACAAAATGCTCTCGCTGAGCAAGGGGAGGCTAGTACATTCCTCCGCACAAGGTTATTAGAGTGGCTAGAATGCCTGAGTTTATTGGATAGGCTCCCAAGCGCTATTGAGACATTAAGTACATTTACAGACGTGGTGCGTAATAGACATCAATTTCCAATGTCATTATCTGACTGAAGTCTCGTCTAGATAAAAAAAAACCCTTCGCTATCGAATCTTGTGCAAGATGCTACACGTTTCTTGTTGCGACACTACCTGACAATAGCAACTTGGCCATTACAAATTTATAGCTCTGCGATAGTCTTCAGCCCTCGAACAAGTGTAGTAAGGACAAACAACCTAGACAAGCTTCCTATGTGGTTAGGAACGCTCCCCCAAGTGGAAGACTCGTGGGCTTCTCTAATCCAGACACTCGCAGGCCACTTGGGCTGGGTCGAGGCTGTAGCCTTCTCGCCAGACGGCAAGCACATCGCCTCAGGGTCTAGGGACAACACCATCAAACTATGGGATGCTAGCACAGGCAGCCTCCAGAAGACGCTCGCGAGCCACTTAGGTTTAGTAGGGGCTATAGCCTTCTCACTAGACGGTAAGCACATCGCCTCAGGGTCTGGGGACAACACTATTAAGCTATGGGATGCTAGTACAGGCAGCCTCCAGAAGACACTTGTAGGCCACTTAGACTTAGTTAAGGCTATAGCCTTCTCGCTAGACGGCAAGCACATTGCCTCAGGGTCTTGGGACAATACTATTAAGCTATGGGATGCTAGCATAGGCAGCCTCCAGAAGACGCTCGTAGGCCACTTAGACTGGGTTGAGGCTATAGCCTTCTCGCCAGACAGTAAGCACATCGCTTCAGGGTCTAGGGACAACACTATCAAGCTATGGGATGCTAGCACAGGCAGCCTCCAGAAGACGCTTGTAGGCCACTTAGGCTGGGTTAGAACTATAGCCTTCTCACTAGATGGCAAGCAGATCGCTACAGGGTCTAATGACAACACCATTAAGCTGTGGAATGCTAGCGCTAGCATAGGCGGC